ACCTTCTCTAAGCTGACAGAAGCACACCAAAGTTTAGCACATCTTTACAAGCAATTGGGTGAACAGCTTACCTCAGTTCCACTAATACCTGAAGTCCATTGCTTCATCACATCTAATAGCAGGAAATGTGCTGAATCTCACTATTGTCTGCCAACTCTGAGTTCTCCTGCAGTAGAGCTTTCTATATTCACTTTGGAGAAAAGGTCAGAGAGCAACAACTTGATTCATTATGATGAGCCTCATATTGCTTCAACCAAGGTAACAGATATCAAATCAGACTCATAAGAGTAGATCATAGGACTGGCAAATAGTGGTGATAAATTGTCGCACAAATCTTGCTGGCAGGCTCACATTGCTGTGATCATGCATGCTACCTGTAGTTCATTCAATGGTATGTCTCCACATTTTGGAAGCTATGATTAGTGATCTAATCTCACAGGTACAGAATATATAGATCTTCCCATCTGAGTCCACTGGAGTATTCATGATTAATGGTCTCATTCTACACCATACTATAGAATGCAGCCACAGACTGCATCAGAGAGTTCTTGCAATGTAATTGTTGTAGATTAGGCTCCAGTCTTGTATTGACTCTGCAAGCACAATTCTAACTCTGGTTAGATAGTAAATATGCCATAGAAATTAAAGAATGATAAGCATTCATACTTGCCAAGTGACTGCCTGAACATAAGCTTCCAATGTCAGTAGTTCATCCTATTCAGTGACTCAAGACTTCAGTGTAAGGTGGGTAGAAGGTTGATGCATACTGAGGTGAAATATGGTAGCATGAGAAGAGTGATCTCTGACAACTCTCAATGGGGTAAAGTCCTACTTGTGACAGTAAAAAGGTTTTAGTTTAGTGCTCGAGGAGAGTACTGTAGAGTATGAGCAAAGAAATTGTAGACTGTATGCTCCTTCAAGAGCTAGTAGACTGTATCACTGCCTAAGTCTAGTGCATTCGAGATATCACACTTCCAAGTCCTAATCCTTCTCATCTCTGATAATGCAACAAGTCCTCCAGCACACTCCTTCAGATGTTCAATGTACAAGAAGTACAGTTGAAGAGGTCTAAATTTAGAAGAATGGGTAGCAACTAACTCCTCTCCCACTGCATAGCTCTCAACTGTCCCAACCACAGGTATGGCAGTCTCGACTCGAGGATTACCCTTGACAAGGTCAAGTCTATCTCTCAGAAATCAGGCAATGAACCTCTCTGTAACAACCTCTTTTTCTTCCTTTATCTCGAATGCAATTTGACACACTTCCCAACAAGAGCCCTCAGGTATAAAACCTCTTGAGACTGGCATAAAGAGAATCTCAAAATGATTGTTGATAATACAAGGGAGACCTAACCTCATTGAAAGACCAGCCAGTACACAGAAGTTTGGATGTGATGTATATTAGAATAAGAGAATGAGAAATCTAACAAGCTGAGAGAAAGTATCCTATCAAGAGTAAACCATTGTTGAAGCCACCCTATATTTGTAGTTGCAAATAGAGGTTCAATGTCAGTCCATAATTGTAGGGAGGAAGGTCTCTGCCCTCTCTCAAACTCTGGACTATCCTTTTGTGAGCTACCAAACTTCCTGCATCTCGATCGTGCCATCACGAAAACTTCCTCCCCAAACCAGATCCAACCCAATCCTACTTCTCTGATTCATCTCAGATCTCAATCCCATCAACCTTCCCCCAACCATCAAATAGCTTGGCATTCTGAACCCTTGTTCAGCCATGACCATATAGCTCTCGACCGGATGCTCATCCTTCATCCTTCCTCAAGATCAGCCAGATCTCAACTTGAAATACAGAATCCTCATTTCTCAGCTGAGCTCTGTCACTCCCTGTCAAGATCATACCTCTTCTGCCTTGTCCCAGTCTATACCTCCTCAATAATCTCCCCTCTCCCCCCCCCAATATGTCACAGTATGATCCTCTCAGATGGTATGCATCCTCTCTGTCTGATTCGAGATCTGAATGGACACTTAAATGGCTATGTATTACCATGAGACTATTGTTCTTGGATCTCACAAACATTCCTGATGACCAAGATTCTCTTGATTGGATTGCATGAGTCACTCAGATTTGAGCCTATACTGTAAGAGTCCACCTCGTATGATATTGGTGACAGAGAAATGATAAAGTCTCAGTAGGAACTGGTTCAGGCTTGTTATAATGAGATTCATGCAAATGGAGATAGTCTTCCTCGAGTATTTGATGAGTCTGTTCTCGCATAGGCCATAGTGATCATTAAAGATTTGTGCCTTGCAAGTGATATGAATGATAATCCAGTTGAGAGAAGTGCCTTTGGTTTTCATCATCTCGAGCGATATCTGCAAGATGGACCATTGGCTGATGAGTGAGGCTGCTGTCGAGACTTGAGACAAATTGAGACTGAATTAGGATAGATCTTCATATGATGTGTTATTTGGCTGCAATGGATGAGGCACAATGATTTGCAAACTTGGGAGGACAACCTCCTCGAGAATTATATCACATGGCTGAGGACCTCATTTCATTGCAGACTGCATTGAATGACGAGTTGGTCGAGATGGATGAATTATCGAGACATTATATGGAATTGAATCAGAGAATTGCGATGCTGAGGAAGAGAGTGATGGAGATTGGTACGAGTACTGTTCAGAGGACTGCCACTCATGCGACTCACAACTGACATCATCAGGCCTGTTAGATAATAGAGCAGGGTTCTCAGATCCGAGAATGTGGTATGAAGGATGTATCTTATCTGTTGATGGTCTATTGAGACTTGAATCTGGCTTGATGCCCAGTTGTACTTGATATCCAGCACATAGAGTGTATCATGTCTTTGGTATGTCCTATACGAATTTAGTAGAAATATCCTGAACCATTCCTCCTTTCCTTCCAATATATGAATGTCTTGAATCTTGCTGTGAAAGATCTTGAGTTGAGTCGAGATATCTTGAGGAGCTGGTAGGAAATCTTGAGGGTTGTCGAGATACATTGTTTGTTGGTCTTTTGGTATAGTTTTGTTGATTTGGAATGAGAAGAATATAAGAAGAATGCGAGAGAATAAAATAGGAAATGGAAAAAGAGATGGATAGACGATAGAGATGAATGGTGTAGGAGTTGAGAGATAGTATATAAGATGAAATATTGTAGAGCCTTTTGTGAGAATATAGTCGAGAGTGAGATAGAATAGAACAGGTTGACTGTGTTTGTTGAAATAAGTAGAGAATAGAGAAAAGAAATAGTTGAGAGAAGAAAAGAGAAATGGAATAGTTGAGAGAAGAAATGGAGTTGTCGAAATTGATGGAAGATGGAACTTGAAGCAGTGTATGTCTTGAGTGTCTTGAGTTGCAGTGTGTATTGGATTGGTTCTCTGTAGAGTGTGCACTATGTGCATACCTTACACTGAAGAGAAGGAACAGATCAGGACATGGAGGTATATATAGATCTATATGATTATATGAGCTCGCAGCTGCAGCAGTGAAGGTATATAACTTTGCCCCTGCGGATGCTGTGATGGTCATCGAGCGGAACTTGTAAGTTGGCCTGTTTAGCTTTATAACTGCTCATCATACCTCATATGGTAATAACACAGTCAACACCAGAACTCAACTTCACAGGTACTCGCAGATATTTCATAATTTTGCTGATAACTATATATCTCAATAATATATAAATAGAATGACCTCTGTTGAGACTGGTTATTATAGATCATCTGTTAATATTTTCTGTAAATAATTATATCTTCTTAATCATCTCATCAAAAGGTATAGTTGCATATTAAAGGTTCTCTCCTTTCTGCATAAATGTAAAATACAAGTATTTTATAAATATGAGATTACACAAATTAATCAGAATATGACATTTAGCTTTGTGTATCTTTGAGACATATATAAGATGAGAAGAATCTTATATCATATCAAGCAACTCTTGAATAATGTGTCAATCCAAGCTATTGAAGATTCTTTATTTGTCACAGGGTAGTATCTACTAGTAGCTATTCAGAAATGCCCTTCAATATTTGCATCAAATTGAAGACATAAAGGTTTGAAGTCACTTAATGCATGTACTAAGTTTCAAGATTTTGAAAAATTTTAAGACATATAAAAGTTCAAAAGATATGATTGCAGAAAAACTAAGCAATTATAATTGCTAAGAGGTGCTAAAGTTGATATATTCTGTAAGTATCATTCTATTAGTACTTAGCATAGAAAAACAGAGATGAACTCACTATTCAGGTCTGGTATTAGTTTTAAAGAACCTGTTTCACCTATTTCAGCAGTATAGAGAGGATCTCTACACTTTTCAATTAAGTGACCTAGAGCCTTGATGGCAGTAAGAACTGTAGTCCTATACTTTAGATAGATCTGAAGATGTAAGAGAGGATGATATGATGTGAAAGAAACTGTATAGTTTTATGCCAAAAGTTGAAGAAGAATATAGAGAATTCAGCAATAAATCTCTGAGAGCAAGTAAAGTGAGTCTTGGAAGAAATGATACAATATATTCCAGATTCTACAATGCCATAGAATGTGAACACTTGAGGAGCAATTTCTGCACATTCTTAAACTTGTAGTATTAGTATATAAGCATCATACTGTAGTCTGCAAACTCACTATAGAGAGCCAGACAAATGTTATAATTATCAATTAGGTCATTGAACTTGCCCAAGCATAGACAATAAGTAAAACAAACCATGGCCAGAGTTCTGTGGAGGATGGAGACAAATTGCATGAGCCATTCCTCCATCTCGATGTGGGCAACAGTGTAGCTGAGGTGTAAGTGACTGCTTGAAAGTTATGATCTGCATAACAGGAACAGCTAAAAAGTTCTCTCTGAGGCCGGAACAAGATATTCTCAGTTGGTTGCGCAAAAGTCAATGATGTGCTCGCCATAAGATCCTGCCAGATAGGCAATGGTTGCACCTTTCTACTCGAAGCTAGAAGCTAGAGTTATGTCGACTGCAAAACATCGCGCCTGTAATAGTTTCAAAAGTCCTATCTGAATGATTTAGTAGCTGAAAGTTAAATCGTTAAGGTATTGTTTGGTTCCGACTCAATGGACACTTCCTCCATGCATCATGTACCATAGAAAAATTGGTATATATCCTAGAATCGGCTGTAACAAAATATCGATAAGTTACGCCATGCAGTCAAAGCATCTACGGATCGATAATTATCCCGCATTACAATTAATATTAGTGAGAGTGTAATCGCGCACGCGGTATATAAACTTCGTGGATACTTGATGTCCCCTTCTCATTCAAGACTCCCCTGGCGCATGACTGGCGTAGGTAGGGATTCAAGCCCAAACCATCGAGTGATTTGCGGACTTCCCGAACCAGAGCATTCTCGAGCTCGATCAGTTTCTCAATCGGGATACCAAGCCTTGGCGGGCTCCATTCGAGAACTTTGCCATGCGTCCCTTGGATATCAAAGGGATTAGCTGCATCCAGATGTTGACCTAACCAGTTACAACACCAACAGCATTTCCTCCCAATGCCGATGGTTCTGGTGGAGAGCTAGAGACAAAAACATTAGTGCAATACTTTGAGAGATAGCACTGGACTGACTAGGGTTATGTTCTCCTGGAGAAACTTCACTTGAACGTCCACCCGTTGATCTTCATTACTAGACGGATCCGAGGCATATTCAGATAGAACACCCATCAAGATAGCCTCAGCATGGATAGCACCCTCAAAAGCACGTTTGTCTGGCGGGAAGTGGTTGTTGACCACTCCCTTCAATACGTCTTCGTAAGGTGCTAACCACGATGATTTTCTTAGATAGGCGATAAATTCATCTGGGTGAAGTAGTCTTTTGTTAGGCCGCGGAATGTGAATGATCAAAACTTCCACGGCGGCCATGTTCGACAGTATGTTCGATCTCCCCAAAAGAACACCAGCTTCTGCCCACGCAGCGACCGCTTCAATGTGACGGTACACTACATGGCCCTCACTAGTTTCTCCGCTCGCAGGAGTTAACTCAAGCTCATCTGAAAAAAGGGTTAGACTACTGCATGATTAACGAGCGCAGAAAAGTACCTTCGTCAAGTCCGTCATCGTCTATCCTCCCTTCTCTAGCTCTGCGATTAAACTTGGTGCGAAGAGAGGTCTTTGTCAACAAGGTCTTAACGAGTACGTCCTTGTTTAAAAGCCCACGTAATATGACATAGTACGCAGCAGCTCGGTTGAACGCCGTCACACACTCCCCCGTACTCGGTCCAACTTTGGCGAGTTCAAGTGCATTGCAAAGGTGCTGTTTGAGCGAAGCCAAAATATTGGCCAGGACACACGCCCAACCCTTCAAAGATTCGTCACTGAACTGCGCTTCCACCTGTCCGTCAATGCCAGTTCTCCGTGGTATAGATGGTTCGCGATCGATGACCCAATACATGTCACCCACTGAAATCCATGTTGACTTGACTGACTCTCGAGCATTCGGACTCCAATTCACCAAGGTATCGGCTACTGATTGGGTCCATACCTTCGTGTCAGTGTGCAAACGCTGATGAAGTTTCAGGCTGCAACGCCTCACGATGAATTTGAGTAATTCCCAGTCCCTTTCGGGGGACTGGTCATAGGCAGCCAAGGCGGCCAGCACATAGGAGGCATGATCTGAAAGGCTTGTAGAGTCTTTATGTGGATTGAAGCTATAAACCGCCTGTGAGTAAATCAGGCCTTTCAAAAGAGGCTTTGGGGTACGCACGGTGTGCTTGCCAGCTCAGCGAGACTAGGGCCTCTTGTCTCTCTTCGCTCTACTTTCTCAACCTTCAACGTTGGTCCTGAACTCTCAGTAACAACGACTATGTGAAGCCCGCTCGGAGTGATACCTCCAGTAACAGCGATTGTCTCGTATTTTGTGCTGAACCTTAGTAAAGTGGCGATGCGGTCAAACATCTTCCGAGTGACCCTGTCGTTGCTAGTAAATCCCGGGAACGCATAGCGAGGAGCCGCAGAAAAGTTCAGACGATGTAGGAATGTGGTCAAGGTCCGAATACGAAGGTCGTGGGTGGTGAAATCCATCCCAGTATCCACATTCGAGTTGTTGGCGAAGGGCTGACTTACAGAGCATATGGGCGACTAGAAGAAACCTGAGCTGAGGGGGATATTTCCTAATTTTGACATTGGAGCCGCTCATCATCGGATCGATCATTCGGAAGCAGTCCCTATAATAAGCTGTAAACCTGTGCTGTAGTTCCAGAAGGAAGAGCTGGATGCAAAACGATGGCTCCGCTACAAAATTGGCTTTCACCAGAGACATAGGATACGTATCGCTAAATTTCAGCTGAATGTGCAAGGTACGAAAGTGAGCGACGGGAAAGTTTACGCGGGCGGACGGCAAAGCTTCATTCGGAAGAGATCTACCACTGGGGCCGATAGGAAGCTGAAGTACCGCATATCGGTCATGAGTCTTTGGTTGTGCAGTACTTTGAATTACGATCGTGGGTCATAACGTCCAGAATAGTCCGCCTTAGGCACAGAATTGCAGTGGTCCATGACGGAAACAAGCCAGTCTTTGGCTTGCCTTCCTTGACACCCTCTGGTCATTATCATGGTAAGCTACGACCTAATGTCTCTTCGCTAGCCCTAAGAAAACCATCGTTATGAGTTTACAAGCTGTAATATAATCGCATCACTTCCCTCGCGACGCCATACCGGTAAGGTGCTTCAAGTTGAATTTGGGGTATTAGGGGCGAGGATAGTCCAACGGCAGAAACTCCATCGAAGGGGGAAGAATCAACGAGAAAGGAGAAAACTGAGGGAAAAGATGGTGAATGGGTAGATGCACTCAGTGCGGCCTAACAAAGCAGCTCGGGAGATTCCGTGGGTTGACCTCCATTACGAGAATCATGTCCTGGCAATGTAACTTCCCCCTTCGTATTCCTGTTGTGATCAACAAATGAACAAGCCGGCGAAGGACATCTCTATTATGAATCGCTATTACCGTGCTACTAAAGTACCTCCCAAATAAACAAAACGAATGCAAATCGAAAGCTACGAGCCCGAGCAATCAAACCCAACCAAGAGCAATCGACAAAACAACAGAACCAGCCCAAACCAGCACTCCACTCATGCCTAGTCCAAACGACCTCGCACCAGAGTCGTCGCCCTCATTGCCGAGGGGCAACGCTACAGTCGAGTTCCCATGGAAGAACGTGTCCGACGTATCCGACAATAAATAAACCAAAGCTAACCCGGGACCTGGAACATCAACATCACATCCCTGGCTGCACTTGATGAACGAGGTCTCTTGTTTGCCACCCAAGTCGCCAACTTCTCCGACAGTCTGTCCAGCCCAAGTGATCGTCTCATCTTCCGTACCCCACGACCTCGACCCAGAATAAAGACCAGGGGCAACCAGGTATCGGACGCCAATCGAATCAGTGACGTTTTCGGGAATGTGGAATGTATAGGATGTGTTCCGATCAGACAGTGAGCTAGGAAGTGTCTCCTTTGAAGCGTAGTTGATGAAGACCAGTTTGCCCCGTGTATCTCCATTGTCGTCGTAGACGCCATAACCAACAGCGTGAGTCGAATTGAGTTCGAGGTCAACGACGACGCTACCGGTGGCAGAAAGCGTCTCTGCGACGACGAGAGTGGTGTAATAAATAGGACCAGTCCGCCAACCCGTCTGGTTGGGGTCATGAGCACTAGGTGGGTCGAAGAGGTTATAGGTGATATCGAATTCCCGCGTGTGGAGGAATATTCCGGAAATGTTTGAACCAGCCGCTGACAATGCGACATCTGTTGCCCACAGAGGCATAGCAAACTGACAAGATAGCTAAGCATATATTCGCGGCGCAGTTTCCGAGATGGAAAACTCACCGTATCGGAAATATTGGAACCACCGCAAGATACTGAGTTGTACTCTGTCATGAGTACTGGAACCCCAGCTTGTTTGGCTTCCAATATGCCCTTCCAGTTACCATCTTCCCAATGAACATATGGTCTGACTGCAGGGAATTTCAGAACGAGTCAAATAAACCATGTGATAAGACATACCGTTAGGATGAGTCACAAAGTAGGTCATGTTTGTGTTTTCGGCATTAGGTCCTGCGCAAAAATGCGTAGGATAGTGTTGATAACTTTTCAAAATCAAGAACGTAAGTTACCACCCGACTTTACACATTTTCTTTAACACGTACGTATAGTATTTGTATGGGTATTTGTCCAACCCTGCGGAAATGACGTCGTCCAAGTTCCTGCGTAAAGGATAAGTGAGAAAAGAAGCATATAAATATATCAGGTGAACGTGCCAGTTGCAACAGACGGTGGGACCACCAACGTTGGTTTTGTTCGCGTTAAACGCGTCGTCATCTTCCATCAATTCAAGGAATCCTCCTATGTCTGGAACCTAGTACAAAACCTATTATCCCGCTGTCGAACAGCATCACATGCCTCACACCCACATAGTCACTGATTCCATATTGGTCCTTGTGACCGTGCTTCTGATACAAATCGGGCTCCTAAAGCTTACCATGAGAAGGTGGGAACAATGTGCAGCCACAAAGTGATACTCACATTTCCGATTAGTAGAGCGTCCAATTTGTCACCTAATTTCTCCTGTGCGGCTTTTGCAAGAAGTACCGCATTGTCATAGAACTCCGGTTGCCGCATAGGAAGTCCTAGGATGTATGACATATCGCCAACCTTGTCTGACATGGCGTTCAGAACGTCAAAGAATACGGGACCGAATGTGCATGGAATATCGTTGAAGTAAGCGTCAGGGTCCGTAAGCTGGAGCATGACGTCCGTCTTGTCTGGGTCATAAGTCGAGATATCCATTCCGTTACCCCCTATACGCATGCGAAGAGGGTTGGAGATACGTGCACGAATGTTGTGCAGGTAGTTTTGCATTGCATCTGGGAGTTTGTCCGCTGTGAATCCCCCTAAGAAGCAAGATGAGTGAGTTTCTAACTCCGTTCGGAGTTGGTAGAGGTAAGGATCTGAGATGCGGGCAGCGTAATATAGAGTATCAGGCACACCGCCCTCGTATTCGGTGAGTGCATAGTGTCCGACGGGGATTAGCTGTGCTCGAGCGCAATCCTTCACGGCCTCTAAAGCTGATCATGATCGAGCACTATTGCGTCACAGAACCTTTGCTGCAGATACACTTATTACTATTGCACCTGCAAGGTTTGCAAGCATGTGTGCGACTTGTGGAACGACGACCACAAGTCGATTGCATGACGCCCACCCACCACATGGTGGGAGTCCTTGTACAACGAGTGGGTTACACTGCAGAATAGGATATTTGAACGTACATAGTGTATCGAACGAGCTGAGCTCCCACGAAATACCCAAGAAGTTGTCGTTCACCGGATTCGACAGTGCACTCTGCGGAGGATGTTCAGGAAAGCTGATGTTAATGGTTCCAAGATTTCTCTGAGCCGCAGAGTGTCCGGCGAGCAAGAACAGGGCTAAAGCAAGGAGCGTATTGGGTAAGAGACCCATCGTAGCCAAGAAAGGAGAGTAAGGTGGGTGTGAGCTGAAGCCGTTATAATAAGTACTACGGAGAATCAGAGATCAAACTGCACACGGCCTCATGCAGCAGGAGCCTGATGTCAACGAGAAAGAGAGGAGCAGGCGGTAGGCAACAGTCAGATGGCCAGCAACACAGGATGTTATATGTACTCAGTTGCTTTACCCGGCAACTCGGATTCATAGTCTTGGCACTTCGGCACCAAGCGGCTTGTATCTTACGCACAGAATTCTTGCGATTTGGGGTTACTGCGCAAAGCCGTCTTGAACCTTATAGCTGTATGCTCGTTGTTCGAAACTTATGATAGATAGATGTCCAGCTGTATTCCGCCTGTGTAAATGCAAATGTGAAATGCAGGACGCTGCCATATATGATATCGATACTTACCCCGACAGGGTAATGAAAACCAAGAAACCTGCCGATGAATGCCGATTCGAAGACATGTACCTGGCATAATTAGTACTGAATACCGAAGACTTGTGCGGTTCTCCTTCCAGTCTTCAAGGAATGGTATCCTAAGCCTTGGTTTTCCGAGCCTACGGAAGCGAAGGATTAATGTAGTTGCATGAGATTTTGTTGCGGTTCGGGTGCTGGTGTGGGCGAGAGATCGCAGGTTGCTCAAAAGCCGGAGTAAAAAATCCAAAAAGGGACGCAGGTTGTATGCGCCTTCCTAAAACGAAGTTTGGGGAATTGCATATCATGTAGGTTCGACTATGCTCAAGAGAACGAGAAGAGACTATAAAAACATGAACTATCTATTATTGGTCGAACATCGCAGCAAAAAATCGCATAAACAATAATGTATTAAAGCACCTATATCCAGAAAAAAAAGTCTACAGAACACGCGAGGTATCTACTCGTCCTTTTTGCCGATTCGCTTCTCGGCCTCGTCGATAGCAGCTTTGTCGGTTTGAGGATTCGCAGCGGCTAAAAAAAAACGCCGCGTGTTAAAATTAGGGCATTCCATCACAAGAAACCTTGGAAGGAACAAGACGTACTACCAAACATACCACCCGCCTTGAATGGACGCTTAAGGTCACCCTCGGCAGGCTTGCCAAGAACATGAATAGCAACGGGCTTAGCGTCGTACAAGCCCTTGAGACCCATAAGAGCTTGGATGAACAACGGCTGAGTGTACCTGTGACGTTGAAATTGAGTATGAGAAGCCGAGAGGTCTTGGATATGGAGAAGCAAACTTACTTGAGGTATCCATGCAAGAATGCCATCATGAGGATGCCCATGTATGCGCCACGGACCAGTTTTGAGGTTTCCGATAGGTCATAATCCCGCACCGTGGTAGTGACTAACTTCCCTTCTTCCCCGGACTACAGAAGAAGCATGCATTCGTATCAGAAGCCCAGCGCGGAATCAGACGGGCAACATACCATAGGGCTCGCAGGTTCCACTATACGCCGATAGCATATGGTGCGTAAGCACCGGACTGGCGGACCTGCGCAGAAGGGCATTACTCACCGTACTTGAGGACAGTCAAGTCATTCTTCTGCTTAATCTGTAGAAGTGCGCGTAAGACCATATGACTCTTTCTTGAATGCCATACGTCGCAACATACCTTCAGTGACGTATAGTAGTACACTCCCAACACGAGCACTTGAACAGCGACATAGGCAATGCGAACATAGGTCAAGATCTCAGGATCGTCGAAGTTAATCTTTCGGGCCACTACACGTTGAGAAGAACACCACAGCGCATGAGGACGTCAGTACGTAGGTCGAGGTGACAAGGCAAAAAGATGATGCAGACCTTGCATGGCCACGAGTGAGACGACCAAGTTCGTTGTTGCCGCGTTCATGTTGCCCGGTGCGTAGTGGTATACGAGATGATACAGAGAAGAAAGCAAGCACCGGGAAGGAGAGAAGAACGACTAGCTGAGCTCGTACGTTAAGAGTTGTGGAGAAATTTCGCGCTACTCTCCAAGCCCAGCTTGGCGCGGGGAACGCTACGTGTCCATAGGCGCTAAGGGACGCGATACAGCCGAATTGGGAAAGTGACTAGGAACTTTTGGTATTAAGCAAGGGAAAAGACGTCTTGTCTTCGAGACGTCCAACAATACCCCAGAGACATGGGCTTTGGATACCTTCAGACAATCCTGGCATTTCCAGGTGTTGATATTTGTTTCAAGTCCTCGCACATTTCATCTTATAGAAAGGCAATGAAGGAGAGTAATTACGGGTGTACGTGAAGGCACCAGACGAGAATACTGAAAAGAGAAGACGGAACTCAAACTATACATCTACCATTCAACAAGGTACGGGAACAGCTAGGGGTATGTATGTACTTGTTCCATGTAAAAATCAAACGAAACCCAGTTTCCTTGATGCGTACTCTAGAAGAAAGGAGAAGCAGCGTATTACCGACGCAGTCCGAGCGTATAATATAAAAGTCCAACAAGTACTACACATATGGGGCACACGGGTAAAGGACACGACTCAGCCGTATCATCTCAATGACGCAGGATCATAAGTCGCGTACTGATACTGATCCTCAGTCCCAGTTCTAGAATGGCCACCTTGGGCGGTATAGAACGATGATTCACTCGCCTCCGGGATATGACCCTGCGGCTGTGAGAATGGAAGGGGTATATGAGACGGAGAGAAGTTCGCTTGGGTAGGTGTAGACTGTTGTGATATGTTCCCAGGGGATGGTGCTGCGAACGGAGCGGAAGGTGGTATATATGATTGCTGCGTAGATGTAGTTGGCGAAGGGATATAAGGTGGCGGCGCCGAGTTCGGATGGTATCCTGATTGTAGCGGGTATGGCAGTTGATGTGAAACAGTCGACTGCGAAGGTCTACGAGTAGCCGGCGGCGGCGGTATCTTTGCAAGTGATGAAGAATCTGGCGGCGAGTGAGCTCTGCGAGACATGGGATATGCATCTGTGTGACCTTGGGTAGCATCCCAAGATGCATCAGAGCTAGCGGTATCCTGTCGCAGTGGTGCATGTCGGTAAGGTCGGTCTCGTTCCCTCATGGCAGGTCCTGAGGCGGCTGAAGGAGGAGTTCCGCTCCTTGAGCCAGGTTGTGAGGTTGTCAAGCGAGTAGGACGCTTGGGCTGAGGGGCGTAGAGAGTAGGGTCGGCAGCGAAACCCACAGCTCGACCCTCAGCGTCCCATTGTTGGTGCTCCGGAGGAGATGAACGGTTGAGGGGTATGTTGGTGTTAGACCCATTCGGATTGAAGATACCTGAGTCGTCATTCGCCTCTAAGCTAGGTGCATTCAAGTACGGAGTCGATCCTCCTGCAGCCACGAGCTTGGCTTGCCTGCATGATATGTTAGCGAAACGACATGTACAGAAACAAGCAAAGATCCGTACCTCGCCTTGCGTCTCTCATAGATGACCTTAGGTTTCACTTGTTCCATCTTACGGTATACGTACCACATTGCACCAATCGTGACGATAGTAGTAATAACAATGACGACCGTTTTGATGATGGTATCAGTCTTGCTCGTCTCACCTAGAAACTAGTTTCAGCGATCATTTCAGAGGCTGGAAGGCTATACATTAGGCGAACCTGTTTCAGACTGCTCGAGTGCGACACCAAGGTATACAGTGAGGAATTGTTTGGGCAAAGACAGAATGGCAGCGAGAGAGAACGTCCACACATCCATACCACAAGTAGAAAATACGGCAGTTGTGACTGGGAAGACGAACGAAATCAGCTGGACGAAAACCGACAGAGAATGAGCAGTCTCACAGTGTCCCGGAATTGCACTGAACCGAGCGATCAGTGCTATCCTGAACCCACCGTCCCTGACGACTCGGGCAAGGTAGGCATAAGAGAGCTTAGTTCGCTCATATTTCTCACCACGAACGGAACAGCAGTATTTGAACGCGCTGGGGGGCATAACGGAGTTAGACTGATAAAACTGTATGAACGAGCCTTACGCACTAGAAATTACCAAGTTCACCGATGAAAGTGCCTGCGGCGACAATGCCGAAGCCAGGACCTAGACCCCATACGAGACCACATAAGATGGCGAGGATCTCGTGACCAAAGAGCTAAACCAAAGGAATGATACCATTTCTTAGTATTTCTAGAAGCTCAGATTTGTGAAATGACTCCACGCACCGGTGGGAACGAGATAACGAAGAAAATGGCAATGGGTATAAGCCATCCCGCTGGCAAGCTAGAGAAGAAGTCAAATGAGTATGGTCAAAATTACTCAGACCACATGAGAGGACGCGAGCCAAGAAAGAGGTCTATATTTAGATGGGTGCAAATTACAGCCCAACAGATGTGCAATCTATGCGAATAGATAGATGATTGGAAAGTCGACATAGCAAAAGCACTATACTGATGTGATTGCGAACACGGCATTTGAGGATTGGATATGCGCCATGGCAGACCAGACGCTGCACAGGCAGAGCAGGGCGGTTGCAAAGCAGAATGAAGAGTGAAAAGAAAACTCACTCATGCATCCACTTTGCTGCAGGATGAAGCCAGTTCACAATTTGTTTGTGGTATACCGTGAACAAGATCACAAAAACAAGAGCGATAGTACCAATGAGATAATACCCTTAAAGCAGTATAAGCGACCAAACAGCTGCGGAGAAGCCGAAGGGACGTACAGCGCCATTCCTTCCGTATCCAGTACCGCCAACTCAACATAGCTTTGAAATCAAAGAGCGACGTCTTATTCAGCTCGACGACTTCGCTAGGAGTGGGACTGGGAGTTCGCGAGACCTCGCGCATGAGTACGACGGTGTCACCATCCTTGCTTGAGACGGAATCTTCGCGCTTGAGTGGTGGTGCGTCGCGCCTCCAACCCTTAGGTTCAGGACGTTCAGAGTAGCCAGTAGTATGTTGATGGTGAGGGGGGTATCCGGCGGAGTTGTTTGGTGCAGCATTAGAGTATGGAAGTGTTGGAATGTTTGCCCCGTATGCCTGATACGAGGAAGTCATTATACAAGGTCGTGAGCCTGGCGGCGAGAAAAGGGAGACGGAGGGTAGCTATGGACGCAGAGAATTCAGGGTAATAACGCGGTGCTGGCAGCGAAATTATACAGAATGAGAGCCTCAGACGTTAGAGTACCAGACTAGGGCGTAGGAGGCAAATCCAGTGCGAAGCTTAGACCAGCATGAGAGTTGTCTTTTGAGTTGCGGCAAGCAAGGCTATCATGGCAGTGCTTGGAACACAATGCCTCCGTTTAGGGAATCTTACATAAGCAGCTTTGCAGGACAACGCAATAACAAAGTTCAGTCTCCACCGCAGTATCTTCACCGTCCTCCGCTAACGCACTCATGCTGACATTTCTCGGGCAGATCTTTCCTTGGTAGCGGTGGACAATTTCTTTCTCAAGCACACGAGCGGGAGGTAGAGTGGGGATGTGTTCATAAAAATAGCAAACGATGAGCGATGCAGTATGCAGTACGACAATGACTAGGTATTAGTAGTTCATGATAAAATGCAAATGATAGCAAACTCTTATTCCATATACAACCAGCTGACCCAGGCTTGGAAGAGGTCTGATAGTCACAAGACACGTCTACTCCTGAATCTTTGCCAGAATCTCCGAGTCCCTGTACATGAAATACTCCTGCAAAGTGAAATGCTCGTCAGCATATGAGCCTTGCAGTAACTCCTCCAATATTTACCTCATCGCCGACCTTAAACGAACTTCCGCCCCATCCCGGTAGGATCACACGGTCGCCTGCCTTCACATTTGTGGGAATGACAGTGCCCTCCTTGTTGGGTGCACCAGGGCCGACGGCAATCACAGTAGCCTCAGGAAGAGGGTCCTTGGTTACCGATGAAGGCAAGAAAATGCCAGAGGCAGTTTTCTAAACTGAAGTATGAGCCTATGTAAAGCGAGACGCTGCCCTTTCGTGACGTACCGTCTCAGGCTTGAACTTGCGAACAACAACACGGTCGAGGAGAGGCACAACGGCCTTGATGCTCTTGAACGTCGCCGTGAAAGACTAACACGATCTTGTGTTGGCTTTTCAAATGTCGTAACAATGAACAGGACTTACCATCTGTGCAAGAAGAACGAGATGAGTAGCGGTAAGTACTGAACAAGGTCGTCAACTTGTCACGTATTTTCTAACAATTCTTATTTGTTCCGAACAAATAAATCCACGTGCACCTGTAGAATGCTCTCGAATTCAGTCGATAACCTCGATCGTTGCGACCAAACTGGAAGGTGCTCAAGTTCAACGCAATTGCTGAACAATAACCCTCTCGAGACGAAATCATACTGGAGAACTATGGCAATGTCAAACCTGTAACCTGAAATGATAAGGCAGAAGTCAATTTTCATGCTATTTACATGTGCCTTCCCGGCAATGTCGCCAGTTGACTCCGCATTGCTAACACTTCTACGTTCTATTCGGAAGTATGCCGAATTCGAAGCTTCCCATGTACTATGTTCCTGCGGGATGTAGGTAATGTTTTCCGTTATCTGGATGCAGCCTCACTCTGACTACTTGTAGAGCGTCTACAAATACTTGTGTTACCTCGGAATATCGGCAGCGCTGCGCAGACACTGGCACCAGGGTGCCGAGACTGACTGCTTTGTAGGCTTCGATACCTTGTTCTTGACGCATTCAATGGCTTGGTCTCCCCCGCATTTTCTGTCGGACTATTATAATGCACAATCAAGCACACCGCCTCCTTAAATGACAGTTGTCCTTGCTGCGGATGCAACCGCAATGATGCCCGCCAACGGTTCTTGTACCGGTGATTTTGATGCTACATTCTGTTGCAAACTCCTTGTTTCTCGGTTAGGTTTACACTTCTGATCGCAGCTTGCCAAGACATGATTTATGTCTTGCCATAAAATGCCGCACAGGTAGTGCTTCGCTCTCGGCGCGGACGAGTAAGAAACAATGTCTAATCCTTCCGGATTGCTTTAATCCACCTTTCTACCGCAGGATTGCTTCATATCTCTCTGCGATACTTCTCAATGCCTTGTGGATCTATAAAGGTAATTACCCCTTCCAACCTTCATGTTATATTGTTCCCTTTTTTCTACCGCTATGGACAAACCTAATCGCCTTGTCATGCAGAGGCCGTGCGGATCAGCAGTGGGAAATACCTCATCGTCTGCCCTTATCTATTCGTCGTCTATGACACATACAAAGGACACTTTCCTGCGATGGTGAGTATTGTGAGTAGAATGAAAGTGTCCGCGTTACGCCCAACTCACATTGCCAGTCCGTTTAGCTGTACACTGTATGAATTGTACTGCCCAAGTACTTCCTCCACGGTATTAAGCTAAATCCCAGAAATTGGTAACGACATATAGTTGAATCGATGGACGTTGCTACATGGGTATACTGGATGTAATACAGATCAGTGCCACCAGACTGCGATGAATATTGCCTCCTGTCACTTGTGAGACACCTTGGCAAGGTCCCTAATCCCCACTCCTCAAGGACCATCTGTATCCACTCTCGTCCCTACTACCATGACCTGATGAACCTATATTTTCAAACGCAACTAAGCCTCAAAAATTCTCACACAAAAACGTCGAAGCATACGAAGTGTGAGCGGTGACAATATCATACATCATATAGTATCGTTACAGAAACATTACATCGTTATACAACTAAACCAGTCCGAAGAAGAAGAAAAACCCCAACAAGGGACAACAAATTATGTATGCAATACAAAAATCAGCTGCAGGAATATACCGTTTGCATTGCCCGCAGTGAGAACAGAAGTCGAAAATGATACCGCGTCTTTACAGATCTTCAGTGAACTTACTCTCCACCGCAGGTGCCTTCCCATTGTTCCCCTTGCTACGTCCAGTCTCGCCCTGTGTCTCGTGTGCACCCTCGCCCTGCGTGTCATGTACACCCTCGCCTTGTTCTTCATGTAAACTCTCGCCCCGTGGTTCATGCAGACCCTCACCCTCCCTTTCAGCTTCGCCTTCATCATGCCCATTGTGCGGAGGGCGACCCTCAGGTGCCTTCTCCTGTTGCCGCCTGCTAGGGCGGCCGGAGACATTTTCCTCTGCATTTTGTTGGAAAGGCTTCTTGTCACTCTATACATTCAACACTCAGATATCAGCATTACAGTGGAAAGCTGTGGAACCTAGCGACGCACGAGATATCCAGTCCCCTCGCGATGATGCTCATACTCAGGCGGTTCAGTCTCACCCCCACTCTCAGCAGCAATCTCCCTCGCTTCAACATATAGTTCCTCCTCATCACCTTCCCTCTCCTCCTCAACACTACTACCTTCCTCCTCCTCGCCTTCCTCGCCTTCATCCTCACTCGTGTACCCTGCAGCCCGGACAGCAGCAGCCACAGGTCCACTCCTCTCGATACTCTCACTCGCCACCAGATACCGAGCACACAACATTCGAATGTCGTTCCACCACTCCATCATATCATCATGCGACCGAGCTCGGAAGGCCCATGCATGGCCGCCGGCGGTGATACTGCTGTTGGCCTTATTTCCCCGACCAGTAATAGTGCTTGTGATGCTACGGAATGAACCCGTCTTAGTTGCCCCAGTTCCATCTTTGCGACCTTCAATGTGGAATTTGTGGCTCCGGGCATTTGCTGAGCTGGGAGGGCCGAGGGTACACATAGGCAGGAAAAGGCTGAAGAGGGGCTTATCGGCTACTGCAGGGTCACTCGACGCATACTCGTGCAAGAAGCCAGCGGGAGTGAGCACGTAATAAGCTTCCCTGTATGTTCGCGTATACCGTTTCTTGCGTTCGAGCAATCCGGTGTGAACGGGTAGCACGCTAGGGTCTTCTTTGGATGGATAGACGATGTTGGCTGGATCACGAAGAGGCGTCTCCGGATCGACCAAATGGTCTTCCCTCGCGGCAAATGCGATCCACTCACGGTCGGGTGCAAACGAAGACATGGCGCGTTCCAGGCTCTGTGAAATAGTGCTGATTTGGGTCTCCATGCGTGTCCGCCATTCAGCATATGTCGCCCAAGCGGACTGAAGGGCCTGGATAAGAGCAGCCTCAAAAGTTGCCGAACTGGACTGTGTGAGGAGCAGGGACTTCTGAAGGGCATTCTCTGTGTGCACTTGTTTGACTAGTTGGCGCATGACAGCTTGGTTGGCAACGTATGGGTCCGTCTTTGGAGTCACACTCATAGGAGTGTTCTTGAGAATGGAGACGTGAGTCCCCAGGTCGCCGATGAGCTTGCTGGAAAGTTCACGTTCTTTGGCAACCGATGTCGCCAGTTTACCGGTATCATTTTGGATATTCTGCGTGGGCGCGTTGGCACGAATCACAGTCGAAGCGAATATTTACAAACCTTTATGTGTGCCTTGATCTCTACACGCAACTTCTGGAGATGCTGCACAATCGAGCCGTCCACGGTCCTTCCCAAGTTGGCATGTTCGTCCGCAATAGCACGAGTCTTGTCGCGGATCTGGTAGTAGACGTCCTATGTTACAATACCAGTGAGCATGTGGCGCCAACCCAACTCAACCAAGAAACAAACTTGAAGTCCCCCTTCTCCTAAGAACTGGTTCCCGGCTCTGAAAGGGACCTGGATGACGCCAGCAAGCTTCGTCATCTCTCTGGCGACATTGTTCTCAATGTCTGCGATGCCCTTAGTAATACGTCAATGTTTCCTTCGGTACTCGACCATATTTCGAAACTAACCTCAAAGTAGGCAATAAGTTGCTTTACGATCGCCTTCCACGCGACGAAACGTTCAATGAGAATATCGGAAGGTCTCAGATCATGAGGTGCGATATTCTTCTTGATGAGAGATTGCGAACGCGACATGGAAGAGCCATGTCGGCTCGTTCGCGAAACAGACGTTGCACGAGAAATGGACACGCCGTCATTCATTGTAACGAGCCAGATACGAGACAGAAAGGAGGAGGACGTGAATATGGACCACGAGGTGGTATATAGTCTACGGAAGCGGATTGGGCTCCAGCAGTGTAATTGACGTCACTGAAACGTGGGCAAGTCGTCAGCACCTATTTGAAGAAACCTCTTGAGAGCCACCAGTTAGGGGCGAGTGCTTGTAACAACGAGAGCGACGCTGAACAGTTTATCCTACCCAAGTTGATTGTAGAGTAAAGTTCTACAAACGTTGGAAACGCAGTTTGGAGGTTCGACTTCATGGCATCGGGCGTCTATCTATTCTAGTCTGCTTGAGCGCTTGAGAGCCCACAAGCTTGAGTGACTTGACCCAGGCTCAGGTTATCACTGGTTAGCCTATCAATATTATCAATCCTCGATCTTCGTTGAAAACTCGTTGAATCCTGTCCTGGGTTTCGGCAATCCTTATCCATCTATCCAAGTAGATATACGAAGGCTACTTATACGGGTTTTCGTTGACTACATCCTATAGGAAAATCCGACCGTATCCAGAAGCGCAATTGCCAGTTTGCGAGGGTCGTCTGGCACGCGATGGTGAGGCTGCCAGCGGGGTCTCTTATACTGTCTCTTTCCAATTTTCACCTATCAGTTCATTCTAGAAGCTACATTCTATCACCCATGATGCTAGGAAGCCACGTCTGCCTCCTGAGACATGCGAACGCATTATTGATTTTTGCGGTCACACATCTGACGGCCTATGTAACCCACATCAGAGAACACTTCTTAATTGTTCCCTGACATGCAGATCATGCTTCCAAGGAGTCGCTTCCATCTCTACATTCATGTCTACATCGAGACGGAGCAGCAGCTCATGCGATTCTCCACCCTTCATAGAACTCCGGCTCTGAGCTCCTTTGCTCGTCATCTATGCTTGGGCAAACCTACTTATCCCTTTTCCTGGGTCCACCGAGCAGCTTCTCGTCTCCCAGTGTTACCATCTCTCCAAAGCATAACACCTGTGCGGCTCTGTAATATATAACGGGTCCGCATATTGTAATGTTTATGCGCCAGTACCGCAAGTTCAAGAACGTGCGGAAATGGTCCCTCTTTTTTTCCGTTTCTCTGGGGGCTGCAGGATCTGCAACGAATCATTTCGTTCTTTCCGGATCTCACTTTATTCACTCTCATAATCCTCAGATTCCTTTTCCCGTGTTTCCTTTGGATCGTGGGTTTGGTTCTTCAGACTTTTCCACAAAGCCGCAGAGGTTCTCCCACATCACATCATTCTCTTTTGCGGGCGAAATCTGGTCGACCGGGATCCTAAACTGGATTTCAGACCTTCCGGATTTTAACAGAATATCATGGTGCTTTGCGACGAGATCCCGGACGTCTTGGAAATAATCAATACCTTGAAGACTTATCGTACGCATCAAACGACTTTAAACCTCCATGTCTTTGATGAGGATACCCCGGAACATTTGATTCTTCCCGGCTGGCAGTTAATGGATGCCGCTTTGTCACAAATGAAGAGCCTTCGAAAGGTCGTCCTGACGTATCACCCGAGAATGGCTCGGGATGACATGGCATCCTTCTCTTCTCGGGCAGGCAGCGAAGCGGTGCAAAGGCAAATGCCTCCATTGTCCGCTCTTGGTGTTCTCACTGTTAACATAGTACCGGAGCTACCTCCTGAAAGCCATCTTGCACTTGACTATGATGGTTTGTGGGATCTGTGGTTTCCAGAAGATTCATTCTCTTCATCATAATCTTGTACCGTGACACCCGGTATGGACAATTTATATGTGAATAGATGCCATGCTTGAGGGATGTGCGTATAACATTTCGGGTTGAGCTGTACATCGATGCCTCACCGTTTGTCTTCGCCGCTAACATCGGACATCGTTTCATGGCCTGTGTGAGGAAATCTGTCGATACACGGATGAATGGTTTTGCTAACATGGCTTCGCCTTCTTCCAAACATTCCTCGCATACACGCCGTGTCTATGCTCTTTTCATTATATAACCGCAAACCCGTCGTGTGCACCAAGCATCATGAAAATATACGTCATCTTTCACGGCATATTTGAAGTTGGAGGTCACCTGGGTCGCCTCAATGTGGGATAGCTTGACGTCCAGTTTATCCGATCCAATTAGAGTGCTGATTCTCTGCTGATTCCGTGCGATAGACATAGGGCAGTGCTCGCCATTCTGGTACATATGACACCGCCGGTACGGTAAGTACAATTCCATGGCTCTTTCCGTGACTTTGTACCTGATCACTCTTTGCGCTATCATTGCCCCACATACCATACATTCTATTCCCCCTCAACCGTTGAAGTCACTCTCCCAAAGCCTCTTTTCTAACGCTTATTCTCACAGGTGTTTTATAGGTGTCTGACCTCTTATGACTAGAGTATCACTCCCATGGCCGTCGTCGCATCTCCATCACTAGTTTCGAAATTCCACCTCTCTCTGGATCAGCGACTTGATTCATGGCACCCGCACTCTCAGAAGAGTGCCTCCATGAGGTCGCCTTATTACTATCCACAATTTCTATGGAAGTTCTTCTTGAATCCCATGCACGTACATGGTCCGTACGGATGCCTTTCGACTTAATCGCGTAATTCCATAGGGGACCGAAATGGTCTAATCCATATCGCATCCACGTATACGATGTCTTCAACGACGCACTTATCGAGATGCGTCGTATCCCAAAGTCAAAGGGTGTATTCGCACATTTTGCTGGAGAACATCTTGACGAACATTGCTTAACCGCCCTGAAAGACGCAGAAGAGTCCTTCACGCGCCTCGAATCTGCAGTCGAGAAAGCCCTGACAGCCCTTCTCAGGCGACTCTCAACTACACCTCTGGCATCTTCTCGACGAGGAGACATTCATTTGGATGCGCAATCTGAATATATGCTTCGCAAGTTCCTGATCTTCTTGCGATACCGGAATAGCGAGCAATATTTGCGGAGTGTCGATTGGGCAGGTACTGGAGGGCGAACATTGCATTTGTTTCCTCTGTCAAAGATGACTATGATGACTATGATGCTGCAAAGCGTCCAGGCGTTTCTAGATCATGATCCTGATGCTTGTTCTATTGATGCGTCTAAATCATCGCCCAAAGATATTGAGGACCACTGTTGGAAACCGATGAGGGAGACGCATACAGAATTGTCTATTGGCATAGCCTGTGAAGACCAGGAGTTTATCATAACTGATCGCGGTTATGGGAATTTGGACGACGTCGACCCGTAAGTCCCCAGGCTATCCTATTTGATTCTCATGTTAAACGGTTCTGTGTTATATATAGGGATGGTTCCTGCGATAATTCGTACCATCTCTTTTTCCCATTGACGCCTACGGTTGCTGTCTATTTAGTGACGACAGCACCCTCGTTGTCATATGGATCCCTTTCGCTCATCCAGTTAATGCTCGAGGATGTTGGTGAAGGATCAGTGAAGCGCTCTCGTGAGGTGGGCGAGGATGGCTTGGAGGATGAAGAACCTATTCTGAAGAAATTACGCGTTGGAGGCGATGTGGGAGAAGATACCGATACCCAAATTGTATGGGATAAATCAACTGCGGGGTCAAGTTCTTCGCAAGCGAATTCAAGTGCGCGCGATCCTTCTGAGGTGCTGCCGAAGAAGAGATCATGGGACTGTCAGCAAGATGAGGTCGATGAAGCTCCTGACAGGAAGAGGCTTCGATTGACAGAGCGTGAAGACTCGGAAGGCATCAGCGAGAGTGATTCCGACACTCTCTGCGATTCGCCTACAATCTCCATCTCCTACGAAGCCGAGTCCGTCGCAGACGTACACATGCGCAACGCCATCCTCCTGCGCACCTCTCCTCGATACATACTATTTTCATCCCTTCCCTCTCTGATCACCTCCATCACCGCCCTCACCTCAACCAACGCCAACTTCGATTCCTTAAGCACGGATGGTCTTCCTCTGAGTACCAGTCTAAGCAGACTGAGAACACTCTGTCGGAAGAAACATATTCGGGAAGGACTGATGAAGACGTTGGTGTTGAAAGGGGACATGACAGTGACGGATTTGACGGACGATGTGAAGGTATGTGGGGAATATCCAGAGTTACATGGCTCATTTGCGGATATTTGGAAGGGGGAGTGGAATGAGAAAGGGTTGATGGGTGTCGGGGGCATGAAGAGGATTGTAAGTACAACTCCGTGGCGACTGTACTCTGCAGAGTACGCTCGTTGCGGATGGGCTAATGGACCGTCGCCTTCTCAGGTCGCGTTGAAAGTACTACGACAACATATGAAGAACAATGTCAAGGAGAAGCTCCTAAAGGTACGCCCTGCACCCATTTCCAATTCATCAGACAACGTGTGTCAACATTGGCATAAAGCGGCTCAAATATGAGGTTCTCACCTGGTATCGCCTCCGGCATCCGCATATCATCCAATTCTATGGGATCGTTCGATGGCCGCAAACGCTCGCCATGGTATCGCCGTGGTGTAAGAATGGCACTGTTGTGCAATACCTAAAAGAGATCAATCCGGACGCTGACCGGCTAGCGTTGGTGAATATATCTATTCACATGTCTGGACATCGAGCTGAATGATGAGTACTTTGGCTCAGATTGCCCAGATCGCATCTGGCGTAGCGTACCTGCACAATTTCGAACCCGTGGTTATTCACGGCGACCTAAAAGGGGTGAGCTAAATCTAGGGTTTTCGAGATCATTTTGATTGGCTGGCTTACGTACTAAGAACAACATACTAGTTGACGGAGCAGGTAGAGCGTTAATCGCAGATTTTGGTGTCTCGAATGTCATCGAAGACTTTGCTTCTTCAGGTTCTGGGTCGCTGGCAGAATCTCTACTTGGAGGGGCTGTTCGCTGGATCGCGCCAGAGATCATACATATCCTAGTGCAGGACAATGGCCGTGTGCCAGAGTTGACCAAGGCTAGCGACGTTTATGCCTTCGCTGCTGTTTGTCTGGAGGTGAGTTGACTTGGATTATTGGAAAACCCTCTTTTTGAGTCTATCTGACGGCGACGTTGTCAGATCGTAACAGGCAAATTGCCATACCCTCATCGCAGCAATGCATGCGTAGTCATCATTGATAAGATGGCCGGTGTCAAACCGTGCTATGGTGTATCTCGGACGCTGCAGTCCTGTCCAAGAATGAGCAATCATACACGAGAAGAGTTCTGGGCCATGTTGGACCATTGTTGGAAGGACTGCGACCTGCGACCCAGTATGTCTGAGATGGAGGCATTTTTTACTGGCTTGGCGAATGCAGAGCAGCAGACATCCGGAGTCTAGTATGTTTATACATGGAGTGCCAGGTAAGACACACAGAAAATTTGCGCCTACGATTTCGCTGACGGCGAACATGTCTGAATATGGCAGGGAACTGGCGTGTAGTCATCGTGGCTAAGCTCGATGGTATGAGCCTATCCTGTGGGTTCTATAAGATGACGACGGGGATTACTTCAGTGCTGGTAACGGGAGCTGCCGCGTGCTTTACTGTTAAGATGACGGTCGACAGTGAAAAGGCAGCAACAAGAGATTCTGATGGAAATGAATATTATCAAAGTGCCGCTTCACGTTGGGCGGATCCTTTTCTTTCTAGCGTTCATCAAAGCGTGCAATGCACTGCGCGTGTTAACCTGCTTGATTCGGACAAAAGACAAATGAAGTCCCGAATGGCAATCGATTTCTTGGACAGGAGGCGAATTTGACCAGAAAAAGGACATGCTTGAACCCAAGTTTGAACCCGTTGAAATGTTCTGCCGCCGGTCTGGAGGCTAGAACACACACTGAACAGCCTGCCCTGAACCCGTTGAAAGATCACGTGAGGCCGTTGAATGGATGAAGCCGGGTTGCCGGTGGGGCGTGTGAGTCATGGTGCAGCGCCGAAGACGTGGCCGGTCGCCCACTTTCTTCGTTGACCGGCCGCTGCCAGCTTGTCGCCTCGCAATTTTTACACCGTCGAGAATCCGGGTGCCAGATTGAGAGGGTTCCCCACTAGCTACCGCCACCGCCTTGGTTCTTGCTGCCATCGATTGTCCTGTCACCGCTTTCCTCGTTTGGACTTCTTCTTTGTCGTGTTCCCATCCAGGTAACGTCAACCCATTTGCTTCCGGGATCCTGTCCTGATCATTGCCCCCTCTTATGGAAAAAAGCACTTGCTTCCGTGTCCCCCATTGGATCTCCCATTGATTCGCTTCTGCGCGCGCCCCGACGCCCCTAAACGGATTCGTCGCCATGGCCGTAATTGTCTCCAACATCGCACCATCCCATATCGGTGCTCCCCATCCGACACCCACCCCTCTCCAATTAGCAATATCATCTTCCACCGAGTTTGCCACACCCAGATCCCTCCATGGGATTGACATCGTTACCGCTGCTACTGTTCTCACACCATTGTCGAACCCTATCAGCGACCCAACAGCCAGTTCTGAGTATCGTCTGTCCACTAAACGCTCACACGATGACAGCGAGGACGACGACTTTAGTGTTGGTCCTGAGTCAAAGCGACTCAAGCTTGAAGGTAATGACGACTCTTTGTTCGTCCATGCGTTTCGTAAGCCTTCGCTCGCTAATGGTTCGCCACACGAGCTCACGATTATTTCCTTACAGAAAATGCTGCAATTATCACAAATGACGCTCAGTTCTTTGGCGTGGCCATCGATGATACCCTAACTCCCACTTATTATTCACTGCCATTCCAACCACCCTTACCCATCTCTGCCATTGCACCAGACTTCTTCTTTTCTAGCGATATTCCGCCAGAAACCAACGAGTTGCCGTTGTCTCCAGAGAGCTCTTTAGTTCCCGAGCAACATGTGGCGACTGCCTTCCAAGGCGAGTCTGCGCCCGAGGTACCCGTCGCTGACGATGAAGATGCCGAAGGTGAAGTAGACGATGAATATCCTATCCTCTTTCGTGCGACGCCTTCGATGCTGGGATACATCCCCATCGCGCACAGAAGGACTGAGCCGCCTCTTTGGAAGTCCGCGTGTCAAGCGCGTGTTGATCACATGTAAGCGGCTCTTCAAATCTTCCTTGTTTTTCCTATCTCTTCAATCTCTTGTAAGCCTTTGTGAGTTGCATGCCCAGCCGGCGTTATCGGGTGGACAATGGTATCTGTGACGCCCGACTCGTCTGGCTTACGCGGGGATCCACATAAAATAAGGTGCCCCCGCGTTGACACTAGTCTGGCAGGATATTCACTGCTTGCTTTCATCTTCGAAAATCAGTCAGTATACCACTTAAGGATGGTATGCTAGCTTGTGAATAGTTTGTGCCGGATTGGGACTGCAAAGTTTGAGCTTGTGTCCAGTTGCTTCCGAGGGGTGTCGTGGGCGGGCGTAGAGCGTGGGATGCCGAATCTCCACTTTCGCATTGCTCCATTCACTCTGGCTGTTTAAGTTTCTGTCCCACTCGTTCATCTTATTCATCGCCCCCGATGTCTCCTTATTCGGACGTAGTGCTAACTCTGTCTTCCCCATTAGTAAAGCCCTCTATGGCATCGAAGCCATCCGGGCAACAGTTGACCGGGAAGCTCGGGAAGCAAATGCTCAATTGACTGCCGGATCTCCCTCATCTCCGTCCTCCGAGGCTTCGGCTTCTCCGTGTTCATCTCCAACGACTCCTTCAGCAGAATTGACAGTGCATGACATCACTGTCATCCATCTCGAGGAGGCTTCTCTTCCTGAAACCGAGGCTCTCAAAGTCGAAATATGCACTCCCTCGGATTTCAGTAGTGTTGAACCAAAGATAGAAATGGAGTCCAAAGTGACAGACTCGGAATTGGTTTTGGCTGACGAGGATTCGATAATGGATACCACCTTTGACTGGGATGAGGACTCGGATGAAGACGACGACTTTGACTTTGACCTGGAATCCGAGGTTGACATCGATGACGCCATGACGAGCCCACACGAGTCCCTCGTCTCTTTCCCTGATATACCCTATACCTCGAATCAAACTCGGACATATACTCCGAACTTGGCCCTTTCACTCCTCCAGTTACCCAGACTCTCAGATATACCCGTGTACCCGTTTTACGGAGGATACCAGGAGATGGAGCCCCATGGAACCCCTGCTAGGAGACCCGACCACGCTGCTGGATCGCTACTGCATGCATGACAGCGTTAAATTCCCTTGCTAGAACTCGGAATCGGAAGAATATCTTTCTCATCGCTCTCCGTTCAAATCGTCGATTTTTACTCGACAAATCTCTATGCACTCAATTTTACCTGTTGGTTTCGTTCATATTATCATTATATCCCTCAATACCACCCAGGGCCTATCGCCCTTAGCAGGAATAACTGCGTATACAAAGATTCCCACAAATTCGCTGTCGATCTCCCCCCCAACTTAGTCGAGCACAGTTAGTTGTATTATTTGATATCCTCCCCTGGCATCTCTTTCTCTCTCCCCTCTCCTCTCCTATCGGTTATTAAGTAGTCGTTAGCTTTTTTCGCTGCTGCAGAATGTATTTGTATTGTTCACTTGTGTATATTGGATTCGTCTGAGCTGCGTATATCGCGTGGCGTTTTTCGTTGATGCTGGGTGGGCATGCCCTCTCAACGTGGTAATGTAGCTGCCCCTGGAAAGATTATGACAAATCGAGGTTGAAGCAAATGAGGAAGTATTCCTCTGCCAAGCTGCAGCTTGGGTTTAGACGCTCGCAGTCCTAGCAGCAACCACCACGACTCAGAAGCTTAAAGCCGTTGCCTTTTTTGGTATGTCCACCACCCGTAACGGAGCGGTGCCCTTTGTCAACGCTTGGATCAGCTACAGTAATACTTGCAGTACCGTTACGACAGATTCTTGACAATTAGAAAGGTAAACAATGAGGGACAAGTAAGTACTTTAGACATCAGCAAGTCTAATCCATTCCTAATTCAGTCAAGTACACGGCCGGACCTGAAAGATATGAAGTAAATTTCAATATTCAGGTCCGCGGAATAATAAGCCACACGATCGAGGCACTTGGATGCACGAGATAAGAAGCCATCGCGCAAGGTCTTTTGTTCCCTTCACCATTTCGGGACGGGAAATGTTGCGCAGACTTGTGGGGAACCCGGAAATGAACTTTGCGACGGGCGCCGAGCACATTGGATACATGGTAACAATCACAAGGGAGGTCGGAAGAAAAACGTTCCAAGCGAGATGAAGTCTCCATAGTGGTACAAGTGAGATACATTATATAGCTTACCATAGGGGCACGCGGACTTGGAGCAGTGGACAAAAGAATAAGATGCCAAGCCGAGAATGAGTGATACGGTGCGTGCGATGGCGCGCCCTGTAGCCCCACAGTATCAAATGATGATTGACAGAAACAGAAAAGTCTCTACCACGGCACATAGTTAATGCAAGGCCTGGTTGTAGTCTGTCAGATAAGTCAGGCAGAAACACGGCATACAAACTAGAGGTATCCTGGAGCGTGCAGATGAAGTGCAGGAGCCTGGAGGCGATGTACCTTAGAATAACCAATGCGTATGTGTAACGGGACCTTCTGACCGTACTTGGCTCCTCCTATCCCACTTGGTAGGGCACGAGTCAAAGATCATCCACGTTGCAAAGACAAGACCACAGCCCCTCAATCCCAGAACGTGTTACCGGAAAGCTTCAGAGTCCCCGAGAAAGCAGTGGAATATATTCGAAGAAGCAACCAAGGACCAAGACACGTTGGCCTCACAGAAATACTTTGCAGAAATCAATGCAGCGTCTCGGTCCTCGTGCGAAGTGGGTGGATCTGACAGAACTTGAATGGCGCGGAAACTAGACCGATATTAATTTGTCAAAGTCAAGTCAGGGACATGAGCAGAGAAGTTAGCCACACACCATTTGTATTCATAAGATGTCGTCTTGGAGAAGAGCATCGTATGTTCGCAGCAACAGGCAAGCTCCGGAATGAACGTATCGTCGGGAGGTATTAGAATAGAATACACTGGGAAATTTATAGGCAATATGGAGTGGCTCTGCCCATGTGTATCAATTGAATCCTATGTCAGATACAGAAGATCATATGGACAGGTTTATCTTCCCGAGCCTGTTCCCTCGAGGCGAACACGTCGAGGACTTGGGAGGATGTATTCAGCTGATCCACGTGTTTCGATGCTTCAGACGGCTGGCCTCCTGACTGAAGTGTCAAAAGCAAGTATGCTTTGACACAAAAGACCGCAGAATGTCCGCACAAACCACATGTTGCGTTGCAGGCAGCGTTCTGCAGAACGATGCACGAGGACAAGTCGAGTTTCCTGTTTGGAGGCCTTGTAACGTGTGTTGACGCCTTTGCGTCCCGAATTGGCATCCTCTTAAGCTTTCTAATTCGTCAAGAAGCCGAGATTCAAACGCCAATATGTTCATTTGTTGAGACGCATGCGCAGCATACGATACACAGGCACAGTATTGGGACAACGTGGAATGCAACATCGAGGTATGACCAATTCCATGAACATGTAGGTACAGATTATGAAGTACAACCGTGTATGCGTACAAGTGTTTCTACAAATACCAGTAGTACGTATCAGGGGTATGATGGATTACACTAATAACACATGCATGTCCGCAGGGAATCGTGGCTAGTAATGAGGGTGGTAGCACAATGAGTGGTATCAATAATCGTCATAAGTGTCTTAGGAGAGTGGGAGCAGGAAAAAGAAAGCATCATGAATGAACTAAACCGATGTCAAGGAGACGAGAAAACATGATGTATGCAACAGAACCAAGGAAAATGTTGAAGAAACATTCTTCAGAAACCGAAGACCGACTTGTGTGAGGACGCAGTCGAAGGCAATCCCATTGCATCCGGAGCCCAAGGCCAGCTCTAGGTTTTGGAATAAGAATGATGTCAGAAAAAAAAAAGACTCGGAAATGAATGTACTGCGACTGCAACTCACCCTGTGCGTCTCGGCATCGCGCTTGGAATGTGTCATCCAGCTCTGACGACGAGTCGTTCCATGATTGGTCAGACCCAATGCATCTGAGTCTTCTTTACTCTTCAAAGTCACGCTAACGCGTCGGGCATGACCTGAACGTTGATGGACAGGTGGGCGATACGGGAACTCATCGAGCCCAGTAGCATCTTTAGTAGGGGTATCGTCAACTTTGACGTCACCAGAGGGGATGGGAGGACGCATTCCTGCGTAACGATTGGCATCCTCAGACGACGTGCTGGCAACGGAGACCATAGGGACAACTTGTCTTGATTCATAGACGGGAGAGCGGAATGATAAAGATGCATTCGAGTATGGAGAATAACCGGAAGGAACGCTCGCTGCCGTAGGCGAGTAGTGAAGTGGGAATTGTGGACTGCGTTGTGGGCCTGTAGAAGGGAGAGGCGGTTGTGGCGCAGAGCCCTCTTGAGCAACGGGGAAATAAGTCGTGCCATGAACCTGGACGGTTCCGGGGGGGATGGGCTGAACCGGTGATGTTGGCTGGGCCTGCTGTGACACTGAGGCTTGAGTAGAGAAACCGGGAATCCTTGGAATGAGAGGTTCCGGATGCTTGAACCTACACATCGGACCCTTGGAGCAGTTCGGCCAAGCAAGACACGGAGTGTGGGGTATGACTGCGTATAGAAGAGTAACAACTATGAGGGTGAATCATGTATAGCAGAAGAGTATATTGCTTACAGAGCTCCATGGAAGCCGGGTGAAGGTATGGGCAATCCTTAACACGACACATGCCTTGCACGTAAGCCCAGCAGTGACTTTGCTTGCTTCCGTTCTTTCCATTGGACATTCCCTTGGTCGCTCGATGTGATTGACTACGATCGGGATAACGAATATCGTTCTGAGCATGTGCTGCAAGCTGCAGATCGTGTATGCTACAAAGCACGTCAGTACATCAAGTATGCAATAAAAAGGGGAGACTCAACGTACTAGCCGCAATCCTCACCAAGAGGACACCAACCCTGGTTCTTGATAAAATGTCTACAAAGGGTTGTTCTCCAGGAAAGAGGGCGGAACTGCGGGGGACGCGCGGCATTAAAAGTAGGCATCGTTGGGGTCATCTGATAATTCCAGTTGTAAGGATAGCCCTGAGGAACCGCGGCCGTTGGTGAGGGTAGACCCCACGGCATCGCGGGGGCTGAGAGAGAGAAAGGAGAATTAGGACTGAAGCTGTTGTGTACACCCTGAAAGCAGAAGAGGTTATTAGGGACGACAATAAATTCAATGAGAGCCGAGCCTCATTCACTCACCAGCATCGGCGGGCTCTGATGGATCATGGAGAACGTCGGGTTAAGAGGAATGTAGTCCGAGTGTATATACTTGCATTGGTCACCCTGTGGACAGTGGCCAAGGGCATAGTTGCGACATAGTTTAGCTACAAGGAACGGTCAGAACCTTTGAATTTTAAGGAAAGCAGGGAAGTCACATACTTCGTCGAACGGCCATGGTAGAGTAGAGAGCGTTGAAGACTCGACGACGATCACTTGGCCTTATACGGGTAGAGAGAAGAAAAGCAGGGACAGGCGCCTGGGTTTTTATCGACGGAGCGGTCAAAGAGTCAAAAGGAACTTGGTCACGGATTTGGCCACCCGCACGTGAATATCACGCGAGATACAAAGCTTTGATACTTTGTTATCACTGCGCAGAAAAGAGAAGCATACAGATAGGCCATCGTATTTATGAGATGCTGGGTGGGGACAATAAGTGTCAACTCGGAATTGGAAGTCAGTCGAGGCAGTGGCCAACGCGAGGCAGCCTGGCCTTGAGAACATCCCGTGCGAGACGAGAAAAATAGCTTCGAGTCGGGAAAAACAGCAGTGAACAGCCATGAACATAGAGAGGGGAACAAAAGCGTCATTCACCTTGGGGGTTGCTCTCTAATGCTCTGCTGCACACCACCAACACGCCGGTACCACGACTTACAGGTGCGGTCCTGATCAGGACATTTTGAGAGCAGCCGCTTACATAAATGATCCGGCCGGTTCACTCCGAACCACCGACGACAAAAGTTGGCCAGTTTGACAGCGGACTTGTGGAACCAGCGAGTTGGCCCATTGGAAGGCGGTACCTTGAGGCTTTGAAGCTTTTTTTGATCTGGATGCGAAGAATTGTGTCAACACAGGGTATGGAAGGTTACAATCCACTCACGGCGGTTCGATCCCATAGTGATCGATAAACCAAGGAATCGATCGCCTGGAATTGTGCTGAACTACAAGAATGGGAGTTTGAAAGATGTTCTTTCAAATTCGTGTTATTACCCATTCCTGACAGTCAAACGTTCGGTTCGTGCCCTATTTTGTCACAGGTCAGACCGATCACCAGGACTTCTCTGATAAGGTGCCCTGCCCTGCCAGTGCCCAATGACACGATGATATCGTCTTGCAAGAGAAATCAGAGACGACTCAGACTCAACTGAAGAGGCATTGCTCACCAAGCCTATGAACAACGTTGAAAGTGAAAAGTATCGGCCAACTCCACACGTAATAAAGTTAATAACTCGGATGGCAGATCTGGCCATGCGGATGATAGCATGAATCATGAAACAGAATACAGCAATGATAAAAGTACACAGCGGGAAATTCCGCTCGCCGTTCTAAGAGAAAGAGAACTATAGAATATACTAATGATGCTATTATATTCATGCAGGCAAACGAAATAAGTTAGACGGTCAGTTGACTGGGTAGATGAGAGTGCGGCGGCATGGGGCTCGAATGCAAGGAGTAACTTGGTCTTGAGAGAACAGCCATGCTGGGGGACGGAAAGGCGGCAGTGTAGCGAAAGACGGGGGAACGCTCATAATCCTCGCTACCGCTGTGGCGTTTGCGTGGAGAGTGCGAGGCAGGATTCTAGTGAAGTTTAACAGTACATCTAGTGGCTATGGTCATTCAACACACCTCATAAACCGACTGCCCTAGCAAAGAAGAACAATGAGAAAAATCGTCTCTCCGCATATAATGGAACATTTGCATACCTTGCGGCATTTCCCAACTGCGAGAATGTTTTCGAGTCATGCCACTGAAACGAGCGTCGTAATCCTGCGACTGTGAGGAGGAAAATCAACAACACCTTCCGATACTTGACAAACTAAAATTACCTCAACGCTGGTGCCCACAGCAGATGATTGGGAGCGGGGTCGAGAAGACTGAGTATGATCCCAATGATCATGGACATCCTGCCGTATGATGCTGCTCGAGGCGCTGATCAAGAAAATGTCAACTAAGGCGCATCTAGTAAACTGTATTTCAAGGTCAGGATACCTTCGTTGTCTCTGCTGTTGATCGACACTGCTCTGCGCAGTTGTACTGCTTAAAGAGATCCCTGCAGATTCTCGTGACGTTGAGGCACCGTTGGAAGTAATTTCGGGGACTATCATATGGGAGAATAAATAAACGCCCTAGTCAAGAATAACAGAAACATACCTTCAAGTCCCATCGCGCGATAAGCATCTACCAATGACGACACTGCAGTTCGTATTAGTCGGGGATCCGATGAGTTCGGCCAGGACTCACTAAGAGAGTCACGATGTTCCTCTGCTTCAGTCACAGCTTGTCGAGCTCGTGTCTCTGCATCAAGATAGGCCTTATATTTCGAAAAGGCCTCAGTTGTGTCCCTCTGTGCTCGTGCCAGTATTGCTCGGGCGTTCCGAAGAGCCCGCTCTGTAATCAGACATGAATACAGGAAAGCAACACAAGAAATGAAAACGTACGACTTGAATGAAGATCATTGAGAAGGTTCTGAGAGCTTTGGGCGCTCGCCGTTGGGGGAGGAGTCTCAAGTTGATCCTCCATCGACTCGTCTAGAGGATGTGTAAGCGTCGAAAGGACCTTCTTCTTATCAATAATAGATACGAACCTTTATCATCAGCCCAGCTGGTGGAGGCGGGAGTGGAGCTTCCTTCGGAGGAGCCTATCTGAGAGTAGTGTGGTACTCGAGGGGAACCGCCCTCAAGGTATGCTTGGCGTAGCCGAGGGTTGTGTGGAATGCGGGCAGCTTGTCGTTCGATGAATTTTCGGAGGAACGTGAGCTCTAGGTGGTCGGGCATAATGTAAGGAGGACCTTGTATCTCGCCCTTCTGCATGAGCAACTCAAGGTGAGTCATAACCTTGTCCTTGAGTTGCTGAAGCCATTCATGAAGCTCCATGTGGTCCTGATCGGCGCGAGCATCGTAGTCCTGCCGACGTCTGGCCTTACGCCAGTATGTTTTCGTGAGCTTCAGAGCATGGTTCACCTCCGCGTCCAGGGCACGATACCACTCTGTTGCTTGACGATTAAGACGAACAGCGAGAACGCCAGGTTGGACCCTGAGTTGAAGTACGGCGCGACCCTCGCTATCAGGAGCACCAAGGACACCTTTTTGGCCTTGGTTCCCGCGAGTCGCACCACGAGAAACGTTTCCTAGCTCGGGCCAGGGCAAGTCGTCGTTCATCATGTCGAGGAAGTGCTATACACCGGAGTGTTGGTTTAGTGAGGATATACAGATACGATCCAGTGGGGTAATCAGACTGACTTGATCTTCCAAGGGCGGCCTTTTTGTAGGTTTGGCCAGGCGGCCCTGTGGGAGCAGATATTTGCTTCTTCGGTATTCTTGATGATGGCAAACTTTGAACACTAAAACAGCAGTTTGCAATGGCAGCGTGCACCGCCGGCTGCGACATGACGACGGTGTCGTGGGTCATGGGAATCACACCAACAGGGGCGAAGTCACAGAATGGCCATGGCCAGATGGTCTTCAACTGACTATCTATCGAAGTGGAAATTGGTCCGCATCAACAGATTCATTGACAAATATTCACACAATATGATCGAACGCACCTACCATTTTCGGTCGATAGTGGATCACTGGATTTTGGTAAGACGCCGGCCTGCAACCAAAGTTCTGATTGTTTGGAGTTGGAGACAGTCCGTTGATAGTAAGTACGGACATTGACAGATTGTTACCCCGAAAGTATGCAAAAACACCAATGGCTATGCGAGTTTGTTCAGTAGTGGCAATCTAGATCACATCGACTCGGACTGTGAGGTTAGACCTTCAACATTCATTTACATGAATGGCAGAGATCATTTCGGCCGCCTTTGGGGACATAAGCCATCACTGCCGAGCCGTCATATCTTGACCGGGTCCCCCGATAGATATAGGTCCTGTCAGTAAAAAAGTTGCGTTGTTCACAACTCACAAGTCCTGATGTCTCCATCAAGGATTCATCAAAAGATCAAGAAGAGATTGTTGATGATGGGCCCATTAACTTGAGTGAGAACGAACCAGACAGTGTATTCTTGTATTTGCACTGCCTTTATTGAAAATGTTCCGAACCTAACCCTACAAATTTCACGAATGAGCCGGATTGTCACAAGCCGAGGTGCATTTCTACAGTACTACATCCATTAGTCTAGGAATTTTTAACAATAGATATCCACTTATCTTCCGCTGGCATAATGTTGTGGACAGTGAACACGAAGGTGCAGAGCCATAACTCGTATGCCCATGTCCACAATCTCTTGAGCGGCGTCTGAGGAGGAGCTGGTGCGTGCTGAGTATCGACTTCATTCCTAACACTGTTCCGACTACTAAACAGAGCTCCAGACTGTTGGACTCAATGGTGTATAAGCAAAGTGGATGGATGCCGGAACCGTAAGTGCGAATCGATGCAAACTATATCTGACTGCGTTGCGAGCTCAGTTAAGCGGTGTTAGTAGGATCTAATCTTGAGTACTTACGTCGCATCGACTTCCTGGCACATAGCTAGGACATCGCCAGAACATTCAAACGTCAAGGTGCTACGTGATTTTTTAATCCGCTTCGACGCTGGCACAAATTTGGAAATGTAACTATGCATTCTCACTGGAATGCACAGTATCAATAGCCCTGCGTAGTGAGCGTTGCAAAGCGTAAGGACACTTTGAATATGTTCGGCAACCGTAGCTGACTTTGTGCATCACTATTCAAACTCGCGCGCATCCGTATGAGAATAAACAGGACAAAGAAGCTGAGAACACGATATCAGTAATACTTGATGGACTCACAGTGTGGAGAGACTCACCAAAAATAGAGCGACAAGACGGAGCTAGTTATCGGTGGAATACTTGAGTGCACCGATTGTCATGGTCACTCATTCACATTCCTACGTCATTCAGACCTGCATTAATAGGCGGCCGACAGAACTACCTGTGGGGAGGACCGCAACACAGTCGACTAGAGAGCTAGTAAGAAGTCCGCAAATGCATAGTCTAACTCACAGGCCTCGTCCATTGAACATTTTGATCTAACAGATTTGATCATTGAACCCAGCGAGATCGGCGGAATACGTCCAAAAATCGTGGTATTGGACGCCGTCTCACTAGAAATAGGCGGCTTGAGTTGATGAGGTCACGCAATTCCAAGCGCATCATGAGGACAGGCATCAGGACAAATCCGTTGAGCAAGATACCAATTGCCTGGAGTTGCGCGACTTCTTGCGATAACCTCGGATAGTACGTTGGCGAAATGAAAATCCTGCACATAGGCCTGCTGACAATCCACGGCGGCTATGTCGAGAAAATAACCTGTCCTTAAATGGCGGCCGTACTTCGTCTATATCCGGGCCCGACCGTAATGTCTGATTGTGACAAAAGTCGATACAGCAAATGAAGCGCCAATTGATCAATCCCATCATGTGGGAGATAGGAGATCCGGAACAGGGGTAAGAACCAAGGGCGCATTGGAAGTAGATGTCGATGCGCTTGGGGAAAGCTCGGTCCACTGCGCACGTAAGTCAGCATACATCTTCCAGCCCGCAGAAATCAGACTGGCCGATAGAAATGGGAAGCGGTGTACTTCAGATAGGGAGGTGAAGACTCAATAGCAAAGAATGAGCCGTTAAGCACAGAATCTTGGACATCCAGAAAGCAAGGACTACCACTTGTGTTAGAGCCATTAACCATGGTACCGTACCCACTGATTACTGGAAATCACCAGAAAAGATGAAGGCATGATTGATTCGTCTTTGTGTCCATGCTGCAGAGGGCGGCGTTCTTCGCAACACAATATTTTCCGAGTTCCCCAGCTGACATTAGCAACTCTGGGGCTGATAGAACAGAGTTCACACATCAAAAACTCGCGATTGAGTTAATTCGCAGGTGTGAGATACCCAAAAATCAAATCTTGTGCAATAGTCTGGCACAGCACCATCCTAATGAGTTTCCAAGAGACGACAATAAGGCTGAAAAGAGACAAAATCAGTGATATCATTTGAAGCTAAAGCCTGTTACTAGACACGCGCCTATAAAATCGTAAAGGCGGGAGAATTGTCCGGCGCCCGAGTGTATCTCTTCAATACACCTGGGCAACAAGGATTTAGAGGGACATGGGCGACTATGCAGGATCTTCATGCCGATAGTGAAGACGGGCTAAGGTAAGCTCCAAACTCAGGACACATCATCCATCTTGCAACAAGCCAAGATCAGTGCAGATCTTGAAACATATTGTTGAAACCTGTAAACATAAGGAGAGACGACGGACTTCAGGACACTAAGACAGGCAAGGATAAGTCAACAGGGCATTGCAAGGTGGACAAGCTTTCGGCCTTGGGTATGAACGTATATTTGTTACCCCGTGATATTCGCTCGACGGCAAAGGAGAGGTTTGAGAAAAAAACGGTTTGTAGTTGGTGGTCATGCGTGGTATGAGGTGTCAAAATACCATACATCGAACTTGGACTTTTTAATTTCAGACTCAGCGATCGTTTATCAGCCGCGAAATCTTTGATTCTCCGATCGATTTCTTATGCTGAGATGGAAAGCTATCCTGTTTGGGAACCTATATCGTGATCACATTGAACTCCACCATCCCGCCGATACTAGTAATCCTGTAAGGCCGGGCCACTGTTCGTGGAAGAATCATTTGGGACTACCTTTGTCTCATATAAGTCTTGGTGACTACTGACACGTAAGGTGTTTTCTATTCAATCCCTTGTTGAAGGAAAATATTCAAAATATGTAGTATTTCAGATGACCACAGGCAACACGTCGTTCGAACTCAGTACTACTGGATTCGCCTTGCCGCCATCTCCACGAGATGAGGTGTCGGGTAGTACCTCACAGGAAGTTGACTCTGACTGGGCAGGAACTCTGCTCGAACCTGCAGCAGAAGATCTGACAACAGATGTGTCAGCCTCCGAAACTCAAATGTCACAGTCAGGAGCCAGCCATGAAGATGACACAAATGCCCATTCCGCTATTCGGAGTAATCACGAAAATGAATCGTTGCAAATTTCACATGGTCCAAAGCGCAGCAAAAGATTGAGACTAAACGATTCTGTCGATGCTGAGCAGCACCCAGCTACGGGTCCTTCTCAGCTCCACGTCGGACCTGATGCACCCCGTAAAAGGATGAAGATTGAAGAACAGGGTCATGAAGCAGATAACAGTCTCTACGATTTCCATGCAGCTTCAGCGAGTTCTAGTGGGATCGAGCCCGGGCTCCTAACTAGTTCGCAGCCAATCAATTCCACGCGCAGTGAAAGTGACCCTGGCACGAGTCTGGAAGGTAGCATGGTTGTCCCTGAAAGTGGTGACCCGGCGGATTCGGCCTCTCACTCTCACCCTTCTCCGTCTACAGCGGTTACACCTGATCGAGAGGTGAATATTGCTCATCCAACCCCCGAACTAGCAGATTGTTCATCGCTACCTTGACACCTTGTACAGCCTACTCATACAGACGCGAAATCAGAGGGAAATTCCTCAACTAAGGTTCCGGCAGAACCTCTGTCGAACTACACTTGTCCCATCTGCTTTTCACCGCCAACCTATGCTACCATGACACCTTGTGGTCATGTTTGCTGTGGTGAATGTCTGTTTACTGCCGTCAAGACAGCCATGCAGCGTGCCGCTTATCATGGACCAGCTGCTGAGAGAGCTAAGTAAGTCACTGTATTCATTTCGCTGCATCTCTTCTCTGATCATCATTATTCCTCGATGACTGTTGTTTCCGTTGGCTGTTTCTCCATACGTCTTGAACTCTCTAACTTCATTTCCTCCGGATCTCACTGTCCGAAGATGTCCCGTATGTCGTGCACCCATTCCTGGTTGGGATGGGCGAGGAGGTGGAGTAATAGGACTTCAGCCCCGTGTCATGTATAAAGTCGAGAGTCCTCGTAAAGCTCGATGAGTCCCTTACATTATGCACTCAGCACCATTATGGTCGTATCACTTGATGGCCGCTAGCCCTGACGTGAAAATTCCCCAGGCACCCAACAGCTTGGTGGAGGGTTGTTTGTTTGCCACGATGATCGCGGATCCTATACCAGTGCACGTAACTTCTTTCAAACCGCTTCTCCACTTCCTGATAGTGTTTGCACGGCCGCCCTCTGTAAGTTGCGAAGTCCTGTTGCTATCGTCGACATCACATCTATCAGTCAAGGTTGACGCCGCGAAATCTGAATGTAGAAAACACAGAAACGATATGAATACAGTGAGAGCGAGGTGCATTGTGTAGAAGCTACACGATAAGTTTATCTCGAACTAGCCATACCAAGAAGGAAAGACAATCTCCACATTCCACCCCATTGTTCGTTCATCAATCATCCTTCTTTGGAGCATGACCATTCCCCTTTGCGCTGCTATCCCTCCTTGGTGGAGGTGGATGTAAAGATGTAAAGCCAGGGGAAGTTGGCAGCGGTGAACGCGGGAACCCATTGACGCCGCCATTACTCGGGTTCGGGGTCGGAGGGAAATGCGAGTAGTTCGATGATGCAGGTGACACAGGCCTATAAGCCGGACTCAGGGTCGCAGCGGTTGGAAAGCCGGTTGCCATCGAACTCGCAGGTGCTGAAGGAGGGACGCGTGGAGAGGGACCGAACGAAGGAGAGTTGAGGCCTAGACCATATCCTGTCGCTGGGTTCGGACTGAGACCCACTACTGTTGATGGGGAATGTGCCCCATTGGCAGAGAAAGGACTAGAAATGTATGGTGATGGTGGATGCGAGAAATTACCGGTGACAGGCGTGTTGGCATAACTGCTATAAGCAGAGCCACCACCTTCGACAGCCCATCCTGAGCCCTGTCTGACTACACGTGAACGAAGTTCACCTCCTCCCCATTTCTTGCGAAGACCGCCTACTCCCGAAGCTTCTGCCGCGACGATTCCGGGAGTTTTATCTGCACCTGTCACGACGTCTACTGCGCGAGTGCCAACCCTAACAGCATATCCCATGCAGACGAACACGCCGCCAATGACACCTACGCATCTGATATGATATTGAATCGTGTGAGGACATGAAAGATATTGGTAATCAGGAGGGAGAGTTTGCTCACCTGATGAAAAGCTGTATAAAGCTTGTTGTCCGTTGGTGAATGGTCAACTTCAGTGGCTCAAGGTCAAATTTGAAAAATATTCCTGGAACACCTCGATTGTGTTCCAATATCCGTGTATAGTGAGTCACACTGTATTGATGTGTGTTCAGAGGTTTCGACCGTGGTGCGATATACGTCGTTGGCACAACGTGTAAGAAGTACTGGTACGCCACGAAGGCTATAGAAGACAAAATTAGAGCGAACACCTTCTGTTACATACGCTTTGAAACAACTCACGTTGATCGGTTAATTCGAAGGAATTGTCTAAGGGTTGTGTGATGTCGGGAAAGTATGGACCGAACGAGAATTCAGTGATCACATGTGAGAGATTCATCACTGTTGAAGTTTTTGAAAGATGAGGAGTGCGTACAGCAGCATGATAAAGTGGTTGCATTGACACTCACACTTGTGGTCAACATGCTGAGCGCTAGCGTAACCATGACCAAGGGTCGTGATGTGAAGATTTGCTGAAGGGATTCAGTGCATGTGTGAGCAACGCTGCGAAATCTGAAGAAGTTGCAGATGTCTAATCACCTGTCACTTTCTTCACCGGAATTGTACCGTAAACTCTGCAAGCAGTACCAGACGGCTGATAATTGTACGTAGGCATGTAGGCAGGCTTGGATTTACGGAAGAATGCGTCAAAAAAGCCTCGAGAATTGCGCGACTGCGCGACTGCCTGTTGAGCAGACAACGCAGCCGCATGCTCCTGAAGTGTTGTAGCCTGTCCAACGTCAAACAAGGTGCCATCTCTACGGAAGCCGTCGCTTAGATACAGTCGGTCGCCGACCGCATCTCTCAGATCCACAGACAGAACTAAGGGAAACTCGGTGTCAGTGCAGTGCTCTACTTTCCGAAGTGGTTTCGGGCCCGAGAAAAATATCAGTGCGCATGGGGTGTCTCGAAGCTGACACACGAATTAAGCATAAGCCACAACCACCCATACTTGCATAACACTACGCACAAAAGGATGGTGATGGCCTGCGAGGCTACAGCAGTTGCATTACACTGCTCCCGCAAACCCTGAGTAACGACGCTTGGAGCTGTGACTCACATTGACAAGGCATATTGACCACCAGATCAACATTTATGTCCATGTCGTTCCCTGCATCTGGATCCACGCTAAACTCATAATCCGGCCATCCCCAAATGTATTCACTGAGATCATTGACGACCAGTAAGAATGCCAGGAAGCCGACAAAGAGTGTCAGAAAGCCCCTAGACTCTGACCGTGCTCTATACGTCGACGGTAGCTTTGGAAAAGCGTCATACTGAGCTAGAGGTGCCGGAACGAGTTCATCGAGTTTGTCCAAGAGCGAAGGTGACCCTGGTCGATTTGTCGTCCTTGGAGATGCCATTTTGACCAGACCGATGAGAAATAGCCAGGAGGAGGGGGAAGACGAGAGATACCCAGATGGGCTTATAGCGTTGCCTAGCCTGCCAGCACAACGGAAGAAATACTGGAAAACTGGAATAGTGAGACTCAAGAGCCGCCTGACGTGTCCTCTATCGTGTATCGAGCACGTGCAGCTCATCACTTGGACCAATCGTGAATGCACAAAGCCTCAATGACATCGTATTTCACCGAGGATTCTGTACAACTTCTCTTTTCCCCCGACCAGAGGAAATTTTCTCTTAAGCAACTTTTTTCTTGGGCCACACATAAGTTAGAGGAAATTGACGTAGGGCATAAGCTTGAAACGTTGGCGCTGACCGATCGATGTTGCACTGACCATTTCGTTCTAATCTCGCAACAGTATATTCGACAATGGCAAGAGAGGGATCAACATATACTGCCTCGCCGAGCATCGTTTTATCCACAATAGCCAAATATCTACAGTATGTGCAGAACGGAACGGAAGCAAACCTGCAGTTGAGCCAAAACGGGTCGAGGGCGCATCAATGATCGAAACCGTCACGACTTGTCACACTCGCGTGTGGTCCTGTCACGTCTCTCTTTGAAGGACGCCGCGTTGACTCCTCGCAGTGACGCGTCGAAGCCTATGTAAACCCTTTCAAACAAGTTCATGACTTAACCGGACGTCCAGATGCGTTTTAGAGCAGACGTAACAACCCCGCTGACTTTTCTCCGTGAGTGTTTTCTTTTCTTTGCGCGCCACAACGACTTAGGATCGCTGTAGATGTGGTGCAGACTTTCAACAAACTGCAGCAGCGATGCATTATGAAGTTTACGCCAGAAGACATGCACATGATTTGCAGCAACGACATTAGCGAAGGTGGAGTACAAGTATGGTCGTAGGTTTAGTCTTCGCTTTATTTGATGTGTACGCATCTGGACTTGGAGCTCTATTATAGACAAATCAAAGTCGAATCGCTATTCACAGAGTACCGCATACAATCGAATGCAAACAACCAGATTACTTTTAGCCTATCAACCGATGCACTTTTAGTGGCGCTACGATCCGCCTCCTCCTACTCATCTAGCAGTGCCACCTCTGGAGCTGACATTGTCATGAAGTACATCATGCAACCAACTCTCACTGTCGGGTACCTGATTCCTTTTTGTTTAGACTCGCAAAGAAACAGGACCAGGCAGTACTTACTTTTGAAATCTCCGGACAGTCCCGCTCTGGAAAACCTGTTAAAATCACACATGATATACGAATTGAACTTATGCGCCCTGAAGAAGTTGACAAGCTCGCCGAACCCATGTGTCCTGAACCGCAGGTGCTCCCACTGGATCTATGATCACTTCAAACCGTTCCTTCTGACGTCCGCTGATACAGGTACAAATCATCCTTCCTCCACTGGCAAAGATGCGGACGGTCGTGGAACGCCTCCGTGTACATTCAGATTTGATACTTTTCGAAGCAAACAATTCTGGTTCCATACAGCTAACGGCCTCTAATGATACTGTCTCGGTGAAGGTGGAATGGCACAACCTCCGTAATCCGCCAACAGGTACGCCCCTTTCTCATCGTAAAGATGGTGTTCGCACGATCTGATCTAACGATACTGACAAATACCTCTGCATAGCCAAAGTACCTTCGAGTCAGGATCCTGAAACCGCTTCACAAGCGCTCAATGAACGCGACCCTGATGAAAAGCACGGAGTTCTAGTCGCTTTCAAGAGCTTCCAAAAATTCCTGAATAGTCATCAACTCTCCACGACGACAATTGCTTGCGAGTCAAACGATGTTTACTTCTAGTCAATTCTACTGATGATATTATTGCCTGCAGGTGTGTGCCGGAACCATGCACTGATTCTTTACGTCTACATTGGCGAGGTCACTGATTCAGGAGGCGTCCTGACATTTTACTTACCGGCCGTCATTGATGGCGACTGACGTCAAACGACATGATCACATAACCGTATACCTCGAAACTCTGCTTGATACCCCACCCCTCTGTAGCTTCTAATTCGTACCGCTATACTACTACATTTGATGTTATATTATATACACTACTATCTCAACGATGCAAAGTCAAATCTGACCTGTCAAGATATGGGGCTTCAAGCCATCCGAAAATTTGGTAGGCATAATATGCCGCGATGTTCTGATCCAAGAAAACAATCGCAAACGAACGAACGGGACACGAAAACATCAAGAGTTCGAGAGGTAGAGAACCGATTACCGGTTGTCAAAGATACTCGGCAGGTCCTTCATCTCGAGCAAAATAACACCCGCCTCCTCCAATTCGGACTCGATCTCCTTTTCTACCTGCGCCGCTGGCGTGACGGCACCAGAACCCCAAACCTCCAACCTATCAAAGGTCGCATGCGCACCCTTAATCAAGAGCACATCATTTCCACGTTCCAGTGCCGAACTGCAGGTAGCTCGAATGCAGAAATCACTCTGCATGCCGATCATGACGATCTCTGCATCAGCAGGGATGAGTTCAGCAAGAGCAGTACCAGCAAAGGCGTTGTTCTTCCGTTTGTCGATGACGAATTCGTGTGGAAGTGGATCATGAACGAGTTGCCAACCTTGGGTATTTGGCTCATCGGGTTCGCCGCGATCCCCGTGGTTACGGACGAAGATGACTCGCGGTGGATGGGCTGCATTACGTGCTTGAGCGAGGATCCTGGCAATGTTAGGTCCGACGACTGCTGAGGCGGGTACTCCGAGCGGAGGTGGTGACAACATGAACTTCTGGACGTCCATTACGAGTAAGACTCGGCGAGGATCCCCATTTGGGTGAGGGATGGCACTGGGTGCGGGCACTGGCCTATGTTCTTCCGAATTCATCATGACGAGTCAATTGGTTTTGACAAGGAGGATGGACGGCCAAGTGGACAACTACTATACAGAAATTGAGTTGCTTGCTCACACCGGTCAATTTTGATCGTACCTGGTATATGACCCAAATACAGTGGTCTTTAAGGTAAGTCTCAGTGAGTGACTAAGGCTACGGTAGTAGCAATAGAACACTCAGACTGAAAAGGGGTGGAAAGAGGAAGAGAGTGGGTTGCCGCATGCATGCAACCTAGATAATCATGGAAAATGCCCCACGTGTCTTAACATCAATCGAGTCGATCAATCTCGCGTCTCTAAAGCTTCGGACAATTTCCTGCCTCCCTAAGCACTGTGCATGCTTTGAGGAGGGTGTTTCATAAATAAGATCATAGAAGGTTCTGTTGTACTTGTCGTTCAAAAGCATTTGCTTCATTCTCCACTCAACGGCTGAAACTTCCGCCGGCTTTCCGAACACTACAGTTTCCTGATTTGGCGTTTCATACAAGTTTCTTCGCGGAAAGGTGTTTCTCACGTGGCATTTTCCCAAGCGGCCTCGTGAGGATCGCGAGGTTCAGCTTTGGACCAGCTCCTCCGACTGAAGCTCACCGTTGTGCACGAATAATCTCCTTCTTTCGTTTCTTCGCTGTCTGGCAGCTCCCTTTTCATTATGCCGAGCCTCAAGACGGAGATGAGCAAGGTTTGTATCTTTTTATCGTCGATCGTGAACTTGTAGTACTGACAGACTCCGTGATCGGACGCCCTAGTGCAACAATTGCTTTGTGAGTGCAACGGAGAAACCACTTCAAAAGTGTGGTGGATGTAAGGTTGGAGGTCACTAGTTTACTTTTGCTTAAACTATGAAACCAACATTTTCGCTAGGCAGCGAAGTACTGTTCAAGAGAATGTCAGAGAGCCGATTGGAAAGCAGGTCTCCCTTGTGACGGAGTATCGGAGTCACTGCTAATATTTATGTTACAATGCAGAAACATAAAGCCGGATGCCAAAACAATGCAGAGCTTGAAAGGAGGCTGAAAGAGCACCAAAATACTCTGCTCGGAGCGATGCATCGTTTCATACTCCCTGACGGTATCACCATGTACGAACTCGATCAACGCCTAGAGAAGTGGGTTCGCTTTCATAACCCTATTCTCATGTGGGCGGCGATACACGCATTAGGTCTTCCAACGAGCCTATCAAATGCCCGGACTCTGGTTCTCTACGTCAAACTCAAGGCGAACGACCAAAAGGTCCATGGTGGTTCTCCAGCAAAATACTTCGCTATTGAAGAGGCATATGCTGTGCCTATACAAGAAGCTATGACGTGGGATGAACCCTGGCCAGAGTCTTTGTTACAGCTCAAGGGCTTGCAGGACCAGAGCGAGAGCCGGCGTCAAGGTAGCGTCGCTGCTGCCATGGTTGAGTGCAAACCCTTGGCTGTCCAAACGGTGCCATTCGGTTCACTCAAGGATTTGGGAATTCCGAGGGCCATCACAGGATGGAAAGAGATACTGGAAGAGCATGTTAGCCAGGGGAAGAAGATGTCTCTTCGATGATAATTACTGCAAACACAGGTGACAGCTTCCACTCAATGCGTCTCATACCATACCTACCATTCACTTCCATCTTGTTTCCGGGGTATCTTTGTACATACTGCAGCAACCCGCTTTCCTTGATTCAGCGGACAGCTCCACTTTTTAGACTATCATTTGAATTTTGGTGACAGGTTGAAGGTACGCAACGCGCTTATACTGACGTGTACAGTTCGTTTTCGCTCCTTCGCTTTCCTTCCTCACACGACAACCAAACTCCTGATCGTCTTCTTCGTCATTGCCATGCCAACTACTTTAGAGAACAGGGTCGGTATCAGCACATCTTGCGATGCTACTTGCTGACTGTGATATTGCTATCTTCAGTGTGACACTTGCGACGTCCATGGTAGACGAAAACCCCTACAGAAATGCGCCGGATGCGGAGTAGGCTGTTCCATCTATTGCTTACAGATTACTCATGTTTACGCCATTTTCTAGATTTCAAGATACTGCTCGAAGGAGTGCCAGAAGAAAGACTGGGTCATAAGTCTCCACGTTTTAATGACGGGGTTGCAGACGCATATGTGTGTGACATTGCAGGTCCATAAAATTGCTTGCCAAATGAACACACTCTACGTGGACATGTTAAAACATCAGGACAGCACCCCCATGGGTAGAATGCTCTGTGCTGGTTTGCCAGACGATCTCACGATGCACGAACTTGACAACCGGTTAGCAAAGTGGGTCCGGTTCCACACCACAAACCTCGTCATCGCTTGTTTCATCGCCATCCGAATAAACGATGATCTCGACAATTGCAACAAAGAGGTTTTGTATATCAGTGTTCGACCCCGACCACAGTCCGAACATGAAGGCTATCCCGGAAAGTACTTTGCCATTAAAGACGCATATCCTGTGAACATTCAGACTACCATGCATTGGCCGATGCCCTGGCCTCCTACTCTGCTACAACTACAAGAAGTTCAACGAGCAAGGGAAAGCGAGGGACGAGGCCGAGTAGCTGGATACATCATATCACTGCGACCCTCTACCGTTGATCACAGTCCCAATCGGGAAAGTATTCGGCATTCCTGAAGTTCCTTGGAGTCGATGGAGGCGTATCTTGATTGAGGATGTGTGGAATGGAAGAAGGCTAAAAGAATCGAGGTCCTGAACCCGACCGACGAGTAGCTAAAGAATTGACTCCGGAATAGTGGTTTGGGCAGTGGTTATTGAGCGAATCTCTTCGAGAGGGGACGTAGCAAGCGATTAGTGGCGCTGTTCGGGAAGAACCACGTTTTGATGGTTGTACGAAACGAAGGTTGTCTTCGAAACTATTGCTTGCCTTGTACAGAGACTTGAAATTTAGAACCTTGTCATCTGCACTCTTTGAACCACGATGGAGGTCATTCCTGATCTGAAGAAGGTGAGAACGTGAACATAAGAACGTCATTGTCAGAGAACTCAATGATGAGTACATACGTCCGCCCTTGTCAGTGCAAAAACTGCAACGTCAAGAACCGCGAGAAAGCTCTACTGATATGTTCGCGTTGCAAGGTGAGCATCGTTTGGCGGTATGCAACCTGACTCCCCGCTCATAGCTCGAAATAGGCCGTACACTATTGCTCAGCAGAGTGTCAAAAGAAGGACTGGAAGGCAAGCATCGACTATTAGTTCAGACAGCCGTTTTCCTTGTCGTGAGCTGAAGACGAATTCCAGAGTCATAAGAACGCCTGCAATTACAACGCGAAACTAGAAGAGGGGCTTAAGAAACATGAAAATACTTTGGGTGGCACTATCGAACGCTTGACGTTGCCGGATGGTGTCTCTAGATACGAGCTCGACCAACGACTAGAAAAATGGGTGAAATTCTACTCTGTCAACCTCATGGCGGCTTGTGAGTCGGGTCTTCGACTTCCTGAGAATATCGACAATGCACTCAAACAGGTCCTGTACGTTAAACTTCGAGGACGTGCTCACCCGGAGCACAGAGGTGACGTAGGAAAGCTCTTCGCAGTGGAAGATGCATATCCTCTCCTCATTGAGGAGGCCATGACTTGGCGCTCACCGTGGCCGGAGTCGTTGCTTCAATTAAAGGACTGGCAGGACAAAAGTGGGAGGTTGGGTAGAGGAAGATATACTGCAGTCATGGTCGAATGTCCACCACTGGCTGTGCAAACCGTCCCATATGGATCACTGTTCCCAACATCATTCGACCCCGTTATCAAGCCGGACTGGAAGGAGATATTGGTTGACGATGTGCTGCACGGTCGACAGATTATCTATACGAAGAGCTAGAGAGTAGAAGGGGATGGAGTTTATTAGAGGTCTCTTTTATGGGACAGGCACAAGTTTGTATGATAATGGTCAAGTCGCCTAGGTTATGCCGAGGCTTGAGTGGAAGCTTGAGTGGAATAGGAGAACGGAGCATTTTGTATACCCGGTGTATTCGACTATTTCTAGAAGGGAGTCAGATGAGTGCAGATTGGAGTCAACGACTCCATGTAATCCCGAGGTCAATTCCGCGAGCCTTCCATATCTGTGTGGCCTACTGTGTACAGCGTTTGACAGGTCTAGAAGCAACGCCACATGCAATTGGGGTAGACTGAGTACCATTGTAGGGCACTGTCAACGGCAGCTCATGCCATGTATACTCTTAGTCCACCTTCTATGGAGTCGATCGGAGAAGCTGCCAACAGTGGTATCCAAGTCTCAACAAAAACGCATGAGGTCTCCTGTTTACTAGATCTCGAGGAAGTCATGATCCTCTTCATGCAGGAGCTCTAGGAACTTGAAGAAAGATGCGGCTGGGAAACCCACGACATTCTGATAATCTCCATCGACTTTCCGCACTAGCATACCACCAAGCCCCTGATTTACGACGTTAATCCAACGTTGATTCTTAAGATAGGCTTTCATGCAACGTACCTGTACGGCAAAGCCGCCTGCCCTATCGACACCTTCTCCGCTTTCTACGTAAGCTTCCAGAAGGTGTCTGGGGTTATCGGCGAAATATACAAGCGTCCGCTCGTCGAGTGACCTGTAAGCCAGTCAATAAGAGATAGACGAGAATATAATATATAACTCTGACTTGATCTTATAGCCCGGGGACTCAAGCACAGGGTATACTGAAAACTTGAGTAAGGAGTATATAATCGAAACAGCGAACTTCTCTCACCAAGTGAAACGCCGGTCACTACTTCACATACACCGCCATTCATATCCAAGAGCATGCGAAGATTGTCATCCTTCGATATGGGCTTCTCCAGGATCTCTTGACGGACGGATGGACCTTCAAAGGGTGTGGTCGAAATACCGGGTGAAGGATGTGTGAGCACGACGGTGTCCGCTGGAATACTGTCAATGACGTTGCAATGGATGGCATGGTGAGACTGACCTGCTATTACGAGGTCTGGCGCATTGTTTGGATCGTCTTTCTATTTTGACAATATGCATAATATCGCATAAGTGGTCAGCTAGTTCTGTCGCACCCCAGCAGAGGATCAATTACGATGGAAGAATATAAGTCGCGTGACCATGGGGAGTGAATGGCGCACCACGAGTATGTATGCATCATTTGGAATGGATAGAATGACTCACCACTAGTCGTTCATACACCTCGACCGCTTTATGTGTTGCGGTGGCAACAGGATACTCATGCACGTCCTCGAACTCGTCATGCGTGAGCGTCTCATCGAAAGTGGAAGGCACAATTTCTGGTTCCAAGCCCTAGAATACCGATGCGAAGCATAAGCAATGATCCTTCAGCAAAGTTCTTGTTGAAAGAGTAGTTCCGACGTACAAATGTACGAAGGATATCCCTTCGTCGGGGACTGTTCGATGCCAATACGATTCTCTTTCCGACTAACTTCTGCAGCGATAGTGTTTTCAATGCATGAGCCAATACGCAATTGTGCTCGGGCAACTCGATTGGTTTCGACTTGAAGAAGTTCATTATTAGTGCAAGTCGGTGTGGTCAAGGTGAAAGTAGGGAGTGCGCGTCTACTTACTGATAAGCCCACCAGTATTAGTCGCTAATCGTAGCTACTTACTCGCGTTACTTACTTGCATAGAAGAGACTAGTAAGGTGTTGTATTTAGCATTACATTATAACCACAATCAATAAGCTTAGTCAGCCTGTCATCTACTATTGGTTGTCACTGACCTCCACGCCGTCTCGAGATTGGATTTCATCTTGCACACGGGCTCATCATACACATGCCTGCTTGACGCTGCGTTCAGACAACGTGTCTTGCGAACGTCTGAAAGTTACGAAACCGTTCTGTTGCAGTGTTCTCCGAGGTCGCATTCACCCTGCGTCAACCAGAGGACATCCCGTTACGGCCGCTTGGACGTGCCGTCTCACAGCCTAGCCAGTTTGACCAAAGGGCGTTTGCTATGAAGTTCAGGTACGCCGAGAGTGTTTCATGCCAAGAAGCGGTTTTTACTGATAGTCGTTCAGCTCGTCATTGAAGTTTAACGCGGTGTCGGACTGGTGGGATGAGTACATTGCGTATGTCCCTTCTCTTTACGTCTGCAACATCACTCACTTACTTCGGGCTGAAGATACGACTCATTGAAGAAGAAGATCTATGAACTCGAACGACAACAAGTAGGTCTAAGGGACGGCGGTTATCGTGATCTCGAAGCCAATGAGAGCACGTCCCTCATGCGCAGGGAACCTTCGTCTCTTGATGCACAGTTCATTCCTTTGCTGGACAGGGAGCTGAAGAAGATCTGTCTATTTTACGAGTTACAAGAGAAGGAACTGCTAGATGACGTCGCAGAGCTTCAGGATCTTATCCAGCAGCAAGAGGATATTGGTCCAGATGGCCAACACCACTTTGCAGACGAGTACGAGGACGATGAACATTCAGAAGAAGAAGAAGAGGAGGACAACTTTGATATCAATGCTCTGGGTAGTCCTACAATGAGCAGAGACGGCACCATGTCTCGTTCCGCCACCAGCCAGCACCGGAGGCGACGATCAACTTCAACAAGCACAGGCGGAGGAGGAGGAGGAGGCGGAGGAGGAGGAGCTGCTGCTGCTGCCTCAGGTATGTAGCCTAACACTGTAGACTCCATTGTCTCATGATCTCTTTGAAACCAGCGCGGAAACGAGCGCACACCTTTACACAGCGGCGGTATAGTTTGTCATCCAATGAAGACCACGGAGATCTAGAAGCAAGCCTGGCATCGCTTCGTTCGGCAAGCGATTATTATGGTGGAGGACAGCTTGCACCTACCGGGACAGGGCGAGGTGAAAGCAGCAGGTCACCTGTCCGCGCAGCCAAAACTTTGGCGAGCAAGATATTCACGAAGGATGGCGTGCCTCCCAGCTTCAGTGGACCGGTCAGTATCTGGAACGCAAATAGCAACTACGCATGGGACATACAGCTTTTGTTCAAAAGGCGTATCACGAACCTCTACTTGACCGCGACTTCGCTCAGGTCTTATGTTGAACTGAACTACTCAGGGTTTCGCAAGGTTCTCAAGAAGTGCGTTCGATAGTTTATGTCCTGTCACTCTCTATTGCTGATGTTTGGCTTCCCAGGTATGACAAAGTCACGGAAAGCGATGTATGTCCAAGGATCTGAAATGCATATATGCGTCATGCTAATTGAGGCATTTTCAGCTCAAAGATCGATACCTACATGAGGTGGTCGAGCAAGCACCGCCCTTTACCCAGCCGGTGAAAGATAAGCTTAACAGTACCATCAACTTGCTCATCGATTCGTATGCAAAATGTGTATCTCATGGAGACGTCTCGATGGCGAAACGCCAGCTCAAGCTGCACCAGCGGGAGCACATCGCCTGGGAGCGGGACACCGTCTGGAGGCAAATGATTGGCAATGCTCGCAGAGGTGAAGGCGCCGATCCTGATGGACTTAAAACTCTGGGCTCCCTTGTCATCGAAGAAGAGAAGAGAGTGTTGGATGTCCAAACACCTGTGGGACACATCCAGGTGACGATGAAGCAGGTGTACTTGATCGTGTCAACTATTGTATTCATCGTGCTACTGAACGTGCGTTCCGTGGATGGCGATGAAGCCAACAAATGTTTGGCTGTGCTGGTATATGCGACGTTGTTATGGGCCACAGAAGCTATCCCACTGTTTGTTACATCCATGCTCGTCCCGTTATTGTTGGTCATTCTGCGGACGATACGTAACGAGGACGGAGAGACTTTGAGCACAGAGGAAGCAACCAAGTATGTCACAATCATGTCTTCTTTGTCCGAAGTGGAGCTTATAAGAAATTCTAGATTCGTTTTCGCGCAGATGTTCTCCCCAACGATCATGCTGCTTATCGGTGGATTCACGATTGCCTCTGCGCTGAGCAAAACAGGCATCGATCGTCTCCTGATAACTCGAGTGCTCAGTTTTGCTGGTACACGACCAAGCACCGTCCTTCTTGCCTTTATGGGTGTCTCTTGCTTCGCCAGTATGTGGATTAGGTACGTTTGCTTTTGCTGAATAGCTTCTACGGGGTGAAGATATTAATTGCTTCCTTCAGCAATGTTGCGGCACCGACACTATGCTTCACTTTGATTCGTGTAGGTAGACTGGATGATCAGGTTGCTGTATGGTTCCTTACGTAGGCCTATCTTTAGCCAATCCTGCGAACACTACCTCCGAAGTCCAATTTTGCACCTTGCTTGATCGTGAGTGCTCCGTATTATTACCTGACCTGCCTAATGGCAATTCCCCATCCAATAGTTGGCAATCGCCCTTGCAGCTAATATCGGCGGTCAAAGCTCTCCAATTTCTTCCCCACAGAATCTCATCGCTATTGGGCAAATGGATCCTCCACTAGACTGGGGTAAATGGTTCGCTGTTGCGCTGCCCGTCTCGGGTATTTCCATCATTCTCATCTGGCTTCTGCTGCTGGTGTCGTATCGACCTGCACGATCTCCGGATGGCGAGGGCGATATTGAGATCAAGCCTATACGGCCGGTACGAGATAAGTTCAGTGCGAAGCAATATTGGGTATCCTTTGTTTGTCTCTTCACCATTGGGTTGTGGTGTATCGAGCACCTCATTGAGGACTATGTTGGCGATATGGGCATCATTGCCATCATTCCTATAGTGGCCTTCTTTTCTACTGGAGTCCTGAAAAAGGTCTACTTCACTTCTTCGCATCCTCTGTACTCTGGGGTCTGAAACGTTTCTTCTCACAGGAACACTTCGAGCAATTCCTTTGGACGGTTGTGTTCCTTGCAATGGGAGGCATCGCGCTTGGCAAAGGTGTCACCTCCAGTGGGTTGCTACAGATAATGGATGATATCATTCGTGATTCTATCCATGGCATGACGCTGTACACTGTAGTTTTGGTTCTGTCGATCATCGTCTTGGTATGTATAAGAGTAATCCGCTAGCCTTCTGTGCTGAACCCCTCCAATAGGTGGTCTCTACCTTTATCAGCCACACTATTGCCAGCGTGCTTCTTGTGCCTATAGCGAACCAGGTTGGCAGCAAGATGCCTGGTAACCACCAGAACTTGTTGATCTTCCTCACCGGCTTGATCTGTTCGACTGGTATGGGTATGCCCGTGTCGGGATTCCCGAATCAGACTGCGTATGTCGTCCATTATGTTATTTTCACAGTTTTGACTCTGACATCTTTGTTCCTCAGTGCGACACAGGAAGATGAGATGGGGCAGCTCTATCTTTCTAACGTCGATTTCCTCAAGAATGGGGTCCCAGCGAGTATCCTCGCTACAATGGTCAGTGACACTTTGATTACATGTTTGGACTAGAGCTTAGCGATGATTTTAGGTTGTTGCCACCGTTGGTTACGTCCTCATGCGAGCAATTGGGTGAGTTTTTTCATGTTCTACCACCTGCCGGTTGTACTCATCTTGTACTTCGTAGACTTTGAGCCTCCCTGTCTCGCTTCATCGTGTCATCCATATACTCCTGCCGTTCTTGCGCATACAGAACTTGCTATATACAGGTCTAGATGTGTCCTAGATGTTGTATGCTTATATCCCATGCCGTCTCATATGTTACTGTAGCTCTCTGTCAATTGTTTCGCGGCTCTGCTATAGATATCAAGAATAATGCGGACAGTTGGGTGGATTTATTGCAGCGGGTTGTTAGAACACAAAGATAATCGAAGAATGCAAGACGATGAAGCACCGGAAACATACATAAGTATATATACTGAACTCGTGAAAGGTCGTCAAGAGGAGTCGTTAGGAGGTCGTAACTAGTCGTAAGAATAAGAATTCAGACCAAAAGAAACTATCCACATGAAAGAATGTGAAGGCTTTGAAACCCATGTAAGAGGGAGCTGACTGTCCGGCACGTTTACTGTTTCCAAGTAAGTGAGGTTTTCGGGCCAACCTTTCGAAACATGATGCGTAGTACGACTGCACATACTCCAAGACCAACTAGCAAGACATACGAAGGCAGTTCTAACAATGAGGACGGTTCCTCTTCATCCTCATCCTCATCATTATCATCGAGAGTTGTCGGGAAATTATCCTCGGGAGGATATTTCGTAGCGGAGGAAGACGTGGGGGAAGGAGAAGAGATGATACCAGGAATCAACGATGCTGCCTGAGATAGGAGTGAAGGTATAATATCTTCGCCAACCGCCTTGTCCGTGTGAAGTGGCGCAAAAGAGCCGTTACTTGCCGTGTCTTCGTCCGCAACTAGAGCTGCTCGCCGAAGTTCTTGGTCTTTCTGCCATTGAGCTTCTTGCTCTTCCAATACGGCAACTTTCTTCTCCACGATTTCCAGTCGACCGCGGAATCGTTCCAATAAAGCACGATTCTCGGCCACTTGCGTGAATAGCGTTTGCTCTATAGCCTCGAGGGTCTTAGACAGACTCATATCCGTGTCTCCATCGGTCTGTGCGTGTTCTTCGATCCTGGTCGCTACGTGGCTGTCATGGGTAATCTCTGAACCGGTGTCCGTCATGGAAGGTTGGAAAATGGCTGTGATAACGCGCCTTTCCTCTTTACCCTTGCCTTTAGAATTGACTTTACCGCTGCGTTTTCCCAAGGTCAGGAAAGTCTCATGGCTAGGTCGTGATATTGAGGTCAAAGAGTTATCTGAACCGCCAGATCCATCTCTGACTGGCTTCACAGTCACTCCAGCCTCCATATCCATCTCTTCCCAAGCCCGGGCACCCCATGTATGACCAGAGGCGCCTTGAGCTTCGGAAGCAAGCAAGTCTTCGATGGATGGTTCTTCGCGAATTGCAGAAGGGGGTGCAGGGAAGCCAGTGTCAGGAAGTGGACTATGTGTCACAGCAGTGGGGCTCCAAACGACTTCTTCCTGGATAGGTCCATCCTCTTGGACCCATCGGCCAAAAGTCGGACGTCCGCTACCTTCGTCGCAACTACTCTCGGAGCTGAAACTTCCGCTTCTCTCAAGGCTGTCTACCATACCTCGGACTCTTCCGTTGCGGTAACGCTTTGGACGCTTCGCTTCATCTTCGTCTTTCAACGAGAGGTCAACGGAGCTTGACGAAGAGTTGTAAAGCATATTTGAGAAAGGATGGGCTGGCATAATGGGTGAAGTGGATCTAGGGGAAGACGGGCCGTCTGCATCTGCACCCCAGATCCTACCCTTCAGGACGTTCTGCCGAAGGTTTCGCGAGGCGATCAGAAGTGCTTCTCGCCATTTCTTGTTGACGTTCATACTGTAGATGGATATATGAGTATCGTAAGGAGTACGCAAAAGGTTAAAAAAAGCGCACACGTCAAGATCTTCCTCATTTAGACGCAAGAAAGTCCGTCCGGTCATTCGTGCATCTCGAACAAATGTCGCGATATCAATCGCGACTCGAGCAGGTAGGGAAATTGGTGCGATTTCTTCGGACTTACTGGTAGACGTCACTCGAAGAGCAGTTACCAAGTAAGAGGACAACTGAGAAGGAGACCAAAGTTTAGGATTAGACGGAAGATCATCCAGAGTCACCGAAACCGTAGCAGGGGTATACGGTGCTGGAAAAGAAGGTAAGGTATCTGCACGTTTGGTTCGACGAGGAGCTACTAATTGCTCGTCGGCACTGGTATAACCATTCAAAGCAACGGCGCTGGGAAAAGGAGGTGGTACCGGGAGTGGACGCGGTGCTTTCTGGTCTGTACTCATGTTCGAGGGCTGCGACTTGGCAAAGCGATGAGTGCGTCCATTCTCGTATCTAGGGCTTGGTGAAGTGGGTATGTAGTAATGACGCGTAGCATTGGTATTGTAACCGGTTGAATTAGAACGAGTAAGAAGCGCAGTGGATGTTGTCCTGATGGCATACGGATGTGGATTTGCCCTCAAATCGGGACTGTTCTTGGTTGGAGAATTCAGTAGAGGAGGCAAGCCTCTACTCGAAGGTTGAGAGTCGGATACAGCCATGTCAATTTAAAGTCAGGGATTCCGTGTAAGTACCAACGACGTTGTGCTGATCTAAACGGTTAGTAATTCCTAGAGACCTTGAAAGATAGTATATCGCATTCAGTCAACAATTACGACACGTATCAATGAAAGGAATCATACAACGAAAGGAGCCTGATTGCTCTACAACCCCAAGTTACTCCTCGAGGCTCGAGGCACGAAGCGAAGATGTATTAGCGCCGGCAAGAATGTTGCCCTTCCCAAAACGGATGTTCGTTCTTCAAAGTCGTATTTGCACCCATGGATACTTGTGTCGAGGCTTCCAGGGCACGATGGTCGGTGTCAAATGAATTTTCCTATTTGATTTGCTTACTTTCATGTTACCGATTCCAGAAGACATACCATATCTCGCCGCCACATGGTGATTGGACCAGTGGCTTCAGTGGAGACATCGAGCTTCAAGTTGAATATAACCATGCTTGAAGCTTCAAAAGCCTTAGAGCAACGGTAATATTGACGTGTTATTATTATTAAGCAGCTGTTCCTCTCTTGCAGCCAGGCATCCTCGCACGTAATCTCTATCATGCCGTACACTATCATCGCCGATCAAGCTAAAGTTCTGCCAGTCCTTGATTTCTCTCGGCGGACCGTCTGTGTACCCTTGAACAGATACATGTGCCTAGTCGAAGGGTCACCATGCGAGTTTGCTTGCTTTTGAGGATGAAGATCGCACAAGCTGACGACCGTGGTCGAGTCTGTGTGTAATAATCGAATTGCGACGCTTCTCTTCAATTCATTCTAGGGTCTGTTCTATTCGGTTCTCGATCCAATGGCATATTTCGTATTATACGGTCTGTTTACCAGGGAAAGCACCTAACGTGCTTTCACTCACTGGCAGTTCCTATCCCTCGTCTTTTCCAACATATGCGTAACATCTTTGGAGGCACAGATCCGCAGTCCAAAAATGTCCGTAACTCACGAGGAAGGTGTTGAAGAACCTTTTCTTTATTTGCGCGACAAAGTTGGACCCTTTTACTGCCATTTATTATTCACCACTTGTCATGAACGAACAGGGTCTGGATCGCGCTCTGGTCTTTCCTCCAATAAACGCATGCTGAACTTGTAGGGGTGCTACTTATGTTGTCGAACTGTACACGTACAGCGGCCCGCTACTCAGATGACCCTTACAGGATCTCACGTCACATTAAGGGTGAGCTCGAAGTCTCCGTTACTGTCAATCTTACACTGTGTAGACCCGCACAATCAGCCGACATCATGATACTTTTGTGGGGTCAAATATGCCAGGGTTTCTCTAGCGGTGAGAGGTGACTATGTCTATCCGCGAATGAGCGAAATGCACCTACGGATGCTGTACATTCTCCCTGGACAAATAACTGGTTCACGTAACATCTTTTCAGCATTATCACCCCACGTTGGCCCATAGCCTAGCGGACCTCTAATCCCATTGGTCATGCTGGTTATCTTCATGCTTTCAATCCAGCGTGACTTTCAATGCAATCCGTTGGCCAAGGAATCCATGGCCAGAGGCCAGTCATCGGTTCCTGAAACTTCTCTGTCGCGCAGGTCCCCTCATAAGCCAATCGGGCAATGCATATAGCGCTGTGTTCGTTCCTTGGATTCGGGTCGTCAAATATACTTTACCTGTTTCTCTTGCCATCATGAGCTGAACAATGTGTTTGATATATCCGGCGCAAGGGGTGCCCGCTGGTGTTAATCTCTACCTCCTTGGACACGTCTTTTGTTCCTGAACGTCGTCGACGACAACGTATGATGGAACAATCGCTCATTGGTAAATGACATCCCCTTCGAAGCTCGACACGCATGATTTGTTTTTCCGAGAGACAATACAGTCTCTAAACCCCGTGCGGTGAATCGTGGATGCGGGACCCACAGAAATGGTGAAGGGATTGCAAAGCGTAACTATTCATGTCATGGGCAAAATGACCTTTCTTTCACGGCTTGTCGTTATTGCCGTATCCTCGTATGCGAAAGTTTCACCGAACCTTTATTTTCTCACCTCCTATCTCCTTGAAAGTACTGTTTCTCCCGCTACGAGTCTTTTGCCCCTTGTTACGAGGACGGTTCCCCTGCGTTGGGTTAGAAGCACTAAAATTTGCACGTTTCTCCCGAACAGAACGCTCTTTTGGAACAGTGCAATGGTGTCGGTCTCCACAGTGGTTAAGTTCGAAAGGAACGCTGTCAAGGGTTGATGATCAGCTGGCTTGTGATCGAATGGCAGCCGTGAGTACCCAGTAGCCATACTCACTCAGTCTCGGCTCGGTACCGCGATCAGTGGGAGTTCACTCATGTGTGTTTCAAGTTCAGATACAGATGTTACTTTGACAAGTGGCGTGTCAACTTGGCACAGAGCTACATGAGATGTTGAGATATTGAGACTACTATGAGTACACTGTTCTTTGTATCCTACCTAAAACGAAACACTAAGCAGTTAGAAGAGTATAAGTTACAGAGATCAAACCGAAACGAAACCACAGCGTATCGACCACGTCTCCCGCTTACCGCTTAAAGGGTTGCAAAAGCACGCAGATAAAGGATGGAGGGAAAGCGGCTGTCAGATGGTATCGAAAGAGTCTTTGAGTTTTTACCAAGGACGCCACGATTGTCTCGTGGGATTGGGGAGACGCTCATTTCCGTCATATCGTGAAGGTTCACCGCTCTGCAGACGATGATGATCCACCCGTGAATGATACACGTCCGTTGGTTCATGGTTCTCCTCATACTGTCTTGAGAACCGTACGTCATCAACGGGTGAACTGACAGACTGGTGGCTTCGAACGGGGGATGTGGAGGAAGTGTGGGCAGGGCGCGAGTATGGCGATGAGTAGGATGACGTTGGGGACGCTGAAGCATTTGCTGAACCTGACGGCGCGCTTGACGATAAACTATGTGATGGAAGCATAACGCTGGATCCTGATGTAGACTGCGACCCATCCCACCTAAAACGCACCCCAGATACGGGTGTCAATATCACGCCTCATCCCAATAAACCCGATAGAGTACAAACTCACCTCGAAGTCTGCGACATTGTCGGAGCAGATAACCGTCTAGCATTGACAACACCACTAGATGTGGTTGCTGACAATGATGATGAATTGTCCATAGAGTTCCCAGAAGTTCCGACCCCGACCCCGGTTCCGAGAGCGGATGGAGGAATGTCATCTCTAATGGATCGTAGACGCTTCAACACCGCACTAGAATCGTCACAGATCCCAGCTCGTGCTCGGTCATCCAATGTAGATATGGGTGGGAGCGTGAGCGATTCGCGGTCCTTGGGTGGAACGATTGGCGGTAATACGATCTTTTCGGGTTCCATGAACGGGTGGAAGAAAGAGGACGAGTAATCGGAGGGTGAAGTGCTTGAGGGAGAAGTGGACGGCTGGGCGTGGGTGCTTCCGTTCCCTCTTGGACGTGCCTGTAGCGGGTTGGGGTATGGAGAGTACCGCATACCAGGACCAGGGGCGGAATGATTGAAGGATGGGGAAACATTAGAATACTTGTCAGAAGAGGTAGATGTCGACGCTGTGCCCGGTCTCCAATGGGAATTTGGTTGGTCCCCATATGGGTGTTGCAACACAATGGAAGATTCAGTAGGGTCGTCTTGGGTATCATCAGAGAGGGAATAGCGGCGCGGTTGGAAATTCGAATAGGGCTGTTGGGTGGGAGCGTGATAGGCGGATGGAGGATGTCGCGAGGGCGCAGTTGCGGGGCGAGCATGCAAAGAAGGGGTCAAATTCCAATCGTGTTGCAAGTCTGCGACGTTTGCAGGTTGAATGTGGCGACGCCTCCGCTTTCCAGTCCCAGGCTTGACGATTTGGCCAAATCCTGGCTGATCCGGTGAGAGACACGTATCTGGAAAGGTAGGGCTATAGTAGACCAAGACTAATATCAGTACATAGGACGATCTTTACAGCAAAAGACCGCCATACCCGAACAATGGAATAAGCTCATAGCGGATTGGCCAAGCGACCCTATGGCAGGCATCAATAAATGGCCCAAACGACATACTATGCGAAGAACCCACCGACGAGCGAGCTTCAGAGCAATTTCATACGGCATCCAGGTGCCTTGAATTTTCAAGTATCCTCCCCTCACTCGCCGCAGGCGAGGCGCGAGCTCAGGCTGAGACTCGATCATTTTTACTATGTCGGCTACGGTGAGTGTCAATGACCGGTCACTGCAGTCAATTATCATGGGCATACCCTTTGAGTTCCCCAGAGCTGTACATGCACAGGCGGTAAGAATATAGACAACGAGAACGAAGACGAGATGCGCGGACCTTTCCAAATGCCTGTCCAAAGGACATAGCCGTCATCCATGTCGAGCATTATCCACTGACCATTCAGAGGGTACTCGTACACGGGACTGGAGCCTCACGTTAATTTCGACAACAGTAGAGCTCGGAGGGCATGAACGCACATATATCCACGGGGGTCATTGCTGGTAATGTATCGCCCTTTGGTAACATGATGGTTAGCACTGGCAAACGGTCTGTAGCGAGGACCGCCTGAAGCATTTTCGGAAGATGGCGAGGGCAACGGGTCCTATAAAGCAAATGTTAAGCAAAGTGAAGAGGGACGAGGACATGAATGGGGGAGGCGTACTAGGATCATGCTCGAGGACATAGTAGTCGCCGGTCGACTCGTTACCAGAGTCATCGAGGTGCGTGTTTATGAGGACAGAGCGGAGAGGCTGCGGCAAGGAACTGCTGAACAGAACGGCAGGTCTAGATAGGTTAATAGATATCGGGTGAGGGCAAACTTACGGGAGATCTATTAAACAGCAGATGGTGTGGAGTAGAGAAGAGCCAACAAACTTGTAAATGGGGAGGCGTCAAAGGATTCGGAAGACGGGCAATACAGAAGGAGACAGGTGTCAAATACCATGATTTAAAAAGCTCAAGAACCGGTGCACATTCTACGACAACAAGCCGCAACAAATCCGCGAAGACGGGTCAGGAGCCCTAGTCGTGAAACAGACAGTCGCAACGGGTTAGTAGATGTGTTCTATGGAAGCTCGGGAGTCGGAGGGGCGATACGGAACCCAGCAAACGCTCTTTCCTGCATAAGTTACATTTTAGGCATCGTGGCTCGGCCATTCGGGAGATCTGTGATCATTGAGGGTGCCACTTAGATCGCCCTGCCATCAGAGTCGTCGACGACTCGGATTCGGAGCCCCAAGTTCGCGGGATCATGATTTCGCAGCTGCCAAGAAAGTAAGAACGCGCTACGCCCTGGGGTTTTGTATTAGTTTGTATTGCTCTTTTACGAATAGCTCAGGAGCATCGGTGCCCCGCACTTGCATGAGAGATCTTGCCAATGCGAACGCACATGAAAAACAAAAAGCTTGATCGAACAATTTGGGGTATGCGGAGGGACCCGGCGGCTGGACAATACGTGAGATCGGCAATTTACCTCCGGGCACGTTGCAACGCAGATAATAGGCCAACATAGCCTAGCGGGCCATCCGAGTATACGGAGGTTCAATTTTGAATTGAGAAGTACTGCGGTCGGGAGGGGGCGTCAGCATAGAGTATAATTCTACGAGGCTATGGCGGCTCAGCAGTGGTCACAGCGTCCATGAAATGTTGCTAAATTATGCGCTGGGCATAGAGACAAACCGGATTAGGAACACAGTGGAGGCGGCGAAGGCGGACCGGGGAGGGCCGAGGAGGATTTGCGGTATGAATTTCGCCCCTGGAGTCCTCGATCAGTGGGCGATCAAACCGCCTCGACTTGGAAGCTAAGAATACGTCACGAGGGGAAATGAGCGTGGCACTCGTCCGATACCTCGCGCGACAGTCCCAGGCACTCGGTTCGGTTCCGACGGCCTACGGCGGAACCGAGCGAGCCTCGAAATCACGGATGTGACCCACCAGCGACCTCTTTGTGACAGGCGTGATGCCATCCTATAAACAGCCATGCTCTCCCTTGCCAAGCGGCCGCCTTAGTGTCAGTTGCACACTGTTGCACACCGGCCGAAAGTCCTCCCAACACCTTGTCTTTCTAGAATTCTCACTTTAGCATCAGCCCAGAAGATGGCAGAAAAACGCATTTGCTCTTCGCCATTCATTCGTGTTCCATACGCCATAAGAAAATAATAGGTCCATGTCCTCGGGTCACAGTCAATCCCCTTCAGTCCTCATCTTCTCCCTCTTCCCCCTTGGAAAACTCCTTCAGCACCTTGCGCACCTCCCCGCTCAAGTATCCCACACCCGACGTGTAGATAACGTTGCTGATTTGGAACCCGTTGAACTGAGATGCAGCGCAGACAGAGTACGCGCCCATATTGTCGAATGCAAGCCAGTCCCCCACTTGGAGTGTGCTCGGCAGTTGCGTCACGGGGCAGACACAATCCAACGAATCACAAGTAGGGCCCCAAACGCTGCTCGCACGCATCGGGACTGAAGAGGGTACGTGGAACGACCCGTTAAGGGATAGCACGTACGGTTGCGGAGTTTGGTGGTCAAACAGGATGCAATTAAATGCCCCGTACACACCATCGTTGATGTAGTCTAAAGTTTGAACTTGGTCAGCATCTGAACGTGACACACTGTGCGAACGCCATGCAAAACCAATAGATAAACACTTACACATCACAGACGGTTGCTCTGATTCCATATCCATGTCTTGTGATCCTCCGCCCTCCGGAGTAGGTGGGGCACGCCTAGCGATGACGTTCGTAGCCAGACTAAATGCCTTCGCAACATAGTATCTTCCGGGCTCTGCGATGATCCTGATATTCTCCCGGTTTGGGAAGTACTGGTCGATGGCGTCCCTGAGAGTCGAAGCAGTGGTTTCAAAAGTAGCATCTTCGAATCCTCCGCCGATATCGAGTAACGTGAAATTATATCCAGCTTCGTGACCCATTTCAAACACAGAGCGCGCGCGCATCACGGCGTCCGCAAAAGCCGAAGGGTCGTAGCACCCACTCCCAACATGGAAGCTTACGCCAACTACATCGAGCTTCAATTCCTTCGCTTTGGCCAGCAAGCCGGGAACAGTGACAAGTGGTGCACCAAACTTGAGCCCAAGACGGCATAGACTCTTCGAATCGTCCGTTAGAATACGAATGACGAGTTTGGCGCTCGGGAATAGGCGAGCAATCTTGTACAATTCGTCGGTGTTGTCGAACGTCATCATATCAACACCCGCACGAGCGGCCTGTTTGATGAACGAAGCCGCCTTGCATGGATTGGCGAATATGATCCTCGAAGGGTCAACACCCAACCCAACGATCTGTGATATTTCCCCAATCGATGCGCAGTCAAAACCTACTCCCAGACCTGCGAGGAGTCGGAGGACATATGGGTCGGGGTTGCACTTGATAGCTAAATGAGGTTTAGTGAGTGTCATGACCATCAGAGTGAGAAGGGTCAACGACGATTAAAAAAGACGTACCAAAGAAGGGTTCGATTTCTGGTAGATTCTTCTTCCATCGAAGGTGTTGCTGGTAAACATAGCAAAGATCTCCAACGAAAAAAGCCTTTTCAGCGTCTGATTCGTGTTGGAGGGCTAATTGTGCCGCCCTCATGACACCATGCCTAAGGTGTACATCGGGGTGGCCACGAAGTAACGGAGGAAGCCCAGGAATAGTAATGTCTTCTTCGATTACGTCGGACGTATCTGCGTGGGTATGGACGTCCTTGTTGTTGTTCGGTACAGGAAGAGCACACAGTTTGGTGAATGCGGTAGTCAAGAATTTGTTTTCTTGATAGGAACGGGTGCAAGTCGCGTAAGAGGGAGAGCATGAAATGACGTCAAAGTCAAAGTCTATCGTGTTGCAAGGAGAAAGAATTTCGAGCGAAGGCATTGATTCAAAAGGAGGAGCGAGACAGTCCGTCTGGACTGCCGAAGAGTCTAAGTCTAGGTTCGTGTCCTCTATCGTTAGAGGGGCGTCGTCTGGCGGAACGGGTGGGGGTTCCAAAAGTGAGTTGGAATGATACAAAGAAGTCTTGGAAACAATCGCTATTTTGGCACTTGGTATTTCAACCCGAATTACCGAGCCTACCGCCGCGGTCGATGGTGACGAGCCGGGCGGGATAGGTGTCGGTAACTGTAAGGGTTACTTCAGTCGGGGTAGGTTTCCTCGCTCCCTGTACAGCGAGGAAAAAGCTTGAAGGGCGTGGGTGGGTGTATAGGAGATAGATAACGAATAGAATAGAAGCAGAAGCGGCTGTGGCCTTTTAGATGATGGGGTGATCTCGGTGGATGTTAGTCCTGTCAGGGAGGTTCTCCTGTATGTGGTCGCGCTTATGAGTCCTCCAGGAACAAAGCATGTCAAAGATGAATGAAAGACAGACCTCGAACCGATGACCACCTAAGAAGATCAAAGAGAAAGGTTGAGTTCAAGTAGTACATGTCAGTGGACACGTCAAAGAGAACGCACTCGAGGGTCAACAGACGTAGATCGTCGTTTCTCGCTTGGTCAGAAATGGTGGCACAGAGTAGTCTCTGCAGTCGTATGACTATGTACGACTACAGAGATATACAATTCAAAAGGAGACTTGTAGTTCTTCTGGGTGGGTGCTGGGGTCGAGAAGGAAACGTTTGGGTGGCGAGGGCTTTGAGTTTTATCTTCGGCTCTTCGTTGGAAAAATTGTCCGCATCGATTGGCCAGCAACCGCCACGTGCTCCCGCCTGTGCAACATGACGCGCCGGCGCTACACCGCCTACGATATCTTGGTCTGGACTCTGGACATCCATAGAATGGTATAGAAAATCGTTAAGATACACTGAAGACAGACTACTAGAGCTACACTAACGATGGTATTTGTGTAGAAAGGAAATATAGACTGGAAAGAGAATATTGTGATAAGAACGAAAAGAAATGTACAAGAATCTAACGCTTTCCACCTCCACACCATCCAATCATGGATCTCGGATGCTCCGACGATCCTCATACAGAACTCTAATGTCCGCGCAGCCAAAGTACCGCGTTCATCGGCTTGGAGTGGTTGAGTCAGAGCTCGGAGGCGATGAGTTCATAGTCGACCTCACTTGGTTCTTCGAGTCAGTACGAGGAATTGCCATTGGTCGAAGAGTGGTATTTGCTGCCGGACCAAGAGGCATGGAAGCAGGGACAATGGGGCCGGGAACCCTTCTTTCTACAAGAGAAGATTCATGGCTTGGGCTAGGGCTCGTGGTAACCCATGGAGCGGCTGTTGGTGCCATAGCCGGCATGCTCGACGACGGAAATCGAGTACTTCCTGACGCCGATGAAGATGAGACCAAAGAACTCGGAAAAGACGATTGAACAGCAGCTGGAGTCGCCCATGGGGCTTGGACGGCTTCGGCTAGCGCGTGAGTACGCCGGTCAGGTTTCATCGGATCTGAAGAAGTAATGTCCCATTCCATAAGGCCGCCCAAAGGAATATGTTGGACTACGACTCGTTTGCCCAGGACTTCTGCCTAAAGTTCCGGCCTATTAGCACGCCTCATTACAAGGTATCGTGTCGACCAACGGGAGAAGCAAGCATACCTCGTACATCTTGAAAAGTCCCGAGTTTACCTTTGCCCAGCGGGGTACGCCGGTAGCGATGTTATACAGTTGGGATGAATGTTCATGGAAAGGTCCGGTCTTGACCTCATGAATACGAGATATCGATAGGAAGTAAAGATTAGTCGGCGGAAGAGGACGTCGAAGAATCGTGGTGACAGATATATCAGACTCTAATCAAAAGAACCATAAACTTAGACCCCTAGTGCCGTAAGATGAACAGTACAAACCTCTCAGCTGAGCACTTCCAAATATATAGCTCAAAAAGCTATAATCGTCTAGTCCCCACACGCCATGGCTTCCCGCTGGCTCTAAACGATAAACATCTTGCAATCGCCAGCATAGTCGGAGATACCGTAAGAACACAACAAGAACCAGATCGCGTTCTTGCTCGGGCAGCGGCTCAAAAAATCGGATCAGTGTGAGGCAGAGAAGAAACAAGGCAAACGAAGTTTCGTGTCCAGTTCCGTAGTCCATCCGAGTGAATGAGCCAAAGGAGGTCACCAGGTATGGTGATATGAGAGGGATAGACGCAGCAAACTCAGACGGGAGAAGAGAGGTTAGAAGCGAGTCGACATTCTGTCCGAGAATAACGCCAGATTAGACGAATGCGAACTTTCATGAATCTTTTGTATGCGACGAACATCTTCTAGTTTCTTTCCCCACGTACGGAATGCGAGGTTCCCGAATCGCTGAGGCGTGGGTAACGGCGGGATTTCGTTGATCCAAGAGTCGAGCTTATCGAGCATTGAGAGGATCGATGTGGTAGCCTAGGCTAGTTCAGGTACTAGAGTTTCATGAAGAGGACAGATCCTTACTTGAGTCATAGAAGGACTTGAGTAAGGCAGGAAATACCCGACGACTGATTCGTTCAACCGCCGAAGGAAGAGACCATAATCGTGATAGCCTCGAGTATCCCGCCAACATGCAACATCGTCGTCGGTCTTAATCCTGAGTTTTGGTGGCGTCAGTCGAGCTGCTTCTGAGATGGGAATTTGACGAAGTGGAGGCAACGCTGCGGTCATATCACAAGGGACGAGTTTCCCAAGTGCAAAGTAGATTTAGGATAGGTCTGACGAGAGCTATAAGGTGCGATGAAGAGACTTTGAGCTTGCTAGGCGTAGATAGAGAAGACAATCAGAGTCACTGATACGATCGCAAATGGCAAAGTAACTCGCAGCCCAAAATTCAATTCCAAAGCATGGGCGCTAATGTGAATGATTTGTCACGTGTAGAATGCGATCAGCGTGTTTCAAAGTCCGCGCTGCTGTCGCAGCCACAGGCGTGTTATGCCTTCGCGACCGACTTGAGTCCTTTCACCGACTCCAAGTCAACGACTGCGAAACATAACCCTCTCTCTCCACAAATTGCCTGCGTGCTGCATAAGTTCAAGTAGAAGCTAAACCACCAAGACCGTTCCAGAGGCTACTGTCATTCAAACATTCTTCAACATGCCTAGGTTTGACGAGTGGAACCTAGTTGATGAAGAGGAAGAAGAGGAACTGCAGGAAGCCGTGAGCTCTGATACTTAACGTTTTTGTCCTTGGCTTTGTGGCCCTTCTAACCGTTCCACAGTGGTATGAAGGGAAAAGAGATGTCATTCTCTTTGCAATTGACTGCTCGGAGTCCATGTTTGAAATGCATGATGATCCCAACTACGAAGACACTAAGACATGTCACGTTCTAACTGCCCTGGAAGCTGCCATGCAGATTCAGAAGAAGAAAGTCATCGTGGGCCCTAATGACGCTGTTGGAATCATGATGTTCAACACTGTAAATGTTTCCCATTTTCATGTAACACCTGCCACTTACATTTCCACAGACCAGGAAGAACGAAGCAGGTGGACAAGGTGCAGATATAAAACAGAACAATTTTGTATTTCAGCCGATAGAGACGGTGAACGCGCCGAAGATTCAAGAGCTCATTCAATTGCTGGACTGTAAGTGGGCCAATTCTCCTAACTGCTCCCGTTCTCAAAATAGGGGATATAAGCCGCCCGCGAGGACCCCAATCTCCTTAAAGAAACCTTTCCTTCATCTGACAAACATGTACCCATGGGAGATGTATTCACCAGTTGTAACTGGATCATGCGTGACGGGTTAGTTCTATTTGTACGGTCTATTTATCGAATCCTCATCTCTACTGATGGGCGTGTTTATTTTTTGTAGCGCACCGAAGACAGCCACTAAGCGAATATTTTTGATCACGGATGAAGATGACCCGAACTCTGGCCCTGGGCGAGAACGCCTGCTCACCTCCGCTCGAACAACGTTGATTGTCAGTTCTTTCCAAAGTGGGCTTGGCGATAAAAACTGACTCAAGAATAGGATTTGACTCAAGCTGGCATCATGGTTGAACCATTTTTTATTAGCACCGAAGAGAGACCCTTCGATCAGACGAAATTCTACTCGGTCAGTAACTTGATTTCCTTTGACTGTTTTCGTGCCTCTTGAAAGCTTTTTCAGTCCGTTCTCTTGCCGAACAACCTAAATGGTGATACAGGCGACCCATCTGTCTTGCCGGAATCGATTTCGATCACCCGTATCGACGACCTATTGGCGCAGATGCGTTTTCACGAGGTTCCAAAGCGCGCGTTGTTTAGCATTCCGTTCGAGTTGGCCAATGGGTTTGTGATTGGCGTCAAAGGGTTGGTGTCAAATACATATACCAATGATGGAACGAAAATCTCATACAGGCTCCAGGTATGGTCTAGTCACCGAGCAAAAGAAAGGCACATACCGCTATTTCATGGACCTCGAGGACAGGATGGAAGTTGCAGAATCGCGAACGCTGTATGTTGACGAGGTAAGTTTACGTCAGATGTTCCGGAATTCCGTTGAATTGTATCCACCGTTCTGATTTTTTTTCGGCTGTGATGTGACATTCCAGGACAAGGAAACAGAAGTACCTAAGTCGAAGATCGTATATGGCATGGCTCTCGGCGAGACCGTTGATGCTAAAGTCGCCGACATTGAGTCCAGCACAGGGGTCCTGACAAGACGTGTGCCTATTCACTGCAAAGTAAGCTCCAGCACGAGCTACCTGGTGGAGCTTGGTCAGATGAACGGCGTCTTTTTATCCAGGTATTCTACACGGCAGAGGAAATCAGGTCATTCCGGACGCTTGGCTTGCAACCAAGTACGTCTGCTACCAGCTATCATAGCGCTAATGTCGGACGGCTAACTGCAGCGTGCAGAGATCAAACTCCTTGGATTCAAATCGCGCCGCTCACTAGGCTTCGAAGATAACATCAAACACTCGATTTTCATATACCCGGACGAGATGGCAAGTCCCATTGTTTCGTTCTCTCAGCATCTGGTCTCATGACAGGTCCTCTACCATGCCAAAAGAGTTACTCCGGCAGCAAACGCACATTCAGCGCATTGCTGAAGACTATGATCAAGAAAAAACGGATAGGTCTGGTGCTTACCTTGACCAGACGTAATTCGTCACCCATATTCTGTGCCCTTTTGCCTCAGGTACGGTCAAAGTTACCTTCCAACTTCACTCAGATGATCGTTTGTCGCATGCGGTTGTCTGACACACTCTGAAATTTTGTTCCTGAATCTTGATAGGCTGAGAAGGCTGAGGAAAGTGGCTGGAGTGAACCAGCTGGATTTCATCTCATACCGCTCCCTTTCGCCGATGATATTCGGGCCGCTCCTATCGAGACGGGGTACCGGGGTATGTATTGACTGACAGCCCTCCTTGAACGCAATCATCACATGGTCGAGGGGTGGATACGCCTGGTGTCAATATCTGACCATTTCGTTATCCAGCTTCCGATGATCTGAAGGATATTGCACATAAATGGATACACAAGATGAGCGTCAAGAATGGGTCTTATCCTCCGGATTCATATCCCAATCCTGGTAGGCTTACATACCATCATTTGACTTACATAGTAACCTCTGCTTCCTTGCAGCTCTTGCATATCACAATGCTCAGTTAGAAGCAAGTGCCTTCCGGGACGAATTCGATCCCGATTCGTTTGAAGATCACACCCTACCTAAACTTACCACAATAACCAAGGTAAGGTAAACATAGATACCTCAGGACCATACTAAACATAGATGGCACAGCGAGCGGGACCACTGTTGAAGGAGTGGAGACAAACCTTGATGAAAGAGGAGGCTGCCAACGTCGTAGTCCTCCCATCTGATGGAAAGAAACGCAAAGCAGTGAGTACACGCTGTACTTCTCAGGGATAATCTTGCTTCTTTGCCCGCTGCCTCGGGTGGACCGCCCAACTTTGTTTATTATAATCCACTTATGTTAATTCGTAGGAGGAATCGGTTGATGAGAAGAACCTACGCCAACTATACAAGAATGGTGAACTGCACAAAGTGGGTCTTCTGTCTTCCAGTAGCGCCACCGACGTAAACTGATGAACACCTTCGCATGCTTTCTTCACCCGGTGGCTCGCACTTAACTGACGTCGTTTGTAACCTATCTAAAGTTACGCGTGGATCAGCTGAAGGTGAGGTCGGCTCGAGGATATGGTCTCCGACGATGTCTTTTGAATGGTCTGGGCTCATTTGACAATCCGTTGTCATGGGGTTCCTGCACAGTATCTTGTGCAAGTTCCTGAAGGCTTGGTCTAGCTATTCGTAATTGATACCACTATGCTGGCATTCTATCATAACGACGAATTACAGTCCTCGCTCATCTTGCACTTTTCTAGACTTTCTGCAAGAGCAACGCGTTGTCGATTTCTGGCAAGAAAGCGGATCTGATTGACCGGGTCGGGGAGTACCTGGATACACATTCAGCCGGTGCGTGGCTACGTATCGCCTGACCATGACATTCTCACTGTTGCTTTAACAGAGCATGGCATAACGTGTTGACACGCTTATTCGTTCTCGTCAACGACACTAGATGCCTGTTCGAGCTAAACTTCATGGGAAACGATAGTCTTCGGATTATCATAGAATGCTTCTTCGGTCCCGACGGGCATCCATGTAATATTTTCCAGAACGTGTTCCTGCTGGTTCGTTCCTCTACGCTTCGCATGTATCTGTACCTTCAATCTAATCATACCTTTTACGTATCAACGTGGACGAGGCTAATTTCAGACACGGGTGTTCGACCTGCTCTCCGGGGTATGATGTGAGACCAGACTAAGGAGATGAATCTCAGCAGAACGACACCTTGGGAAAATATCAAGGATTTACCCCTGAAACCTTATTGGGCTGCCGAGGCCAAGGCTGCGGGTCGAATGGCATTGCTATCCATACCCCAGGGACAGGCTGTAGCCCAAAATCATGAACGCAACAGGATGTCGGATTTCACGCGTCCTTTCGCTCTCTGTGAGACCAGGAGAGAGTATTATGCGACTTTCGTTCTTTGGCAATGTCAGCCCTCTGGGCGCAATGCGCTATATACTAAGTTACCAGTAGTCGGGGCCGCACACATGAGAATAGCTTACGTTTTGTTTCAGGCGGATTCCATGGGATCCATATGGGCCGGCATCACGAGAACTGGTCGTCGCCACTGTCGGTGGTAACTTCGTTACTTTGGACGAGCATTGTGGCGCGAGAATCCAAGCTGAGGACGAGAAGTCTTTAATGATCCTCGAAATTTTAATTTATCCCTGCAGAGCAACTTTATCTGGCGGCCTCGTTACCCATACGGCCGCCTGGGCTTGCGCAGTTTGAGTTATTGCCAGTAAAAGACTCTTCGGCGAAGTATGTTATGGCCGAGGACAAAAGAAATGAAGACAACTTCCGTGTAACACCTGCAGGTTCTCTCGCGTTTTCTCCATTCAGAAGTTCTTCTATGCACGCTTCAGTCATCAGGTAAGGAAGATCGTATGTTATTTTCTGCAACAGTGCCTCCAGCTCAATCTGCAGCGGGGCCCGACACTCAATTACAATGATGCATCACAAGTTAGTAAAACCGGAAGGTGTATACCCCTTAATACTACCATGTTCTTCTCACTGGACCTCAGACTTTCAGCAATCTGAATATTTGCGCAGTGTGTTGTCTGGTTCTTGGCAACGACGATGCCCAAACTGGGAGTGCAGCTGGTGTAACGTTCATAGATAAGATAAGCAGGGAATTGTTATCAGATAACACGGAATTGCGCAATCTGTCGGATTCTTGATCTCCAGTCAGCATCTCCTCCTCTCCCTACTCCTTTCTGCAAGCAACAATCTAAGCTTGATAGGAACCTTCATTTTGAACTTCATTTTCTCGAGGAACTTCAATCGATATGGCTGCAGCACCTTCCAATTTCCATGTAATTAGCTCGACGGAACAGTTCCAATCGCTCCTTTCTCAGGATCTTCAACGGGTCTCATTGCTTAACTTCTGGGCAGCCTGGGCAGCACCATGCGGCCAAATGAACGAAGTTGTTCTGGAGCTTGCTAAGAAGTATCCCCAATTATTAGTCCTCCAGGTAAACGAACAACGGTACCATGCGATATTGGATTAATCTAACCTTCCGAGGTAGATTGAAGCCGAGGCTCAGTCCGACATCTCGGAGTCGTTCAATGTTGAAGCCGTTCCAACTTTCGTTGTACTGCAGGTATGTCCTATTAATCACTATGTTTCATTTCCACGAGTCGCTCACTCTGAACGCTTGTTTCATTAGGGTCATACCCTCCTGGGTCAAGTGTCTGGCGCAGACGCACCAGGGCTCACTAAACTCATCGCTGACAACATCCATGGGGTGTTGTCAGTGAAACCCCAGTCACATACCGACCAAAAGCCCGCCCCACCGAGCTCAATACCCAACGAAACGCCAGAGCAACTCAATGAACGCCTACACAAACTTATGAATCAAGACAAAGTTGTCTTGTTCATGAAAGGTAGCCCAGATACACCGAGGTGTGGGTTTTCTCGTCGGATCGTAGCTCTTCTCCGCGATCAGGGCGTTCAGTTTTCGCATTTCGATATCTTAATGGATGAAAACGTTCGCTCGGGTCTGAAAGTGCTCAACAATTGGCCGACATTCCCGCAGCTCATTATCAACGGAGAGTTCGTTGGAGGCTTGGATGTTGTACACGAGATGGCGGAGAATGGAGAGCTGAAGGAGATCTTGGGATAATCGACGGCGTCCAAGTTTTCTCTGCTCGTGGGTGTCTTGTGTATCCGTATTAATGACTTTGAATGTTGTATTTTGTAGATTTGCAGAGCATAAACTCAACTTGGATTTCAGACTCGCAATGTAACCCTAACCTTATGTAAGCTCAGCGCTCAACGTAACTTTCAACCTCCTGTTGGGCGTTTCTCCGCGATTTTATGCTCGACTTCCATCGTCACGACTTTCAAGAAGTCTAGGAAATCTTTCAACCCTTCATCATTGTTTTCCTCTGTTGAAGAGACATTGTGTCATGTCATTCATTGATGATCCAGAACTGCGAGCCAAGGTACTCAGCCTAGCCGCACAAGCGGATCGTGGTCAAGGCAGGTGAGTATATATATACTCACTTCAAGCACCTGCATAAAAGAAATAGACAAACTTTAGGTCCTTAGACGAGCTTATTGCTAGGTGGCTTCATCAGCAGATCCGCTAGCTCCGATGTTGACTCTATCACAGCGATGGCTCAGTAAGGGGCCAGGAAGCCCAACGCTTGCGTAACTTCTACACCTCAGAATGTATGGAACCTGGCCGTGATCTGGATTTCTATGGTCGTCTCCTTTTCATGGGCAACCTCGAAGCCGTGAAGGATGATTTTCATAATCGAGTGACAAGCCATAGGTCTAGCTCATCTTTTGACGAGGAAGCTCGAAAGAAAGCGGCAGACGAGCTATATTCGCTCAAATGGGGGCCGACACGTGTTCCAATTTACCAACTCTTATACTTCGCAGGTGCCATTTACCCGGAAAACCGTCAGAAGCAGTTGCAGGTGATGAGGTGGCTCATCGACGAAGCTAAGGTTTCAGTGGATGGACGAGATTTGTTGGGCTCGACAGCGATACATCTTACGCTTTCCACGAAACCTGGGTTCGACCCAGAAATTGCTCAGATTCTCTACGATGGTGGTGCTGACGTGAACCTTCGGAACCGGCCTGGCGCCAACGCGGCGCACGAATCGACCATGATTTTGGAACCGAACATCGTGGAGAAGGGCCAGACGGCAGCTAAAGCTGTCGATTGGTTCCTTACGCACGGAGGGAACTTGGATATTAAAGACAACAATGGGGGTACTGCGCGGAGCAATATTAACCTCTTACGCAAAATGCCAAAACAGTACCAGAAGACTTTCGCACCGCTTTATTCTGTTGTCGAGCGTGCGGATAAACGACGCAAGGAACTTGGTGATACGTGTTGCACACTTTGTGGCACCGTCCCAAACGGGGCAGCGAAACTCTTGTTCTGTTCCAGGTGTAAGGTCGCGAGGTACTGTGCACCTCCAAAAACCTGTCAGAAACTCGATTGGCCGAATCATAAAGAGCCCTGTGCGAAGGTGGCGAAAGCGTTGGATACAGCTAATCCACCGAAGAGGGCAATGAAGTAGCTCAGTGTTCGTGTATTTCCTCTCGTTACGTATCGTGTTGACTAGCGGATAGCTGATTCGATCCTCGTAACGAGTAGGTGAACGGATAAGAGTGTAGTCTCCCTCGAGCCTGGCTCATTGACCGAGCAGATGTCACCACGAGGGCTAGCGTCTCTTAAAGCTTGCTACAGTTCATTGTCACGCTAATTCAAAGTCAGAGAGACAACATTGGGACTTAGATACTTTCATCATGCTACCTAGAATATGCTCAGAGTCAATGAATCTGCATCTTCGCCTTTCGAGCGAAGGACATGGACTAGCTGAGCACTTGGTGAGCCTATCTTCCTTGGCTTTAACCTTTAAATGTCCTCCTTGTTGAGCATCAGGATGCACGTAACACTGACCCGATCTCTTTGATGGTTGCATGCCGATCATGGGAGTTGGCAAGAAATACGCCCGACACGTCAGCTTCGTACCCCTCCATCTGTTCCTTTGTTTCGCTCATCATGTCACGGATAGCCTCAAATTTTTGGATAACAGATGAGAAGGATTAAATTTCAAAGAATCCGCGTCATCGCATAAGGTACTGTCCAAACAAATACTAGACTGTCGATACAGTTCACAAATTGACCTGACTGAGATTGTCATTGCGTAAGACACGACGCGTGTTGGTGTTCTTCAGGTTGTCATACGCCATCGGGGCCAATATGAACGATGGCACATAAGCAAAAGCCATGAATTGTAGTAGTCATGGTGCACCACCTATGACTTCAGTGGTGAAGTCAGAGACACCAATCTCCAGGTTATATGTAAGTCGCCGAGAGGTATAATTCAGCTATCTTTTTCATTATGTCGGTGAGTGTATTCTCTCGGATCATGATGCATTGACAGAGTCAAGATTATGAATGATAGAAAGCAAACGTCATACAATCAAAGGAAGGTGAGCCCATCGAGGTCGGCGACACCGTGAGCACTCGTTTCCGAGGAGGACAACGTAGTGGAGAAGTGAGAGCGTGTCTCACAACAGATGGCAGCAATACTGAGCCCAAGGCTTGTGTTTGACAGGTCGAGGCTGTGATAAAAGATCAGAAGGGACTGGAGAACGCTGGTGACTTGGATGTAAACGTCAAGAACCCGCCGAAGGTATGTTTGGTCAACCATCCGATTGAACTATGACAATGATGACTGGACGACAGATACTTTTTACTGACCAAGTGAGTACAGCAACATATCTAGTTCATATGAACTCACCAATCTTTCCAATTCGCACAAATAGCATGGGCACAAGGTTGCGCATAACCCAGGGACGCTCAGCCATCGCAGTGACGAGTGATGGTGGCGCTGCATGTAGAAGCGGAGAAGGCTGTATAGTATCCTGTGTATCGTCAACGTCAACTTGAAGTGGTTGCGAGACGTCACCGCGTTACCGCTGTAAAGAACGCTATCAAGTTTGTGCGCTGGCGCACCATGTTGTGCCTGTGCTTCGTTCATCGGACGCAACGTGTAGTTCGACGATCTGATTCGGATGGAAGACACTGAGTAGCTCGTGTATCCGAGGCTCTCGTATACCTAGAAGGATTCTTCAATCCTATGCTGTATTTCTACTGTCGTCTTAACTCTATACTTGGTCAATATCTTGGAAAACGTGGGAAAGCAAATGAATCTCAACCTCGTCGTTGTCGCGCGTCAGATCGCGTCCGATCTCTGACCCTCATGTAGACCTGATATATCAGCTTGGTTGCGCTTTCTAGGTCTTTCAGAAACCCTCCACACAAGCTGAATCAGTGTATCTACAAGCAACTATGAAGGTCGATCCGTGAGCACACTTCCTACTCCGATTTTTTCCCTAATAACCCTTGATAATCAGAAGGATGTTTGGGCATATTCCGGGGATTGAGGTCGGCACAACGTGGAAGAGCCGGTGAGAAGGCAAACGCTTCATACTAACCTCGCTCTATGGCTCATATTAGACATAATTTAGCAAGGAGTGTAGCGATTCTGGAGTTCACGTAGGCATCCTCCAGGGAATTTATGGTTCCCAATCCGAGGGAGCCTACAGCATTGCTCTGTCGGGCCAGTATATAGACGATGATGACAAAGGAGAGACTTTGTGAGTGACCTTTCTCGAGACATGCCCTGTCCGTGTGGAGCTGACAACGAGCTAGCATCTATACTGGCACTGGTGGTCGTGAGAAAACCAATCAGGCTGGAAAGCGTGTATGTACAAACTTCATGTAATCGCTGGCAAATAGCTGACGATTGAAGTAGATTAGGCTAGGGCCCCAGACTCTGGATCAGTCGTTTGACCATCCCCACAATAAGGCACTGCTGGTAAGTTACCCTCTGTTTCCATTAAAGAGCGACTAAATCGAAAGAATCTTTTACTAGATTTCATCGGTCACTAAGAAGCCGGTGCGAGTCATTCGGGGCTTCCAAGGGAAGTCGAAGTACGCTCCTGCAGAGGGGTACGTATACGTTCCGTGGATGTCATGCTTTTAATCAACCTATTCTTAGGTACCGATATGATGGTCTATATGTAGTGGAAGAGGTGTGTATGCATCTGTGGCACCAAGCTATATGTCTAACGTACTCTCCAGGCCAGGACGGAGGTCGGTATCACTGGCCATAAAGTCTGTCGATTCCTGTTCCGCGTAAGTTGTCTACTTCATGTCTCCCAATCAAACTTTAAGTCTTGCTTCAGCGACTACCTGGACAACCAGAAATCCAAACTCTGGAGTATTGCCTAAACCTAAACAACCGTCCGAAGTCTAAACGTGCACGAGCTTCCACGACCACCACGACCACCACGACGCCTACTGTTCGCGTACGCCCAACCACCGGGAACAGCAAGCTCGCGCGCATACGTAAACAGATGGCGGCCAGACAAGCTGTCAACTTGGACCGACTTAAGCATATTCAATCATTGCAGAATGCTCAGTCTTCTAATGCCCCTGCGGAGAAAGATCATGCATTGCAGGCCGGCCGCAGACCCCTTTATCCTGGTCCATCTGTGCCCGAGTTGCGTCCGCCCCCTCCACTCGAATTTCATCCACTTTCTACAGACAATGACCCAGCATCGCATTCTCCGTCCTCTGTGATAGCAGAATCCAGCGGTGGCAGGGGGAGGATGCGACGTATTTCTATCCCACAACGGACCCGACCACTTCTTATTGGTTTGAGGCCTGTTGTCAAGAGCATTGAGCGTGACCCTCGTTTGACATCTTCCGCATCTGCGTCCACGTCTCAGAACAGTTCATCACGCCCTTCACCTAAGGTTGATATCAAGCCCGTCCTTGATCATCGTTCATCCTCTCCTTCATCTGTCAGTCTCCCAACACCCGGTTCGGCATCACTAGAGACTGAGGCACCTTGGAAAACTCATCAGTTTGGATTGAAGCGAGAGGTTAGTGTGAAGGAGGTAGATGATGACGGGGATGTCAAGATGGAGCCTGATGTATCTATCTGGTGATTAAGGTAAAGATTAAAGGTAACATGTATATGTCTTGCTCTTATGACTATTATGACTTTTGTCGCTTTGGACTTGCTTCGAGTTTAAGGCCTTTGCAGATTATGTGTATGCATTGCAAATTCAATACCACATGTATAGGAGGTTGATGGTTGTATGTTGTACATACAATACGAGAAAATGAAACAGTAGGGGTTCACGAATTATGCGTGTGAGGCTGCGTCAAGTCATTTCATGGCAACCTGCTAAGGGATATTTGTTCGGACTTTATGTGCACCTTGTTCATATCCTTAGACGAGTTGCAAGCACCGAATGATCTTGCAAGGGACCGATCGGTCAGCTCGAATGTGGTCTGGGCGTCGCACCGTAGACATCAACGTTCATGCTGTATCCAATTCATCGATCCGTGACAAGGAATGTACGTCTGGTGGATTAGTCCTGTAAAGCCTCAATTTCTTGAGTGCTAGTTTGCAAGAACGTCTCATAAGAGTCCTGATAAGTAGCTGCAACAAGAATATAAGTCGTATGCATTAACTAGAAACTCGGGAACTTTACCAGGGGTTCCAGCTTTGCTTCGGTAGCGTGCGACAACTTCCCGGTTATGTTTGATTGCTGCTAGTTGAGCTTGTTTAATCGTCCCTATATGAGTCTAATTAGAACAAGATTGAGAATACGCAGGTTTGGAAGGTACCTGAGACGTGAATGACGTTTGGAATGTACTTTCGACCCTCGATTGAGGATAGGAAGGTCACGCCACCCCATGCGATCTGGTGTTGGTCCCGGGCGACGCGTATGATACATACATTTGTCGTCGGAGAGTAGTACTTGACTGATAATCTATTCACTAATATGACTCTCAGAAGTATGGGATGAAGGCTTACTCGTTAAGGAGGTGCTAACAGCACCCCATCCGATGTCACCAAAATTGTTGATGACGCTCTGTTTTAGCGCAGACCAGATCTGTCTGCTGTTCATTTCGTTACCGGCAGTCGGCTGATAAGTTGTGGCATTCGTTCCAGGAGAACATGGCAAGAACTCTACTAGTAGCCAACGATTCTGAGGAATAGAATATTATTCATACATTGACTGACCGAGGACAAACGAACGTGAAAGCAAACCTTGAAGCGGACCATATCCGGATACAATTACATCCACAAATGTACTACCGCGCGACTTTGTTCATTGACGAAGCTGTGTTTTTGAAACACGAGGTGCGTTGTGGACAACTGCCAGAGAGTTGCGCCGGTTAATATCTTCATAAAACTCCACCGATCAATGATCTGGAGGTCCCTTTTCACCATTTTGGGAATGTGCAGTATTGCGGGGATGCAGGAGGAAGCGCTTCCTCAAGTTCAAAAGCCGGTAGCATGCCAAACTAAAAGTGGGCAAAGAGCTTGGTTATGGTGTACAAATGCTGGCTAAAGAGCTACTGATACAAGTGAACGAAGTAATGATACAGACGATGCTTTCTACAGTAATGATACCTATGATAAAATGCGGAAGTCCGTGCAATCCGTGCAGTCCGTGCCAAAGTCCGAGGATATAGTAGGCTCATCTAGTGTCTATACCGATCAGCGCAAAGAGCAATAAGAACAAAAATCAGAAGACTTCTGTGTCCTCTTCGTCGTAACCGCCGTTCTCTTTCCATAGGACGTCCCTGACAAGCAAATCCGCTTGTCGTACTTCAAGCAACGTCCGCAAACGCTCCGCCATTTCATGTTTCGAGCCTTCTGCCAAGATTTCTGCATTGTACTGGGCGTGTGCAGCAAGATTTCGCTTGAGTGCGGTGGTGGATAATTCCGAGACCACCTGTGGGTCGGATATCATGGGAGCTTCCGGCTGTAGAATATATTTGCTGCCAAGTTCTACACAAATTACCATGAAAAAACCTTGATATGGGTTGTAAAATGGGCTTACTTTCAATATATATTTCACACTGACGAGCTACCTCGAGCTCAATGGTATGCGCTCGCTGGTTGACTGCGGCGCAAAAGCGACGTAGACCAGGCATCGCGACATGGGTATCGAGGAGGGTAAGGAATCGTAATTTGTGTAGAACAATCAGCGCTGGAATCGCATCATCGTCAATGTCGGGATTAAAAGCGATATCGAGCTCGGTCAAAGAGCGCTTGAGAGAGACCAGGTGGAAGATACTGTAAATGATCAGGAGGCATCAAAACCCGCTTGCCGATGTGAGAAAAATCAGAAAGAAAAAACCGACGCCTCATTTCCGATTCCTGTGTTGCTGATCCAAAGGCGGGCAAGGCGAGGGAGATGGTGGATACGTTGCAGGTCGCTGTCGTTGAGTCGGGTACCATTCATGTTGATTTCATTTAGAAAAATAAAGCTATTCGGTTTTGAAAAGACTGTAGGGAGTCGTAAGACATCGCAGAGCGGAGGAATTCCGAATTACCGTGCAGGAGATCACGAGCGTCCAGGTTGAGACCTTCTTCGTCTGTCATGGAAGCTGCCAAGTCGAGGCATTCGATCTCCGACATGCGAAGGAGGTTCAAGACTCGAGCATTGAGGTTTCCTGAGAATATGCCATCGTACAGGGATTCCGTGGGACCTCAAAGGAGATACGGACCGTCCATTGACAGGATATCTACAATCCTTTGGTGCGTGTTGGCGTCAAGTGCGCGCAGCTTTTCCTTGAGGCGGACGCCAGGCAGAACATTGGCAAGACGGGATATCAGGGCATCCAGACCTCGAGGAGTCTCAGTTCCGATTTGCGGTCCGTACAGCTCATCTGATCAGACAAATTAGTATAGATGCATTACATGAGGGGGACCATGACGCATATACCTACCTGAACAATAAAGGTGACGACGGAAACATTCTAGTTTGAATAGATAACAATTACGAGAGATAAGCTAATTGTTACCTTCAAGATTGCGAACCTTCTCGGTCAATTGGTCTTCTGGTAATTCCCGGTTTCTCTGGGGCATCGGCTCATACGGCGAGAATGAAGCTTTGACTGGAAAGTAGTGCAGTCTCTCTGCTCTTGCGCTTAACTCGAAGGACCCATCATTGACCGTCATGGCGGACTTCTCGCGTCTGAACGGTCCACGGAATTCACTAAAGGAGTCTGAAGTATGGACATGCGAAGGCCTTGAGCGTTTCGATGGTACATGACGCTTTGAAGGTTTGGAAGATGTGTTATAAGTACCGGCTTTATTCTTCCAAGAGGGGATAGAACGAAGAGAATCAGCCTCAAGACTGGAGCTAGAAGAGTCGTGTCTTGTGCGCGTAGGAAACATTGCGGCATTTGCGGGGAAGTAATGCAGTCGCAAGAGGTCTTCTTCGGTCAGAGATTTATCAAGCATGTTGTGAAATGAAGGAAAGAAGAGTTCGTCCGTTGTACGCGAGAGATCAGGTGTGCGTGCAGAGCTATGAAGACGTTTGTTTGAGTAGACCTTCTTTCGGACGCTTTCTAGGAATGCGACTGCAGAAATTGACGGGCAATATAAAGGGTTTTCTTCATCAATGACTGGGGCTGTATGGGACGTTAGTGCTGGCATTTTCGGGACGTGGCGGGGGATGATGGTGGTTAAGACGAGAAGGACGTTAACGCGTACGTCGTACGCGACGATCATACTTGGAAGCGTAGAGAGCAAGCGATGGTTAGGGTCAGGATCAGGCGGGCCGCTTAATGCCGTTACGTGGTTCGCTTCGATCATTCTCACTGCCAACTTTCACCATGTCTGTCAGCGACGACGCCAGCGTTCAAGCATCAATAGAGGAGGTTTGGTATCTCAAAGAAATCACCTTCAAGTTTGACCGGGATGCTCCACCACGTCGAGTGAAGATAATCACTCAGAATTTCAACGGGTCAGTCCCGTCTCCGCAGTTACCAATCAGAGTACAGTGTTCACGAGCGTGTTGCTTAGACCATGTTCCCTCATTGCAATATGTCGGTCATCTCTGTTGCAGTTTGAATGCACATTAGACTCACCAATTTGGACATATAGGTAACATCCTGCTTCTCCGCGGAGACATCGAGATATTGCCGCCTGAGAGGAAGACAGTCTCATACGAAATGCTGTCCCAACTGGTCGGAGAGTACCTCCTAACGTCTTGTCCAGACGTCGACATATCTGCCGCCTTGTCAATAATGCCCCACACGATCAGTGAGTTATGCTGTTTGACGGTTAATGACTGACCTTCTGAACGTGCAGTCAAGAGGGGATGGATCTAAATCCAGTGTTTACCGACGCCACCCGATTCCGGCCGGCAGGCGCGGGCGGCGAACTGAAATTGTTCGAACAGGCTGGGATCAAGCTGCTTCACGGCTGGCTTGTAGACCCTGATAGTCCAGAATATGCTGTAGTTTCTAAGACGAAGGACTACGACCATTCAGTCAACCTCATTGTTGAGGCGGACCACATATCAAAGGGCCGACTTGTGGTCGCCGAAGATGACCATGGACCTGGACCTTCATCGTCATCCAACCAGGCCGGGCCCAGTGGAGCCAGTAGTATCACGGCTCATCCAAACCTCACGGACGACGAGAGGAAGAAAGTGGAAGACGGCAAGCTTTTACTGTTTTTCCCGATGTGAATGGGAAACGCATCTTCTGATACTGATAGAACACCGCATTCCTGCAGCCATCGTGATTCAGCATTTCCTGGATAGAACACAATCGCAATTAACGTACTACGGGCTCTTTAACCTCGCCTCTACCCTTTCTCCAGGCTCACTCGTAGCCCTCTTCCGTAACTCTCATTTATCCGTGTTGTACAAATCCCCCAATCCTGACGATAGCGCTCTTTATTCTCTCGTAACCGATCATGTGTTTCTGCATGAGCCCTCGGTTGTGTGGGAGCGTGTAGAAGACGTGGAAGGTGGTGCATCCACCTTCGTTGATTCCGAATTTGTTCGCGCGAGTCCCGCAGGTGGCGATTATGCCGGACACACGGGGGAAAGTGCGCTGGCAGCCCTCGAAGCGGACACGGCAGCCATGACGCTAGAAGAGCGAGCCGAGTGAGTTCTTTTTTTTGATATATACTTGATACCGAACTTCTCCGCGTTTTTCATGTGAGCTGACGATTTGTTGCAGTCATACATTGGCGAGAGAGCTGCAAGCACAGGAAGACGCAGAGGCGCGAGAGGTTCGGGCTAAACGGGAGAATGAACGTGCACAGCGCGAAGGACAGCGGCGACTGACAGAGGAGACGAAGGCGCCAGAAAGGCATCGGAAACGCAAGAAGGAGTGTATCATAATGTGATCCAGTTTTTCCTGGTTTAATTGGGGAACACCCCGCCCTATTTCCTGCTTTATCCTACTGTATTGGTGAGAATTTCTTATCGGTGTGGGATTTTTCATTGCTGATTTTGAAAATGAACCCGGCCTAGGTTTTCTTCATGTAGTATGAATGGATGATACCTAGTAGGGCTACATGGCCCTAGACCTCGGAACCCCTGAATGGCGTGTGGGGGTGCATCATGTATCACAAGCTCACACAACGCGTTACCAACTCTCTGGACCTCAGCTACAAACATATTCTCATCCTCAGCGTTGAACTGCCCAGACTAATCCCAGCATACCCAGAGTCGTCATTGCAGTATAGAAGCTCGAGTGGGACGATCGATCGTGGTCCTCCCATGACAATTACACATAATTGACTGCATCCTTGCCTGGGAACAGGTTTCTTGCTGTTTCTTGACACGTCTGTTGTTCGGAGGTCGGTCTTCTCCCGCGAAGCATTGTCCACGCCCTTTACAGGCGGTGTTAATCCAGGCTTGCTAGACAGCCTGCATTCATCCTCACTGCGATGCTTCCCATCGCTCGATGCAAAACACCGTTGAATGCTTCACGAAAACCGACTTCCGATCCTGCCGGTATGTGATTAGATTCTTCCACCCGATGTATTTAGCAGCAAGAAGGATCTACACCAGGAAGTTCGCACCGAACATTGCACCTTTGCAATGCGGTCAATTCTGGGGTTCGGACAAAGCTGATTGTCCATTTAACAGCTCTTAGCGTGGATATCCATTGCACGTTTTCATCGCTTGAGTATCACGCCCTGGCCTTGGCTCCAGAACCTGGGATATCAGCGACATATCCGTTCTCCCTTTGACGCTTCGTAAGGGGTTGCTGACAAGTTTTGCAAAGCGAGACGCTACGATACGATGACTCCGGAGGGACGAGTGGCTCATATGAGACTCTTGATGGAGTTACTTGCGTTAGGCTGTATTGTTTTCTTTGTAGAATGTCACACTCTGACTGGCCGTCAAATTTCAGGATCAGATGACCGGAAAAAGACGGATATCTCCTCATGGCAGCTTGAAAAACTATGTACACGCTTTAGCCCTTTCCAGGTTTTTTGCATGCCAGACATTCGGTATTCTGGGCGATTGAGGCTGCCGCCTCCGACACGTTGAATGTCAGAGGACCCCCCCCCTCCCCCCGCCCCCTTGAGTATGGATTATCTATCTTATCAGCAAATAGCAGTGAACCAGTTATGATATAATGAACGTTAACCCAATGCGTGTGTTCACATTTGTCGGTTTGTTGCAGCATACTTTTCACATCACCGCGCTCCGAAACAAGGGGTAGTTGCGCCAGGCACGGCACAAAATTGAATATTCGGCTACTTTCCAGCGATTGCGAATTTTGCCTGATCGCCTTACGCTTGAAATAAAGCAGAGTGTACTTATGTATGTGGATGTGTTGGATATTCGTTCGCAAAACGAGTCCGCCTGGTGGTGATCCATGTGTTCCAAATGAGGGAAGGGGGCGTGGTAATGAATTTGTTCCCGCGAATAGCAAGTGATTGGGAAAATGTGTAACCTAACAAGAACTATAACTCCTATATTGGCCGAAACAAGGCTGGTGCGGGATGAACCGTCGACGGATTAAGAAATACACAATGAAAGGATCGAGCAGAGCGGATCTCTCGATCCCTGTCGATGCTTCTGCGGTGTCCAGTACAAGCACACTTTCCGCCGACTGCAGTACTTGCATCCTATTCTATGCAGGGGCCATCGAGAGCAGCATATACTAGCTGTAAAGCTGAGGCTGTCATAGGAGGGCAGCCTCGTCTGATAGAAAATCGGGCGGGAGAACACGTGTTGCGGAACCAAAAGTGGAAGTGCTCCGGACGATACTGTTGTGTTCGGAGTTCAGGCCGCACAGAGGGAGGCCGGCGTCCGGTGATGTACTTGGTACATTAGCGGCGGATGTGTGTCTTTGACTGACTGTTCTGCCTCTGTCGTTCTTTCCGTCTTACGACCATCTACTCTGATAACGTTTGTTACCTACAGTCGTACAGAACTTAGCACATCGTCAGAACTTCTTTGTGTCCGTTTGTATCTTTTTGGGCTAGCGTTCGGTGATCATTTCCTTTCAAGCGAGCTTCGCAACACTTTCTCGCGGTCAACTCACGGAAGCCTGTCTCTGTGTTCACACACCGAAGTAAGCTCGTGGTATTCAATTCTGGACAGGCCCCTCAGATCCGCATCATGTAGCTCTTCGCTCTGGGAAAGATCCAGTCGGAACAGCACAAACGCTCGTGACGGCAGTGTGTGCATACTTAACCATCAGTAAGTTCTTGCGTCCCTCTGTGTCCCTATTGTCCCCGTTACGATAGTTCTTTCACCTCGTATTTCCGCCATGTCTTCGCCAAAGTTGTTCCCCCTCGTCTGTCTTCTTCACCCTTCGCATATCTCCTTACTGACGCTCCGATCATTCGCAGCCTAATTCGCATGCACCGATGGCTATTGACATCTTGATTGTTGGTGCAGGTTTGTGCCATGGTATTGCTTGTTTATCCATTTGTCCTGATGTGATTTCTTTCAGGTCTTAGTGGACTTGCCTCCGCTTTTGCCTTGCAGAGAGCCGGTCACCGTGTTACGGTCGTAGAAAGGAGAGATATTTCGCTAGTGAGTCGCGTCACATAATTACCCTGCCGTAAACTCGTTCACACCGTTCATAGGGATGGACAGGGGGCGGTGGTTGTCGGTTACCACCCAATTTAGTGAAGATTCTCCGTCGGTGGGGGATGAGCGAACAGCTTGCTCAACGTGCACTCCCTCTGGATGTGCTCCATATGCTTCGATGTACGTCTTAACCACGTCTTCATCTCATCCGTGCTAGCATGCCTGACAGTGTTCGGCACCTGTAGTTGAGACTGGGGAATCTCTTGGAGAGCACGTATGGGCCGAGGAAATGTTGCGAGAAGCAGAGGGGGATTATGAATTGATCCACGTGCGCTCTTTTTCTACGCGCTGTCATGTTAATGATTACGTGCTAACCCATCAACTGTAGTATCACGACCTGTGGGACATATTTCATGAAGCTGTACTCGATGCAGGGATAAAGGTACACTCCGGCGTAGAGGTCGCTTCTATCGACCTCGAGAAGAGGATTGCCACTCTAGCAGACGGTTCCATCTTGTCCGCTGATTTATTCATTGGCGCCGATGGCACCAGAGGCATAACTCGAAAATTGCTATCCGACGGGATAGAGAAGACCCCAGTCAACGGGTGCACGATGTACGAGTAAGTATTCCTTGCATTCTCTTTAGAACATTGTATATGATACGCTTCGTGCTAATCTTTCATCCACTGTCATCCATCAGGGCGACCGTTCCGAGTGAAAGCATACGAAATGTCCCTGAGCTGAGCAGTCTGGGGCTTGGTCCAAAGGTTGGTGTGGCTGTCGTTCCCATGTTTCGTTTCTCATACTCAGGGCTTGTTGGTAGGATCCGAATAAAATTATGCTATTCCTTGGCGAGGGACACTGTATGCATTTCTTCCCCATCGTAAGCCTTCTTAACAGATAAGAACTCTTCTCGGTCCCTGACCTCTCGTCTGCAGCGAGGACGCAAGGAGTTCGCCATTCAGCTGTGTATAGCGTACAATGAGAACGAGACAGAGCCAAATGGAACGTGGGGCGACGCTGCGTCAGTATCGCTTTTGGACGTCTTGCCTCGAGTGGTCGAACCAAGGTACGTTACCATCAGTCAATCAAATGTGATAGTCTCTCACAGTGTCTTATCCGACGTCTTCGATCACACACCAGAATACGCAAGTTGGCGGAGTATGCTCGTTTAGCAACACGGATTCGTTCGGAGAACACCAAGCTTTCGACGTGGGTACATGAGAGTCAACGGCTACTTGTGATCGGGGAGAGCGCGCATCCATTTCCAGTAAGTCGTCCTTGTGCCCTCTTTTGCTTACACGTAAAGTTCACCATGACGTCTCTTTTAATTCAGCCTGGTGCACAACAAGGGTCCGCACTGGCCGTGGAAGATGCTGCCGTACTAGGGAAGCTTTTTACGTACCTAGTAAAGGAGGAGCAGATCGGCAACTTCCTTTGGGCGATCGAGGAGCTTCGACAAGGTCGATGTGACAAGTGTCTACAAGAGGAGTACGAGCTATATCGTTTCCTCACTTTTCCGCCAGGGCCAGAACAAATAGTACGAGACGAGGACATGCGTGAAAAGTACCTCAGTGGACGCAAGGATTTGCGCGTTGGAGACGATGTCGCCGCGAAGCAGTGGGAGGAACTGCGGACAGTGTATGCATATGATTGCGAAGACGAGGCCGACAATTGGTGGATAGAGTGGGGTCTTCTTCGAGAGCGTGCGCGCGAGCGGAACGAATTCTATACCAACGGTGAGGTCAAGTCAGCTTGACCCGATCAATGCTCATCGATCGTCATTCATGCTCGTTTCCTCCTTTCACTTTTTTTGGGTCTTCTTCGCTCCTGCTGGTTTTATCAACGTCCTATCACGCTTCCAACGTCACGTTCTCAAGATGCCTAGAGTGATATCCCCCACATTCCCCATTTATGCTAACGAAGCTCCATACTGCCACCATCTTCATGCATCCATCTTCTTTTCCCCGTTCATGTCTCATCATGACTGTTTGTCTTCCATTCCCATTCTCCATTCTCCATCTTGCTTTGCTTTGCCAGTGCTCACTCATTGCTACTCCACGTCGTCTCGGGACTCTCTCTTACGAACCACCGCTTGTATTCTTTTACCTAGCATCTGACTTTTTCTGATGTTGTATCTCTCGCTGTTCGTCTGGCAGACTAGGTAGAGAAACGTTAGGCAGGTCCATGCCATAGTGCGTAGCAACCTGCATGCCCCAAAATTGATCGCATAGATAATACCCCTATCGTTTTGGTTGGAACGGACTGGGACGCCTTTTTAATATCAACACATTTTTCTCACTTGTCTGAATACCTGGCCCTTGCCGCGTAAATGGTTGCGTCGTGTGGTGCTATCTCCAAATGGGTACAGTACGACGGAGGTCGTGAAATCATATTCCTTGCAGTCCGAGAATACAAACTTGTCTACAGCAACACGAGCCCAACGGTGCTCACTGCCGTCAGGCCAAGGACAGCATAGCCAGCTTGGTAGGCACCCTTCAACGTCAAGACTATTGATGTAAAGTGAGTTATGGCGAACAACATATGCGGTAGTAGAGCGGCAAGACTCACAATAACCCGTGTCCCACAACAAATGGCGGATACCGTTCCAAGAGTGGAAGGCAAAAGGCGCGGCAAGAATGACCTTTCCAGTATATTTGACGGCCTCAGGGAGACTGTGAACGAGTTCGACCACGTTCGCTGAGGCAAAAGTCTCCGGAGCAACGAGGTACGCAAGGGCATAACTGTACAGCACTGTCAAGCATTAAGTATCAATATTCCCGGCATAGTAATGACAGTGTGTGACGTACAGACGCTGAGCCCCGCTCCAGTAACACGGTTGGCGATGGAACTTATCCAAGTGAGTTGAGGTTGGTAGATGGTGAAGTGCGGACTTGAGGGGCGTTTAAGACGTTGTTGGTTCAAGATGATCTCCTCGGCGGAAGGACGCAGGCTTTGCGTCTGTACAGTTCTGCTCCAAATCGAGAAGGATCAATATCATAGACGGTGTTGTTAAAGCAGTCCTTGTGTACCGTTTGACGAAGACATTTCGCAGAGCCTGGTTTCGAACTGTAACCAAATCTTGTGAGTTATCGGCCGTAAGGATGTTTTGGACAGATAGTACCAATTCGTGGCGAGGCGAACTGTCTGAGTGCGGGTCCAAAACCAAGAGCTCTGGTGGACATCATGGTGGAAGACAGAGGGAAGGACAAGAGAGGACAACTGTAGTCGTTGCAGCCAGTCGCCTTGCAGGGAATTCACGAGTGACGATGCCGGGTCCTTTCGGCCGATCCCGTTCCGGCCGGGTTACCGTCGTCCATATATGTCAAGTGAGCTTGGAACGTTGAACGTTCAGTGAGCAAAATAATTGCCTCGCGTAGAACATTTAGCGTAGGATAGGAAGGGAGAACATATTTACTAGACTTACATCTGGAAGCGGAACACACCACAGAAACCCTCGGCTTGGAGCAAAAGGTCCAGGTAGATAGTCAACGACGACAACCTAGTATCTTGATATCTGGCGCGATGTCGTCTCGACGGTCAAGCAAGGTGCCCTAGTAATTCTCGCCCAATACGCCCTAATGTAAACATGGTACTTGCGTGACTTCAGGACTCATCCCACCAATTGTCCGAAAGTAGAACTGACCAAAAAGTCACAGTAGAGAATTCCTTCGGTTATAGCTCGTTAACTTACGCCTGGATTTTACGCTGCTCTCCATGCGATCTGCCAGTGCCGGTGTATCTCTTAATGTTCTTCAGAGGGCCATAATGCCGCGATATTAATACTTACCACATATACACCGACGAATTACTAAATATGGCAATCCCGATTATTGATGCGCTTATGGGCGCTTGTGTATGTAGTTGGTCCTGTCTTGATCCATTCACCACTTCAGTTTGGGACAGTTCATTAAGTCGCTGTGTAGTCCGTTCTAACACAATGCGATATTTTATCAACAACAATACCCGGGATGAGCACCATGCCGAGGAAGAATACTACTCTGGTGTGTACACTGAGTACTTTGGAACCTTTAGAAATGCTTAGCCTTCGAAGGCGAAGATCTAGATGACCCTCCTTCTGAGGATGAGGATGAGGATGAGGATGACACTACCAGTAGCTCTGAAGAAAGTGGCGAAGAAATGGAACATGACAGAGAGGAAACGGCTGAAGTACAATCCCAAAACGATGCAGATTTTGAGTATGTATTAGTCCAGTTAAGGTTCTGGGCTGTTGTTCTGAACTCTACCATACAGCCGCCTAGTCGCGCAAATTCGTCGAGGAGATGGTGGCACATCCGCAGGAATGCTGACCAAGGAGTGGGATTTTAGTATGCAAGACAAGGAGGCTGAGTTTCGCGACGACTTACGCCAAGCATCTGGAGTAGGCAAGCGCAAAGGCAAGGGGAGAGGAAGGGGCAAGGTATGACTTCTATCATGCTTAGGTCTCACCATCTCAATGCCCCCTATCTTTAGCGTAGGACCGGTCCTGTGCTCTCGCAACAGGTACGGGCTCTTATTGGAGAGGGCAATCAGGCGTATATCGACAGCGATATACCAGAGACAATACGCATCATGCAAGAGGTTATCCGTATAGAACCTCGCGCAGCTTCCGCCTGGTCTGTTCTGGCGCAATGCTACGACAGTCACAACTTGAATGAGCCGCACAGAGCGTTGCAGCTTCGCATCATGTCTGCTCATCTTAATCAGGATCCTGACGAATGGGACCAGTTAGCATTGGAGTCAAAGTATGGCAAATATCTATATGTACGTGCAATATGCTGACAGAACACTCCTAGACGCATAGGCTACCATCAGCAGGCCTTGTACTGCTACAGGAAGCTGTACAATCTCGAACCTTCGAATACGAATGCACTGTGGGACCGCGCGGCACTCGCCAAGGAGATTGGCGACTTTCGAATAGTAATACATTGATCTTTACATACTCACGAGACTACTAACCCTTGCGAATAGGCCCGGCATTCTTTGTTGGCCATTCTTAAACAACTTCCACACGATCTAACGGTATTGGACGAATTGCGCCCTGTTCTCATCGAGACGAACGAATTGGAACTCTGCGCCAACTTATTCCAATCGGCCTTCGAACATTACCAAGCCACCTTCCCCTCAGGGTCCGCTACGAATGAGGCCGGAGCTGATGTTCCTGGCGGTGGTTTCGGCCTTATGGAGGTCCTCGTCCTAGCCGATCTGTACAACTCTAGTGGCGAATACGTCATGGCCATTGTCACCATCAAGCAAGGGTGCAGATGGCTACAGGGTCGTTCTAAACAGACATTCTGGGACAAGGTGGATGATGACAGAGAATACGACGTGGCAGATATGAAGATTGACAGGGTTACTGAGGGTGAACTTGGTGCGGGTATGTACCCCCTAGATGTGAACGCCAGACATCGATTGGCTATTGCTCGAATCAAAATGGGCGATATTCCGGAAGGCAAGGTTAGTCCAGCGTCGGAGTGATTTGAGGTATCGGTGCACTGATGGGTTCGTGCGTTCCCATATAGATTCATGCAAAGATCATTTTGTCCCAGAATGTCGGAGAATATGCGCCCTTGTTTGCAGAGATTGCAGACGCATACTTTGACAGGGAGATGTACGCCGAGGCGGGTCAAATATACGAAATTCTTGGCGCAGACACAGAGGTGCATATGGTTTCCCTCCAGACGTTGTTCCAGTCTGAATTTTGGCTAGACCAGTAGTTTGTATGTCTTGATGCAAGCAGCCGCTTGCCGAAGGATGGTAGGCGATTTGAAGGAATCTGCCGAAGTCTACGAACATGGTGTGTTACCGCCACACTCTCAAACACATCTTCGTATACTAATATCCTGAGTAGTTATTGTCGCGGACCCCACTCACAACGATGCGAAGATGAAGCTTGCCGAGATATATGAGATCTTGGGAGAGCCAAGAAAAGCGTTAGATCTTGTCATGCAAGGTATGCCTCCACGAAACATTCGCTCCAGTTTCCTAATGCAGCAACATCCCACCTAGTTATCGATTCACGTCGAAGGCGCCCTGGTCGAGAGAAAGAAGGCACCCCACAAGGCGATATCACAAGTACTTCGCTCTTCGAAGAGAAGGCCATCGCCAAACGCAAAGGAGTGGTCGCCAAAACCCAGAGGCTAAATATCACTCAACTGCGGGAGCTAGAGACGCAGAAAGAACAAGAGGTCAAGCAAGGATACCACCGTGTAAAGGAACTTTGGCCTCAAATGCTCGCTGGTGAGGAGGAGGCTGTCAGAGAATGGCTGATGGAGGCGGAGAAACTGGTCGAGACATATAGGGAGACGCGAAACTTGTTTCTGACGTCTAAGGTTCGTTCACATTGAATGTCATTATATTGCTTCCAGCTGACAATGACCTACAGCATCCAGGCTTCAGGGGAATGTTTCCCCGTTCGAGGAAGAGAATCACCGAGGCTACCGAGAATGACATGGCTTCTCGCCTCCAGCTTGAGTTAGGTTAGTCGTCAATGAGATGATCTTAGTGCCTTTCCTGAGATGATTCTTGCAGGTCGAGACACTATAGCTCGAAAGTCAAAATCTGATGGCTCTGGTTCCGGGGACTTAGACTCTTTCCGGACCGTCAAGTTTGATGATTGGCTCAGACTGTTCATGCAGGTCCGTACTAGGACTCCATCATGTCATTCCCGTATCATAATTGTTCTCTCGCAGTATGCATTTGTCTTGACGAAACAGGGAAACTTCGACCAGGCATACGAGGTCTTGCGACATGTTGCATATTCCAACCCGTTCCAGAAGCAGGACATCCAGGATACGATCCGGCTTGCCATTATCTGTGAGTGGTCTTTCTCCCACTCATCCAAGATAGCTCAAATGCTGAGATTCTGTCCAGCGTGTTCGCTTGTTGGCGATCAACCTTTCAAGGTGGTCGAATACTCACGAAAGCTTATAAACGTCCACCAATTTAACAATGAACCATACCGAATTATGCTTGCGTCTCTCGGAAGTGGTCTACGTGCGACAGACGGCTTCCTTGTCTCGACGCTCTCCAAGCACATGTTACGTGAGTTGAGAACTCACGCGGCTGCATTAAAGAACTCGGATACTTTACGGTGGAATCCAGTTTCGAAGAGATACGCTCCTGTTGGCACGTCTGTTAAGGACGAAGAAGAAGATCTTGAGGCACCGGCACCAGAAGCTGGTTCGTCGAATACTCATCTGTCATCCGGACAGACCAAGCTTCCGACGAAAGATAACCCGATTTTGGTTGCGATGTATGGCCAGATATGTCTCGCTGCTCGCAGTTATCAAAGTGCTTTATGTGAGTCCCAGAGTCGACCGATTTAGTTGGTACTGATGTCTGTATGATTCAGTCTACTTGCTGCATGCGTACGACTACTGCCAGGAAGATCCCTTGATATGTCTCTGCTTGGCCGTTGCCTCTATTGGTAGAGCCATGCAACGTCAAGCGGACAACAGGCACCATTTGATAACACAGGTAATCTTCGATTCTGGTCTCTTGTATGAACCAACATCTGACTTTGCGTGACGAATAGGGCATGGCCTTCCTGACCAAGTATCGTAACTTGCGTGGCGGACTCGCGGACGAGATGGATGAAATAGAATACAACTTTGGTCGTACTTTCCACCAATTAGGTATGTCCCGTGATACTGACGTATGGCGTGACTGACTCGCATTATCTTTGCCAGGTCTGTACACTCTTGCTGTAAAGCACTATGAACGTGTTTTGCATGTCATTGAAGAGCGACTACGTGTTAATGATCAGGTATGCTTCACCCAATGTTCTACTCCCGACTTTCGTCTTTTCTGACAGTGTTTTGGTAGGCGGATTATGGTGTCGCTCTTGAAGCAGCGTATAACTTATCGCTAATTTATGTGATGACCGGTGCTACCCCTCTGGCACAAGATCTGTATCGACGCTGGCTTTCTCTTTAGTTTATAACTTAGTTCTGTTGCGAATTTGGATTGCGACCAATGCCTTTCTAGCCTCCGCCGCTTTGTATCAATAGCACCATTTGTATATTATGCTATACCACAGCAAAAGTACTGTATCCATACGCACTATAAACGCATTCGAAGACATGCGACTGAGTACCCGTCTATTTCAATTAGTCGGACTAGCGATACTAGTCTGAAGAGCAGGGCACTATCGTTTAATATGGGGACCCGCCAATGACTTTGTCGGATGTTTCACCTAGTACTGTTAACGTGAAGATAGCAATGCTCGAGTGCTTGCTCTATCGCCGTACATGCACGGAAGTTAAATGTTCTTGCCGTCGGCCAAAAAGATACGAAACTACGCCGTTGCGAGTGGATCCTGCGAGTCTATCCGAAGATATACAAACACTGAATCAGTCTGATTCATTCATGTCTCAGGATACCGACCCACATTGTACCTACAACTGAGCTATGAGTGACTCAAACTGTACGAAGTTGGGTTGCTTATCCATGGAGTCTAGTTGATTAAGACAAGCAGGCCACCCTGCAGCACGTCAGTTTAGTTCATGATGGTAAGCCTAACAGCATACTTCGGGTTACATAGAAGGTGTTACAGAGAGCAGGGTCCCAATGTGACTGCGATGAGCACTGTGCGGTCCAACTACTGCAGAAGAGGAACTTCGGCAGTGGCCTACAATACACTGAATTGAGCAAAGAATGTATGAAAACACACCGAGTTTCTTCTGGAGCTGAATGTGACCTATTTCCAATAACGCTATCGTAACAATGTCGATACGTACAGCGTGCGTAAAAACAGCGAAGTTGAAATGTCATGAATGTAAAGGCCGGACTAATTAATATACGAAGTAAACGAGTGAGATCAAAAGGGAATGGTTGTCCGAAACAGTCCAAGATAAGGCACAAAATCCGTCTATGAAGAAAGAGCGGGGAACTGTCAACAAATCCAGGATGAGGATGTACAAGCAATGCGGGGCCGACTGAAAGGCGTACCTATGGACCTCTACCGGAAGGTAGGCTGAGCACCTCTCACCCTCATTCGACCGTCCTTCAGCTTCTCCGTGATAATGGGGCTAGCAGCAGGTCGGAATTTGTAATCCTTCGAGTACCTGAGGGCAGCGCAACATATTCAGTGCCACAACTCTTTGACACCGCACCAAAGTCCTCCGTCTTACCTATTAGCATGAACGACAGTCTCCTTGGGTGGGCGTGCATAGAGAGGTGTCCGAATGGAATAAGCAACCCAGAAGAGAAAGAAAACCGTGATGACGAGTGCAATGCGTTTCCAGAAGGAAGGTGTGGGTGGGTTGAAGCGTGGGTCTTCATTCAGCCTGCGGTGCAGCACATTCACGTCGCTGGTGGGTTCGACTTGATCCCGACGGCCTTTGATATCGGCTTTGTCTGAGGACATGTTGCTAGAATGCAACTTAGCAATGAAGGATGAGGAGGGTTGAAGAGGGAGTTAGTGAAGGTCAGTGATAAAGTCTATGAAGGTATAAGAAATCAATCGCAACGCATAGAAACGGTTCCTGACGACCAGCGTCTTTTCAATATTGCTTGGATCCATTATTATTTTTCTGGTTCTTGCTTTCCTCCTGCCTCATTGCCTGCTTATTTGCTGCCTGCTAAAAACGCGGTAATACGGTTCATCTGAATAATTCAGTGGACGCGTCCACGAGACTATATATTCACGAAAAAGAGACCGATCTAAAACCGAGAACACTAGCCAAGACTCCGAACCCCGACGAAATTTTGGGGGGAGGTAGAGATGCAGGTCACCCATTTCCCCAGAATACATTATGATTCACTCCTCCACCATCAGCCATGCCTACTCTCGAAGAAAAGCTAGCCTCTGCGTTAAACGCTCGTGAAAAGAGACAGATTCGACGCAGGCTTTCGGACCCGAAGAGCGATGAAGATCTCGTCGACTTTCATACAAATGACTATCTCTCATTGTCGACTTCACCGGACCTCCGTGCTCGGTTTTTGAACAAGTTGCATAGTGCGCCGAGTGTGTTGGGCTCTGGAGGAAGCAGACTCCTCGTGAACGGCGAAGCGCATCATGCTCTCGAAGCTCGTCTGGCCAAATTCTTCAATGCGCCTACCGCACTCTTGTTCAATTCGGGGTTCGATGCGAACGTCGGATTCTTCTCATGTATACCGCAACCAGGCGATGCTGTGGTGTACGATGAGTACATCCATGCGTCAGTCCACGATGGATTCCGATCTTCTCGAGTGAAAAACGGTATCTTCGCTTTCGAGCACAACTCTCTCAATGCTTTAGGCGAACTTCTTCTACTCCTATTGAAGGAACATCCAAGCTTGTGCTCTGGCGAACAGAGTTTATTCCTTGCTGTAGAGTCTCTTTACAGCATGGATGGCACTCTCGCCCCATTAACGCAGATGGTCGAAATGATCGAGACCTTATTCCCCAAAGGGAACGGATACGTTGTAGTCGATGAGGCACACGCAACAGGCGTATATGGTCCGCAGGGGAAAGGACTAGTGGCCCTACTAGGTCTTGAACGCAGAGTGCTCGCTCGTCTGCATACTTTCGGCAAGGCCCTTGCTGGATCTGGAGGTTAGTATTCAAACGTATATTCTTTCATCCTTTGTTGACTGGTTTACTGGTCCATCCAGCTGTCGTCCTTACAAACACCCTTATGCGAGATTACATGCTGAATTACGCAAGATCATTAATCTATACGACCTCCCTCGGCTATGCCAACGTCATATCTGTTGACTGCTCCTTCGACCTCCTCGAAGATGGCACGGCCAAAAAGGTCTGCCAGTTTTTTTGTTGTACGAACTCTATGCTCACTTCTCGTCAGCTTGCAACGCGGCTTCTAGACCTCTCCACTCACTTCCTTGATACATTACGCACACAGCTTGCAATTTACTCTATTCCAACACATATCCTTTCCCTACCACCTCACATCACGACTCCACCGCCTGACTCTCCTACACTCTCCCCTTCGCTTTCGCACCTCCCGACGCCCATCATCCCCATACTGACGTCCCAGCCACGGCCGCTCTCTGCGTATTTGCGGGTGAAGGGTATGAACGCACGCCCGATTACATGGCCAACTGTACCTAAAGGGAAGGATCGGGTCAGAGTATGCTTGCATGCAGGGAATACAAGTGAAGAGGTTGAGGGTCTTGCTTTAGCTATGGTTCAATGGGCTCGGGAACAGGTGAGAGGGAATGAAAAATCGGAATCAACAACTGTACAGTCGAAGTTGTAAACTCGTAAGTAAGACATACAGTACAGTAGTGTTATTAAAAACAAAATACCCTACGGAAACTCCGGTTGTACAATCAGTGCCTGATCCTTTTCCCATCGTTCTGCTTTATTCGTGTGTTCGCACGTCGAGGACCTTAATATTGATACAGTAACGTCATTGCTTGACATTTCTGTGAACGTTGCGTTGTAGCGACGTAGCATAGCGGCATAGCCTTGTTACCGGTCGTGATGCCCCAAAAGTTCTAGAGTTCCTCGGCTCTGGAGGCGGCGAAAACGCGAGATGCGTATATGTATATAAAGTTAGGAGAGATGTCATCTTCTTCACTCACTCGCACCTATAGGCTACACGATGACTGCAACAAAGGAGGTAGATGCTAAAGCCCACCCCGTGAAGCAAGTCACGGTGTTCAGGTCTGGTAGAGCGGAGGTAGTCCGTTCATTCACTCTCGAGCTTGAGGTAAGCTGTCGCTGCTGTATCTCGCTCCTTATACGTACTGAATGCATTGAAAGGCTGGCGACAATACGATCGAGATCTCTCATCTCTCCAACTCTATCGTTAAGAACTCAGTTAGAGTTTCAGGCGTAGGAGGTGCTGCTCGTCTTGCTGATGTCGTATGCGCTGTTGCTACTGAGGGCTCCGTGTCCCCTGAATCCAGTGATGCACGACAAGCTCTTGAGAAGAAGAGTCAACACCTTCTGGCCCAACAGAATGTCCTTGTCCAGGAGATGGACATTCTGCGTAATTACGCGAAGTCCCTGGCAGGCGATAATATCCCCGCCAAAGAGATGTTTAAATTCCTTGAGGTGTTCAGAGAGAAACAACTGAACACTCTAGACGGAATTTTGGCATGTGAAGAGCCTATCAGCGAAGCGAAGGATGCTCTGGAAAAGGCGAAGACCAATGGAATAAAGGGACGGGCAACTAGCACGGTGACTCTTAGGGTCTATGCAGAACAAGCTGCCACAATCACCTTGCGACTAAGATACGGTATGTACACAGGTCACGATTTATTGATATCTGAGACACTGAGCTTTCATCTTGCAGTCGTCAAGAATGCAGACTGGGAACCTGTATACGACCTTTACGCTTCCACACAGGACACGAAATCCGTCAAACTCGACTACCGTGCCCGGGTGACACAATCTACGGGCGAAGACTGGACAGACACTGAACTCACTCTGAGTACAGCAGCTGCGCTGTCCAAAAAGATTCATTCGCTTCCCACTTACAAACTCAGGAACACATTCACTAGCATATTCGCTGGTTCATCCGGTAACTCGAGGCAGAATGGAGGAGCAAGCCTCTTTGGTTTTCCAGCCAACTCACAGCCGCCACAATCAGCATTCGGTGCACCAGCAGGCAGCACTACTGGCGGCGTGTTATTTGGAGGTGTTTCGGCTGCACCTGCTGGAGGCTTGTTTGGTAGTGCCTCCAATACGTCTTCTTTCACCGGTGGCTTATTTGGCCAGTCAAACACTTCTGCTCAGTCTCCTACACCAAGCGCACCTTTTGCAGAGTCGACTACTCAGCCCGCAGAGAATGCTAGCTCCACGACAAACTCAGTCCCCCTCTCAGAAAGCGTTGCTATTATACGCAATAGCACAATATCCGCTTCATACCTTGTTCAGGGCACTATCAAGATCCCCAGCGATGGGAAGGAGCATACAGTCTCCATCGCTTCTCTTGACCTGGAGGCTGAGGTTACTAGGGTATCTGTGCCGCGTATGCGAGCGGACGTCTATCTGGAATGCAAGGCGAAGAATGTCAGCGAATATCGCCTTCTTGCAGGGCCCGTTAGCATCTTCCTAGACGATGGATATGTGTCGACTTCTGCTATTCCTGTAAGTGTAGATAGTGGTATCTTTTTCGGTTTTGGCTAACATATTGACTGTCAGGATATCGGGACTAATGAGACTATCGAATGTGCTTTAGGGGTCGATCCATCCATTCGCGTAACTTATGAGCGCGTCCCTACGTATTCTATCGAACCTCCAAGGGCATTCGGAAGTCCGCGTAGATCCGTCACGACCTTCACCACTCGTACCAAAGTGCACAACAAACATTCGACTCCCATCAAACGAGTCATCATCAGAGATGCCCTGCCCCTCGGAGACGAGACCAATAACTTTAAGGTTGTATTACGCATACCGGAGGGTCTGGTCGATGCGTCGGATAACGAGGAAGTGAATGTCCGAGAAAGCACTGGTGGTGGGTCATCCAAGCGCAAGGTGCGATGGAGCAAGAAAGTGGATGGAAAGGGCGGAGAGAAGGAGGGGAAATATGAATGGATCGTTGATCTTGCCGAGGGAGAAGAAGCCGTCTTGCTTGCAGAGTGGGATGTTAAAACACCGATCAACGCAAGTTGGGAAGAGGTTGCGGAACATGATTGACGAGTGCATTTCTATTCTCTATATACCCCTCATGGACCGGACACTCGACTGCCCAAGTAGTGTTGTACAGTACTGTAAGATAAGGAGGGCGTTTATGTAAATGAGGTTTGTATACATGTAGGCGAGGAAATGAGGGTATACGACGTAGGTAGCGACAAAGTCCCATGTATGTAAAGAGCGAAATGTGAAAGCTAAACTGAGAACAGCATGTACACGATGGATGATAAATAAGTTAGGACAAGTCCTTGAGAACAGCGATATGTTGGTCGCGTCGTTTGACAATGTCGGCGTGAACAACTATAGATCGCAACTCCAACTCTTTCTAAAAAGGCATGCAGCATTAATCAGATGAAATACGAGTCTAGTCGCAGAGGTGTTTACGTACCTTTATGAGTTTGTCTGCCTTCCACATACGATTGGGGAGGCTTTCTAAGGCGACATACACCGCTGGTATCGATTCACAAACGAGCAATTCCTGCTCGTTGCTTCGAAGGATGGCCAAAGCAATGCGGAAGAACACGTCTAAGCCATCAACCAGGAAAACGTCCCAGACCCTAAAAAGAGTCTGAATAAGGTGAGCCTTCGAATCCAGTACGCTGAAAGCTGACCATACCTCTATGGGCAAACAATCCGTAAACAGTGATAAAAACCAGGAAAAGCATATAGCAGGCAAGTCAATGCCCAACCCCGTTAGATGTGAATGCAACTTCGGCAGCTGCTCTTGAACATAGTCTTGAAGGACCAGTGGGCAAGCCCTGGAGCTGAGCAAAGAAGGCGAGAAGAAGTCTTCAGGTAGAATCTTCTCAATTATCGCGGCGAGAACCCAGAACGCTTCCTCCTCGTCGGCATGTACCAACAGGAGAGTCGAAGTGACTAAGTTCATACCCTGGCAATAACCTACCGCAGGATTACGTCTGTATGCCGCTCAGCATATGACTTGTGGCGATTACTGGACGGAACAGCTTACCGGCTATATGCTGTCAACACTCTGCGCAGTTTGTCAACTCCAGCGCCTGTCCGACCAAAGAAAACGTTCAAAGGCATAGTCCGACCAACGTCCTTCTCAATCTCCCTCAAGACGCTAGTTTCGTGATCAACACTTGAAAGTAGGTCCGTGAAAAGACCTGGCTCCTTCATCTCCAGTCCTCCACTACATTCCATCCAAACTTTGGATCGGTATACTAAAGGTATACCAGAACGAACAAGTCTGTCGAACTCTCTTCGTTCATCACGGTTGGAGGACAAACCCAACTGCGCAAAGCCAATCAAACCCTCGGTATGAACAAGCTCTTCATCGGCAACTGCAGTTCCAAGGCCAAGCAGCGTAGCCACCCCTGTTCCGGAAGATATCGTAGCTTTGCTCACGTAGGAAGATGACCTAACGGCGGTGGCCTTGCTCCGTTGATTGACAAGCGCGTCCCATTCCTTGCGCTGGGCCTTCTGCCGCTGATCATGGATCTCTGTGAGTTGTGATAGAAGCTTCCGAATGGTGTTTGAGCAAACATGTCGAGGTGTATCAGCAGTGATAACAAGAATAGCAGAGCTGGACGTATGCTGCATTGCAGCAGGAGACTTTGTACCGCCGATGGCAGTGGATGAGCGCTTTCTAAGTCTCGAGGAAGCAGGTGAAGCGGCACGAGATCTTTGGGAGATAGTCGACATAGCATCCTCCGTTGCATAAGTCCTCAGGGGAGGTCGAGTACTAGATGTCGTCACACTGAGCGTGTCAGCCATGTCGTCTTCGGCTTCACAGTCGCACGGCCCTTTAACAATCTCCATCGTGTTTTTGCTGTTACCATCGTGGTCATCATCCTCCGGCCATACATTGTCTTCTTTCCTATCAGCGATCTTGATTCCTGTCAGACATGCAGGAGCAGTATTCCCACACTCTTTTGCACGAAGCAAAAGGAGGAAATCATACTGCGAAACCTCGTAGATGAATCCATACCGATCCGTCATAAGGTCCCGAGCATTGCTATCATAGCTTGGAGAAAGTAAGTCCGAATCAGGTAAAGGAATGGAAAAGTGGAAGTCCCTAGACGTCAGAGGCGTATACGTCCTTGAGAGGTATTGTGTCGGAGGCTTAGCGTTGATTGGGATGATCGACTCCAAGGGCACGGAACCAGGTTGCCTGGTCTTCTGAGTTGTAGAGGGACCGCTGCTTGGCTGTAAAGTAGGTGATATCGAAGATTCCGCGGCTTTCTGCGACGGTTCAAAAGTTGGACTCATCACCTTTTGTTGCTGCGCCATAAATGATCCGAATAACGGAGATGCGAAGGAAGGCAAGTTCACGCTGCGCTTGCGAGCTTTGTGAGTCCATTGCTTCTGCGCCGTGGGTTTCATTGTTCGTGCCACCGTGGGCGTGAGGTCAGCATCACTGGAGGTACCATCACCACCACTTTGTGTGCTTTGTCGTTCAGGCCGCGATGATAACCCTGTCCTTCGCTCTTTACGCTCCTTCGGACGCTGTTCACGTAGTTCCAAACCCTCCTCACGAGCATTTCGTATGAGCTCGAAGGCCATTTGAGCGATAGTCGGACTTGTCTCTCGTCCTTGGTCAGATAGAACGCTAGAGGGATCAGACGTCATCAATCGTGTCGCTTGCACAATTGCCCGCAATGATGTTCCCTGAGGGGGCTTTCCGTCCACCACCTTGCGAGAGATAGTGGACGTTGGGGAATCGATGTATGGAATTGAGGGTGCCGCTAACGAAGGCGTGGAGTAGTCTGGTGTGCCAGTGAGACTCGGTGTACTGTCTCCATTGCCACCCGAGATTGACTGGGTGGTAGGAGTGACTCTGCCGGATTCTGGAGGTGTACCGGTGGTTGCTGCAGAAGACTGATGTCGACGTTTCCTTGCAACCGAGGAAGACGAGGAGTTCAAAATGGAGAAACCTAATGTACCAAATACGCTTTTCGCAGCTCTTCGCCGGCCACCCCTAGTCTCGAGTATTGCACGAGTTGACGCGTCATCATCGTCTACCGCATCCTTACTTCCGCGTAGGGTAGGGTCATCATCTGTGAAAGGAGATTCCGCTCGACCATTCTTTGGCTTGCCCTTGATCCACCACGTTCCCATCCATTCTCCCAATAGAGGTCGTTCGGATTTTACGCTTTCAGTGGGATTGCTCGAAGTATCAGCACCTTCTTTCGCGTCATCAGCGGTACCAGCCGCCTCACTACTTGGTGATTCCTCTCGCACAGGGACATCATCCTCAGTACGCGTCTCGGTCACCGTGGGCATCTCGGGCGTGGGTGTTAGCTCTGCATTGTCCGCGTGGCTCCTCAAGATAGGAACTTCGTCCTGGATAGCTTCCGTCAATGATTCAGTCAAAGACTACTTCAGAATTAGTATTATTTCTCCCGCGGCGGAAAGAAAATTGATAACCTACCACCATGCTATGCTTCCTCTGTACTTGATGATCTTCCTCCACATCATCAGGGAACAGCGACTGAAGTACACGTCTGGCGACATCACGTTCTGAGGGGAGCAATTGTTTCAATAGCTCCTCGCCTCTCGCCTTTCTAGCTGTCTCTTTCTCCAAGAGCATTTTTCGGCTTTCCTCGAGTTCAGTGCGTGCCTTTGAGAGCCGGTCTACTGTAGAAGAGAGCACACGCAAAGCGGTGTGATAAGGATGGCTGGAACTATGCGAGGGTAATTCCGTGGAGTCAAGACTCGAAATAGTTGATTGAATAGCCTCATCAGAATATTCATGCCACCTGGTTGCAAGTACTTGTGAAGTGACATCATTGTTAGGCTGGTTTGAAAAGAGACTTTGCAAGTTTCCCGAAGCTTTATTCGACGGCGTGAAGATGGTACCACTCGCTGACTCTACGACAATGATCGGAGCAGGTTTGTCCTTCCTGTCTCATTTTATTTCAGTATGACGGCCAACCTAGTGTTCATAACAGATGACACTGACTTGCGATCACCATACCCGCGGACACTGCCGTCCCAGTTTCCACCCGTGTGTCTCGTGCCTTCCTGAGCAGAAGTTTCGAGTTGAGCCTTTAACGTAAAGTAGCTGGTAGTCGGTGATTTCGTCAGGTCTCGTTCTTCACGTCCACGCGATCTTCGACCTCGCGATGAACCTTCGTCGGCCAAGAGAGGATGAGAATGTACCGGAGTTGACAAATGAGCAGGAACAGGTGAAGTCATGTTTTCCACGATATCTCAGTCGGGAAAGAAGTGGTAGGTTAAAGCATGGAGTGCAGTACACGCTGCAAGTTGCAACCAAGCACGAGAGCGCTGTGTTACGTTCTATTGATCGTTGTCAATCCAGCATGCGAGCCAATTTGTAGCGATATGTGCTGTGCCGTTCACCTTGAACAGGGGTTTTCAAAGGAAACGGAAGGTTGAAATGAAAGAATGAGAGGAAATGAGAAAGTAAACAACTCGACGTTGGAAAGTTACCGAGGCAAAGTGAACCGGGAAACGATACAGGAAACAATCCAGGCGTCTACCTCTTCGGTAATAGCCGGCCGGATGCAGGTCTCAGCCTCTCAGGTCTGTTGTCTGCAAGCGAACGAAACTTGGATTGTAACCTCCATTCCAGCCTGATACCGTACTTCGCACTGTCATGGGCTGGTTCAACAGCCAGAAAAGCGAACCAGACTCAGCTCTCAGACGTGAACGCCAAAAATGCTGGGAGAGCAGGGATGCCTACTTCGCCTGTTTAGACAAGGTCGGAACCGTCAAACCAGGAGATGAGGGCAATGCATGCGCCCCTCCTAAGGTCGTATACGAGCAGAATTGCGCAAAGAGCTGGGTATGTGTCTGATTTTCTGCAGAATATGATTTGAAGGCTGATCGCTCAGTTGGGCAGATTGATTATTTCAATAAACGTCGTGTACTTGCAGAACAGCAGGCAAACGTCCTTGCACAGGTGAACTCGCAAGCAGCGGATGCAAAAAGAAGATGATCGGCATATCATGCGACAGATGTCATACTACCTGGTATACGAACAGCATTATTGCAAGATGTGCCAGCATTCCTCACTAGTTTACCTAGCTCTTGCGGCTCCGTTTGTTGGGTATCACTGGTGATTTCCTATATAATTTAAATATCATGCGCCTACGCTTATCCGTCTATCATATGCATAGATAGAAGATCTTGCTGCTCGCGAGAAGCTAGTAGTTGAAACACGTCGACAAGGTGCATGCTCGGACAGCTTGTCAGTTTTGCGCTTGCCCGGACCAGTGATTCCGCTCGTTCATACTCCGTTGCAAATACACATGGCTATAATGCGTTCGGCCCAATACTAGTTGCGTTTCCACCTTTGCCAACCCCGAGTGCAGTTTGACCGGAAGCGCTGTGAACTTAGTGTTTACCGTGTCTTCTCTTGGGTTTCCGAACTTTCCGACGCAGTATTCCATGCATCATCATCGGTTTGAACATTCTTGATCTTTGATTCCATTCTGGCCTTATCCTTGACTTCAGGATAATCCATCTCTGGTGCGTCAATTACGGATATGATTGTACACACGAATGTGTTTTATCACGACACCTCCCACCCCGTTCCCCGCGTCTCAATCATCAATGTTTATCCCCACAGTACCAAGCTCTGGGACGCCGTTTCACATCTTCGGTCAGTCGCCGGACACATGCAGTGCCTGGGAGGCGCTGACATCACCGTTCCAGTGAGTAAAGTGAGTTCAATTCTGTTGTTCACAGGGTCTTCTGAGCACTGAGGCACTGGCTTACCTGGCATTTGCAGGGGCCCGCGTCTTCGAATGATCCTATTAGTTCCCTCTTGTCCACAGTACACTGCCAGATGTAAATGATACTGAGTTCTGCGGCGCTTCGCCTGTGCCGCATTGCGCACAGGACAGCCTCAAAGAATGCTCAACAACGATCACCGGTATAAGATGTTGCTTCCCGTATTGCCTTGAACAAAAGCCAGACTTGATCGCATCTATATATCCATATAAGCTGTTTGCCGAAGTCACTTTCCTGCAGGCTTCCCACCTAGGCACCCCTGGTCAAGCACCAGTATAAACCGCATTCGCATCGCAGAAGCGCTATTTATTATGAACAACTTTGTTCTGACTACATTCTTCGACGCTTCCACTCTCCCCAGCATGGATTACTCTAGTTTGTTCTCTTCTGGCCTTAGGGTTATGGCTTTGCGTAAACCCCGACCGTCGTCCATGATCATCGATAACTCCCCTACGAGAGGGTCCCGGCCAGAGAGCCCCAGCTTCTCTCCCAACCACAAGAGATCAGAAAGTGAAAAACCAAATCTACACAAGCGAAGGACCATTAGTACTTCGCATGATCACTACAATCACGAGAAGAATGGTCTTTTGCGTACACCTACTCTTCCTCTCAATTTCACGGATGGGAATGTTTCGAGTCGAAGGCATGCCATCATGGATAGGCCACTGCCACCCGTCCCTCCAAAGTATGTGATCACAATTGCGTGCTACCTGGCAGAGGCTTAACTATATTTCTTCATATCAGTACTGCGACTTTGCAAATTGACGGTCCCTTCGTTGTACAGTCCAAAGCCGCTCAGCCCCTCCGTATATCCCCTACACCATCGATGGTTCACCTCCCTATCCCATCATATCGACAATCACAGACAGTGCCGTTCAAGAGCGAGGCTGACTATGCTGATCACTCGTTCCTCTCACTCGCTGCCTCTCCGACCGAGAGCCCAGTGAAAATGTACTCTGAGATGGATAGGCGACCCGTCAACACATCGGTACAAACACAATCGATTCGCCAACATACGACCTCTACTTCGTCTTTTGAAAAGGAGAGGGAAATGGCGATGGAAAAGTATTCAAGGTCTACACCGTCGAATAAGGCGGTTGGCTACTCCTCGACATCGGAGCTATTGGACGACCCCGAGCTCGATTGGAGATACATTATTGATAATTTCCTGGAGGATGATCTTCCTAATCTCTCGCTCTGAGTCCTCAGTCCTTCTTCCCAAAAATCCTACACATCACAGCGTTCACATGCTTCCGACGTACTGCCCCATTGTTTATTTGCTAACTTATCTCTTCTTCTGCTACCGTTCTCATTGTCATAGAAATACTTCCGACTCGTCTTTCACACTACCACGGACAACATACATTCTAATGTTTTAGTCATTCTAGGCTTCTGGATACTTTTTGATTTTGGTAATGTATGTGTATGTCGTATGTTGTATCCATTAGATCGTCCGCGGATTTCTACATGCTATCTCTATGGTCCCTCAAAGAAAGAATATGCATAGTCGTTCCTTCGCTACTTCCTGGTCTTTGAGCTGATTATGTGCTAGAATATATTGGAACATGGGTGTATGGCCGCTTGACCAGGGGCTCGCATGAATAGGAACGAATGTCCTTCCACAAGTGATCTGTTTGAACACGCATCCAAAGCAATGGTGACTTATCGGCCGTAGAAAAGGCGGAGGATACCAAGAAGCGAGGACCACATGCCGTTCTACACACAGTGATCATTCAATGTTGATCGACGTGATCGACAACGCGGCGACTTCGCGCGAGAGAAGAATAATATTGAAAAAAAAAACATTGCCAGCGATACTCCAAGCTAGAAGGTAGTGTAATATAGGTATACATATCGAAAAAGAAACGCAGTCTAAAGAAAAGCAATGAAGAAACTTGAATACAAACGGCGACATTTAGTAGAAATCCTGGCGGAAAGGTTGGGAACGCTTTCCCGGCCATTGGCCACGAGCACGAGCCTTAAAATGACCTGTCCCACCGTTTATAAATCTTTCGAGTCCGTAGACCAGGTCGTACTTGCCAGGTATCGTATATAATAAGTTACAGTAACAGTATATCAGGTATATCTCACCGATGTCTCACTAAATTCACACTACTTCTGCTCCCATATCCACCAGTAAAATTCAAATCCGTTCGCAGACGGCCATCTTCATCAGGCAAGGCCAAGCTACTTCGGTATCCAGCAGTATTGGAGGGTATCGCCAGATTACCAACACCCTTCTTCGAATCCGACGACGAGAAAGCGTTACCCATGACAGGCATGCTCAGTCGTCGGATCCACCCTTTGGGTTTCTCTGGCCGTAGGGTGATAGGAGGTTCGAGGGGACGAGGGTTTCTCGGCGATGGCGGAGCATCTCTTGCTCTGTATTGTGATGCTGAACAAGCTTCGCAGCCGCAGTAGGGTGCATGTTCTCCTGGAAGAACTGGGGAAGGAGCTGCACTTATGGGTGAACGAGAAGATGGACTGTGGTTATATGTTCCTGTGGTATGGACAGGGAGATGTGTCGAGCTATAGGAATGCAGTTGCTGAGGACGAGTCAGAGGTGATGAAGACGGCGATTCAACTTGCGGTCGGTCAGTGATAGGGTATCGGTTAATGGAATCGACAGCTAAACCGTGCCTCGCATGTTGTAGTTGTATCCTCTGTCTCTCTAGTTCCTTCGACGACTCAAGGATTTCGTGTTCTCGAAGTCGTAATTGATGTTCACGTTCCTGAAGCTCTGATTCTCTTGCTTCAACTATAGGCTGCTTCAGCAGATCAGACTCTTTCGAGCGTATTGGAGACCGGTTCGAACTGGAAGTCTGCGATGAAGTCCCCGGTTGGTCGTATGACTGCACATTGTGAGGTCGAACGTGAAGGTCTGATGAGACACGTCGACGCCCCTCGCTAGGCGAGCGAGGTGGTGCAACTTGATTATTGCCACTGGTTTCGTAGCGATGAGCCAGATTCGATACACTGAGAGGCAACCGAGGGACTTCTTTGGGGCCAGGCGAGGGCGGGCCAGCCTGCTCAAGTGCCTTTGTTAACATATCCTCGCTGATATATAGATAGGGACGTACACTGCGAATATACTTGTCGCGTAAGTTAGCGACAACGCTTCCGCTACTCCTACCGGTATCGTGCCGTTCAAGTGTCTTTGTGTTGGATGTGCCAGACTTCTGTTGCATGGCGTCGACACTCCGGCGGATTCCGAGTTCTGTGTCCAGCAGGACTTCCTGTGGTTGAGTTCTGCTTCCGGAAGGCGAGGTAGTAGCCGTTGTAGAGGCAGAGACAATCGCATTCTCTCCCGAACGAGTAGGAGCATAGGATGGCATGACATTTGAAGACGACGACTGGCGAGAACCCTGCTGCGGAGACACAAGGTCTGCAGGCTGTTGATGATCATCTGAAGCATCTTTAGTTGTGGTGCGAGCAGGTGTCGGGTCTGCTGATGCTTGAGAAGAGACCGGAAAGGTGCGTTGTTCTGAAGGCATGGGATGAGAAGGTGTTGTTTTCGAAGCTTCATAAGGACTATTCGACTCGGCAGGGGTATCATGGTCAGGTCGACTTTCTCTCGTACCGTGAGGTACTGATTCATTCGAAGAAAGCGACGTAGACACAGGTGGCAGTGGAAAATGTGTCGGCGGTGAAGGGAAGGAAGCGAGCGAAGGAAGAGAAGTGGGAGACTGGCTACGGCCCCTGCTATTATCATGTTTATCAGAAGGACCGTCTAAAATCGACTGTGAAGCATAATTTGGTGGAGGCCTCATGGTACCAGTAGGTGTGGGCCCCCGTGAGGTGTACTCAGGAGCGGGTTTGTCTAGTGTTTCTGGAGTGTTATTCTGCTGTGGAAGTTGCTCTCTACTCGGAGCAGTGATAATAGGGTGCTCCGACAGTGGAGTTTCGGTGTCTACATCCTGGAATCCTTGAGGAAGAGGACCCGTCCAGCCGCCCTCACAAAGGGCACGCCATTGACCCAATTGACCAATCGTGGGTCCGAATCGGCGTACTCCTTCACAAGAACGTAGCCATTCGCCATCTGCAACTCGAGATAGACATGCAGCAATGCTATACGAAGTCTCTGTATGGCGTATTGTGACGTTGAGGGAATGGTTACTACGAGAAGCAGGTCAGACAGTAAGACCCTACGAGGGGAAACGAGTAGACAGACTATTTGTCTTGAGCAACCTCTGGACCAAGGGAACTAAGGAGTGTGATATACCGAGTATGTTCATCTTGTGCGTCGCGAGGGTTCTTCTTTGACTTCTTCTCATATAATTGGCCGGCCTGCTTAATCTTCGCGTTTGCACTAGCCATGCGTTCATCGTGGGCTTTCTCTTCTTTCTGCAAGCAGACGAGTTAGTGCTAGATAGCCTTGAACACTTATGCCACGCACCGCGAGCTTCTTGAACCACTTCTTCACCTCTGCACTAATATTATCACATTCCTTATCCGCGAACTTGACGAACTTGGAGTCAACCTCTGCGAGAGACTCAAATATCGTTGCGCTCGCATTAAGGGCATTTGCTACAATAATCAATGTATAGGAAAGACGGGTGATCGTCGAGACACAACATACCGGCAAACTCAGCAGTCGACTTGGTCGATGCAGATTCGCGTAGCGCCTTCGCCAACTTCTTCTGAATTGTCACAATTGCGTTGGCGGCTTCACAATAGTCATTCAGAATGTTGACAATGGCCTCGATGGACTTGCATGACTTGTGAATATCTGCTCGTTCCACTATCGCGACGCCCGACATGAAGAGAGAAGGTAAACAAGCGCAGTCGAGCTACTAGGCAGTACTGTCAAGGTGTGTGAGGTACACCGACTAGCCGAATATGGGCAGATTGGGACTTGTTGTGATGTCGGTACATTTCATTCTTTCTCATTCCTATGTCTCAATTCTTCGGTGCGGTTCAGTACTTGATCACATATAGGTTCCTCAGCTCGGATGCGAAGACGAGAGAAAATCATTGAGTACCGATCAAGTAGGCTGCCGCGGAAAATCTCTGTCTGGCCGATCAAGTCCGCACTGCCAGACGGAAAGATCGATTAGGATCGTTTCTCCCTTTGAACCAAATGCACCATTGACATTATGAATGAACGGCGTTGCCACTGTCAATGTGCCAATCGCTGTCTGTCACAACGTACTAGTATTCGAAGGTCGCTAACGTTCCTGAACCAGTGCACAGGCACATCAGAACAGGCAGTGCAGGCAGTGTGGATGTCCTAGGTAGACTTATAATGCTAATCGCCCTGTTTTTCTGATTCAGTATGTATCATGAGACCTTCCTTCGAGATCTACGCCAACGAACTCTTTCAAAGAGGCCATGGTCATCCGTTGTGGCAGCCACCGCCCTCAGTCCAAAGAGGCCAAGTTCTCATCGGCGACGTTGGCTTCATTGACGAAGGATCTTGGATTCGACTTTTCAATGCCATCCCGGGGAATCAAGCTGTCAACACTAATGGCGTTCCCAAAGGATTCCAGCCTTTGATACTCGAAGATGAGCATATTGAACGATTGGAACACTTCCTCAACCCTCAGGTTTTATGCAGCAATACAATCAGAGAATTTCGTGTCGAAGGACATGCGTCCTCGTCAGTATACCTGATAGTTTTATGATGAATATACCATGTTGACCTTCTTCGTTGCAACAGTACTGCCGCACCTCTAGACGTGGTATGTGGATATACGTGTACGAACACGTCTGGTGCTTTACTATCTATACGCGACACGCCAGTTTCTGAGAAAGTCGTACGCTGTTCCACAATTGTCGAGTATATACGCCAGCATCATGCCAGTTGGTATCAATTCGCTCGGCAGCGGAAATACAATGTGGATAAGGAAGAGATTGTCATAGTCCATGGTTGGGTCAAAACACGAAGCTGGACTGCAGCAGCCTTTAGAGGAGAAGGCGCTTCGCTTGAATTGAAGATCAGTACGAAGCAAATTCCCCATGTCAATCTTGCCTTGGATGTCATGTCCTCGCGTACTATCTCGCAAACTCCAGAGCATCGGTCGGGTCGTACCGTTGGGTACTCTGAGGGGGAGATGGCTGATGCTTCTGAACCACTTCCGGACCAATGTGTTTTCCTTCGATACCACAAAATCAAGTACAGGCTTGGCATCTTTCCTGGCATGAAGATAGCAGGGAACGCAGAACCCCGTGACCATTTTGATATGCACGATGGCCCAGATAATGGGGTTGGAGAAGTGGTCTCATCTTACGACGTAGAGATTGTTCCTGGACAAACCAAGGTAACAAGCACATGAGCATTCTAACTCAATTGTCTAAACAAAAGTGTTTACCCCCACCTAGTCTCGCACGCTTATCGACGATGTCTTGGAGTACTTGCTCGAGGTACTACTTTTTCTCGGTTTGTTAAGTATCATTTGAATGTGTTGGTTGCAGCATTCCGACGCAGACATCGCAGTCTCGAATGACGAGGATGTTCAATGGCTCCGCGAGGTGGGTGCTATCAATGTTACCTTCTCATGAATGTCCCGCTAAGGCGAGGGCCAAGGTCTACAATTTCGGAGATGGTGCTCGAGGAATACTGCAAGAAATTTGTCCTCTTCTCGAGATCACTACATCTGGCGGTGAGTCATACAACAGTGACGTTTGCTGCCAGTATCTTGAGTGTATGGTCCTAGCTGCGGTTTTGACCCGCAAGCCGAAGACGATCACCGCTCGTGACGACTCGAACATATCCTTCGTGGATCACTCCTCTCAATCAGTGCAGGCGCAACTAGATTCACTTGAAGAAAGGCTGGAGGTACGGATGATTACTTTATAATTAGTTCTGTATATCTGATCATAAGAATGATAGGCCGAATCCTGTCCTCCTCTCGATCCTGCGTTTGTGACGGCCTTCTCGGCCGAGTATAATTCAAGGACTCAAGCAAATACCTCAACAGATGCGGAACGTACCGTTAACATCGTATCATCCGAGCTTGCCACGCCAGCAGAGGATGATACCGATGCCTTTTCGGGTCTATTCTCCAATACAGACCCTAGTCTGACAAGTTCAACCACGGGCACCATGTTTGAGACTCCCGTCGACTATAGTCTACTAAAACCTTGGCATATGGGCTCCTATTCCGACTATGCAGTTGCACCATACTCTCCTCCGGATAGTGTGATAGGTAACGCTCTAGGCCCAGCCCTTCCTCTTTCCTTACAAATTCCAGCTACTGCCTCACAAAGCCCAGCTCCATTTCTATCACCAATTTCAGCTCGCCTTCCCTCGCAGCTTCGAGCTCAGCTTCCCTCACCAATTCTAGCTCGCAGTGTGTTAGAGATTGCGAGGCAATTTCCTCATGCAGACCTTCTCATCCCCCAAGCAGTCTATCGCCCAAACACTCAGAGCGACCGACGGCGGTATGTGGAAGAAGTACAACTTGAAGACGCCATCATGTTCTACGTGTCGGACCCCGATCAATGTGGCATCTCTTGTCGTGATGCTCTCGACAGCAAGTTCATACGCTTGCAAAATCGCGATGATCAGATGTTCACCAATAGAGGACCTAGCGTCGCTATTCGGCTTATGGTGCGCACTAATGCACACACTTTGTCCAATGAATTATAACTGATTTTCTCATCTCTTTAGTGGCCTGGTTATGCTCCCTGGAGTCGGCAAATTCCTACTCGGGACTTCCGCAATCCTCCAGGACCTATCACTCGTGCCAAGCTGGCGAAGAATGTTGCAAAGACAATACAACGATTCATCGATGCAAGTGTCTCAAACTCATAGACATATATCCGTCACATATTAATTTTGAACTTGCTATCTAGGACATGGCTGACAGGCCTATGGAGGATGAGGCCGATGTCCGTTGGCGTGTTGGTCCTGGACATATCACTATCGATAGGCTGGATCTTGTTGGACTTCAGCACGTTTCTGCCGGGAGCTGGCAGGCTCATGTCCGTTTACGGATGTAGAGCATGCCATTGTCGTCCACGATCGGTCATCTGTAATAACACCGCCCGAGCTTTCGCATATCAGGAATCTATAAGCCTCCCTTTACTAGTCCCGCAATCCGACATTCTGTATTTGCTTCATCTTGATACTCTGACCTGTCGACCAGTGAGTGCTTGTAATATTGGACTAACACTCTTGTCTGTGAAGGAAGTAGTGTTTCTATGGCCGCATCCGCAACACGATTCTGATGAAATCTCTGAGATGTTACTCTGAATCGATACCGCATGTAACTGCGCACTAAATGTCGGACGCTAATTAGTGATAGATGCGCAACGTTGTGCCGAACTCGATGTGATCTACATTTCACACACCCGGCCTGCGTAATATTAATACTAAGTAGCCTACCCTCCCCATCGGTATATGCCGCTGTTATTGTTCGATTCATGGCTATGAAACGCCTCCGCGTCGGATCTGGCGTAGTGACATACTTCAACTAGAATGTCGCCATGATCTTGAGTCGTATTAGTATATGGATGCTGCCCTGGACAATGTCTTGCCAATATGAAGATGGCGAGAACCCTCCTTGGCCAAGCTTGGACTTGCGGACGGGGACCTATCGGACTTGTCGCATGGCGAACGGTTAGATACCATCTTTTGATATTGGGAAAGGTTGATCGATAATGGTTCGAAACGAGGAGGACTATCCACCCTTTCGTTTAGCGATCGAAGTTTTGAGCATTCAAGTCCTTTTTTGGCTTTGTGTCGCTAGCGCCCATGCCCTGTTAGGTTAGGCGCGCAATGTTGGACAAGAAGATCTTGAGAAGTTCAATCTAAGTTCAACCCGAGCTTAACGAACGCGTTGCAAACGCATGGTCTGCACATATACCCCGCCTATCTGATATCAAAGGTTTGTGTCTTATATACCATCGATTGCTCTGTTTTCTGTGTGTGTCTCTCTCCTTCTCCCTCTTTCCCTCTCTCTCAGCAGTTCTCTTCGTACCCATGTCGATACCTCAAACCCCTACTCGCAAAACTGACCCTACTAACTTGGCTCCTGAGCTGAAAAATACTCCTCTCGGTCGCGGCAGTTCCACCCACGCATCGTCGGACGGCTTCAATGACTTATAGTGCGTCGTATCCTGTAGTAGTGTACGTATTATGGTTGACAATATTTTTGAACCGCTTAGCCAGCGTACAGTGCATCCATGGCTATTTGCGGACATATCCAAACACAAGCAGACCACATTTGACCGAATGATGGCCTGGATGTTGCATTTCTCTCTTCCTACCGAATTGAGAGACTCCGTAGATCCTTACCATCTCTTTAATCAATGCCTCAATAAAGTGTTGCCCATCTGTAACGACCAAGATTTGCTCAATCATTTACAGTCATAGTAAGATATCGATCCGGAGTCTTAATTGTCATCTTGCTAACGTCTCATCAGTTGTGAGGTTGAGGGAGGAGAAACGGCCAGATACGCACCTTTCACGAATGCATGCAACCGTGCATTATCGCTCTTGGAGGAAGTGGACGTACCGCATCTCGGTAAAGGCTCACCGTTCAACATTCTCTTTCAACGTAATGATCCAAATGTGCTCGACGGCGTTCATGGTAGTCTCAAATCGAAACGCAAACCCGACATTGTTATCACCAGCCTTGCCTGTGCTCGGCGCATCTGGGGTGGAGGCACGGATATAGAATGGAACGCTGCGATCAAACACTGCCATGAGAAGCCCGTAGACCTCCAATGGCACGATGTGTTGTGCTCATGGGAGTTCAAGCGGACGAAGAAAGTAATTTCGTTGCCCTCTCGCAAATATGGCACCAAACTGTATCGGAACATTTCATGTGTGAATGACGTCGGCACCATGGATCCCCCCACGAAACCTGATGTCCCGAGCCCGCATCGTATGAATTTTCATTTTACTGCCTCATCTATTAAATCTCATCCCGTCAATTTTATCTATCTAGCAAAGCCCAACCAAGCACCTCGGACGGAGGAACCGCCGCTCGTGCAATTGGCATCGTATGCGGCTGAGATGCTATGCCGAGGTCCTGCAGTGAATCACTGCATAAACGTCCTTGTTGTCGGTTCGTACCTTGCTATTATGAAGATGACGCATGATGAGATCAGTTCGTTTAGATGATGTGGTCTGGCTGTGGTGGTATGACAGGCAGGGGGCTATCCAGTGCACTGGAATCAACTTCCTCGACGATCTTCCGCGCTTCCTCGTCCTCCTCCTCGTCCTCCAAAGATTTTCGACCATGGACCTTTGGGGATTCAATCCCGAACTGGATCCCATTGTTGTCCAGTATCACAGCGGGAACTTACCTTTGGATCAGACGGAGAATGTCTCACAAGAGCCGTTCGACCTTGAGATCCCTGTCGAAGGTGGCAAGTTCAAGGTCAACTTGGACCCAAAGAAGAATGAGTACAGCCGACACACCCTGGTTGGGCGTGGTACTCGTGTGTTCCAAGGGTCTGAGGGGATACTATTTCGCGACCCAGCTAATCCTGAAGTTCTCATGAACGAGAAGGCGAGACACGCGGCTATAAAGATATACTGGCCGGACAGTTCGAGGCCGTCGGAGCAGACGGTGGTTCAGAAGGCTCGTGAAGCTGCTGAAACCATTGACCCTGGCCTGTTGGACAACCTGCCGGAGATCTATGGCGCCTGCACGTTGAGCAAGTATGAGACAGGTCGCATCCGGAAATTCCTTGACCTCTGGGATCTCGATACTGAAACAAAGGAGCGTGTATACCGTTCGCGAACGCTTAACATCATAATATCGGAGTGGCTGGAGCCTTTGTGGAAATTGCCTCCGTATAACTTTATGCTTGCATGGTATGATATTGTTAGATGTGCGTCATTCACTCTGTGACTTCCGAACGCTGGACGCTGATTTCTCCGACAGGCCACTTTGCGATGTGGATTGCTGGTGTCAAACACTGCGATCCCAGCGAAGGCAATATGTTATACCGCGAGAAAGGAAACAAGAATCATGGGGTATTAAATGACTGGGACTTGGGCGTTCTAGATGGTCTAAATGACCATAAGGGGTTGGAGCGCACAGGTACTGTTCCATTCATGGCTTTGGACCTGCTCGGTCGTAAATTCTGGCTTGGCGGCATTCGACGAGAATACCGCCATGATCTGGAATCGTTCATTTGGATGCTTCCCTGGGCGGTGTTTTGTTACGAAGATTGTCAACGAAAGGAACCTCCGGACGAAATGAGGCCGTGGCGTACAGGAAACTATGAGCAGTGTCGGAGGTACAAAGTCGACTTCACCCGGACGATGTCTGAGTTCATCGAAGAGCAGCGTATCCCTTCGCAGTGGATAAAGATCTGGCCGCTTGTGGTGAGACTCATGTTCCGTGTCAACAATGATTATAACGCCAGATTACAAATGGCGTTCTATGGCCCAGTAGAGGAGGATTCCCCTCAGCAGGTGTACCTCGACCTACTTGAATTCATTGAAGAAGCGATCCGGAAGCCGCCCTATGGACCGATGGAGATTCCCTTTCCCGATGACCATCTCATGAACATTCCACAGTTACCTGACCATGCAAGTACAGAGACACCTGTTCGGGGACGGGGACGAGGTCGAGGGCGTGCACGCGGAAGGGGGCGAGCTCAGGCACAATTTGGAGGGGGTGACAGAGGCGCAGGCAGCACCGAAGCGAATCTTGACTCGGAACGCAGCACTTCTGGATCTCGACGCTCCGCTAGGATCAAGGCGGATGAGGAGAAGAAACGTCAGGAGGCGGAGGGGAAGAAACGTCGGGAGGCGGAGGAGGAGAGAAAACGTAGGGAGACGGAGGAGAGAAAACGTCAGGCAGCGGAAACGAAGAAGAGGGGGAAGAAGTAAACTGGTCTGTTGGTGAATGGCTCGTTCGTGAATGCGTCGACCCAGAAATGAAATATGAGCCTCTATTTCTTCATTCTTCATTCGCGTGTACTTTTGTTGTGCTAGGAGTCATAGTGACTCCTAGCCGTGTTTGTTATACCAGGTTATCAATATAACGTTCATCTTGTTACGTTGACTGCGTTGGTGGCGTTACGATAGTTCAAAATATTGACAGTGTTTCGACTCGGACGGACTGGCACTGTAGCTCCACGATTGCGATGTCCGGTATGAAGGGAAGCTTGAGTAAACCGGGCCTGTCTTTCTTATTCTCTACTTCTTGGTGGTTCGGTATGGGCTCACACATAGATTTCGAGGGTAAGCGAAACGCTATTCGGCATATGGATTGCTTCTTGGCCCCTTGGCACGGACAGCCTATGACTGTCATAAATGCGTTATTCACATTCACAAGTGAAGGTTGCTCTCAGTATGTTATGGTGAATTGGCGTATGTCCTTGGCTTCTATTACATTCACGGATGATGTGGCACAGTAAACCAGAGTATTAACATTATGATTCTGAATGATCATCCTAGACGAGCAGTTCAACGTACAAAAGATTGTGTCAAATATCAGCGCCGCAGAAATAAAATGAAGTATGATCCTCACATTGACGACGACACAAGTAGCATCCGACGAAAAGTCTTTTATCAGACAAAGCCCTACCTGACTTTGTCTTTCACCTCGGGACTAAGTGGAAGACTACGACCAATTGTCTGATCCACTTCATGTTACTCTGCGATCGAAGCACCTGGCACCGGTCATCTCTGCGCATATAAGAATTCTCGCACATCAAACGTTGCTCGCCTGAATTCTGCTTTTGGCATTCTACTGAAGATACCGACGCGCAAAACCTCGGATTATCCAGAACGAGGTGAGAAGCGTAAACGTCAGCAAGCGGTGACCTGAAAGATGTGGTTAAGGACAGTGAACGGCATATTGGAAGGCGCGTGAAGGTATTGGCTGAGGGTCAGCTGTATGAACCGATTGCTCGCGAGAGGTTTGTTTTTGCCCTGGCCCATTCTAGAGATTCTTTAAAGTAGAACGTCATGCATCGCACCCTAGTAGAAGTCAGCGTTGTGACAAAGAAACGTACATACTAGATCACAGGGAGCTGGCCTTGCTTGTAAGTACATAAATATATCTGACATGCGTTTCGATTTGAACCGTGCTTCGCTACATTTCGAAGTTATTTCCAGACATTGTACTTGTCTGGAGAAAACATCGAGAATGGCTGAAGCTGAAAAACATGGTTCAAATGATGTTTTCGATGCACCATGCCATGAACACCATGTCAACGAGTATGGGGACGGTGAAGAATGTTTTTAGATACGGCACGATATTGAAGTCAGTCCAAATCAAACACATAGAAAACGACAATCGAAGGTGGAGTCGAGAGAGCAAGTTCTAGCTGGTTCCAGATGTAGACAGGAATCATATAGCTTCTACCGCAGTCAGAGCTGGTAACAGGTGGTTATACAATGTTCTGATCATTGAAGGGACTGCGACTCCGGTTGGAGGCCGAAGTATCCTCTAGTTCAGCTAAAAATAAACAGGAGGCTGGCTGGCCAGGTAACGAGAATTGTGGACGCATGGACGTTGGAGACGAGTGGCCATTTTGATAATTTGTGATTACTAAATTATTTATTTATTTATTCTACACGTTATCCGGGAACAAGGTCAAGATAACCTGTCTCACCATTGTTTGATTCTGTGCATCGACATGCACAACGACCACCCACCATCGCACTCTCCACCACAGTCAACATTGCAACCTACGAATGCTCTCGCAGGCCCTTCGCACCAGTATGCGATACCACCAGTATTTCTACCCGATCCATGTGAGGTGTACGACTTGAGATCAGTTCCGAAACGCTGACACCGTTCTCCTTCTCTTTGTGATGGATGGCCTTGTTCAGTACCAGAACGTCGAAAGCCAAGGTTCACGAGCACTGAAGACCTCATCACCCGATTCCAGCTTCTACCGACCTACGACCGCTATGTGCGACCCTATGCTAACCTCAGTGGCGCACAAGCCCCGACTGCCGGAGCGATCGACAAAGGCAAGGGTAAGGAGCGAGAACGCGACCAGTCGACACCCTCTGCCGTGCAGACCCCAACCGCAGCGAACGAAGGCGAGGAGGAGGAGAGTCAGGCCAAGGGCGAGAAGAAGTGGAAGAATAATTATAAGCATCTCATCAAGGACATACCTGGTGCGCCGCATTCCTTCTCTGCTACATTCCTGCCTCTTCATGTGTTCTTTGCGAATTGTATAGGGAAACATTCAATGAAGAAAGATGATTATCTTATGACTATGATGCAAGCCCCGCCTAAGCAACGTAACAGGATCGTACCATTCGACCTCCGAACCCAACGGGAGGCGTTCTCTGTTAGTCTGGAAGGTCTCAAAGGCGTACGTAGAGGCATGGGTCGTCGCCACATGCCCTCGTTACTAACATGCTTTCAGTGGAATATTAATGTCTTGGTTGCCGAATCGCCACAAGCGCGCGAGGATAGGAAACGAAGAGTGAGTTGTTTCTACCACGGCTGGACACTTCGACACTTCTCGAGGAATACCGGACGAAATGCACTATATGTTGGGTGTGAAGACTACACAGTTCTTGTATGGTGGTCGTATCGCTTGCGACCTGCGTTTCCTCCATGCTTCTGCAAAGGCATGGCGTTGCTCTCGTCTCAGCCCTTCCTATTCCTCAGGAGCATTGATTGATCCCGATTATGTTGCCTTTTCTTTGTCTTTATTGTGTGACTGACTCTTTTATCAACCAACTAGAAAGAGCTCAAGAGGCTCGCGAAGGCGCAGGCCCAAGCTCAGGCATCACCAGGCGCTCTGTCGGCAGCGACACCATCTGCACGTCCAGCGACGCCAAGTGCAGCTTCAGTGGGGACCCCAGGCCACCCGCCAGTAAGAACGGGCACACCCAAACCCGGTATTCGACCCCAAGCGCGAGGTAGGACACCGGCGCGCGTCGGTACGCCTCGGTCTGTGTCTACCCCAGGGGGACCTGTCCCCGCTGCTCCATCCTCAGTACCTACAAGCACATCGGCACCAACCCAGCTCCACCAAGTATCGACACCTGCACCGACGCCAAAAGCGGGTCCTACATCTGCAGAGGTCAGGCGAGGCATCAAGCGCGAACGAGAAGATTCTGCTTCGGCGCCGACGCCGACTAATGGCAATGGCATGCCGCCAGTGGTGACAAATACGGGCGTGAAGCCACACATTGTTGTCAATTCCAAAGCAGGCATCAACGGCGTACGGCCGAGGAAGAAACAACGTGTGGTGAGTGTGCCGTTTTCATTTGGCTTGGTCGTCTTAATCGACAGTTTACTTAGCAGGACCCTCAGGGCCAGCCGTTGGCCGTCCAGCAGCCTACTCCTCGTGCATGATCTGATTACGAATCGTCACGTTTTGCATTTGCGCCACTCTACACATTATTCCGTAGCACTACATTCTCACTTTGGATACCCACCATCAATACACATGGGGGCCATTGTTTTAGCGACATTTCAGTTGAATGTCCAACCAACTTTCCCCTGTTGACATTACGGATAAGATAAGATAAGATTCCTGTTAAGTTATGACGGCAGTGGGTTGCCGTTATCTTTCGCATGCAGCCACCGACCTCACCTCTTCCGTGCCTCCGTCGCGCACATCACCTCTGGGGCTCAACCCGCCATATACTTATAAGACATGGCTCCTGAGATCATAGAACCCGTATATCAAGCGAGCGACGCTATCGTGTCGTCCAACTTCTCCCCGTTCTCACCTTCCGTCTCTAGAGCACGGCGGTCGGTCTCGAACACTCACGCTGGCCCGTCACGTACTGAAAGAACCCAAAGCGCAAGTATGCTGCCAAGAAGGAAAGATAAGGGTGCCCTAGTCGGTGAGCACGCGCCATTGCTTGGTGCGCCGTCGAAGAAGGTCAAGAAACCATTCTTTCGTCCGAGGCCTATGTGGTAAGTCAGCCGCTTGGGTTGCATGTATTCCACATATCGTATGTATGTGAGGCAGTTATACGACTGTCTGAGGGTGCTAGCTATGTTGCAAGGGGCTTGGTTCTGTTCGGACCCCCTAATAGTTGTTTTCGTGGGCTTGTCGATGCCTTAGACACTTGAGTGCATGCACATGCGACCAACATCACTGTATGTGTTCGTGATACTTACTTAGTCTCTATACAGGCTAGTCCCCTTCGCCGTGGTTGCATCGATTGTTGTGCGTTATCCTAGACCACCTTCAGTGCACTTCTCTGAGCTATTTTTAGCGCGGAATGACTCTTGCGCCGCGAGTGCAAGTCTTCACACAGCTATCGTGCAACGCGATATACGGCCACGACGTCTACGATCATACCAACGTTTCTTCCGGTTTCTTACCAGCCGAACGAATCAACCACCTTCCTTTGCATTTCTCTCTAGATCCTTCTGGCCCACACCTAGACACCTATACGCTTCATTCCTTAGATTTGGAGTATCATTCCTCTCCTGTCGCTATTCCTCTCACTGACAACGAGGATGACGACGACGACGAGCCTGATCCCCGCTCAGCTCCTTCCAAACGATGTCTCTCAGACCCCGCCGTACAGGCTGGCGCAGCCCGTATCCAGACTATCATGACGACAACGATGGGTGCCCTATCAGCGCTGACCACAGGTTGGTGGGGCCATTTCGGCGAGCGGCACGGTCGCACGAGAGTCCTCGCTGCATCTACCCTGGGATTGTTCCTCACGTTCGTTGATTTCTAACCGTCTGACGAACAGAGTTTGACACATTCTGCGCAGCGATTTGACATTTATCCTCGTATCCACACCTCACAGCATCTTTGCCGCCCACGGACATAAGTTGCTTATTATCTCACCGTTTATCGAAGGTCTGCTCGGAGGCTGGTCAACGCTGCAGGGCGCGACCTCTGCCTATGTATCCGATTGTACCTCTGACGGCTCTAGAGCCCATATCTTCAGTCGATTCACTGGCGTGTTCTATCTCGGTTTCTCACTTGGTCCTGCGCTCGGTGCTTTCCTCATACGACACCCACTTTTCCCCGTGGCAGGCTCGAGTTTCCATAATGGAGCTCCGACAGTGACTTCGGTGTTCTATGTTGCTGCTGTATGCTCGTTCGTCAATTTACTACTTGTCGTCTTTGTCTTTCCGGAATCATTGGATAAGAAGAAGGCTTTACAACTACAACGACAGAGTCAACTTCCTGATGTTATGGACGATGAACAGGGCACTGCACACGAGAAGAAACAGGGCATCATACACAGGTTCTTCAGTCCATTTACCATATTCCTGCCGAAGAAGATCCAGACTCCGGAAGGGAATTATAGGTATGACTGGAGTTTGACACTACTTGGACTGGCGCTATTTGGATACTTGCTTTCTACGGTAGGCTCATTGTCTCTGAGTAGTCCTCAGAGCCGTAGTTGATTTGATCTTATACTTGCCATAGGGTATCTTCCAGATTAAGTACCTGTACGCAGAGCATGTTTACGGGTGGGGTGCCGAACAGCTCAGTTACTACATTTCGTTCATGGGCGGAGCTCGTGCGCTCCATCTTCTGCTTATCATGCCTTGTAAGTTACATCTTCTGTTGATTTTGCTCCCACCTTATGCAATGCCATGACAGGGGTCATATTGACCTTTAAACCCAAACCCAAACCGAAGGCGAAGTTCGCTCAGAGCGTAACTCCAGCGAACTCTGTAGTTACACGTTCGACTCCACTTATCATTACATCCCCTGTCTCACCCGCCACAACCGCGAAGAAATCCAAACCTACACTTGCGCTCCTTGTCAAGGAAATGTCTTTCGATCTCATGCTTATTCGCATCTCATTATTCCTCGATTTTCTCTCGCACGCTCTCGTTTCGATTGCACCTCCGGATGTTTCAGAAGGGCCGTTTGTTGGCTTCACGGTCTTGAGTAGCTTTGGTGCAGGCCTCATTCCTGCTACGAATAGCTTCGCGTTGTGCGTTATGCAAATGCAGGCTGCTGCAGATGTGGGGGTTGGGAATGGCGTGATTCCTCCGGTTGATGGAGGAGCTGGGAGGCTGTTTGGTGCGTTGGCCGTTTTGCAGGCGGTTGGGCAAATGATTCTCGGTGTGAGTCCCTTTCCTCCTTATTCAGTTTCTACGAACGGGATCTGATTATTGCTTTGTCTTCTAAAGCCCATGCTCTTCGGGCTTATCTACAGCACCACGGTTGCCAAGTTTCCGAAGACAATTTTTATGACTGCTGCGGGGATCGTGCTTTTCTCCATGGCCCTTATTAGCATGATTCGTCCCGATGTTGCTTTCAAGTCAAGGCAACAACAACGCAAGGCTAACCGGATAAGAGACGACTTCGAGATCGAACGTGGAAGGTCACGTATAAGCAAGAATTTGTCCAACCTGGCCTCCCCCTCTAGCCCATTGTCGGGTACATTCTTCCAAGAGGGGTCCTCGTCAAGCGGGTCTCTCGGGTCGGTTGGGTTCAGTGCTCCGAGATCGTGAGCTTGTATCTGTATGGTTTAGACTTTGGGGGTGTTTAGATATAGGTATACTGGTGGTGTTGGTCTAATATGGCTGGACGGTTCTCATTTTTTATTTCATATTCTTTGCATCGCTTTAATCTCTTTATGCTTGTATCATATGCTGCATCGGAACTCTCTTCAATGTGTACATATAGCAGTGGGTGCTTTGACACCTAAGAGGAAATGTCTTCACTTTCACGGCAACGGCTCATTCAGCTCCACGTCAGGACGTGATGATAAACGAATATCGTCATTGTCTACGCAATTGGAAAACTACTACCCCAATGAGACATCTTTTACAGGAATGGTACGAGAGCCTGAGGGAGGACCTGTGGGACAGCTGCACCAGTGGGGGGCTCGATGGATTGGAAGTACTGTAATGAAAGTGTAAGTATCTAAGGCTAGCGGCGAAGTGCCGATAGAGACAAAAACGTACATTTCCCCACCAAGGACCAGCGGCCCACCAGAGAGCGCCGATCCAGACACCAGATTGTTGCATTGCGCAGAAAGCACCCTGGAGAGCGGAAATGCAAGCAGCTGGAAAACCCATACGTTCATTATCAGAGCACGTTCATGATGACAGACGTGAAAAATAGGACGAACCGTTAGAACCAGTACCAATCTCTCCTAAGAATCCCTTTAGGTTGTTCTGCTGCAACCATTGGGTCGCTGCCTGGAGCCGCTCTGCGCCTATGGTCGGGGAGACGCAAGTGGGTGAAGTTCCTGAGCCATCAGAGTCAAGGTACTGGTGCATCTCTGTACAACCGTGTGTTTTAGTAGTTGGAAAAGGTTATGAAAGATCATGCTTACCGATGGCGACGTTGTTGTTGGGATCCTTGATGGCACCGAAGACTTGACTGTTGCCAGAGGTGGACCATGCTGGGAGTCAAAATTGGTCAATATGCCATGTAAAATGAAGAGAAACACCTACTCCAGGCACCTGTCCAGCTCGTACCCTCGACAAGAATGAGTTGAGTGGTGGCGCCGCTGGAACGAACACCGTTGACTGCAGCTTGCATCTGTAGAAGACTCGTTTAGCAAATTCAAGTTAAGCACTGAACTCGCAAACAAAGCTTACCAGATTGAAGACGGTTTGAGCGGGGATATCGTGTGGCTCGTTCTGAATGTCTGTACAAATCGTTGGAACGCATGTTCTTAGTAGATAGAAGTTGACGTACCGAAGATGACATTGCTGTCAGTTTTCTGCAAGGATACTATATAAGTTACGTCAGAACACTAAGCAGACGAAAGACGCACAAATTCATTGGCGAGATTCTTCCACCCTGATGAGCGACAATGTCAGCTCCAAAAAGGCATGAACATAGTCGCGCTACTTACAGGTTTGGAAGCTGCAAAACAGATATTAGCATAACATGCTTGAAAACTAGGAACAACGAAACTCACTCGGAAGTGCTGGTGATCGTAGCGCCGTTGTAGATCATGAAGTTGTGGGCTGATTCATGAATGTCAGATATAATGACTACCTCGACTACCGTCCATACGCACGATCAACCAGCGCGAATCCACCCTTGCCGGTGATATAGCTGATGATCTGTTGAACACAGTCAATTTGTGTCCTTCAAAAGGGAGGAAAGTACTGTCACTTACAGTCTTCAGACCGCTCAAGTACGTAGCATCGAATGGTCCAGTGAGACCTGTAGCGGGTGGGCTCAGACGCTCCATCAAGAATGGGATACGGAAGGTGTTGAAGCCTTGGCCCATAAAGTACTGTGAAAGGTGCTTGTGAGTCTTTGTTAAAGTGGAAGAAGGGATAGACATACGTCGATGCTGGAGGGAGATGGCCAGGTGTAGTCCGTGCCGAGCACTCCTGGGATAGTGGTTTGACCAAACTCAGCACCAGATTCGTTCACACCGAAGTATTTGAACTTGGTGCGTGTACCAGCGCATACACTGGAGCTGGGAGCAGTCGACGTAGTTGAGGGCGGAGCGGGAGTGGTAGCTGTGGATGGAATGCATTGAGAGTAGTCTAGAGTGATGGTCATTAAGGAATTTCTTCTGCATCTTCTGCAGGGAACTACATACAATCGTTGAGTACTGTGCAGGTCGTTCCGGCATCGCAAACGGTGCTTCCACTGTATCCAATTCCCTAAAGAAATCCAGATTAGTCGTTGGTGTGGCATAACCAGAGAAATAGTCATCAAACTTACTCCACACTGTCCCCAGACGGAGACAGAGAGTGCAGGTGCGCTGAGTGCGAATGCAACACCGAGAGATGCAAAGAACGTCTTCATCGTAAATGACAACTCAGAGCTGAAGAGGTTCGTCAGACCACCCAAGCCTTTATGTACCCTCTTGACATTATAATTTGCCCTCTCTGGAGAATCTGTGGCTCAAGCGAGCGAGTTTGACCGACATAGACCCAGGCAGACCAAGGAGCCATCAACCACATGAGGTAGCATATTCGGAGGGTGAATGCGCTCAGCAGGTGTGCTACAGCACGCATGAGCCAGTTCGGAAGCACTATGGAAGTCCCACAGCACTGAATAACAATGGTCTTTGCCCATAAATAAATTAGACACGATCATGAGGGCAGGCAGTATAACGGCTTATCACCTGGGTTTATCCGCGCTATGCAACCGTTAGACGTTGTCGGTACTTGGCATCTTCGACATTTTGATCCACTTTCTCTTACTTCGGTCACCGTTGTTAGGTACCGAGAACTGATATAAGTACTCCTTCATTTACCTGATGACTGATTTCGCCCGACCTATATCGTAAAGTTGAATGACCTCGCTCAAATGGGGGAGAAATGTGAGGATGTTTCCATGAGAACATGCCTATTATATCCATACAGGCACAGGGTATTATCCGGAACGAAAAGAAATGAAGACAATGCCGAGTAAGTCCTGCATACAGATGATCTAGATAGAGCAATAATGGCGAAGGTTGTGTAGTCTATGAACAACTTGCAACGTGGGAAGTCGACCGGGAGAACTACGAAACTTTCCATGTTTGGAATGATTCATCCATAAATGGTAATGCCACGTAAGCAACTTTCATTCTGTGCGTCTAGCGTGTTCTCCCCCCCGTTAACCTCCCTTGGCTGCAAAATGCTTGTTTTCGCTCCTTTGTCTTCATCTTTGTACATCTACGCTGTTTCCTGAACTTTGAACTTGATTTCTTCTTGCGATGTCCAAGATTGCGTTAGCTAGGATACCCTCACTGACATTCTACAAGGATGCCGAAACCACTTCGAGAAGGGGGAAACCCATCCCTCAACTAACTTGCATCGGAAAACCATGTCGGTCATATACTCCCGACGTCGTAAGGTGTGTTAATATTGGTGGTGCAGGAACAGATGTGGACTGGAAGGTACATACGAGCCGTGTTCTATCTCCGGACAAGATATTGAGACTGCATTTAGTGCGAAGCAGATCTACCCGAAGCTCTGCGCTTCGGAAGAGTCGAAGTTTCTTGTGAGGGATGGTCAGGTCCCGGTGATCCATATGTTTTGAAAGGATCCTGTGGCTTGCAGTATCGGCTCGTTCAAGTCCCGGATGCTCTTCGGAAAGAAGGGGATCACAGAGTACCTTCTCGTCTCTCTCGGTGGTACCAAGGTGCGAACAAATTAGTATCGACATGGTGCAATTGCCTGACCTCTGATGTAGACGTTACAGCTGATCCTGCTGCTACCATTTTCACCATTATCTGGACAGCTTTCTTGCTGTTCATTGTGTATAGCTTCTTAAAATCTTGCTTTACCGGACGCTTACAAGGAGATAATACAAATCAAAGACCGCGTTCCTCGCCAGGTTCAGGCTGGTTCCCAGGATATCACCGAAACGATCAGCCACATGATCCTCCTCCGCCCTACTCTAAGCACACCACCACGTCGACGCCCACCCCAGCACAAGGATGGCAGCCTGGTTTCTGGACTGGCGCCGCTCTTGGTGGACTGGGTACCTACCTTTTTAACAACGGCAGACAGAGAGACACTGCGTACGATTGGGAACGAGAGCGTTTTGCTCGTACCCGACCAATTTATCAGCCTACATCCTCATTCTTTCCCCCAGATCTACGACGATCTCCACAACACCCTGATGATGATCGAGGTGAAGGCCCCTCGAATCTAGGGTCCATAAGAAGAAGTACAGGTTTGGGAGGTTCGACGGTGCGGTAGACGCAATTCAACGAATGGCCGTTGTTGGTCGATTCAAGTTTGAATACGGCTTGTATCTAGTACTATAACTTCTCAACCTTATATATCATCTAGTTTCTGTTCGAGTTTCTTTCAAAACATACTCGGTTATGTACTTTGGACCATGGGCGCTCCGAAATGACGAATGCTCGGCTGATTCAGCAACTGAGTATTACAGGAACATGTAGCACTCTCACAGCTATTCATGTTCTCTTCTTGCCCATACGCTTCATTGGAATGGGTGTGCGACGTTGGCTGAGGTATTGTTTATTTCTAGTGTACCGTGAAAAGGTTCGAAACAAACGAAGTAAATTCACAGGTCATTTCGTAGCCAAAGTCGAGTTGGCAGCCCAGCTATAAGTGGGTCAGGAGAAAACTATGAATTCACTGTATGTCCCTGTCTTCTTGCAGGAGCAAGGTTCTGTTAACATGAGTTTGTTGAAAATGTCCTAGCTTCGTGCGGTGTTGCTTGGGCTCCTCATAGGATGTCTTCTATGCTTTACGAATCTGTACTTCGGCCTGCAGACAGGATGGATCAGCATGTATGTCCAGGTCGCCGTTACCTGCTGTCGCCTCAAAGTATTGACATCTCGTAGGATGTCCCTTCAGTCTGCTCTTATAGGTTACCTCCTATCCCGTTTTCTGCCAACGCCGATCTCGGCTCAAGAGAACATTGTCTTGCAAACGACGGCTGTAGCTACTGGAACAGTTCGTATACGGAACCCGATATCATAACATTTATGTTCAGTATTTGACTTTCTAGATGCCATTAGCAGCAGGGTTCGTTGGAATCCTTCCAGCACTCGGATTGTTGGAAGAAGACAGAGATGGCTCACCGCCGATATATCTATCGTGGATAGCCTCCGTAGGTTGGTCTTGTGCAGTAGCATTCTTTGGGTACGTTAATGTTCAATCATACTATCACGCAATTCATGACTTCGGGGGGTTGCAGTGTCTTTCTATCACCACCACTACGGAAGCAAGTCGTAAGTTGACATACAAAAGTCAAGTTATTCTCACTTATTCTACTTATCAGATCATTGAAGAACAACTCCCCTTTCCCTCGGGAACAGCCACAGCCCAACTGATCTCTGTTCTACACCAGTTACCTCCGCCTGACACAACTGTCCGACGACGTGCGGGTTACACTGAACTTGACACAGATGATACACCCGTGCTGGACCCCACTAGCCCAATTGAGGAGGTCCTTCTGAGTGAACCAGCTGACATTAAAGAAGCTGCAGAACCGGAAACCTGGTCAGCTCTCATCTGGAGTTTCACTGCTTCAGGTATCATGACGGTATGTATGTTTGAGGCTCGAAGCGGAGATGGCTCTCATTTGAAGATCTCAAGCTTGCAGCGTATTTCTTTCCAGTTATTTTCTCACTTCCGATTTTCGGGAGGTTCCTTGCGAGACAGTGGTTGTGGACGTTCACACCTAGTCTTTCCTACGTAGGACAAGGTAAACTATCCTACCCATACCACGTTGTTGCGACTCATGTCGATAATATTCCAAGGCATCATTATGGGATTTCCGACCACCTTGAGTATGAACTTGGTGAGCTTACCACTTAAAACAACCCGAGGCTATGAGTCATACCGAAATCTAGGGCATGCTAGTCGGCTGGGGTATACTGTCACCGCTGTCGAAATATAAAGGATGGGCGCCAGGCCCTGTAGGTGATATGTCCAGTGGTGCAAGGGGATGGATACTATGGACGTCTTTGGCCATCATGTGCACAGACAGTCTCGTGTCTCTTGGTCCAGTCATTGGCGAAATTGTGTATGCGAGACTCCTCAGACGCTCAACATCTCTGGACGAAGGCAAGGACGATAAAGAAGTCGAAACAGAAGACCGCTTAGTTCCCATGCGATGGGTACTTTGGGGTCTCGGTGGAAGTATCGTCTTGGGCACAATTCTGGTATGGTTGGTATTTGGCGATGAAGGTATGAAACCTTGGGCCACATTTTTAGGGTTTGTGATGGGTGGCTTGCTGAGCGTGCTAGGGTATGTAATGGATCCCCTGGCCCCCTTTGCGCCTCAGAACTAATGCCTGTGGTAGAGTGCGAGCTCTTGGCGAGACCGATCTAAACCCAGTCAGTGGTCTAGGCAAGATCAGTCAGCTGTTCTTCGCTTGGATCCAGCCGGGAAATATCGTTGCAAATATCATAGCTGGTGGTGTCGCCGAAGCCGGTGCTCAACAGTAAGCTTGGGATGACGCGAACTTTCCGATGTACTGAAGTATACATTGCAGGGCCGGTGATTTGATGCAGGATCTAAAGACGGGACATCTCATCCGGGCTTCCCCAAGGGCACAATTCTATGGACAGCTCATCGGATCCTCCCTTTCGATCATTGTCACTACAACTGCATACACATTGTACAATCGTGCATACCAAATACCAGGGCCTTCTTTCCCAGCACCGACGGCTTATGTTTGGCTTGGCCTTGCACGCTTATTGCGTACGTGTTTCTCTCTACCCTTGACGTATTCGCAGATCCTCAAAGTTACGTGTTCGGCAGGCGATGGGGAGTTGCCTGAGAAAAGCAACGTATTCATGCTTTCATTTGGGATTATCTTCGCGCTCATAGCCGCAGCGAAGACACATGCCACGCTCCGACGTCGCTGGTATGCCAAATGGATACCGTCTGGAGTCGCATTCGCCATCGGATTCCTCAATACGCCATCCTTTTCGCTTGCTCGACTCGTCGGAGGCATCGTCGAATATCTGTATTATCGATGGGTAGGTCGAGAAAAGGGCGGAATCAGATTGATTATCATAGCAAGCGGGTTTGTCCTCGGAGAAGGAGTGGTCAGTATCGTTTCGTTAATACTGCGGACTTTTGGCATCGGTGTGGTCAGCTGTTGGGGCTGCGTTCCTGGGCTATGTGGAGGGTGTCCATCGTAGAGTTAAAGGTTCGGCACTAGCACAGCTTGATCATGGTATTAAGGAGGTTTTGTCTTGTCATCTCTTGACTGATAGTAAGTGGTTTCCATCTACCTGGCATTTGTCGTTGTCCTGAATGGAATCCTGGGCTCATCCAGCCCATGTGTATCATGTGCCTGCGATCAATTTAGGCTTCCGCCGGTGGCACGTTATGTGTGCAGAAGGCTTCTCCTTGGTTGACATCTGTCCGGAGTTGCGCTACTGCACCTGTCAAAGAATCCTTCGTCTTATTGCATATCCCCATTGCAATCGGTTCCTTATCTGGGAAGTGCAAAAATGCATCTGTCAAGTATGCGGAGCTTTTCTTTACTCTGCCCCTTTTTTGCTTCACATCACAACTGGATATTCTTGGGATATTCTATGAACAATGGAGTAGGTTTGCGATTGATGCGCCCTCCATTTCGTGGCGCGGTTAGTGATATCACAGCCTGCACGTCGCGCTTATAAACATTCCCCGACGTCTCCAGCGCTGCATTGGACCACCTGTTTCCGTTTCGGCCGGAGCGAACTCGCGATTCGAGGCATCCTTTGATATTAACCTTTCGCTTGCCAAGATTTATTCGGAAGAAAATGCTGTAACGCGGAAGTAGCGTGAAGGGTTCATGGTGTCGTCTGTGCTTGCAGTCGTTCATGCATACCATACCCTGTTGGTCTCACGAGGTTTTCAGCCCTGCATAACATCATCCAAGGACGGGCTTGAGTGCTTTTGATCTTAAGGTTGTAGCGTCTTCCCAGGGTCAAGCAAGGTTCGTTCTATGCGATTTGTCCTGCTAAAACGCTATACTCTATATGTGCCCTGGATTGGCGCGGTGGGTTCAGCGAATGAACGGCCGTCCATTAGCAGCGGCCTTTCATGAGAATGGGTTCAACCTAGTACCATTCAGTTTGGCGGTGCCTTCTCCATTAGAAGCAGATCCCTCCTGATATGCGTCCTAAGGTATCTCCGAGCTCGGACACAAGGTTTGTCAACAAGTGAGCGGTGATATTGACATGGCGTAGCTCCAACGCAGACTATCCACTTCCGGCCAACGGGGCCGTGTTGTACAAGTGGGCAGTGCCCTACTTCAATCGGTATAAAAGCTCAGGGTCAGGTTGCAGCATCCTCATCCTCCCGCTCCTGTTTTTTTTACTACACTAAACTTAGGTCGCACGTACCTTGTTAGCATCATGACCACTGTTCCTCCCGTTGATCTCAAGAACATCCAGGGTGACATTTTGTGGGCATATACTTATGATTCAACCAATGGATAACTGATGTTGCACATCTAGGGCTGGTATCCCTAAGAAGTTCGAAACCACTATGTTCTTCCAGATAAGCAACGATGTCGAAGGGTTCCGCAAGCGCCTCACCCAGATTGTCCCGCTTATTACCACTACCACAGAGGTTTCTGGTCATCGAGAGGCTATCTCTAAGAATAAGGAGGAAGCAGCGGCACAGGGACGCAAGCCCGACTTGCTCCCTATTGTCGGTGTCACTCTTGCATTCTCTCAGTTTGGTTTAAAGAAGGTTCGTGTTATGGTATGCGACTTTTACAATGCTCACATTTCGGTCCCATATCAGATCGGTGTGAACGATCCTATTGGTGACCCCGCCTTCCAAGCTGGCCAACTGGCCGATGCTCAGAACCTCGGAGACAAGGGCACTACCACGAATGGTACCTTCACCCCCGACTGGCTCCCAGCATTCAAGAACCAAGTACATGGTGTATTTGTCATTGCTGGTGACTCTCATATCACTATCGACGCCAGATTGGTGCAAATCCGTCTCATTCTCGGGACGACCATTCATGAAGTCTTCAGTGTCACTGGCAATGTTCGCCCTGGTGACCAGAAAGGTCATGAGCAGTAAGTCTTTCGAACTTATTCTTCTAAACTCTTTACTCACGAAATGTGTCTTAGTTTCGGATTCTTGGATGGAATCTCCAACCCAGCCGTTCAGAACTTCGATACTAAACCCTTCCCAGGACAGGAGACCATCCGTCCAGGGTTCATCCTACTCGGACGTGACCAGGACCCCAACATTGCTAATCGTCCTGCCTGGGCGGTCGAAGGAAGTTTCCTGGTATTCCGTTACCTCTCTCAGCTAGTGCCCGAATTCGACGACTTCCTGAAGAAGAACCCAATCGTTCTCCCCGGCCTTACCCCAGAGCAAGGAAGTGAGTTCTTGGGTGCTCGACTCGTCGGGCGTTGGAAGAGCGGTGTGTGGTCTTGCATTTCGATAACTGGCCTTTTCTGAAGCCTACTTTGCTCAAAGGTGCACCACTGGACTTGGCTCCCTTGCAAGATGATCCCGCCCTTGGTGCTGATCCTCAACGCAACAACAACTTCCGATATGACTTCCCAGAGGACTTCCAAACTCAGGATCGCTGCCCCTTCGCCGCCCATGTCCGCAAGACCAACCCTCGCAACGACCTTGAGAGCTTGGGTATATCCACGGAGAAAAATCGTATTATTCGCCGTGGTGTTCCATTTGGACCCGAGGTGACCAAAGACGAGGTGACTCAGAAGAAGACCCTGCACGATCGGGGCCTTCTTTTCAGATGCTACCAGAGTGTCATCGCCAATGGCTTCCAGTTCATTCAACACTGTGAGGATAATACTGCTTTACATTTCTTGAGGGTAATGAATTCTTACGCGTGCGTTTGCAGCTTGGGCGAACAATACTGGCTTCCCTATCCAGAAGCCTGAAGTTCCTGGGTTCGATCCCATTATCGGCCAGGCTGCTGATCCTACGTCCCGTACTATGTCTGGAAGCAACCCTCAGAACCAGACGGCGACCTTATCTCTGCCTACAGAATGGGTTGTCTCCAAGGGCGGCGAGTATTTCTTCGCACCTTCCATCTCTGTTTTGCGGGATACCTTTGCATTGGGTGTGCACATTGTGTGAACGCACATAGCGTTAGATATTTGGGACATGGCATATCACCAGGATCGATTGGCTTTCGGACAGATTCGTGGAATAATAATATCATGTACAATATGCAACTGCTCCATTGACAATATCTACCTGTATATCGCTCGTCTAGCCAGAGAAAGTGTGCACTGAACATACCTACATTAATATGTCCCGACATAACAGAAATACAACCTACGTTCTAACTGCGAACAGTCGAGCCTTGTAGGTCAATGCTTCGTTGCTAAAACGCGCATGACACACAGAATTGCCAATATAAGCACTTATTCTCACCTATGCCTCTTCGTTTTCTCAACTTAAACATCTCATTGCATCCTTGTATCCTTTGCATGAGCATCAATCATTAGCCTCTGGGTTCGGAGCCCTGATTTATTCGGCCTTTCCTCTACTACCCTTTTCCTGACGGTGCAGCGTCTTACCCAGTATTCGCGCCGGCATTTGAGTTAAGTGTCAAGTGAAGGCTCTCCTGGATTGCTTTAACCGTTACCTCATCTTGAGTAACAAGAATCTGCTTGAGTAGATTGATATTTTATTGATAAGCTGATCATAACCACGGCTAGTAGTCACCATCACTCCTAGCATAACAGAAGTACACGCGAATGAACAATTCAAGACATAGAGACTAACATTTCACTTCTGGGTGGACGCATGCACGAACGAGCCATTCACCAGCAGACCAGTTTACTTCTTCCCCCTCTTCTTCGTTTCCGCTGCCTGACGTTTTCTCTCCTCTTTCTCCCTATGTTTTCTCTCCTCCTCCGCCTCCTGACGTTTCTTCTCCTTCTCCGCCTCCTGACGTTTCTTCTCCTCATCCGCCTTGATCCTAGCGGAGCGTCGAGATCCAGAAGTGCTGCGTTCCGAGTCAAGATTCGCTTCGGTGCTGCCTGCGCCTCTGTCACCCCCTCCAAATTGTGCCTGAGCTCGCCCCCTTCCCCGTCCACGCCCTCCACCACGACCTCGACCTCGGACTGGTGTCTCCGTATCTGCACCATTAGGTAATTGAGGAATATTCATGAGATAATCGTCAGGAAAGGGAATGTCGTTCGGCTTAATGGACCCTGTATCCATGGTCTCGCGAATGAACTGGAGTAGGTTGACATAAACCTCCACTGGGGTGTTGTCCTCCTGCGGGATGCCTTGCCCCCGTTGCTTTACCCCGCTGTGATAGTCTTCGTGGACACGGTACATAAGATCTCTCACAACGGGCCAGATCTTCATCCACTGCGGAGGGATACGCTGCTCTTCGATGAACTCAGCCATCTTCCCGGTGAAGTCGACTTTCTTCTCCCGACACTGCTCGTAGTTTCCTGTCTGCCACAACCTGACTGGGTCCGGAGGTTCCTTTCGTTGACAATCTTCGTAACAGAACACCGCCCAGGGAAGCATCCAAATAAACGATTCCAGATCATGGCGATATTCTCGTCGAATGCGACCTCGCCAGAATTTACGATTGAGCAGCTCCAAAGACATGAATGGAACGGTACCGGTGCGCTCCAGTCCCTTATGATCACTTAGACCCTCAACTGAGCTCAAATCCCAGTCATTCAGTACCCCATGATTCTTGTTTCCCTTCTCGCGGTATAACATATTGCCTTCGCTGGGATCACAATGCTTGACACCAGCAATCCACATCGCAAAGTGACCTGTCCGAGAAATCAGTCCAGCATTTGGAAGTCACAGAGTGAGAAACGCACATCTAACAATATCATACCACGCGAGCATAAAGTTATATGGGGGCAGTTTCCACAAAGGCAGCAACCACTCCGATATTGTGATGTTAAGCGTTCGCGAATGGTATACACGCTCCTGAGTTTCACTATCAAGATCCCATAGTTCAAGGAATTTCCGGATGCGACCTGTCTCATACTTGCTCAACGTGCAGGCGCCATAGATCTCCGGCAGGTTGTCCAACAGGCCAGGGTCAATCTTTTCAGCCGCCTCACGAGCCTTCTGAACCACCGTCTGCTCCGACGGCCTCGAACTGTCCGGCCAATATATCTTTATAGCCGCGTGTCTCGCCTTCTCGTTCATGAGCACTTCAGGATTAGCTGGGTCACGAAATAGTATCCCCTCAGACCCTTGGAACACACGTGTGCCACGCCCAACCAGGGTGTGTCGGCTGTACTCCTTCTCCTTCGGGTCCAAGTTGACCTTGAACTTGCCACCTTCGACAGGGATCTCAAGGTCGAATGGCTCTTGTGAGACGTTCCCCGTCTGATTCAAGGGTAACTTCCCGCTGTGATACTGGACAACGACGGGATCCAGTTCAGGATTGAATCCCCAAAGGTCCATGGTCGAAAATCTTTGGAGGACGAGGAGGAGGACGAGGAAGCGTGGAAGATCGTCGAGGAAGTCGATTCCAGTGCACTGGATAGCACCCTGCCTGTCATACCACCACAGCCAGGCCACATCATCTAAATAAACTGATCTCATCATGCGTCCATCTACATAAGAATAGAATACGAACCGACAACAAGGATGTTCATGCAGTGGTTCACTGCAGGAGCTCGACATAGCATCTCGGCCGCATACGAGGCCAATTGCACGAGCGGCGGCTCCTCCGTCCGAAGTGGTTGGTCGGGATTTGCTAAACAAACAAAAATGGTGAAATGAGACATAATAGACAAGTCAGTAAAATTGCAACTCCTACGTTTCGGGCTCGGGACGTCAGGCTTCGTGGGGGGATCCATGGTGCCGACGTCGTTCACACATGAAATGTTCCGACACAGTTTGGTGCCGTACTTGCGAGAGGGCAACGAGATTACTTTCTTCGTCCGCTTGAACTCCCATGAGCACAACACATCGTGCCACTGAAGGTCTACGGGCTTCTCATGGCAATGTGAGATCGCAGTGTTCCATCGTATATTTCGTCCTTCACCCCAGATGCGCCGAGCGCAGGCAAGGCTGGTGATGATGATATCGGGTTTGCGTTTCGATTTGAGATTACCATGAACGCCGTCGAGCACATTTGGATCATTACGTTGAAAGAGAATCTTGAACGGCGAGCCTTTACCGAGATGCGGTACGTCTACGTCTTCCAAAAGCGATAATGCGCGGTTACATGCGTTAGTGAAAGGTGCGTATCTCGCCGTTTCTCCTCCTTCAACCTCACAACTGATGAGACGTTAGCGAGATGGCAATTAAGACTCCGGATCGAAATCTTACTATGACTGTAAATGATTGAGCAAATCTTGATCGTTACAGATGGGCAACACTTTATTGAGGCATTGATCAAAGAGACGGTAGGGATTCACCGAGTCTCTCAATTCGGTAGGAAGAGAGAAATGCAACATCCAGGCTATCATTCGGTCAAATGTGGTCTGCTTGTGTTTGGATATGTCCGCAAATAGCCATGGATGCACTGTACGCTGGCTAAGCGGTTCAAAAACACTGTCAACCATAATATGTAGACTACTACAGGATACGACGCACTATAAGTCATGGAAGCCGTCCGACGATGCGTGAGTCGAGCTGCCGTGACCGAGAGGAGTATTTTTCAGCTCAGGAGCCAAGTTAGTAGGGTCAGTTTTGCGAGTAGGGGTTTGAGGTATCGACATGGGTACGACGAGAACTCCGGAGAGAGAGGGAAAGAGGGAGAGAGGGAAAGAGGGAGAGAGGGAAAGAGGGAGAGAGGGAAAGAGGGAGAGAGGGAAAGAGGGAGAGAGGGAAAGAGGGAGAGAGGGAAAGAGGGAGAGAGGGAAAGAGGGAGAGAGGGAAAGAGGGAGAGAGGGAAAGAGGGAGAGAGGGAAAGAGGGAGAGAGGGAAAGAGGGAGAGAGGGAAAGAGGGAGAGACAAAGAAAACAGAGCAATCGATGGTATAAAAGATACAATCTATGGTATCAGATACGCGAGGTATATGGTAAATGAACGGACAACATGTGCAGATTGTGTGCAGTCCACGCGTTTGTTGAACTTGAACCAACATTGTGCGCCTAACCTGATACGGCATGGGCGCTAGCATAAGAATGAACTGAGACGTTAAACTTACACCGTCACCAAGCACTGACGTTATGCACTCTTTCGGTTTGAGGCTGTTGATAACGATCCCCAGCGCTGCCAGTATTTTTTTAAATGGTTACAGATTCACACTGTTTACGTCAAGACTTATGGTGATGAGGTACCTTCGGCAAGTAACTTGCCGGAAAGTTGACCTATAACAATACCATTGCTGTAGACTGGGCTTCAGGATTGGAAACATACGAGGCCTTTGAAGCTATCTATCTTGCAACAGACCATAGAGAAAATCTGTGACGCTGAATATCTTCTAGACCCATCGGATATCAAATTTGACCAACGTATACATTAACATTTTGTCTTCCTCTCGTACGAAGTATGTATCTTTCTTCCCCTTGCGCCTCTTCTTCATTCCTTACCTCACATTTAGCTCTTGGGCCTTCATTCAAGCTCACTCTCAAACTCCTGATGGAGCTGAACTCATCCACACCCGCACTCTCATCGTACTTGCGGCCCCGGGGTTCTCGTGCTGTTACTCAAGCAGGCAATATTCAGTATTGTCTGAATCTTCATTGTGGTCTAATTTTGGATTAGGAAGCTGCGGTATGGTAAGGGGATAGTCTTCAGGGAAGGAAAGACCAACGGTTTGACAAAGGGCGGCTCTCGAATGAAGTAAAGCAGGTCGGTATACATATCTTGAGGCAATGACTCCTCTAGCTCGACGCCATCGCCCGAGAGCTCTAGCCTGAGGTGATAGTCTCGACTGACATGGAATACGAGACTTGTCACATACCATTATCCACCGAAAAGGGATATGGTGGTAAAGTTTGTAGCCACCGACTGGATTCGGAGGCTTCTTTCGGTAATTGTCTTCATAGCACAACACTGCCCATGGAAGCATCCAGATAAAATGTTCAAAATCATGGTGATATTGTTGTGCAATCTTGGCACGGCAGAACCAATCATCGTAGAGCTCCTCTAATCTCATGAAGGTAATAGTGCCGGAGCGCTCCAGCCTATGTTCCGTGCAGTCTGAAAGATCGTCGAATATGTTCAAGTCCCAATCGTTCAATACGCCATGGGCTACATTGTCGACTGTTTCACTGAACGATGGTCTGCTCCGATGGCCTTGAAGTGTCTAATCGGTGTGAAGTTCTCCACGTTGACAATAGCCCCAGGACGATGGTGGTCGGGATAAAATAAGGTCAGTTTGAAACACGAGTGCCGCTAGTGCAATTGCACACGACCGCGCGTGTGAGGTCATGTATAGGAACCTGCACAATGGGGCAAAATTGACTAGGGATATTCAGTCTGAAGTTATGCGAACGACTTTGCTGAAACATCTCTCCTTTCAAAGGGTGGTGAATTGTCGAGAGCCATTGGAAGGCGAGAAGTACAAAGCCCTGCTAGATCAGGAATACAGTCGAACGCATGAGGGCACATCGCGAGAGGTTGTAGCTCCCTGAAAATTTCAGCATACGAGACCGTCTGTCGCAGCACCTTAACAAAAGACATATACTGGGAACAATATGAAGATGTAAAGACGGTTTGGATATGTCAGTGTCCACAGAAGGTGACTGAATGGACAGTATTACAGTATAAGGCATTGCACGATCGTCACTATTCAGAAAGTGTCGCCAATGCATAGTAATTCATCCATGTCGTAGTGCGAGCAAGGCATGCGTTACAGATACTTATCTCAAGTCGATTCATGGTTGGCGGGGCGCGGGGCTCGAAATAAGATTTCGTGTGAGCAGAAGCTCAAGCGCGAGAACTTACAGCACACACGACCATCATGTTCTTCAAGTTCACTCGCACCATAGTCCTCACAACGAACCCCCATCTCTTCCAGCTACAGGCCTCGTCGAGTTCCATTCCTTTTCCAGATAGACTTTTATCATGACAATGGCGGCAAACCCGCAGATCTTCACCTTCCTAGGCATTCTCACCACAGCGTACTTTCTCAGACGCCTTGTATCCTTCATCTGGCTCTATTATCTTCGCCCATCGTCCGTGAACAAGTTTATTTATGGCAAGGAGCCGTATGCACTGATTACCGGTGCTTCAGACGGGATAGGACGCGCTACTGCGTTGGAGCTCTACGAGAAGGGATTCAACCTGATCTTGCATGGTCGTAACGAGGCGAAGTTGACCAAAGTCATCAGCGAGATAAAGGCCACTGCAAAAGGGCCTAGCAGGGATATAAAATATTTTATCGCCTCAGCTGACAGCCCAGAGGTCGACTTTCAAAAGATCGCAGACGAGTTCCGTCAACTGAAAGTGACCTTGCTCATCAATAATGTGGGCGGCTCGAATGGTTTGCGATCAGAAAAGTAAGTCGTCCCAAGTCCCGTTTGAAGTACTGAACTGACAAGCAGGAAATAACCTTCAGGGTGGATGGATATGACGAAACAGAGCTACTCTGTGATATTCGAATCAACGCTTTATTCCCCTTCTACCTCACCCGCGCCTTCCTTCCCCAGCTTCGTTCAACTGGCGGACCCGTCGAAGTTATCTTCGTAGGCTCTCAATCCGCCGACATCGCCATTCCCCGTCTATACACCTACGCACCATCCAAAGCATTCCTCCACCGACTCGCCTGCTGTCTGAACTCCGATGAGCAGTTCTGGACACCCTCTAACGTCCGTTTCGTCTATTGGAACGTAGGAACGGTCGTTACGAATAGTTTGAGAGAGACTCCCGGGTTGTTTTATCCGCTTGCTGCGAAGTTCGCCAAGTCTGCCGTGGCGAGAATTGGATGTGGGAAAGAGAGGGTCACGCCATATGCCCCTCACGCTTTTCAACAGTTCTTCGTAGGATTGCTACCGGAGAGTTTCTTGTTGAAATATGCCGCTGACACGATGAAGAAGCTTATTGAGGGCTTTGAGAAGCGCGTTGATTGAGCCACGAGAGAACTCATACCAGGTTGTGTACCCTTACTGGAGTTGTAGTGGTCTAGTGTATCTGCTTGCTCTTCACCGTCTATGTTCTGGTCACTTTTGCGCTTTGGATGTAGACATTGTATTTTGGGGATTTATACCAAGACTCTTATTTTCTGGAACTTCAGGCTATTGACCCTTTTCCAACTACTCATCGCCCGACATCTAAGATGTTTTTCATTCGCAATCACGACCTAATATCATGGTTGGTAAGAAATGGAGACATGTAAGTAACGTCTGTCATGAATGGTTTAAATGGGGCAATGTACGTATAGTCCAACTGCAATGGACACTGAGAGCGGGATCCGTCAGATTCTGAGGAGTCAAACCCAACCAGACAAGTACATGTGTAACATAGTAAAATAGTAGCTGTAGCATACATCCGTATTCTAAGCATATGCTAGTTATGCAAACTATATGAGATGAATGTGCAAACAATCTCAAGCAAACCTAGAAACCAGATAGTCTGGTGCTTCTTCTTTTCGCTGCCGGTCGAGCCTTCGAACCTCTACTCGAGCCAGACCCACCTCTTCTCGCAGGCCGCGCCTTCTTGGGCACAGGTCCTTCTACCACAATGACGGAAGCGTCATCATCATCATTATCCGGCACTTCCCAAACTTCCTTGTTTTGGTTCTGAAGCAACCGGAGTAGTTTGTTTCGTTCACCAGATTGAGACGGTTCCTCGTAGTCTACTGTGACGTCCGCGCTCGCCTCTCCTACAATGGCTGGGATGGCAGTAGATTTCATGGGAGACGTAAGGGCAACTGAAATGTCGCCTTGGCCGGGTGAACTTGGGATGACGTTTATGCGAGAGCTATCCATAGCAAGCTGCACAAAAGAAAACATAAATTCGTTTGACTGCAATCATGAGTAGTCGGCAGTACAAACCTTTGATCGCGAAGGCGGTCGTGCACGCTTCGCTCTCATAGGCTCTAATTCTGGTGTAGTCAGTCTTCCCGAATCTCCTTCATTATCCGGCACCTGTCGTTTTCCAAGGAGGGTCGTCAACTTGTCATTCAGCATAGTAGTGGTTTCGCGATCGAGATCGTTTCTCAGTCGTATTGGTGAGGGGGGCTTCATAGGAGAGGGTGTCTCAGAAGAAGGTATCCGGGTATGTTCTCGATCATGTTGAAGTTCGAGCTGAGTCCGAGTTGGCTGAGGAAGATGAGATTGAGAGTGACGATTGGCACGAGGAGGGGTTGCTGGTATTGGAGAGGATGAATGAGGTTCGCCGATCGGTGGGCTAGAGGGTGGCGGAGTGGCTTGCGGTGAAGGCGGGTGTTGTGGAGACAGGGGACTTGGTGAAGACTGAGGGGGGGAGAGAAGATGGTTGGGAGGGCCGAAGGACTCATCTGCAGTGCCTCGGGCGGGTGCAGCGTCGACTTCCATTGGTATCGCAACTGGGGATTTCGGTCGAGGCACGGATGCTGCTGGTTCATCTATAGAGAACGTATAAGTGAATTTTAGACGCGTCGCCGGTGGATGAAACATACTATTAGTTATATCCATCATCATATCCGTCGCCCTCTCCTTACCCTTCCCATTTGCCTTCCCCTTGCCTTTGGAAGCGAACCCGCCCTGTCTGTAACCACTATCGTCTCCAATATGAAAACCTGGAACACGTCCTGAGTGGATCATCTCCTCTAGCCACTCCATCCCCACCACAGGAATTCCCCATTCCTGAGCTTTCTCAAACTTGGCGCCTGAGCGTGAAGGACAAAGCAGGTGAGTACTTCGACGAGAGAAGTTGGGTGCGATAGTGAGACCTGTTTGATATCGAGGGAATGAGAGGTCAGGTAACAATAACATGTAGTTAGACTTACCCAGTGCACGAGCTAGTCGTCGGAGCCAACAAGCTTCAGATTGGTCTAGCCCTGAATAACTCAAGTTGACGAGTTCAATACCTAAGACACTTGTCAGAACTGACTTATCTCATTGATGAGAGGAAAACGTACCCTCAATTGGTTCCCTGTTCTCCAAAGGTCTAAAGGACATATGTTCTTCTCCGGGACATATCCGCTCCTCGAATAGACATCGCTCGAGCCAACACTCTGTACGGAACTTGGAGGGAGAAATCGTAAGAGAGGTAGTATGGTACAGTGTACTCCCGCTGATCCAATACAAGCAGCGTTGAGCCAGCTTTTCTAGAAGAGGGCGAGACGTGGGGAAACTTACCTGACTAGTCTGACAAGCACGAAATCAATATTCTCATCAACATCACCATGACCATCCTCCTCTTCCCGAACACTCAATATATTTCCCCCGGCACCTTCGACGGCACTTCGAACACTGACTGAGCGTGCTTCACCGAGGAGGCGGAATGTCGTATTAGAGAATATACCTGCCGGCTTCGGAACGGAATTGGGTTTTGAGGGAGAGGCACTGTGGTTTGAAGGACCAGCTTCTGGCTGCGGTTGCTGCATCTGGGGGGTAGCATAAGAAGATGATGGAGGAGCTTCGAGATTTCGGTGTGCCTCGTCTCCTGCAGATGGAATTTGGACGTTGGATTGTGCATGAATGGATCCGCCGTTAGTGAGAACACGTTTGAGGGGATGTACTTGCTGCAGTTGCGACCCTCGAATGGTAGACGAGACAACTTTGTTCGGAATCGGGACTAAGGACCTAGAGCGTTGGAGAGTCGCAAGTAGACTAGGCTTACTTTTCCCCCCATCCCCACTCACGCTCACCATCTCAACAACACTCTTCATCCCCTCTACCTTGCCTTTCGTCGGCGAATCTTCGCCATCCTCAGTCCGACGTTGAGTCTGCGATTTGCTAGGGCTTCGAACAAGTTTTCCTTCATCCACAACGAATCCTCTCGGTTTGAGTAGAGATCCCCAGAGGGCAAGTTTCGCGCCAGGGATGCGTTTGATCGATGCTGGCTCCTCTTCTTCATGCTCTGGGTCGTCAAAGGTACCATTGTGGGGTGCTGCAACTGGTTCGCCTGCGAGTGGATGGATTGAAGTTGTCGCAGATGCAGAAATAGGTATATCTTGGTTCGCTTGAGTCATAGACGCGGCTTGCGACTCTAAGAGAAGGGGCGGGAGTCCCCTTTTAACTGAAGTAGAGTAAAAATTCAGGCGAAACGTACCTCTTATCCTTGCTCTCTCCTCGCTCCTTTTCTTAGCCTCTTCCTTCGTAACAACACCAACTTTGTACAATTCCTCATCCCACCTACCTCCACATGCCAGACAATCCCAAAACCAATCTTCCCAAATGACCTGGATACTGGCCTCTTTGCGAGCGTTGAACTTTTCCGCGTATCGTGCTTTAACGGAGGTTTCTCTGAGCGCGGCAAGTTCCTCTTCCGCCTGAGCCGTCTGTATAGAGCTCGATGGAGGGTCGTCTGACACAGCATCAGACCCTGAAGCGGATCTGTGAGAGTTGAAACAGAGGAGATGTGTGACCCGAACAGGTCTCTCAATGTTCTTGACGTAGGTTCCACCATGTTGGACGACGAGTCGATGAATCTCTGTTCGTTTGGGGATGTCTTCAAATCCAGTGACAGCTAGCGTGACGTTGGAGAATATAGGTAATCGGTGAATACGCTGAGACTGTATGCATGCTGAGAGGGGAAGAATGGCGGAGAGTTACGATGTACGCACCTCTTGAAAGTCAACGTCATCCCCTCGGAGCCACACCTTATGTGATTCGAATATCCATGACGGATGCATGATGGGTATCCCAGTTTCCAAAGCGCACTATAGGCAGGCATATAGGAATGTGTACCGACTGAACTCAAACTGCACTGACCTTGTATTTCGCACTCCCGTGCTCTTCAGCTATAAGATGGGTAACGCGATCGGTCAAGTCGCTGAATGATTGTGCGCCGAGTTCGAGGGCTTGTTTGAATAACGTCAACTACAATAACATGACAGATCAACGGAATAACGGGGGTGCAATAATAGTTGTGAGTGGTTGTCGAAGCAAGAACAGCGGTCACGATTCGCAACACACCTTGTCCGCAATTCCAGTGGCACAGAGCACAACGCTTCTGAACGGTCTGGGACACACATCTCCAGCATATGAGGCGTCAAGATCAGAGCTATTCTGGATGTCATCGTCCTGGTCGTAGTATGAAGGGGAATCCTCAAAGCCAGAGTCTTTCCGTTTGGACTTCGGCAATGCTGGACGCAGTTTCACACCTGGAACCTATGTTTGATGCCTCTTCAGTGTTGCGTCCACTTCGCGAGGAGAAACATACCTTGTGAGACTTATTTCTGCGTGGTCCTGCCATCGCGAATATTCTTAGGAGGACGTACTAACTTATCGCGGAAGCAGCCTACGACGCGTCGTCACGGTCCGTTCCTCTCTCGCGTGCGGTCACGCCGTGACAGGATGTTCTGTCACACCACGTCACAGCTGATATTGCTCTCTTGCTCGCCGCTGCAACGTTTAGCTCATCGTGGCTTCCACCATGATCTTCTCCCTGAGGCCAAACGTGCTCAGACAATCCGTGCAGATACCCTCTAGAAGATTACTTGCAACCACGAGTGCACAAACCGCTTCTGCTACACAGTCACCACCACCTTCCCCCTCATCAACGTCCCCAGCCTCATCTTCATCCTCTCAAGCCCCTCTAACGCACTACAAAATAACACTACAACGCTCTGCCATCTCCCTCGCTCCACGTATGAAAGCGACACTTGTCTCGCTGGGGATTCATAGACGTTTACAGACCGTTTTCCATCCTCATAATCCTATCAATGCCGGCAAGATTCTGCGGGTGAAGGAGTTGGTCCATGTAGAGAACGTATCCGCCGATGAGGTTAGGACGAAAACGGAACAGAGAAGAGAGAGAAGACCTGCGAGAGGATATGTTCGTGTGGCTTCGAAGTTGGGTGAGAGCATCTGAACGTGAGTTTTAACGAAGTATGCTCTACAGTCGTTTATTATTGACATCTTTCTCTTGGGATAGTTTGATTATGTCTGGAGGCTTATTATTACCCCGAGCACACCTAATTTGATGCATTGCTCCGATCTCAGTGTGTCATTGAACGTAGCATCCGTTCCCCATATAAGCATTTCGTATCGTCTCCCTCTATGTGTTGTTATGCACCCTTTATGACTCACCTCCCGGTCTTTCGGCTTATCAGCCTCTTATATGTGCACACCAACGTCTACCTTTCGCTCCCGTCATCTCTATCCTCAAATTGCCGCTCCTATACACTGAAAAACCTCACTTTACATGGATTTACATTCCTCTGTATCCCTACCTAAGCTTGACCATCCTACGCCGTTTGCACGAACTCATCCTTGTTGTACGGTCTAGGAGTAGGAAGAAGTTGACCGTCTCTCTATCTTATTCATGCTCCCCTGTCCATCTTCAGGCAGCCGTTTTACAGCGGTTAATGACGTTGAAAAGGTGGTATGCGATCTGTCTACTGAAAATCTTGTAGTAGTAATCGAAAGGAGTGGGGACATGGGTAAGAAGGTATCTATTGCTGCCATTTTACTCACTTGGATAACCTTTGACGTCGCGTCCCTATCGCCCACCACTCAGATGAGCGTCAGGATCGCCATCGCAATATGGATGAAGAGCAAGAAAACAGTGCCCATAATGGCGGGGTGTATTGCACAGTCTCTCGGTGCCCCCCTTATACCGGCTTTTCTTTCTGTTCTGGAGTTCGCGGCAGATTCAGGGCCGACGCAGACATCGCTCACAATACTCAATGGCGCCTCAGCATTCATCCCCTTCGAAATTGCCTGTGGGCAAAGCCCCCCGCCCCCGCAGGATACGATTCAAGGAGAAAAAAAGATTCTTGCAAGGTATGAGGGAGGCTAGGATACCTTGCGTTGGGAATTTCTTACGGATGGTAAGGAAGGTAAGTAATGGAGTCGCAGGAGAAGGGGAGATCATGTAGATGAGTAATTAGTGAGGAAAGAATTTCAGCGTGATAGGATTTATGGTTGCGAATACTAGCAGGCAGTCACTCGTAGCCATTCTTGGTCTCCATAGCGTGGTAGTTAATTTGTGAGTTCCGAGGCAGCGAGTTAGTATAGTACGGAAACAACAACGTTTGTTGTTTCCGTTTTCACTTGTGCACTCAGGTGAGTCAGATCGATCGCGAAACAAGCGACAAGGGAGATAATTGAAATCACCACTACTTTCTTTTGTAACTTTCAAGTTCACTTGTCAGCTTTCCTGATTTCGTTGCGACTTACTTGGATACTACAATGTCGCCAGGTGTCTACAAATGTCTGATAAAGATGCTTATATCGTTATAATGAACCCGAGCGAGTCGTTCCCACCGCACTGACAGTCCTCATGTTCGCTCTGGGAACGAGGCATTTTGGAATTGACACCGGCCAAACTACGACAATCGGCATTGGCTGTTCAGGCTCTCGGCGGATTCCAAATGAAATACAGGAGGTATATAATCCGTTTCTCGGAGGGCGAATGCCAACCGACAAGGGCAATAACGCATCCCGAGACTCACTACACCCGACTCGGTATTGGGACTGCGTACCGGATTCTCTTGTCTTTCTTAAAAGCTTCACACCCAGGTTTCACGGCTGTTTTCTGACATCGAATATCGGAAACTGGTACTCCTGACAGATCTAAAAGACCCGAGAGATAGAAGTGGCTCCAACTCTAATTTTCTATCGCTCTCTTTCTCAGATATACCTTCTCCTCTTTCAGTCTACTTTACGTATTCTTGAGCGAGATGTCTACGCCAGGAACCTCTCTTCCCAAGTTAAAACCTCTTCCTCTCCCTGCCTTGGACTCCCCGGAGTACCTCACACGTCTCCAAACGCCTTTCACCCCGCCTCCACCCACCCTCACGCTCAAGTCCATCCATGCCGCCGTACCCAAGGAGCTTTTCCTTAAAAGTACCACGAAGGGTTTGTGGTGGGTGGGGAGACATGTTGCTATCGTCTTTGGTCTTGGTTGGCTCGCTTTAAATAGTGAGCAGGTCGTGGATACATTGGTTAGGATCCTCGGTGAGAAGGCGGGTGTGGCCCGGTCTGAGCAATGGAGTGGCCTGGTGAATTGGGTGTTTTGGATAGCTTATTGGTTCTGGCAGAGCGTGGCATTTGCGGGGATGTGGACTCTAGGTACGCGCATATGAACCTTCGTGCCTGGGTACAACCAAATCTGACACTAACTGCTTGTTATTGCGTGGTATGCGTAGGCCACGAAGTACGTCCTACTCCATACGATTAACCTACATTCAAGTAATGACCATGTGCGCTTTTAGTGCGGACATGACGCGCTCTCGCCTATTCCATGGGTAAACACTGTTGTAGGCCTCTTCCTGCATACGTCCATGATTACACCGTATCATGCTTGGCGCATAACACACCGGCGACATCATGTGCGTAATCTCTTCCCTGCCATCCCTCGTCTTTCGCTCTCCTATCCTGCGTCCATGCTTTCTCTTCTCTCCCTCTCCTTACTCACCATACCCTCACTTCATCGATCCTCATACCCCCTTTCTATAATCATACTAATCTTCAACTGGTCCGTTGATCCAGAAAGGCACAAACCACCTCGCACACGATGAGACCTATCACCCCTTCACACGCTCCGATCTCAAACTACCACCTATAGAGAAGGCAACTCCGATGGATTATATGGGGATAATCGAGGAGACGCCTGCCTTTACAACCTTCAAGTTGGTCGTCAGACAGTTTTTGTAAGTTTTCTTCTTGATTTTCTAAAGCCTCTAACTCTCGACGCGTAAACGGAGGGCTGACTGTAATTTCATCTTGAAGGGGTTTCCAGCTGTACCTTTTGTAGGTGTTACTTGTTACTTGTTTTGAATTGAGTCTGAAGCAGCGTAGACATAATCGAAAGGGGAACCCCAAATACCCAAAGGGGACATCGGTAGGGAGCCTTCCTCACACTCCTCGCATTTACCGCATTTATGTATGAAAACATCTACGCCACAGCATTATAAGCCCTCTTCCAAATTCTTCAAACCCGAAGATCGTACGTTCTCCTCTTACGTTCTCCTCTTACGTTCTCCTCTTTTCACGATAAAACGACCAACACTTGCTGAGATAGGACCGTCGATCATTCTGAGCGACATCTTCATTCTCCTCATGCTTTCCATCCTCACCCTATGGAGCCATTATCGCGGCTTTGGGGAAGTTTGGAGGGTATATTTCGTACCTTGGTTGGTACGTGTTTTCTTCCCTATTTGCCATCTTTTCGGCTACCTGATCCGAGTTTTGTATCTGGGATCCATAGTGGGCGCACAATTGGTAAGTTGTCATTAACATAAACAAGTAACGACGATTAAGGGTGGGTGTACTGATTAGGATCGTCATGTTCACTTACCTCCAACATTCGGATCCGACTGTCCCGTATTATCGAGGCAAGGTATGTATCTCATCCTCCTCTTTCACCGTTCCCCATCATCTGCCCTTTATCACTCAGACAGCAGCTAAAGCTTAACACATGCTCTTTTTCGGTTTAGGATCAATGGAACTTCACCCGTGGTGCACTTGCCACCGTCGATAGACCAGTCTTTGGCTGGATTGGGAGGTTCTTCTGGCATGGTGTAAGCCCCTCTCCGATTTGAGTCCCTGTGAGAATGATACTTGATGATTGGGATGTACTAGATCGCACATGATCACGTTGCACATCATTTTTTTGTCAATGTGCCGTTCTGTACGTCGATCTTTTGGCATCCGCGAGCTACGGGCTGAGCTTACGTTTGCGTTTATGGGAATGTTTAGATAACCTCCCCGAAGTGACGGAAGCGATCAAACCGGTCCTGGGGGAATACTATTGTTATGATCCTACTGTATGTCGCTTTTCTGTCATCTCTCCCTCTCCACACGCTCTCCACACGTATACTAACTCGATTCGATATGGTATATTTCCATGCCTTAGCCGACCCTCTATGCACTCTGGCGCTCGTTCACCCAATGTACGTTCATAGAACCTGAAGGTGACGTCGTATTTTTCAAAAATCAGAGAGGCGAGGCCCTGAGGGCCCTAAGGGAGGATGAGGTCGTAATGAACGTAAACAGGGTGAAAAAGGAAGTTGGAGAGGGATTGTCTGATGTCGATGAAGACGAGGACCAGGAGGACCAGGAGATGAAGAGGAAAGATATCTGATTTTTTGTGGTGATGCAGGAATATTAGTGTATCATTTGTTGGTGTATCACTTTGATTCATGTATGTACGAAGTTGTACTCAAGAAGTTATCAAGTTTGAAGCTTTCCTGTGGATACTGCATTCGACGTTGAACGTACGTTAGATCTTGTTGGCATTGCTTGTCCTACCGCTACAGTGGGACTACAAGACTTACTATAAACAAATGATCGACACCCTCAATACCTAAACGCCCAGAACACACACTCTTGTTCGGAGAAACTCATCATGGCCAAAGGTTCAAATTCACATACACCATCAACCAAAAGACGAGGAGGTCCCTCTAATAGGCGGGGGAAGTCACGGGGAAGAGGGGGCTCTTCCTCTCACCGCTCATATCAAGCCGACTCTCTGGATAATGTCAGACCAGAAAGCGCGATCGACGAAGTCGATGCAGATGCAAACGGTTCAGGCGAAGAAGATGTAGAAGGTGAAGAAAGTCAGATTGTGATTGAGGTGCCTGTTGCTATGTGGGTTAGTCCTTCTTGCTATATATACAAACTTGGAGCTCATGAGTAAAGTAGGATTTCGATCAGTGCGATCCGAAACGATGTTCAGGAAAGCGACTTGCTCGACTGGGGCTGATTCAAGACTTGAAAGTGGGGCAGAAGTTTAGAGGTGTCGTTGTTACGTACGTCTCTATGATTTCCTAAGGTTGATCAGGTAGAAAATGTGGCTGACCGGAAACGTTAACAGGCCGAAGGCTACTCTCCCTGTGAGCCCCGCCGATCGTGATCTTATAGCGAAGAACGGGCTTGCCGTAGTCGAGTGTTCGTGGGCTCGTTTGGATGATGTTCCCTTTGGAAAAATAGCAAGTCCCACAGAGAGACTTCGTAAGTTCACCCTCCCATTAATGTCTTTTGGGGCGAAGTGTATTAATCGTTATGTAGTGCCATATCTAGTCGCAACCAATCCTGTTAATTATGGCAAACCATGGCGGCTCAATTGTGTCGAAGCTCTAGCAGCTGCGTTTTACATTACTGGATTTGATTCTTATGCAGAACGATTGTTGGGTGCATTTGGATGGGGAGGTGCGTTTCATAAAGTCAATCGGTGCGTCTCGAGTATACATTCTTGCCAGGTATATGAAAAATATTGACCATTTGCATCCTGACACAGTTGTTTTATTGACGAATACAAGAAGTGCAAAAGCTCAGAGGAGGTGGTCGCTACACAAGAGCGTATCCTGAAGGAGTCAGAAGATGCTTACGATAAATCAAGACAAGCTACTGCAGGTACGTAAGTTGTCTTCTATATGTCTCTGCAATTTTCTCACTGCAATGTAGAGCAAGGAGTAGACGGAGAGGATTTACTCGTGCCGAATCCCAATCATCAGAACTTTCAAGTTGATGAGGACGATAGTGACGAGAACGATGAGAACGGCTCTGGTTCATGATCTCTGGTTCACTCGTTTGTATCCTTGAATACTTTGTAGCATTAGAACTCATGTTTTGTATAATTACTATGGCAATCAGGATGTACGGTACTGAAGCTTCACACTGGAGCTGACTGAGAGACGTAGATAAGATTAGATTGGCGCCAACATCTATAGCACTGCTAACTTTTATGTTTTCCTCGATCAAAACTTCCGTTCAACTTCAAGCTCTATCATAGCTGGTGGCCGTACGCCCACATAAAAAGCTGCCGTCTTTAGATACTGCAATAAGTTGTGGCGAGAAACAGGAGTATTTGGCAGCATGGAGATTTCGGTGCGTCTCTTCTACCTTGACAATAAGCAGAAGAGTTACAGAAAACTAGGCAGGGGTCAAACTCGCTCAATCGGTCCATGCAGGGGCTTTGGTCGACTCATAGACGTTCAAAAGTGAATTTAAACGCTACCTCAATACCTTCCTCAGCACCCCCAACACCAGCAAATGATGAAGAAACAGTGACATCTCCCATGCCACCTGCCGCAGTTGAAGAGCGGTCTGCTGCACCTGCAGAGGCGGCTTCCGGTCCAACTCCTTCTGAAGTTCGTCCGCCAAATTCTACAGCAAAACGGAAGACACGATCTTCTCGACTTCAGGGAGACGAGGCTAGTAGTAGTAAACGGACGAAACTTTCGCAACCTGGTGGAGGTGGTATAGCGAAAGATTACTCTCCTCCCACAACACGGCTGTCGGACCTTGGTGGCGTTGAGCCCTGCATTGAGAAGATGCTCGAACTGGTAGCAATGCCGTTGTGCCATCCGGAGGTATACATTCACACCGGTGTACAACCACCTAGAGGTGTCTTGCTCCATGGACCACCAGGTTGCGGTAAAACTTTGTTAGCAAATGCTATTGCTGGTGTATGTTCCACTCATATATTCGAATTGGACATGATTTTTACCATTCACTAGGAACTTGGAGTCCCGTTCATCAATATTTCTGCTCCTTCTGTTGTCTCAGGTATGTCCGGCGAGTCTGAGAAGACGCTTCGGGACACTTTTGAGGAAGCCAAGGTACGTTAGGTTATATACGTTCGGAATTTGGCTGACCTACTTGGTCCAGCGAGTTGCGCCGTGTCTGCTGTTCATCGACGAGATTGACGCGATTACACCGAAACGAGAGAGTGCACAACGAGAGATGGAGAGGCGCATAGTCGCACAATTCTTGACGTGTATGGACGGTAAGCAAATTCTCACCCCTTTCTGTCTTTCGTGGCTAAACCGGGATTTCCAGATATGTCATGGGATAAAACGGATAACAAGCCAGTCATAGTCATCGGCGCAACAAATCGTCCCGATTCTCTCGATGCTGCGTTGAGACGAGCAGGTCGTTTCGATCATGAAATTAGCATGGGTGTTCCAGATGACGAAGCAAGAGCCCAGTACGTTGTTGACATTGTTATAACATAGTTCCTTGACTGACATGCTCAATCTGTTTAGGATTCTTCGTGTCCTCTCGTCAAAGTTGAGGCTAGAGGGCGACTTCGACTACCTATCCCTTGCCAAATCTACACCTGGATACGTTGGTGCCGATTTGGCTGCTTTGACAGGTGCTGCTGGAATTATCGCTGTCAAACGAATATTCAAGCAATTGTCAGAGGGTACCCTGGTCCTGCCGGAGCTGATCATGTCTGAGCTCGAAGCTGACGCAGATGCCTTAATGGCTATCGATCCTCCCCAAGTTCCACAGACTGAAGTCGCATCCACTGCACCCAGTAGATTTGTCCCATTTTCGACATTCAGCCTATCGACCTCCTCTCCTGCGTCATCTATCATCCACTTTCTCAGAGCCCATCCCTCACCTTTAAGTGAACTTCAGCTCGCGCCTCTGCACATAACATTCTCCGACTTCCAAGAAGCGCTTACGCAAGTGCAACCTTCGTCTAAACGTGAAGGCTTTGCGACAGTTCCAGATGTCACTTGGGCCGATATTGGTGCTTTGTATAGTACCAGAGAGGAGCTCCATATGGCTATCGTACAGCCGATCAGGAGGCCAGAGATCTTCCTGGCTGTGGGTATTGAAGCGGCTTGCGGAGTGCTTTTGTGGGGCCCTCCCGGATGTGGTAAGACGCTATTGGCGAAGGCTGTCGCGAATGAGAGTCGGGCGAACTTCATCAGCGTGAAGGGTCCGGAATTGCTGAACAAGGTAAGCTTTGATGTGGATGTGTTTGCGAATTGAGACTGATTGTCTACATTGTTCTTAGTATGTCGGTGAAAGCGAACGTGCTGTACGACAAGTCTTCTCACGCGCAAGGGCATCGTCGCCATGTGTCGTTTTCTTTGACGAACTCGACGCTCTTGTCCCGAGACGAGATGACAACATGGTGAATCGATTTCATTTGAAAAGTCTCTCATATGGCAGTTGCTAACACCACTTTATCACAGTCCGAGTCTTCTGCCCGAGTCGTGAACACCCTACTCACTGAATTGGATGGACTTGATGCTCGCAAGTCCGTATATGTCATCGCAGCAACCAATCGACCAGACATGATCGACCCTGCTATGTGTCGCCCTGGGCGCCTCGACAAGCTCCTCTACGTCGACCTGCCGAGTGCAGCAGAACGAGCCGAGATTCTTCGAACACTCATGCGAAAAGTTCCCTTAGGAGTCCTGGACCCTCAAGATGGTACGGCAACCGACGAGGATGTTAGAAACGCTGTCGAGTCCCTCGCAAGGGAACGGTGCGACGGATACAGTGGCGCAGACCTTGCTGCCTTGGTCCGAGAAGCTGGTGTGGTTGCGCTGAGACGAACGTTGGGTACTCTTGATTCACTTGATAAGAACCAGGAGGCATCGTTCTCAGGAGTACAGCCATCAATACGTGTGGGTATTGAAGACTTCGTAAAGGCGACGGACAAAGTCCAGCCTAGCGTTAGCGTGGCGCAGAGGAGAAAGTATGAGGCTTTGAGGTCGAAGTTCGCTGGTATGCCTGTAAGGGCTGGGATCTCTGAAAAAGAGACTAACAGGAAAGAGTCCTTTTCTGCGTAGTATGAACACGTACACCTGGTCTCCGTAGCTGAGTTTATACCATACAAGGCAGCAGATGACAGTCGATCACGTACACCGAAGCCTTAGGAGAGGGAATAGCCTTATTTAGTAGGTCTTCGCTCAAAAAGGCAATTGTGCATTTGCTTTGAATTCAATCATCATACAAGTACGCTACATGGTAGTAGTTGACCTAGACCATAGATGGTCTTCTTATACTCCATGGTCTTCTCGTTTCAATCTACAAATAATTCTCAAGTCGCTTGGCAGGAGCGAGGATGCTGGCATCCCGACGAGACTCTCCAGGTTCACGCTTGGCTGGAGCTAGGATTGCAGCGTCGCGGCGCTCGTCTTCCGGCTCACGTTTAGCGGGCGCGAGAATTGTGGCATCACGCCGAGTATCCTCAGGATCTCTCTTTGCAGGAGCTAAGAAAGTGGCATCACGTCGAGCGTCCTCGGGCTCGCGCTTGGCCGGCGCAAGAATAGAAGCATCTCGTCGCGACTCATCTGAAAGAAATTCATAGGTCCAGTTACATGGGCAATACACTTTTCGTGACCTACCGGGCATTGCCTCCCGCTTTGCAGGAGCAAAAATGGTAGCATCTCTACGAGTGTCCTCAGGTTCCCTCTTAGCAGGTGCTAAGATGGTAGCGTCCCGACGACTATCCTCTGGCTCCCTCTTCGCAGGGGCGAGAATCGTGGCATCTCGACGAGTATCCTCGGGCTCCCTTTTGGCTGGTGCTAAAATTGTGGCGTCTCGACGGGTGTCCTCCGGTTCCCGCTTGGCAGGTGCGAGGATAGTAGCGTCTCGACGAAGAGCGTCGTCAAATGGGCCTAACACGCCATGAAGACCGGGACTGCATACATTAAGGTAAAGATTCACCTCGAGCGATGGCATTGCCTGGAACAGGCGTCCCTGTAACAGACACTGCGGCAAGGATGATGGGAAGGAGAATAGCTTTGAGTTGGACCATGGTGAATGAGAAGAGCTAGATGTGAGGAAGGTCAAGCGACTTTTGTTACCTGCTTATTGCTTATGGAGATTAAGAATTCTTCATGCGATAATACATGATACCTCCGTTGTCGCCTTCATGCGGTCGAAATACATATCAGTCAGCATTACGCGCGTACGCAGTCATGAGACCGGAGTTGGGATACAATACCTGAACTAGAGTACTCTGGGGAAAGATGATCCAAGTCCAAGGTCTCGGCGGGCAACAATGAGGTGATAGTAAAAGTCCAAATTTCAAAGACAGCAGAACTTGTATCTGGACGCACTTGTTGGAGCAGCCATTAGATGGTATCGAAAGTTTGGAACCACTACACCTAGTCCTGGACGAGTGCTAACGCACTACACGATAACCATACTAAACTCAACATGGAAGGGAGGATATCGAACGTTGGTTTCGATATCTGTATTCATTATCAGATGCAGAACAATGGAATCTATTTCACATCGGAACCGAACCTGCCGAGATCGGTCACTTGCAGGGTCTTGCAGGATCTAACGCTTGAGTATGTACACGTCCAGCTGATGGCGAAACGTACTCATGAGGACTTTGGCTATGTCATCACTGAAGGTCTCCTTATCGACGCAGTAGATCCAGCGCCAGCCAGTGAATTCCAACGTAAAACGTTGTAAACCAGACAAGCACCCGTGTGGCGTGATATAGCCATCAAACATGTTTCTGACGGCTCCAATCGTGAGTTCCATACGTAGGCAACAGTTAAGCTTCAGAGACACTTCAGCAGTCACAATCTTCGACATCGGCGGATCAATGGATGGGTTCCTGGGAAGCAGAGACATGGCAGCATCGTGGCAACCAGGAAGGTCGTATTCTTGCTGTAAAATGCATAGAAGGATGGTCCAGGAACAAACCTTTGGCATATAGGACGTCACGCATAATGGTCATATCATATATTCAATCTTTGACAGGTAGTTCCAATGTACATCGTCAGCTGTCTGTGAGAGATGAGTACAATGTATGATGAACAGCGAAACCTCTCTACCTCATGATAGTGGAAGACAATCAAGAAGGCAAGAGAACACCATCGCAGCGGACCAGCGACGGCATTCCGGCATTCATCCCCTCATGTCCTGGCCGCGGCGCCACGCAGCAGCTTTATCGCCCTCTTGAAAGGAAGAATAAAGAACCAATTGTCAAAGTTATGAAGCACTGTCTCGAACTCAAACCGTGAAGCATACCACGTGCAATAACAGCATCAAGGACTGGACTCGCAACAACTGACGACAGCATCACGAGTGCTGACAGGATAAAGAACTTGAGTTGAGCCATCGCGTACAGAAGCGGTCTTCACGAAAGTGCTTCAGAAAAGGGGGTAGAAGCAGAGTTCGGTTAAGGCCTTTGGACAAGGCGCACACCCCGCGGTCAAGGGTTATGAGCTGTCGCTGGAGAGATAACCGATCGTACGAGCATCCGGCCATTGCTTGATCCCTGATGCGCGCTCGAATGGTGTGCACCGCAGCACGTTCACACCGTCCTGTTCAGCTGTTGTATTGAGTGATAGACGGCAGACTGTGAGAGATGTGTACCATAGAAAGGTGACTGCGGACTTCGTGATTAGAATCAATTTCCCACCTGGACATTTGAGGACAGGGGTAAGAGCAGGAATAGCTTGAGTATGAGAAAAACCTCAACAAAGTGGAATTGATTGTGAAATAATCCTTAGCGGTCCCACGAAGATAATCTTGGCATGCCAGCTCGCAGGAATTGGTTTATGCTAGCCTCCAACAGCAGATACGGTGGCAGCATTTATCGCCAGAGGCCCTGAAGAGACAGTTGTTCACGTAGATGGACGGTGAATCTAGTAGATTCACGTTGTCACAAATCACGATTTCCACTAGATTTCCACTGGCGCCAGCGTGGCGGTCCACATCTTTCCCGACAACGACAACCATTTTTCATCTTCATCACGAACATGACATGCAGCCAGAGAGCTACGAGTACGCTCACGTAACTGAACTTCTGAAACCTGTATCGGAGAGAAAATCATTCCATACATGTTTTGACTATTCGACGTGATCTGGGATCCCTTGGGCCTTGCGCCACTTTTCCCATTTGATCCACCTCTCGTTCACACTCTCATACAACGGTTGCCAATCTCTACAGGTATGTGGCCCCCATCCTCTGTGCCGTGAAATTTCTCTGTGTGAAGTCACCCGGCTCGAGAGTGACATCCGCAGAACACAAAGTCCATTGCCGAATGTAATTGAAGCAATGGTGGATGTGTCCTGCCTGCCCAGCATGGATGGCTCCAAGCCCACGATCAAGGGCTTCACGTATCCCCCGCAGGCAATGGAGCTGGTGAAACATCGGAATGGCGAACGCTCGGTAGTCTTCGCCAAGCCGGATGTGATTGTCACCGTAAGGTGCCGTCCATAAGTATTCGTCTGCAGAATCTGGACCGGTGAGAGCATAATGAACACTCTCTTCTACGACAATTTTGACCGGACCCATTTTGACAGGTAGTACTGGCGGGAAGTCAGTCCCTATCAATGCTGTTAGAGCGCGAGCAGCTATCAGATACAGCGGTTGACACAATGAAGAAACTGCGCACAGTATGACTCCAGTGGTCTCGGTGGAGTATATTGGATATCGGTCACGACATCTTTCGCGTAACGAGCAAGTTGTACAATAGTAACGTCCAGGTAAAGTGAAATAACGACGAGAAAACCCAGCACCATGACCTGGTTGCTGGTCTCGCTCCGATGATAAACTGAGAGCATGTTCAACAGCAAGGGCAAAGGTGAATGAGGAGGATCTATGCGGGGAAAGTTGAGAGACTTTTCCAGGTAAGCATGTCCCGTGGAAAAAAATGAAATGACTGATGAACAAACCTTTGAAAGCTTCTACTTGGTGTGCGACTATGGATGGTCCACGCACCTGGCTCCGAACTCAACGGCGGATGACTGAAGGATAGTAGCTTTGGGGTACTAAACGCCTTTAGCCAGGGGTCTAGCAGTGCAAAGATACCTGTCTTGAAAGAATAGCGGAAGTTGCTGCCGGTGAAACTGGGGTCGCATTCGAAATTCTCTAGAACGCGTGCTATCATATGTCTTCCCAAAGTGACCAGTTGAATGATACTGATGATACGCTAAGGCGAGCAGGTGCCAATTCTTTGGATTTCACAGAGTACAGAATGTCTCCTCAAGATATCGGAGACTCGTTCCCGTCAGAAGGTGAAATCAGAGGCAGGATGGTGTTCCTGGCGTCAAGAAACAACACTGCATCGATAGCAGCTTACTGAGCGAAGTACTATCTTCACAATTTCACAATTCGTCAACTTGTTCTCCTACCATTTGCAGCCAAGCATAACCAGTAGCCTCCACATTTGCGATCTCGCTTTCTTGGTTTTGTCCGTCATGACCATGTGTCTTGCCATGGTCCCTTCGGCAGCTATACTGGTCACTATCTTGCACTTTTCAGATGGAACACACAGTTCCTGATGATCCATCATCGAAAGGGCTTGTCCAACTAGAGATGTACGTACTTTCATCCGTGCTTGTCGTCGGCGGACGGAGGTCTACTCACGGACGGACTAATTAGTAAGTGGTGATTCTTAGCTGACATGTGCCAGCCGAATTATACCAAAATCCAGGATCTAACGTTGTGATTGTCATTCTGGGTTAGGCTCATTCACATAATGCCGACATGCTGCTGTGTTCTATTAACGTGTATTCTGGGTGGTAGTTTATCGCTCTTGACGACCGTTAGAATACGGTGACGCTGAATATCTCCGAATGAGAGCTCGGCGCGCTTAAGGCTTGAAAGCAGGATCCGAGGTGCCATAGCTCGAGTCTGCCAATCTTTCGTTCGTCCTGCGATGTATTCCAACAAGACTCGTGAAGAGGCAATTTCCCTGCTAGACACAAGTGTCCACAGCTCTGAAGAAGAGTTTGATAAACTTGAAGGTGAAGAAATTGCGGTTTGCACAATCATTGTCCTGAATTAATTCCATACATTATAGGTGTCAGCCATGGCATGTCGACCTCGGGGCGTTTGAGGACTTCTCTGGTTTCGCGATTGGGTGGATGGATACCTGCTGCTGTCTTGTCGTTCATCGTACTCGACATTGCCCTCTTCATATACACTGCTCGACTTCTCCTTGCCACTTGCGACGTCGCATTCGGTACACTCGAGGTTCGTAACACATACGTCGGGCTCGACGAGCTCTACGCTACCGGCCATGTAAATGCTTCTGAGCATCCCCCGATCCTGAATCGTCCTCGAGTCGTCACTCAGGTCACCAGCTCAAACCCAAACAAGGTTTTCCCAATTGACCAGCTGAGAGGTATGACAAGTACTGGCACAATGTCTCCTCCTGATTCACATTTGCATGTCTCCGGTGATGTGAATGAGTCTTACACATTTCTCTAAGTCCTGCGTCTGACTGGTTTTCTCCGACCAGACCCACACCATCGCCCAGTTCAGAGTCCTCGATTGGGGAATGGAGCGTTGTCAACTAGCGATTCGTCTCCCAGCTCTCAGCGCTTCCCTCCCACACCCCTTCGTCTTCCAGGGTGACCCAAGTGCTGGTGTACAACTCGAAATTTGCGAGCTTGATGCCGACAAGAAATTGTACTTGGACGCAACGAAGATCTCTTGGAACACAAAGGCGAAATGCGTTAAGCACGTGGGTACTGTCGTCGCCCGACCCGATAATGAGGTCAAATTACCGGAATTCCCCTGTAAATGGGGCGTCCAGCATACCTTCGAGATCTCCTGTTCTGACAGAGAGAAGTGCATGATTGATGTGAGACCTACTCAAGTTGATCCGTGGGGTAAGTTCTTCTCTTCATATCGTAGTGTGGACCTAGCTGGACTTTTGCCCACAGGTGTATTCATGTATCAATATCAAACAGTTTGAGAATCATTCACCTGAAAGAAAAACATGTAAATAGCACAGTTGCAGATATTCATAATAATGGTTGCAAAATCGAGATTAACACGTCTGTCTCTACGATGTGCTAAGTTTGTGTCTCACGTTGGTCATTGTTTCTCCAAGTCATCTCATGTCCTCCTGTAAATTCCAGAAGCAACAAGAATACTTGCCGGATGGTAGCATTACTCCTCATCTCACCGGAGATCACAGTGATGCCAAATTCGGTAGCCCCTTGTCTTCTTTTTAAAGATCTCCCTCCATCTGTCGTGCAGACGTTGGGACTGGCAGGCTCCTTCGTTGACATGCCGTCCACAACGGTTGGAAGACTGTCAAAGTTACATCTCTGATACGACGTAGAAGGGACGAACTTACGCCTATTGAATCCTATGGCCGCCGATGCCTGTGGTTCATGTATGTCCCGCACATGGTGCCAGTACCTGCAGCTTGACATTAGGACTTCCACCATGAGGCAAGGAGAAATTATAACTCGTCAGATTGCTACAAAGGAGTGAGTATAAGTCAATAGCCTAGTAACTCAGCCTGCATTCCATTTCATCTTACACACAACTCCCAATGTTCAACGTACTCATCGCCGTTATGTTCGGCACAGCCGCCTTACTTGTTGGTGCTCGACCAGCTTTCAGCCCTAGAGATGCTATGGTCCTCGGTACGTATCATCGAAAATTGTTCCTAAAAGGATGCGATTTTATATTGGGTATGATAGATAATCTCGTCTCCCGTACTGACGCCATCATACCCGACTTCAGAACAGACGCATCACTGCTCATTTTGAGTGTGAAGCGGGGGAGCGAGGTTGAGGCGATTGAGAAGAATGCAGCTCTAGACCGAATTGACGCAACTCTCCTTATTGAGAACAAGTAAACATGAAGAAGAGCATCAGGCTATCGGCGCAAGAGAAGGTAGCATCGGGGCACATAACTGTAATACTTTGGTTCAGTCGGTCGTTGTTGTGTTTCCTCTTGTGAATGGTGGCGTCACCGTGTATTGTAGTCGGAATTGGGGGAGATGGGTGGAATGGTATATGTAAGCACCGATGGACACAAGGTGTTGCTAGTAGTATTCATCGAGAAGTATTTGTATTGGGCATAAAAGTCGCTGTCTATGGACATCAGCAAGAAGAGACGGGGGAAAAAACCAAGAAAAGAGAGCTATGATGCAAACGATGCATTTATTCATATTATAAACTGAAATGAAGAATTGGATGCTACTCACTTGGGGTTAGAACATCGATATATACACAATAACAATATACTGCAAAGGCGACTGCTTAAACGAAAGGCCTCGGATGGTATAGATTATACCACATCGTATACGCTATGGTATTTACCCAAGGTTTGCATCGCTAAGACTGAATCTGAACTTTGATCAGTACCGAGCTGTAGCCCCGAGGTGAACATCTGGCCTGTTACTGGGCCATGCACATATTCCGTCTGTTCCTGCGTCATGACAGAACGTGACCAAGCCTTACCAGAGATAATCCGGAGAATTATCATCTGGGGAGAGATACACTATAATGCGAGGTAAGATGGTGATGATGATAACTAAATCAACCACTTACAGTCAGCTTCGCCCAAACTTGTCCCACTGCTGCTGAGGCGAGATTCCCCTGTGCATACAGTGCAAGAAATATAACACCTGAGATCGTGTACGGCGCAGCTGACTCAACCATGACGGCGGCGACGCTCGTATAGAGCCGTGCGTTCTCCGGACCCAAAGCAGCAAGAACTTGTTTCGACAAGTAGGCAAGGCGTCCGCAAATAAGCAACGTTACAGTCACATTCATGCCTATCAGGATGGAGTAATATGGAACCCCGAAGTCGACAGCTTTTCCGGAAAAGAAATGACCACCAGGAGTGAAAGCAGATACAAGCTGAATGATACCTAGCACTGTAAGGCAGGATATATGTCAAATCTAGATTCCCATTATAGTAAGTAAAACATGAAACTCACCGGTTGCAGCCAAGTATATCAAACAAGGGAAGAGAATCACGTAATAACGGGAACCCCAAATAATCCATAGTCGGTGAAGCTGGAAAGTGTAAATTGTGCAGGAATATGGATGACAAAATTCGAGACTTACTAGCAGCGCATCCCCTAATAAAGCCATTACAAGGACCGAAGCTGATCCAAGGATTTGATACCAAACGCTAAGACTGATAATCGGCTCTTCTTTATTCTCGATGAACATTATCTCTCCGAATACAGCATTGGTTGAGACGTCCACAGTCAATAGTATGAGGAAGCACGTGTTGAGAAGGAAGAAGAATAAGTGGCGTCTACTTGCTCGCATTTTCCGGCAAAGGACGCCCAAGGTCAGGAAGTACATCATCAACTCTACTCCTGAATACAGTCATTAGACATTGCCATGTTACGAGAAGATCGCTTACCATAGAGAATACCGCCGAGATAGTTCCCTATATAAAATGAATGCTGCCAGATAATCTTGTTCGACGGCATAGAATGGTGTTTCCAATTTCTAAACTCGATGCGTCAGAACTCAGACGTCTGTTGATTGTTGATCCCGGTGATCCAATCGGTGACGCACGGTGACTGATGATTTCGTAAGGCTCTAAAGAAGCCCTAACGGGGCAAGCCAGAAGGCTGCGTCGCTAATGGTGCTGAACGTGCTGCAAGGTTGGAAAGGAGTGTGAGGTCGTCGTGGTTCGTTACAGGGCAAGGCAGCTTCAGGAACATCGTAAGCTTGGCGACCACGTCGGCAGCGGGATTTCCCCATTTTCGGACGGGTCGGGTGGGACAAGCGATTTGACGCCATCTTATAGTTATAAACACAACTTACGAAGAAATTCCCACAGCTACGGAAGGATACTCAGTTTCTGATGGCAGCTCAAAAACAATATAAAATGCAGCGTCTCAAGTTGAAGACTTTGAGCTCACTCAGTGAAAGGTAAACTCACATCAGAAGCGTTGTCGTTCACTATCCATATTCCAATCAGCTCTGAGCGAACACTGCAAGAGAAAGACTCGACGCAGTGATAGCCATTGTTATTAGACCACTCTGTCCAAGTTCAAATGAGTGACAATAAGTAGCGTGAGGAGTCGTTAAGTTCTCATACCGAAAGATGCATCCGTCGGTCCCGAACCCACACTTACTCAACTGTTACGTCCTCAGTGCCTATAATGAGTAGACCCGCAGTAGGCGATGACACAACAGCGAGTGAGATTTGAAGATTGGTCCACACTGGTCCGAATCTGTCAGCGAGGCAGGTGATAGTGATATTCTGACCATCCTACCGGTTCGCACGTCCTGACATAACAGTGGATGTTTGGAAGCACTTACTTTTGAGCACCTGATCATTCCAAGATGATTCCAGCACCGGAAACGTGTTCCAAGGGTCCATCAAATGTCATCGACGGCTTCTAGAATCAGATATTCCAAAGGACTAGTACGAATAAACGAATTCCGACCCCGAGATATAGATAACTCGCCGCTAAACCGGCTTTTCCCTGAACCCCTAGAAAGGTTCCGCGCCTACCATTAGTATTTACAGAGTCGTCTAAGGCATTAGAGGTGAACAGACCTAAGCTCGCCTTTGCAAACTGCATAATGAGGTTGCAGAAGAAGCCTTTCCGCATATCCTCCGTGAACCTATACTTGACCTTATTCTCCTTCATCGTTCTGCTCAAGCTCGGTTATGCATTATGGTTGAGCAAGCTCTCGAGGGGTCATACCAGGAAGTATAGTGAGTACTGACCATGCGTATTTCTTGGCATCGCTGAGCGGAGTGTCCTTTCGCAGGTTACATCGGGAATGACTATCCTGAGAGGTGGCCTATCGAACGATCTACAGTTCTGATGGCGTCAGACGCCTCGAACAGATACCAGTTCAACACCACTGACGGCAAAGCAGAGTGGGCGTCACTCGTACCAGGAGACGGGGTCGTCCATCTTGGTAAAGAGCAACAACCGTATACTTTGTCAATGGTGCACCAACTACGTTGCTTGAACATCCTTCGAGCAGAGATTGTGAGAGACAGGAGTACTCCGGGTCCTGGGGAGTACACTGAGTTGGCCAGACATTGCTTGAATTATATCAAGCAAATGATGTTATGTCGTGCTGATGCGTATCTGGAGCCTTTCTGGTACGACAATCATAACGGCCCCATCGACCTCTATAGTTTTTATGAGTGCAAGGATTGGGGTGCAGTGTATGGCGAGATAAAAAAGAATCAAGAGGAGTACATAAAGGTGGCAGAACGCTGATCTGGAGCTGTTGGATGCCAGTGGTTGTTAGTATAGGCAATGTAGAAATATGAGGCAAGTACGCGTACTTTCACTTAACATCGCTAAAGCAAAAAGGTGGTCTAACAAGTCGTCTATAGAATCCAAGGATGCGCCGGTGACAATATATGCGTAAATTCCGCAGGAGAATTGTAACAGAAGAAACCCAGAGAGACATCTGCTATTTGAATGTATACGTCTGATGTGTGCTGGTACGTGAGTCTTGGGATAACAGTGTCAATTTTAAGCGAACCTTGCCTGACCTGTATTCACATCAACGGCTAAAGTGTACAGACGACGAGATATCCCTGCATATATTCATGCAATACATATCCTTCGCTTCATTTGATTAGTTGGAAATTTATACGCTCCGCGGCCGAGTCGGTTTTCCCTTCAACCCATGATAAGCCTTGCGACCCTTGTTAGCCAAAAGTATCAAGGATCCAAGTAGGCCCGCAAAATTATATCCAGAAGCGATACGATAGTGTTGCGGTAAAAAGCACATGCAAGTGTCTACAATATTTAAGCTCTCAAAATGCCGTCTCCAAGGTACGGCGCTAAACGGAGTGTACTCCCAATTTGGAGTACAGGCGCTTACTTACGTACTATAGTAGTTTGCCGACGATTTCGAGGATCCTTCAAGAAGTTGATAGCATCCATTGTTGAGTTACTTTCCTTTCGTCAGCTATCGTCTTGTTTATGGACTATGATTTATCTCCAGATGAATAACATTGACATATCCTTGTAATCAATGCTTTTCAAGGACTGCCACGCACGCTTTATGAAGATCAATGGCTCGAACTCAATTTGAGTCCAGGATTCGGAACACCTCGTACGTGCAGTACGTACCCTTTTGTTTCGTGAAATTCTGAGTCCTCCAAGCATGTACTATCGTGTTTTCCTCTAGCATATCAACACAGACATCTGTTCTTCGAGAACAACATCGGGAGTTTCGATGTTGACCAGGAACCTCGGAAGTCAGCTTGAGGGCTGACACGCTAACCGGGTCATACATGGATGTACATCCAATCTCTCTGTCTGACTATTTTATGTTTCTCCGCTCAACTGCTCATCTTCACGCAATTCCACGCCGATTCGCTCGAAATCTGCATTTTCTTCGCTATCATGGCACCTCACGATCTCGTTGGTCCTCCTAGTACCACCAAATCTAGCTTCCTCTCCAAGATTCTAGGGAAGCTCAGCTGGTCACATCTAAAGAGCATTAGTGAAGTGTGTCTCGTTATCTATTTCTATAATCTCGTCTTACATCGAAAGTTTCAGACGATCAAGAGGAACTTTGGGACGTTCAACGTTATCCTGTGCAACAGCGAGACTCAGGTTCGGCCAACTTCCACGAATGGAGCCGTTGAACAAGGTCAGGCATCTCTCGACGTCGACTCTTCCATTTCATCGACCCTAGTCGGTCACGACACACCTCCGCTCCGGATATTTTGCGCTGTCCGGAATCTTGCGGTTGTGGGCAAGGATGAAGCGGACTTGAGGAAAGATGCTGCTATCTTGGAGGATGCTATGGCTGCTACAAATGCTCTTGAGGCTTTGCTCACTGGATGGGATGACGATGGTGAAGATATCGACCCAGAGGGAAGCAGCATCGAAACACAGGAACTCGTCACTCCAGAGGGATCTCCGCTCCTGGGCGATAACGTCCAGATTGTCCTTGAAGAGTGCGAGACTGAGGATATCTGCGATGTCAACTTTGGCGAGATCATCTATGGACCTCATTCGCCAGCGTGGTTCACCGCCGCAAACGTTGACCATCTCGAGGTCCCTCTACCTTCCTACAATGCGCCTCGCTTTCAGTCTGAGCTTATCGGCACCAACTCCTCACGTGCTTCCGGTCAGAAATTCAATCTCGTTACTCCGCCCTTGAAGATTGTCAAGGTCGATTCTGGCGGCTCCTCCCTTCAGCTTGTCCGCAATCTCCCTTTGGGTGCTTCGCTCGCGATCATCCATGGATAAGCCCTCATCCCTTCTCACACTTCGTATATCTTTCTTCTTACTGCATAAATTACTCGATCTCCTTCATTCATCTCTCTCTACTTCAAGACTATCACAGCGTCACTACGCACATTCGTCAATCTCGATACACCTAATGACCCTCGTGCTCTCATCTCCGTCTCATATTACTTTAGCTCGTGCTCGCCTTGCCTTCGACCCTTATTCGTTTAATACCAGTTTGGCGAATCTCAAGCACTCCAGCACGTTTCTAGCACACCGCCCGGGCTATTCGATTTCGCCTCCATGTTTCGCTGCTCTATCTCGGAATGTTTCCTTAATATAATTGACTCTTATGGACCAGGATCAAAAATACACTTATACTTGTGTGGAACTTGATGGATAATTTAGCTTTACCGCTCCTCTCTTTACTCGTCGAAACAGATCAGATTTATTGCCTCCTTTACCGGCATCCATGAAACCACTAGTATCAGAAATTTACACTCGAGATCTCTTACAACGATCGCCCTCAGGCTACTAGTACTTCGCAATTGGAATACAGGCCTCATATGTCGGAAATGGTCTGTCTGTGTTTTTTTCTCCTGTTAGTTGACTTTTTACTGACTCATATCGCCCCCAGTCCTGATAGCCCACTTAATTGTGGACTTATGGGGCCATTTGATCTGATGCTGAACTGCAATCATGCGCTCAGCCTCTCAGCAATGGCTTCACCGCCAGGACATTCTTGATTATCTGAAACTTTCGCTTCTCCCTCGGATTGCGCTACAATACGCGCCTTCGCATCGCCCTACCTAGTTCCGGCATTTTGGACACAGTTTTTCACGTACGCAACTCGGACCGAAGAGACCAGGTCAAGTCAGGAACGAGAACATGCAAGCAAAGAGGAATCCTTTCTAGTGGGCCCTCGATGGCTCCTACCTGCGATTGGTGGACTAGGCGAAGGAGGGCCTTCTTCCTCGTTCAATGATTTAATGAGCATTTACTCTACTTTGCACCCCTGAGTAGACTAAGGCTTGTCGTGTTGTAGTGCCTCGAAGGCGACGCCGAATGCCATGAGCTTCACCTTCGCTCCTTGTAGTACGCGTGAGGTTCGAATTAGCGGTAGTAAACGGGGAAAGACGATGTGGTGGTAGACTAGGCCAGGTTATAAATGCGCCAGTTCGTTTTTCATAATGAGTCATACAAGTACTTTTGTATATATCGTTCAATGTCTAGTCAGAACCACAGGCTTTCGAGCCATGGCTTTTCACGACGTAATGAATCCGAAAGTCCTCTAGTACGAGATACGTACAATACACCCATTCCAGAAGCATTAGAGGTGAGACAAGTGTCTGGCAACCTATTGACTACCTGGACGAGCCATGTACTCCTGAAGAGTCCTGACAGACAGCTAACAATGGACTCGCAACCGTTCCAAGGCCGACGCACAAGACGGCAAAGGAACCGGAACGAGCATTAATAACGTTCACGCCCTCATCTTGTGAACTTGAATGTGGTAGGTTGTGTGATCGAGCAGCTGGTGAGATACCGGAGAAAATATAAGATGGTCAGACAGAAATCATATAACGAGGTCGTAATGTGTCGTAGTCATAGATGATGTCGTAAGCTCGGAGATGAGAGCAGAGAAATCCAAATCGTGTCGAAAGCGGGAGTCAAAAGGGAAGGAAGCAAAAGGTATCGCAGGAGGTATCGCAAAAGAATAAAAATAATGTTACAACATGAGGATGCGGGTGAATGGAAGACAAGAATGGAGGATGTAATGGCGAAAGTGAAGATGATGTACCGAAGAGGAATAGATGAACGTCAGATATTCTATGACAGCAGGATCAAAACAAAACAGCCGACCTGACGTCGGCGACCCCCCGAATAGATCTAGAAAACGAAGAGATCTTCTAAGACCAGCAAACCAAAGAAAAAACCGCCTGCTTTTGACTACCACATATCGTCGGGGCCAGGACCTTCGGGCCAAGACCGTTCACGATCTCGTTCAAGCGTACTACGCCATGGCAAGCTCGGGAAATGCAAGACGGCGCCAGTGATAGGGTCCGTCAATGCCGTAGTCATGCTCGAGTTTGTATTCGTATCATTCGTTCTCGTTGAAGACCTGACTGTTCCATCCTGTGCATCTCCCGCTAACAACGGTGTTCTGGAGGATGACGGAGACACATCATGCATGATAGAATGTGGGACTAGACTTCTTGGCGACAAAGGCGAAAGGGGTGACGCTGGTCGGCTACTCGGCGGGCTGCCGGTCATTCCCATACTTCCTCTACCTGATCTACCACCAAAAACAGCAGAGAGTGGAGGAGAGGCGACTTCACCTGCATCACTGGTACCACGCCTTGCTCGCCTTCGATCAAAGTCCGAGACAGAGCTTGAGTGGGAGAGGGAAAGACCGCTGCTACCCGTACGAGAGTGGGAATGTGCAGAAGGCCGTGAGGAATTTGAACCCGTTAGTGTGTGGTGAGACGCCGGCGCTGAGCCTGCTGGACTACGAGAAGCGTTGGGACTCAAGTGAGAACGCATGGAATGCAAGGAAGCTTCATCCGAAGTATGGGACTGCTGGTGGACAACAACAGGCTATTCGCCATAAGAACAATAGTCAATAAGAATTCAATGCGTGTAAACGAGAAAACTTACCGTTCCAAAGGTAGTGCGCCTGCCATCACGAATACCGCCTTCACCGGCGCCTCCAGCCAAGGACCGCCATCCCTGTTGAGCACGGGGAGGCTCGTCTTCCAAAACATCGATGTCGATTCCTGTACTGCTACTCGCTGTAACGGGGCTGTTATTACTCGAGTACGAGTCCCTCCATGTGCGAGGTGTAGGAAGAGCAACGAGACCCGGAGGGAACGCCGGTCGGGAGGACGAGAATGGTGATGCAGGTGACGGTGCAGGGATATCCAAAATGTCTACCTCTGTAGGATCAGAGCGCGTAGAGTCCGACTCATAAGGTGGAGGGTCTGTTGGTACGCTAGAATAAGCCCCACCGCCACCAGCTCTAGGAGTACTGCTGGATCCTTGAGACTCTGAAAAGGTAGTTACCATGGGTGTGCCTGCAACAGCAACGGTGGACGGAACGTCAAAGTTATCACTAGCCGGTGTACTAAGCGCATCGTGATAGACAGTGTTCCCACTCGTGCCGCTCCTCGCACTGACACTAGAAATAGGTCTCGACGCGTTCAAGCCAAACCCTAAACCGGATTCCCGCTGGGAGTTCCGGTTGCCAGTGGGCGTTGTTGCATGTTCTGTTTCTGCGTCAGCTGATAATGGTCGCCATGAACTAGGCCGAGAGCGAGAGTCACGTCGAGAATGTGAACGAGGCGGAGTACGTGTGTATGGATCTACAGCTGGGATCACAAGCTGTGAATCCGAGTGTGCCGCAGGACCTGCAGAGGACATGCGTCTGAACCAACTGAGGCGTCCAAGCCTGCCTCCCAAATTGTTAAGGCCCAGGGTGTTCCGAGAGGGACTTGTTCCAGCTTCAGGATCTGTTGATGGAAGAGTTGAGATCGTACGTGGCGTACCAGGCTCGCCTACGCGAACACGGCGTGCAGTAAGCAGCTCAGCACCTTCCTGCGGATCAAATTCGAAACTGCCTAGAGACTTTTGAGAACCGATAGACTGAGCATGGGAATGCAGTGAGCCAGCTGACCCACGAGGGGGCCGGAGATCGGTCGTGTTGAGGCCATCAGGATCGAGACGGGGTGGCGGTAGCAAGGGCGAATACTCGGCGGCAGGGGGTGAAGGTTCAACTAGCCGGATGCCTGGCGGAGGTGTATTTTCTTCCTCATAGTCCGACATCATACGATTCAAGACGTCCGGAGGAACAATATGGCCTCCTGCTCGCGGAGGACTTGAGCGAGTCGCGCCACCGCCGACAACTGCAGCAGCAGGCAAGCTGACAAGGGTGTCAGTTCCAGTCTTCGTTTGGGCCATCTCGTCCGCCACGGTGCCACTATGGATGCTCCGTCTGGTCAAGAACGGATCGGCTTCCTCTCCACTGCCCCTTGGTGACCCTTCTCCAGGAGTTCTTGGGCCTTCCTCGGCATGGGTGCGGCTCGCACCAGGTTCGACAATCTCCCACCCTGTCCAAATAGGTGTCGCCCGGTTTGCTTCATCGCCTGGCACCGTCGTGGAACGATTCCAGAAACTGGAACTCTGCCCATCTGGACCACGTCGGCGCTTGTGTCGACAGAGAAGGAATATAATGAAAGCGAGGAGGACGAGAAGCAAGAAACCCAAAACGCTTCCCAGAATCGCGCCGAGAACGGCAGCGGAGATACCGCGGGAACCATTTGCAGTTGGCGAAGGTAGTGGTGAGCTCGAGGTGACGCTACTTTGGGTGGAAGTGATACTCGAAGAGGATGAGTCGGATGGGGAAGAGAAGCTAGTTATAGAAGGAATAGACGAGGATGAGAGAGAAGGCGTCGCAGTGGCCGTAAGGGTGGGGGTAGGGGTAGGAGGAGTGGAAGGAGGTGAGGTGAGACCACCATACGTCCATGCCCCATCAGTCCCGAGCGGAATCTATGAAAGGTGTGTAAGTATAAAGTTAAAGCAATATAGATATAGGTGTCCCAAAGCAGAAGTCGCATAGCCACAGCCCTCAGTGAAATGCATGATATGTCTCAGTCATACAATACGCCTGTTGACGTGGAGGAGAAATGAGACTTCATGGAGGAAAGCCTGAGGCGTAAAGGATAAGTTGTTCGAGAACTGGGGTGTACTATGGGCAAGTGTAAGAATTACCGGTAGCACACTCCGGGGCCTTGAAAGAAGCCCACGAGATAGGAGTCTAACACCGAGTTCATGGCATTGTATAATGTACCCGAGACAGTTGTATCAGGCGAGGGTCACAACCAAGACAGAACGTGTACCAAAGGAGCATAGTGAGCCCCACCCGGAGTGAAGTATCGAGATCGTTCAATGAGATCTGATTGCTAGCACCCCCTGCAACACGGGGTGCTTCGAACTGGTGGTGCTTGCTCCAAGCGCCACAGGAGACAAATGTTTATATGACGGCTACTCACTGAAGGGCCATAATACGTGAGAGGCAATGTTAGAGTGGTAAACGAGGTAAAGACAACACCATTCGGATCGGTGACTACAGCAGAAGATAACGTTAGCCATGAAGGCAACGCTTGTGTAGGCTGAACCTCGGCCATAGGATAGTTGCAAGGATGAAGAGATGATCGTTACTAGAAGATGTTCGTTAGTAGAGAGCGTGAGTATTGTCCTATTGCGGAGCGTCATTCATGAACTTCTATCACCACACCCTTGACGGAATCAAGCACTTACAGTGCCAAAAATGGATTAGAATTTTGTATTCGTCTGTGCGGATATTGCGCCGCTCGGGATAGAAGGTGGGGTGTCTCGGAAGGGAGGAGAAAAGGGGAGGTAGATGGAGGAGGGAAAGAGGAATTGAACGTTCACACTGCACAGGAACGCGCTAAGGATACGAACCACACGTGACCGCTAAGATGCTCTTCGGAAATTGCTTTTCGGTTAAGCGTCGCGAACGTCCAGGACAAGGTCTTGAAGAATCGGGAAGTATATGTTGCGAGAAGAGAGGATGACTGTTATACTCAAGGAAGTATGGTATTCCGGACGAAAGATATATTGTCTCCATCCGCTAGTGATGTGTATGCAGTACATGCAGTGGTATCTACAAAAAACTTCACATGCTACCGATGATCCAATATTGATGGAGCAGTAGCCATGTAATGTCCCTCACCGCACACAAGTTGAACTCTTAAGCAACGCAACTAAAGTCCGTGACGAAGTTGCCACAATCGAGCCGCGCAGCTTGGACTTTTTGAGTGTCTACTTCAGTTCGAGGATAGACTTACTATCAATATACGAACATAGGGTCAAATCGAAGTTAGGTTTACTGGCGAGCGCACCGTAAAGCAGCTGCTTGGAAGGCGAGCTGTGAATATCGGTGGGGCACGTCCTGACGCGGAATCACGCAACTATGAGATGTTCTGCAAAGTTTAAACACGCCCCTTTTACCCTATGAGTCGGTAGAAGACCCTTTTACTTACCACCTGAAAAAAACCCTGCGTATAGGCTTGACATCCTTCAGATGTTACCTCTGCTAGTGTTTGAGTCATTCAAAAGCAATTGCAATCGCAAAGATGATCCATACTACAATTCAATGAGTTCGAGGCGCAAGAGGGACCTGTCTGCCAGATGATTGTTAGCGATCTAGTATGTCCAGCCTATGTAATGCTTGAAGTCGGCCTACAACAGCGAGCTCTTTCACTGCCCGTTTGATAGATCGTCAAAGTCAGAAGCTGACACTATTACCGAAGACACCATTGGAGCTTCGGAATAGGAAGTAGCAAAAGCAAGAAGGTGAAGTCAACGTTTAAACGGAGGACTAGCAACTTACTGCGAGGACAAAGTTGTCCCCGACGAAGTTCGCGTAAGCGCCTGTCATCCAAATTGGGATACCGAGCGGGCAACCAACTTGGCGCCGGGTAGTTTGTGTGGACCACGATGTTCGCGACACTTGCTCGCCTGTCCAAGGCTTCTCGTCGTACCCTCACTCCGAAACGAGGAAACAAAGACTACTACAAGGGTATGTTGTGCCCAAATAATCAGTTTTCTCTCACTATACGTACTTTGTACAGGTACACGCCAGGCATTTCTTCCGGGAGGTCCTCGAACTGGCGCACCAGGAAAACATGTCGTAAAGGGAAAGGCGAAGTATCGTCTCGTGGATGAGAAAGTCAGATATTTTGTTGCACCTGCAATTGAGGATATCGAGAGCTCACCGGTGTGTATGAAGTATATTGACTGATATGCACCCGCTCACACATTTACAGTTACGACCATACGTCTACAAGGCCGTGAAGCTGAAGGAGAAGCAAAAGGATGAGATATACGGAAAATTACCTCCAGGAGGTCTCACGGGAAAGCATTACTTCAAGATCGCCCCGAGAACGGATGGCTCACCGTCATGAAACATACAACCTCCTGCTCTATCTGTTATATCTTATGTACGTCCAGCGGCGAATTGACTGCATGGGCCTCTAATCTATCTCTGTTTTCCGATGTCACAAATTAGGTTGGTCCGAGTTAATAGTGTCTTCGCTCTTGCTGCATTGCGGTGCCTTAAAGCTTCATCTTGGGTGTCTTGGTTCGCTCCAAGTCTCGACTTCGCGTCATGAACTCCGGGTTAGATAAATTAGACTCAGAGCTATCATTGTGGCTAAACCAGCTCCTATCGAGTCGATACTTATGTTCCCAGAGGCCAAGACATGTTTCCGTCTCTCGTGCTCCGCTCCCCGAACTTCACAGTCTCCTGTGGACATTCCGTGTATTCCGTGTGATACATTTGCTATCTATAAACACTCTACGCCACTAGATCGTTAGTCTCGTGAGATACGCCTTCATTCAAATTTTAATGCATATCTTGTGCTTATCGTTATGACTCGGCCCGCCCGAAGCTTATCTTGTCTTCTATAGTGAATAAATGGGACGCTGGACAAGACGTCGGCAGTCTGGATATCCCTCTGTCTAAGTTGACTGACGTATAGAGACGATATGGCACCAAACGCACCTGATACTTATCGAACCGTAATCTCGGTAAGTTACCTCCTTTTTGTCACTTTCATGTATTGAATGCGTATGCTTGTTCTCAGGTCGATCCGTTTGTGTAAGTTGACCTTACCTATCATTGAGCAGCTGGTTGCTTACGCGAGGACAAATCTCAAGTTCTGCTGATCAGCAGAAAGTGAGTAAGTGTTTTCTACAAGACTGCACATACTGATACGTTATTATCAGGGATTGCATAACCGCTGGCAGTATGTAATTTAACCCTCAGGCCTACTTAAGAATATAACTCATTCATGTCACGACTAGCCCGGACATCCCGACCTTCGCCAAAGTCGTACCTGGTGAAGTGAGTTGTTGTTCAGTTCGTTAGCAATCGATATGCATAACTTAAGCCATCGATTGGCTAGGTCTTCAAAGTCGAATGTGTCGGTATGTATATATAATTCTTTTCAGTCTCCTTTGTATCTTTTACTCAGTGTTTTTATTGTCAGACTGGACAGGAGGACAGATTAAGAACGATGATAGTAAGTAACAACCCGTGTTCCAGAACGGTTGGAACGTCATGCAGACTTCGTTGGGAAGATAGCGATGATATGAAGAATGTCGACCTGACTAAAATTCACAACCTCTCTGGTCCTATCGAGGTCGAGGGCACCGAACCTGGCGATTGCCTCGTTGTAGATATTTTGGATGGTACGCCATACTACTTACCTTGATTCTGTTCGCCTACTTAGCCGCGTCTAGTCCAACCGTTCGACCAGATGCGTTGGGGTTATACGGTGTGCTTCTCTCTAATTAGGACTGGCGTGAAGCCTCACATTGACCTGGTTCTACAAAGGGTATTTTCGAGCTGGAGAACGGTGGTGGTCTCTTTGGTATGTTCTGATCGGGATTTTAAGCATTGTCGAAGTCGCCTAACATTCATTTGTCGGAAGCTCGTGAATTCAACAGTAAAGCATGCAAAGCGATCTGGGATTTCGAAGGTATGACTCCAGAACGCTCACTTCAAATGTTTATACACGGTTTTGCTAACTGCATCTACCTTTTCTGATTTACAGGAATCTACGCCTCTTCCCGCCACATCCCTGGTGTCCGTTTCGCTGGAATCTCGCACCCCGGTCTTATCGGTACCGCTCCATCCCCGGAGCTCTTGGCCACTTGGAACAAACGTGAAGGCGAACTCATTGCTGCTAATGCTAATTCCATCCCCGCAGTCGCATTTCCTCCTGAGCCGAAAGGCGCATATGTTGGAGCGAAGGACAGCTTGAGTGGGGATGTGTTTGAGAAGATCGCTAAAGAGGGAGCGAGGACCATTCCTGGTAGAGAGCATGGGGGTAATTGCGATGTAAGTGTCCTTTTCTTCCTTATTCTCGTTGCCTTCATCTCAGTTGACTTCGTTGTAGATCAAGAACCTCTCGAAGGGATCACGTTGCTATTTCCCAGTCTTTGTAAAGGGCGCAAAACTGTCTGTTGGTGATCTCCACTTCTCCCAAGGAGACGTATGTAGCTGTTGTAAACTATAATCTGCGAAGAAGCTAATTCTTGCCTCCATAGGGCGAGGTACGGAGGTTGCAAGCTCATGAATCCGTTGGTTGACGTCTTTACTGTATAGATGACCTTCTGCGGAGCGATCGAGATGGTAGGTGCTTTACATTCATGCAATAGTAATAAAGATTGATTTCACCAAACAACTCTAGGCGGGCATCATCACTTTCAAGACTAGTATCATCAAAGGCGGAGTGGAGAAGTTCGCTCTCAAGCAACCTATCTTCTTGGTGAGAATATCGCTCATATTTTAGCACTCGTCGTTTGACTTGTAGCTGCCACATAGCCCTCCCCCATCGATCCACTCTATTCTGCAAAGGTACGGTACACGTTGAGCTTGTCTCAGGACGGTGGAAGTGATTTCGTCGTTTTAGCTCGTTTTTGAAGGCATAAGCGTTGATCTTCGTAGGTCCTTTCTCACAATATTAAGGACGTTGCTTATGATCTTCTCAGATGGCGACGGCAAGCAATACGACATGGACACGTACGTGTATACAATTTTCTGGCTCGAAAGATTTCTTAGAAGGGCTGTGTAGTACTGTCGCCTACAAGCAGGCAGCGTTGAACGCTATTGCGTACTTGATGAAGGTGAGCTACATCTCTCTGTCTCTTCTAGACCGTTCATTAACAGACTCCACAGATCGGATACAGTACGTGAGAAGAATTTGATTCATTTTTGTCAGTTGATTGAATTCAATACAAATAGCTCGCGAACAATGCTGTGAGTGAATGTATGTCAGACGACATGCAAACAACTAAATGTCACTCCCTCCCCAAGATCTACTACTCTCAGCAGCACCAGTAGAAAGTCACGTTGGAGCTGTCGTGGTATGCATTCCATGAATGCGGTCTTTATCCGTAAATCCACTCAACCCCAACTTGCTTACAGGATTCACCCAACGCATGTGTAACTCTTGCCTTGCCACTTGGAATCTTCGAACATGTAGGTACACATTATTGGAAGAATGGGGACATTGTCACTGACCTGTTCTTTTCGCTTTCAGGACATTTTGCCGAAGCCAGAAGGCTTGGAGAAGAAAGACTTTGGCCAATGCGCAATCCGCAGCGACGGTGTTGTCTGAGCACTGTGGCCTGAAATACTGTCAAACGAATTTTATCATTTCCTTATTTTGTATCTGTATTCTGTTGTATAGTTAACATGGTCATTGAGGCCATGGCTGCAATCGTGAATGAAACCAACGTTCAATGAATCACGTCAAAGGAATCCAGGCAATGAACGATTCCCCCCATACATGCTACCAGTATTTCCAGTTTTACGTCACCATAGAACCATCGCTATTCACTTGCTTTGCATAGAGTTACCCGCTTTCGGCTGCCTCGCTTTCATGTTCGTCAAGGACTCTCGCTCTTTGGCTAGACGTGTTGAATCTGAATTCGACGTTCTTGGGTGTGGTTTGCGAGGTCATCTGCAGATGTTAGGAAGATGTCTTCAAGAGCTCCCCCGTTGAACCCTTGCGACCCAGGCCTCAGTACAGGACTTCCGTCGAAGAGTCCTAGAAAGCGGATAAGTGGCAGAGTTGTCGTTGGCGTCTAGCCATCGCGCTGTCAGTTAGAGGCTTCGGCATTCTCAGCAAGCCGTTAGAATGGAGGCAACGTTGCGGGGTTTCGTCTCAAAATTACATACTCTAGGTTCACGTGAAGGAGTGTATCACTACTGTCGCGAAACTGCCGCAGATCTACTGTACCTGACCGACGAAAGCAGGGAGAATTCACGGTCAACACACTACACAGTTCATCGAGCACACACCTTGCTGACACTGTGCAAAAGCACTACCGACGTAAGAGTATACCTACAAGAGTCCTTTAACGCAAATTGTGAAGAAATTGAAAACGTATCGTAATACAGATTGGATTTACTGCTCAGGGTACAACTGATCTATTGATTGTCTCCTTCATTCCATCCACATTTTACCATTCCTAGAGACGGTCTACGGTAGAAAACAGTAAGCATATGAATTAACGAAAAATTTTAGATAGAGGGAAAAGACGTACCGACGTTGCCGAGATCCGCGCAAGCCTCCTTGACACGAACAACAAGCGTCTTCTCACCCTCACGGACCCAAACACGAGGGTCGTAGTACTGTGAAAACAAACATACCAATCAGAACAAGTTCCTCAAGACTGTTTGGCAATAGGAACATGACTTACCTTCTTGTTGGGCTTATCAGCACCGTCGGGGTTGCCGACTTGTGTCTTGAGGTATTCAGCCTTGCCGAGGACGAAGTTCTATGACGTCGTCGGGTCAGCAACTAGTATCAAACCTCCGAACTTTCAGACGAGACTCACCCTGATACCGGCAAGGTAGGCATACTGGGTGTCTAAATCGACCAATGTACATGAGCGAAAGGTATAACGAGGAAGCAGATGCAAACGTACCGGTGTCAACGTTCATCTTGACAACACCATTCTCAACGGCAGTCTTGATCTCCTCCTTGGTAGATCCGGAGCCACCGTGGAAGACCAGGAATCTATCGCACAATCGCATACCAAAATCAGTCATTACATTCACATCGCGAGATAGACGGTGGGGAGATATCTCACAATGGCTTCTTCTTGGTTCCACCAAGCTTCTGCTCCGCATACACTTGGTGTTTATTCAAAAGCTCGGGATGCAACTTCACATTACCCGGCTTGTAGACACCGTGCACGTTACCGAATGCAGCAGCAATACTGAAATTAGGAGAGACCTTGGACAGGGCATCTTGAACATCCCAGATATCTTCGGGTTGAGTGTAAAGCTTGGAGTTATCCACGCCGGTGTTGTCTACACCGTCCTCCTCACCACCGGTGATACCAATTTCCATCTCGAGCCAGATACCGAGAGGAGCCATGCGCTTGAAGTATTGGACACAGGTGGCGATGTTCTGTTCTTTGGGTTCCTCGGAGAGATCCAACATGTGAGAGGAGAAGAGAGGCTCGCCGTGTTGCTTGAAGTATTCCTCGTCAGCTTGGAGCATACCATCGAACCAGGGTAGCAGTTTCTCAGCGCAATGGTCCGAGTGGAGGACGACGGGCCTAGGAGGAGGCGGAGTTTGAGAGGAGTTCATTTGAGTACTTGACTGAGAAAACTTACACGCCATACGCCTTTGCAAGAGTACGGACATGGTGTGCGGCAGCAACGGCACCAAGGATGGAGGCTTGTTGCTTATCGTTTGCAAGGCCCTTACCAGCAAAGTACGCACTTCCACCTTGCGAGACTTGGATGATGATCGGTGCTTTGATGTCGCTTAAATGTCATTAGTGAGTTCCCCAGATGCATGTAAAAGTTCGAAACGCATACCGAGCAGCCTCGAGAACGGCATTGGCGGTGGACGATGAGGTCACATTCTATAGGATGCTGTATCAGATTCTTGGTGGCTATGCTTGACGTGAAATCAGGACGTACGATCGCCTAGATCATAAGCACCCATTCAAAATGCTTTGAGGTTCTTTGTCAATACACAGTTAATTTATTCGACTTACGGGAATGGCAAACTACAGCCAGGAGTCAGTAAATGAGGTAAGATTGAGAATCTATATAACGAACCTCGTGCTCCTTTGCATACTCGAAGAGTTTGCGAACGTTGTCGCCAGTAAGTACTCCAGCCTGATCACATCGTAAACATCACGCACAGCAGAAAGAAGAGGATACATTCTTACAGGAACAATATCAAGAATGCCCATGTTTAAGATGTGGCTAGAATGAAAGTAGACTGAAGAAAAGAGAAGAGCTAATTCGACGCAGCGGGACTCCGACTAACTCTCGGCGGCTCTCCGAGGCTCGCACGTGCGGTTGACGCCGCATCTGAGGCATGACGATCCATAGTATTGTTATTGGATGAGCTCTCAATGCCCGGGTTTACTTTCGACCTGCCAAATGCTTGCAGTAAGCACCCAACAATCGAATCAGTAGAAATAAGCCCTAAATACCTCTAAGACTTGATGAACTTTGAAGTAATACTTAGAACGTTGACGGACTTCCACTTCTTTGAATTTCGTTGAAAACTTGGATCTGCAACCCCCCAGTCATACTCAGGTACTACCAGCAATTTGCTCATCGAATCTCAGGGCTTATCTACATTTGTGCAAATCCTAGAGTCATTCTGGAACGTAGAGCATCCGAAATGATCCTATGGTATCCTCCCGGATCAGCGTGAGTAGGATCTGCTGTGAATACCAAAGTGACGACGCACTTGTGTCGCACGACGAACCTTGCAAATATAGATGGCCATAACCATGGTCTCCTTCAGGTAGGGTCTAGTTTCCAGGTGGTCGTGAGCAGTGTATCCTCTATTTCTCCTGAAATATGTTTGGGGTCATTTCCAATCGTGAAGACATACTTCATATGGCAAACGCTTCCGCCAGCCCCACGTGTCCGCCGTTCCGAGGACTTGACTGGCAGTTCCTGTTCCAGTTTGCGATGCATTGTCATCGGAGAAGGCTCGTCAAGTCGCCATCCTACATATGCATCCGCTCAGACATATGGTCAGTCCTCCGGTTCATCATCCATGACGGATCTGACGATTTTATATAACTTTGTTTAGTACTTCATCATAACCTCCCGTTTAAGTGTGTATTCTCATAAAAAGCCCACAGTAATGACGAGACATACCTTGTGGTGACGACATTCCAAAGCCGTCATCAAACACTTGTCAGCATGGTGGTTGTAGAGGTCATCAGGCCCAGCTGCTTGTAGCATCAGATGTTGATCCATAATCCCGCATGGAACAGTGAGAACAAGCATGTTTTTCTTCCAGGCCTATCTTTAGCTTCATAATACTACATTGACCGCGGTGACGGGAAGCCATATGCTTTCATCCATCGTTCTGTTCCCAGAGCTAGCCAAGGAGTGACTCCCAGTACGTTACGAGACTGCTCGTATGACCAAATATCGACTGATCGAGCTTGTCTTTCCCAGATGCTTCCACTCAAGAAGGCACCCTTGGCAGGTCTATTCTGTACATTGATTATCGAGCACGCTTCTTGTTCTTTGAATGCAGGTATGGAACGGACGCATGTCGTGGTGTGCTTCTGATAACAGACGGCTGACGGATAGCACATAGACAAGTCATTTCCCTTCCCCTTCTGGATATTAAAGCTTGCGACTACTAAAAATTGACCATCTGGGTCTCTGACGGCATGTGAGCTGTCTGGCGTGACGTTGTGGTCCACCACATTCACCAAGATGCCAAGATGAGCCGTATCGCAGGCCGTGCTTTCCTCTGCGCGACAAGCAACTCGGATCTTAATACCTGAATATTGCGTTTTCAGGGCCGAATAACAGTCAAAGCTGATCTCTTTCGCACAAAATTGCAATGCTGGGCGTTGCCGATGCATCGTTCTTGACCGTGATCGGGTGGGATCAGCAGTATCGTGACGACCTCATTAGGGCTTTCGCTGCCTCGGAGCTGTCTATTTCACTGACTTCTACCCAAAGCCGTTGTCAATGGCAATCGGCAATGATACAATTGGTATTTTAAGCTCAAAGTTCGCTGTTCCCTTATCGACACTTCTCGGTTTGATGCAGGGTCTGTTCATCTCGAACGTACCGCCGGTCGCGAGTAGCACAAGTGCTTGAAACCTCAACGTGCACCACTTGCCATTGGCGTCTGCAAGAACTCATGACCACGCTGCACAATGCACCTTGCAAAGCTCATGGAATGCCAGGTCGTGCCTCGACCATGCTCTGCGTCCAGTTAACCCTTCTACAGCAGTCCTCACGTTATCGTACGCCATAACCTTGACATCGTGATGAACAAAGACCATGTGTCCGTACATCAACCCCTCATGTGCGTCTCTCGCTTGGCAACTTCAGTAACACAAGTTCACAAGCTTTGCAGAGATGTTCCTTCTCGTATAAAAGGTTGACGGTTGGGTCGCTTTCAGACCAGCCCTCTTCACAGTGGTTCTCCGACGGTTCACGTAGCCTTCGCTTCCTCGTCCAACGACAACGATGCATTTCTTCACTGCTGTCCTCGCTTCTCTCGCCCTGTTGGCTTCCCCCGTCTTCAGCGCGCCGACGGCGCCGCCCCTCGTCTCGGTCAACAAGTTCGCTGGGCCGAAGAACAACGGTTCTTACATCGTGAAGCTTAAGGACAACGTCACTAAGAGCAACCACTTGAACTGGCTCTCAAACCAAATTGGCGAAGACGCCATCACTCACAAGAACTGGAACGCTGAAGTCTTGCACGGCTTCGCTGGTAAGTTCATCCTTCCTATCCTTCTTCCTCTACTTGAGCTATGCTAACTTCGTTTCTTCCGTGATCTCAGGCAAGTTCTCTGACAAGGTCATCGACTTGCTTCGCGCCAGCCCCGACGTTGAGTACATCGAGGAGGACGGTATCATGTCCATCAACGCCCAGGTTACCCAGTATGTCCAATTTGTTTCTGACTGAACCGGCTTATTTACATTTGAGTCAGGACCAACGCACCCTGGGGTATCGCTCGTTTGAGCCAGGATGGTAAGCTCGCCAGCCAGAGCACTAGCTCTTTGACCTTCACCTACCGCTACGACTCCGCCGCTGGTTCTGGCGTCGATATCTACGTTGTCGGTACGCAATTCTGATCCATAGTAACAAAGATGTTTAATTGATAGTTGCTTTTCAGACACCGGTGTCTTCACCAGCCACGTATGTATATATCAGATTCCAGTTTTATATGCTTTCTAAGTTTCATTTTTGTGCAGTCTCAATTTGGCGGCCGTGCTCGCTGGGGTGGAACCTTCGGTAACTACGCCGACGCTGATGGCAATGGCCACGGTACTCACGTCGCGTAAGTCCAAATCTTAGGCGGTCAATAATTCACTTCGAAACGTCTACGTGTTTTGTTTATAGCGGAACTGCTGCCGGCTCTCAATTCGGTGTCGCCAAGGCTGCTAATATCATCGCCATCAAGGTTCTCTCTGACCAAGGCTCGGGCACTGTCTCTGACATGTATGTCCTCTATTTTCTATTGATAGTTTGTGGACCGAACTGACTATTCTTGTTCAGTGTCTCTGGCTTGGACTTCGTTTTGTCTTCTGCTCGCTCTTCCGGCCGTCCTTCTATCGCCACCATGAGTCTCGGTGGAAGCGCATCCACTGCGCTCGATAACGCTGTTGCTTCTGTACGTCTCCTTACCTCCAAATTCTCTTATTTCACGTAGGCTGACTGACCATTATTCCGTGACTTTCTATAGCTTACTGCTGGTGGTGTTCACGTTACTGTCGCTGCTGGTAACGATAACGTCGATGCTCGCAACACCTCCCCCGCTCGTGCTCCCTCTGCCAACACCGTCGGTGCCACCACCATTGCTGATGCTAAGGCCTCCTTCTCCAACTTCGGCGCTATTGTTGATTTGTTCGCTCCTGGCCAGAACGTGATCAGCTCTTGGATCGGCAGCACCACTGTAAGTCTTCACAACGTTGCAAACGCACGTTGAGATAGCTAAATTATTGCTCCAAGGCTACCAACAACATCTCCGGTACCTCTATGGCTACTCCGCACGTCGCTGGCTTGATTGCCTACATTATTAGCCGTACCGGAAATGCGTCTCCCGCCACCATCTCCAACACCCTCAAGGATTTGGCTGTCAAGGGTGCCATTACTGGCCTCTGTAAGTCATCTTGACTTCGTTCGTGTACAACGCAACTTATTAATAATTGCTTCATAGCTACCGGCACTGCTAACAACCTCGCTCGCAACGACCAGTAAACATTTTGTGTGATTGGAAACTTTCTCGTAGAATGGGTTTGGGTGGGATGTTTGAAAGGAAGAAAGAATGTGCTAACGTCCAAAATTTCCTGTTGACTTGTAAAACTTTGTGACGATAGAAACGAATTATGATTTGTTGTTTGTACTTCACTTTGGCGCGATATCTGAACTTCGAACATCTGAAGGAACTAAACAATTAAACCAAGAGCGATCTTGATGTAGCAGCCTCCCGAAACGAAGTGCCGCACATGCTCGAACTTGAGGACATATTGGAATTACATTCTTTCTGTGTGAGCAGGTACAAAAGGTCGTGATAATGATACTAATCCAGACGGTCGTGACGAGTCGTAAAGAAGAAGACAATGATACAGAAAAGCTATAACAGTAGACTTTGGACTTTGAATAAATCATGCACAATCAAGACATCTAGAAATATAGTTGAAGCAGAAGCGTCTGTTAATGCAACGGTGTGAGTCATAAAGCGCGAGGAAGCCCGTGAACTTGAAGCAAGGGAACAAGAACGGGCAGGAGCAAATTATGAAGGCTGTCCTTGATATCGCTTAATCAACTCTCGTAACCTGGCTTGTCCGAAAGCAAGTTCCCCCTTAGGTGCAGGCTTCTTCAGCGGGCTCGATTCTGATCGATTTTCAGTGACGGTTGGTAGGAGGTTGTTGACCAGCTTCGTCCTCTCCCCAAGAGCAGGGGATGGCCGAGCAAGAGAAGCAGATGAAGAAAGCATTGGCGTTGCTAGTGACGAGGACACAACAGCAGGTACAGAAGAAGACTTGATCATCTTGACACGTTTCTCCGAAGGATTCGCAGCTGAGAAAGCCGTCTGTTGATTGGAGGTTGACTGGAGGTTGACCGGAGTTCGGGCTGGGCGGGGTGTTGGAATCGAGGGTGAGATCTCAGGCTGAGAAGCAATGAATTTCAGCATTGGTTTGTCAAGTTTTGGAGGCTTGATCGGCGGGGGAGACCTGCTATCCTCCTTGGCGACCTGCGCTTGCGACGCCCATAGGGCAGCAACTGCTGTTACTTTTCCGCCTCGACCTCCACGCGCCGAGCGAATGTCGTATCGCGACTCTAGGTTGAACGGACGAGGAGGGTTGAACTTTAGACCTCGAGGTATACCAAATGGCTTCTCATCAGCTCCAACGTCCCTCTTACCAGAAAGTTCGGCCTCTTTCTGTCGTAGACGAATTGTCTCGATAGGTACAAAGCCTGAAGAACGAGGGTTCGGAGCGGCTTTCACATCGTCTGTGTCTTTTACTTTACCCTCATCCGAGTCGGCAACTGCCTTGTCACTGTGTGCAGTATCACCTAGGGTGGACTCTTCTCCCAATGTCATAGGGTTTCCTACCGGATGTTCCGATGCAGGGCTTGGAGAAGACGAGGAAGCTACGTCAGGTGCAGCAGCAGGGTCGATCTTCTGTAGCCAGTCAGTCACTCGACCTTTAGCGACTTTCCGCATTCGATGAACTTCTTCGTCTCTCTCCGCACTGGCATGATCTTTCCCCTTCCGTCCGCTCTTCTTGCCACTCTTCTTAGTAAAACCATCTGAAGTACGTTCCTTTGCTCGCCCGCGCTCCGTCCTTCCGCCGTCATGGGAATTGGAGTGAATGGAAGCTGGCCTGTCAGTAACCAGGGGGCTGTTACCTGCAAGCTTTGGAGAGGCCCCAGGGCCGGCTTCAACGCCGGGTAATCGTAGACTAGAAATCGCAGAATCAACAGCAGGTTCGATCTCGGTGTTAGGACGAGGTATTGCGATGGGTTGAGGCAAGATAGAGCGGACATCGGGTTTGTTACCGTTCTGTTCGACTTTCCGAGTGCCAACTTCAGCAAGGAGACGTGCTTCGAGAGCATCCAGGCCACTCAAACCTCCCTCACCTCCTGCTGCTCGCGGCACTTTGAGTGAAGTAACAGCGGCTAAAGTGGGAGTGGGAGGTGTTGCGGCGATAAGATCACCAGTAGGTGGGAACAATGTATCTGCACGAGGTCGAGATTCAGACACAGCTGATCTGACTTTGATTTTCTCTGAAGGAACAGGAGGGGTAGGAAGTGTCTTGTCTTTGTCCGCGAAGTTAAGTTCAGGGACCGAGGTCGACATATCCGAGTTGGCTTTCTCCGCCTGTGCTGCCATACGTTCTAATGTTCGAATGCGATCGCTCTTGCTGAGCGTGGCATGCGTCACCGGGTCAAGAGAGAAAGAGTGCTTTGGCGAGAGCACTGGGCGTGGCGCGACAATTTCTGCTTGTAGTGACGATGCTGTAGTTACAGGAACGTTTAATGTCTCAGTCGCCAGAGTGCCAAGATCAGGTTGAATTGGAGGGATGGGTATAGATTGTGTTGGGACAGAAGCAGCAAGCGGCAAGATAGGAGCATAGTAAGGCTCTGGAACTGTTGGAAGAGGATACCGATGGGGTTGAGGCGACACCGAACGATTCCGTGAGGACATGCGAAGATGATGAGAGATCCTGGAGGCGCGTTCTCCCTTCCCTTCCTCACGTTCAGCAGTATGGGGAGGCATTTCACCTCCGGTCATCAACGGAATGAGAGGTTGCTGCACAGCTGACGCAGGAAGACCGGGTGGAAGATTATACAGAGGATGCGAAGGGGTTGGTTCAGCACTTGAAGGTCGTAATGGTATTGCATGTGAAGGCACCACAGGTGGAGGTGAAAACGTAGGCTGTTGATAATATGGAGGTGAACCCGAAGCATAAGGCTGGTATATCATTGGAAGAGGGCTCTGAGATGGTGGGGGTATCCATTGATGTTGAGGATCAGTATAAGAGAGAAGAGGATGGGGCGAAAGCGGATAGTCGTAAGGACTGGAATCGTATTCATGACCTTCAGGCATCGGTGAAATGGGTAATGCGTAGGGTGTCTGAGAACGCATGTCAGGCATTGGTGTGCTGTATGGTTGTATGGGCGGAAGTGGATACGGAACAGATGGTGGAAGTTGAGGAAGAGCCGCGGGGTGTAAGACAGGAACAGGAATATCAAGTCGGATATCCTTACTATATGCAGGGATGAGATCGCTAATTCCTTGAGAGCAAGGGACCAACTTACCTCCCGAAACCCATAGACAACTTCACGCCAATGATGCAACGCACCTCGAAAAGAGCCTCCGTGACAGTATCCTCTTCTTCATCACCTGAACGTGGCCCACCCTTCACACCTCGAGCATTTCGGGGAACGTCGAAGACTAAATTCGCTACGCCCTCCGCACCAGATTGAATAACATATTCTTGTCCGCGGAAGGACACAGAAGTCAGAGTATCAGAGATTTGAAGCGGCGCCTTCTGCGTTGAGGGGAAGTTAGGAAGTTGTAATTCCCTCATCAATGTTATCGAGAGCCCAGAATTCTGCGACGTCGTAAAAACTCTGACAAAACGAAGCTCATGTCCGCACCACATATACACACCTTCTTGGATGAATGGTTCTTGACATGTAGCTCTACACATGCAGGTTGACCCGCAACCAGAACACCACCAATAACCCGTCCCTGCACCCACAGCTTACCATTCTCGCCCACAATCACACCCTCGGGCTCACCCCGCGCGAAATCTTCCTCGAAACTCTCGACTACGTCAAGTTCTCTCTTATCAGTTACCAACCTTCGCTCGCCTTTCCATGATACCCCTACACTGGCACGGACTTCATACCGAACATTTGCGAGCCCCGAACCGAAGTTGATCGAGGAGGGGGATGAAGGAGGCAAGAGGAAACGAAAGAGGAATGTAGTAGTCCCTCGTCGTGCACCGTAGTAATTAGGTGGAAGCGGAGGGTCTCCAGGTTGTGGGAAGGGATGTACAGAGTTCGACGGTGGTAAGCCTGGGCCCTGGAATATGCGCCGACTGTGAAGGAATGTCGAAGTGGCGGAGTGATCCCTCGATGTTAACTCTAGAAGTGAGACAATATTCTGAGCTATACAGTGTGGTAAGGGACGAGGTACACACCTTCAATAGCGAACAACTCGACCATAATCACGCCGATTCCTAGTCCTTTGTCCGCCTTACATTCCATCTCTACCTTCCCGGTGACAAGGCCTCCTGCGACTGCGAGAGGTTCGCCCAGTCGCAAAGAGACCTTCACCTTGGGATGGTGTGGAGATGCATTCATGGGTTCTGGTCGTGATTGTGTGGCCATGGTGGAGATATTGGATAGCTCGACTAATAGTTCAATGTGTCGACCAAAGAATAACGGTCCAAGGGGAGAAATTTTGTAGACAAGGATACATTGGTTCTGAGTAAAACCACAAAGTACAGTTTACAACCAGGTTACAGCGAGCAACATGTTGCAGTAAAAGCTGAGGGACGAGCGATGGGTCTTGGTCGACGAGATCCAAAGGCTCCGCAACATCAGGCTCTGCGAGCGCGACCACACCAAAATGGCAGGTGTCGTATTCACGCATGTCACTCAAATTCATGGTAATCGACTACAAAACAGTGCTACATTCAGCCTGAGAGGTTTATTGTCTCCTCAGTCTATTGATTCATGCAACGACAAGTCCTTCTCGAAAAGCTCAAAATGGGTAATTGCGGGGAAACAGTTGCCATCAGCTACACCCCATCGGAGACGATGGTCCCACTCATTTCTATTGGTAAATCGTAACAATCAATATGCATTCACAATAGTAAACACGCCAAACTGACCTTGCAACAAATTCAATATGTGGATATGCAACCCATTCCTTGCGGGCCTTTCCACGTGTGCCGATACAGATAAGGAATTTACTGTAAAACTCGGCGAGGCTGTTTTTCAGAAGTCGGTGAAACTCCAACACGTCGCTATCTCCCTCAAGGTCGGGTAGTAGCCAGCCGCGGCCAGTGATGTCTCCAGCAAAGTAACGAAGATTTAGCTTGAGTCCGAGAACATCTGCTGGTGATTGGCTGTAAGTCTTGAAATAACATCTACATGCCAGACACGGCGGGTGCGAGCAAGCTACATAAGGACCGGGTAGTGTAAAGTCGGTCTTCTCCCTTGAAGCACGGACGCATGCATTGTGATGATACTCAAGTAAGGCGCACTCCGCATGCACACAGGCATCGAAAGTTGGACATTTCTTGACTCGCTTTGCGGCTTCAGAGGCATAGTGAATTCCGCGTGTTCGTAGCAACGGGGATTCAGATTCAAAACCCAAGACAGCTTGTTGCATCCATCTGGACCACTTCGCCGCAGGCCGCTCCGTATATTGCAGTCGCATCTTGGGACAAGAAATAGGGATCACCTCGAACTTAAAATCCACCCATGGGAGGAATTCCGGAGACTTTGCAAAGCTGAGCAAGATGATTGCGTGCATCGGCAAAACGGCACATCTTGATAGTCTTTCGTAGAGCGTCTGGGCATCTGCATGTGTAGTGAAAAATACTGTTGAGTATGGCGGATGTGGCTCAGATCAAGGGACGTACAGTCTATCTTGGGTTTCGGACCGCCATGTTCCACATAATCTCTATATGCAGCTCGATCGGCATGCTTCTCAAGCCATACGTCCTCCTCACGTTCATACTCCTCCTTGAGCGCAAGTAGTTGTCGTGTCGTACTGACCAGCACCGGCTTGTTAATTTCCGTCACTGCGAGCAACTTTTGCAGTCTAGAAAGGAGCAAATGCATCTTGTCCAGGACCTTATATAGGTCCCTGTGCACAGGATCCAATATGCAACGCCAGTAATAGCTCAGCCATCCATACTCGTAGGAGAATTTATAGTCCTCGAGTAAGACTCGGAGCTTTGGGACACCGCGCAAGATGATTGCCTCGACTATATCTTCGGTGGTCGCTACAGCCACAGGCGATAGGCCAACTTCGGAATCAAAGTAGCCTAAGTCGTCTCGCGCATGGCAATGAGTCAAATTCTTTGACAAAACTCTGAACCTCAGCCACTGCTCCTTCCAAAAGGCTACCAAATCATCCGGCTGCTGATCGTCAAGTTCCCGACTAATATGAAAGGTGAGCTTGTCTTGTGCTTCGGTTACGCTGAGAGCGATGCGGTCCTCGAGCGAGACCGACGATACGTAGGCCATGGCGTTCAGAACGACATTCAAATCCATGGTTTGAACATCAAGATCAAAGTCAAAATCTGCGTCAGTCGCGACTACGAGCTTCTCGTGTGGTCTGCACTAATGAATCATTACGCTCGCTCAAACAAGCTAAGAAAGCGTGGTGCTTACCGTATAAGCAGGTTGTACAACGTCTGTATCACAGTTTCGTTGCGATGATCGCCAATGTCCAGAATGGCTACGGGAGGGCTGGTGGTTGTTTGAGGCTCAGCAGGATGCGATGAACTGGACGACGGTTCATTGGCAGCTGCACTCATTCTGGTATTGTATCCTTTAACTCCGACTGGGGAGCCGTGCGTGGTTGAATTTGAGAGTAGAATGCGACTGTCGGAGAAAACCTAAATCGAGTTGTAAGGAAAGCAGTAGAAATCCTAGCGCTATTAGGAGGTATGATGCATAGAGCCTAGCCCGATTTCCTTATACTCTTGGGAGCTTGGCGATTCGGTAGACCTGGGAGAGCATATTCTGTGTACGCTACCTGTAGATAAAATGGCAGCACCGTCGAGTGAGAAAATGAAGTCGCGTTAAAGTTCGGTAGAATTGACTAGTCGCGAAGTTCGAGAATTTGAAGTTCAAGCTTTCAAACTTATTGCCAGGGCGCCAAATGACTCTGGTGCACGTCTCAATCTGGAAATGATTCAGAGGATGTTTTCAATTCTTTCATGTATCCTTCAATATGCATGATGCGACGATGCTTCACCACAAACATACAAACAAATCTTCTAGAGAAACACTGAATGCGATAAGTCAAAATATACTCTAACAGATTACACGTGAGATTATACAGAATGACCCGGATATGATACATGATTGCTCGAAACCATCGGCACGTCCTGCCCATTAGCGGGAATTCCCTGTGTATGTGTAGAGTGTGAAGGATACGGTGCTTGAGGGTAACTTGAGCCATTGACAGGGGTCCTCGAGTACTGATGGGTCGTTTCAGGACGATTCCATAGGGATCCCTGAGATTGGTAGCCCAATGACCACGACTAAGGTGAGAGTTAATCACGGTGACCAAGACAATAAAGAGGGATTTGCTTACATCTTGCATAGGCGGTTGAGGGCTCCTGTGGTTGGACTGTGGATACTGGGAAGTCGGGTAGGTAGGCGCCTGGCGAGGATAAGCACTGTGATTTTGTGGGCCATACTGAGGTGGGGACGGGACGTAGGAATATCCCGGAGATCCAGACTGAGTTCTGGCAACACCATACTGGGACTGAGAAAGAGGTACTGTCTGATACGATTGTCCTGAATGTCCTGCATGGCTAGCAAGGCTTGCATGACTGGAAGAACTTGGGTACGCCGAATGCCTCAGGTCGGACGTTGGCAAAGCCTGAGAGCGAACTTGACCTTGCGACGATGCACTCGAAGACCACGATTGTGTTGGGTGCAATTGGAGGACCGGCCCGTCCTGCCATTGTCCTCCTTGACGGGGTGGGTTCTGGTAAGCAGCATACATGGTGGCACGTCGATTAGCTTGCTCAATTCGACAACGGGAACATGTAAACTGTTGGGTCTCCCAGTTTCGCCTTGGACGACGGGCGTGATGGTCTGCGTAGTCATGACATTGTATGTGTTGCCAGCGTGAGCAGGATCCGCAAGATACCAAGTCAAGATTGCCATCCTAAAGCCGAATAAATGACTAGCTTAGTGCGTTGTAGATCTTATAGGACTGAAAGAACATACGAGGTTCCGTCCACGCTTGCCACATATTTCACAATCAAGCATCCAATCCGAAGATTCCTTAGTCTGCGAGGTTGCCGGCGGAGGCTGAGACTTTGAAGGTCCCGCAGAAGGAGATTTCGGCGTATTGGCAGCGGATCTATTGTCACCAAACAGATTAGTGAGAATGTACCAATGCAATGAATCATATACGCACATCTCAGCAGCCTCTTCCTCCTCCCTCGCCTTCCTCTCCCGTTCCTCCCTCTCTAACCGTCTTTGTTCTCTAGCGTTCTCCCTTTTCTCTCTCTCGGCCTCTTCTTTCTTCGCTCTAGCTTCCAAACGTCGAGCACGTGCTTGTTTCTCTGCTTCCTCTGCTCTTTTCTTAGCAAGCATTCGAGCTTCCTCTTTCTCGCTTTCCTTAATGGCAATACGAGAGGAGCGTTTGCGATGGACAACGGCTTCTTCCAGTTTGCGCTTTCGCTCGGTTTCCTGAGGATAATACAGTAAGTCAATGGTTGTTACAATGTAACCAACTATTAGTCAACCTACCCGAAGTTCAGCTGTCACAGCAGGGACGATGACTTGTGACAAGACCTTGTATAACGCTTTCTCCAAATAATGTGTAGCTTTCTCGAACGGTTCGGCGACGTGTTCCCACTCTGTTAATGTGATAGCGATCTGATATCGTACGTCATTCAGTATACTGCCCCGAGCCAGATCATGAAAGGCATGCCACTCACTGCTTCCCATTCGATGAAACCAGGTGGTAGTGGAGCTACTTCCTCAGCGGGCTCCTCTGGCACTGGGGCAAGCTCTTCAACTTTACCATTGATGAGCGGAGTGGATTCAGCCTTCGCGACTGCCTTCGGCTTGCCCTTACCCTTCCCTTTACCTTTCTTCAGTCGATGTCCGAGTTTCTTTATTTCTTGTTGTTTCTTCGTCTCTTCAACGAGTTCAAGGGCTGGAGTTCCATTGGAACCCGGAGGTGTCTCATCAGACAACTCAGTGAGCTCGCTCATAGAATCTCCCTCTCCAAAAAGCTCAGTCTCTTTGGCCTTGTCTTCCTCGGCCTCTGATTCATCGACGTCCATTTTCTCCGCGGCCTTGGCCTTCGCTCGAGCTGAAGTCCTCGTTCCATTGACACGTCCACCATTGACACTTGCTGAAGCGGTTTCCGCCAGCCATTCCTCCGGTATCTGCTGCCATTCATCGTCATCCTCCCCACGGCCTCTTGTACCTCGTATCCTCGCACTCGCACGTGTACCCAGTATAGGTCTCGGTGAAGGAGAGGCAGGAGCAGTACCTCTCCTTCCTCTGCCTGATACAGTACTGGGAGCAGTTTTCGTAGGAGATTTCTGAAATGCTTGAGCAGCAGCAGCCTCCCTCTGGAACGCCTCAAGTTCCTTGTACTGCGCGTCCAGCTTCTTGTTAGCTTGCAATTTGGCAGCTCTTGCGCGTGGGGTGCCATTCGTGGTTGGCGTTTGAGCTTGAGATGAGGATGCGCCACGAGTAATACGTGCAGTACGTGCAGTACGGGTGCGTTTGGCGGCTGGCGGAGGTGGGAGCTCCTCTTCGGAGAAGTCTTCTTCCTCAATGGTTGCTGCAGCTTTGGCCCGAGAGGGTTTGGGTTTAGGTTTCGCTGCAGGCTGACGTTTACGTTTCTGCGGACGGGGAGGCTTAGGTAGGGCTCTTTGTATCCAAAGACGGTCCTCTAGAAGAGAAGATTCGTGGTTAAAATAGAAGTCAAGATGGCTGGAGAGGGAACAGACGTACGACCAATCAGCCAATACGCGTTCGTCTTCGCGTCGTATCCAATGGGTCCAATGCGCTAGACCAAAGGAATTCAACTTCCGAAAACACAGTGACAATAAATGGATCGTACCCATTGAGCAGTGTCATCATCATCCTTCATCATTTGCCTCAACCGAGTAGGATTTTGGAATTGCCACTCTGTGAGGAGATGAAGCGAATCCAACTTCGTTAGCAACGGGAGGTCAAACCAGTCTTTACTCTCTTCTTTCTCTTCCATCACCTCTTCTTCCTGAACGTCTCCATTCACTGGTGGCGCATTGTCCGAAGATGGCACTTCCTTCGTATCGTCGCCCTCCGGATTTGCAGCCTCAGGTTCATTCGAGTGGTTGGGTTCATTATATTCATGTTTGGCAGGAGTAGACGCGTCAGGAGCACCTGTACCTTCACGCGTCACAGCGGTGATATCGAGTGGCAACATGGAAGATGCGCGTGTATTGGCGACACTCGTTCGGATGTCTTCAGATTTGAGACGTGAGCTGAGGATTAGGTTGGGATCGGGACCTAGTGGATTCGCATCTGGGTCTCTGCGGAGGTATTGTTTGCGGAGGGCTATCTGCCAGTTGTCGATGCTACGAAGAAGAGAGTGGATTGTTGGCGGATGGGGAAAAGAGGCGTAGAGGGGGAAATGGAGACTCACTTGATTTTCCGATCCTGTGTCAATGTATACAACAATCTATGCATTACACGGGGTAAATACAACGCGGTCCCTCGCGCAAGGTCATCTTCGATGTCCTTGAAAACGTCTTGCACATCAGAACAGCTCACAGGGGTACCAGAAATACCAAGACTTACAGCCAAGTTGACATCAGGCATCGCCAGTAGAGTAGCGAAGGTATAAAAGAACTGGCTAAATGCAGCCCACTTCCAATTTCTTCGAAGAGTACGGAGATTGGCAGCAAAGGACGACTCTGGTTCGGCGGAAGGGAGAAAAGAGGGCGTCCTGTCTGCCACAGAGCCTGAGGCAGCTGGCGTGGAGGGGAGGGAGGGGAATGCACGACGAGGCATGTCGGGCGGCGAGTATGTTGTGAGTCCGGACTTGGAACTTTTGAGTTGAAAGACACCGGAGATCACCAATGGAGATTTTCGTCGAGCGTATCGACGAGGGATGTTGTGAAGACTTGAATAGGGCAGTAAGTTGTTTAGTTAGATGCTGAGAATACAGTGGCGGTTGGTCGTCGACGGGAGCGACGACGAGGAGAATAGCGCAGACGGAGGAGAATGCGGGGAAGTTGCCCAATCTCTACCGCGAGGTCACCACCTCAGGCTTACGTAAGCTGCCTCTTAATGGACGCAAAGACTTCAAATCCAATAGAATCAATACATTTGCTAGTCTCTACAGTGATATACACGTCTTGCCTCTACAGATCATGCACCAGACTTCCAGTACGCAATGTCTCCGTCGGCCACTGCAAAAGTCAGACAAGGTACGGCGGTGATTGGGAACAAAAAACTCACTCTCGTAAGGCTTGCCCTGTTGTCGGAGCTTGCCAGCAGCCTTCACAGCAGCTTCACTTCCGTACTCGTGAAGGTCCTCATAGCTCATGATTTCACCACACACGAACTTGTTCTCAAAGTCCGAGCTGTTGTATCCCACATCAGTCCTCTAGGTCCCTGCACCGAGCGACATGTAACACGTACTGGATGACACCGGCAGCCTGTGGTGCTTTCGTCCCTCTTCGAATTGTCCATGCCCGGACTTCGACAGGTCCACAAGTAAAGTACCGAATAAGCTACCAATACCAATGAGTATTTCGAAGCGAAGCAAGGCACGAAAGACATACATCGAGACTAGCGTAACCTGCTTGAGTGATCTTCGGAAGCGCACTGACGGCACCGATCTTCTTCTGCTCTTCTTCACGCTCCTCTTCTGACATGTTCACTAGACGTTCTTCCAGGGAAACAGAGAAAGGGATGAGCGGGTCGCCAGGATTGTGCTCGTCAATCCAGGCTTTGATCTTCGGCAGCCTGCAAGTCGACGTTTGTCAAGAAAGGAAACATAGAATTGGAAAGAGAAGCGCACCATTTGTTCTTCTTGCGTACGTAGTCTTTCTCGCTCAAGTTGACTAGATACGTGACGGGTTTGGCAGTGAGAAGTTGCAAGTTGTTGACGACATCGATCTAATATAATAGTCAGTTGATCCGTTCTTTCGCCATACAAAAAGTAAATTTAGAAAAAGAAGAATCAGAATAAACAGTAATCTCATAGGAAATTGGGGCGTTACTCCCGCCTCGACGAGCTGGGTTAATCGAGCGATGCGCTCTTTATCATCACGAAAGCAAACTGTAAAAGAAAGCTTTGAAGATGGTTGGATATTCACCTAGAAGGTAAGTACAGTCAGTACGTTGTGTCGCATACGAGTAAAAGGGTGCATCAAAGGGATGCATGAATGAAGATCAGAATAAAACATGATTTCACGAGAATGTTGGGGCGTTACTCCCTCTTCAACGAGCTGGGTTATCGAGCATTCCGCTCTTTATCATCACAGGAACCGCAATACAGGAAAAGAAAGTCCCGTCCCATTGCAAGACGAAATATGGCACTGCAACTCACCTCTTTGTTTGTCCAGTCAGCCTTACGGACGTCTTTCTCGTCCACAGTAATTGTCTTCAAGACTTTCTCAACGGTCGCAATCTCCTCTTTCCTAGCTCTGTCAGCCAAACTGTTGCTTCCCAATGACCGCCCGGTTTTCTTCAACCCCTCGAGATACTTCTCGACCCACTCAATATCCTTGAGTCTGAGCTCGGTCTGGATAATCTCCATATCCCGAAGAGGGTTGACCTCGCCTTCGACGTGGATGACTTCAGAATCATCGAACGCTCGAACGACTTGGAAAATGCCATCGACAGCGCGTACGTGTGACAAGAAAGCGTTACCGAGACCTGCACCAGTTGATGCGCCCTAAGAGTGGGATCATTCAGACGCTGGGGCGTGAGTTACATGGTGACGAGAAGACGTACTGCTGTCAGACCGGCGATATCAATACATGTGAGGAACGCGGGAATGCGAGCACTGGGCTTGTAGGTCTGGCAAAGCCACTCGAATCGCTCATCAGGAACAGGTATACGAGCTTCCTAGATAGCGTGTGAGTATCCACGTCAACTGTAAGACAAAGCGTGGGCCATACCTCGGGATCGATTGTGGCATAGGGATAGTTACGCGCTATACCCAGTTCTTTACAAGGCAATGGTTTAAGACTTTATTCGCCTTGAGAAACAGGTGAAAATTTACCTGTCTTGGAGAGGACGTTGAAGAAAGACGACTTTCCGACATTGGGCAACCCTAAACGACGCAAGTCAGATTCCTCAGGATGTCACGTCGTTGCAACAGAGAAACAAACCTACGATGCCGATCTTCAAATTGTTACTGGGACGACCAAGCAAAGTCTTTTTTTCTACTACGGCCTTCTTGGGTGGCATGTTTCGTTTTTTCTTGGCGTACGCGGGGTATGAACGCGAGAACGACCGGAGAAGTGAAAAGGAGGGAAAGGTAGATGGTGGTTGTGAAAGAGAGCAGGCAGAGAAACCTCTCCCTGCAAATATGGACATCCTATCGATTTCTTAGCAAGCGCCACGTGCAGTTTTCTTTAAGGAAAGCGTCACGTTGTCACAGAGTAACGGGCGTGAGGGTCGCCGTGACTCTCCGTGACTGCTCTCTGGTCGGATTCGCCCACTGAGCTGCCTCAAGCTGCCTGCTGCTACCGTCTGCCGTCGTTCTCGTCGTCCTCGTAGTTCCGTTCATCGTCCTTGACATTCATTATTCTCTTCCCCCACGATGCGCATTTCGTCCGTACTCTTTGGTGTACTTGCGCTGCGCGTTGCGTCGGTGCTAGGACAAGTGACCCAGACGCTGATCGATGAGTGAGTCTTGGGAATGGTCCATTCTTGATAAATTGGCATAACAGTGGGAAACTGACTGCGACATTGGTAGTCTTGGACAAACGGTTGTGGAGGTTGTTACAACCGATCCTCTTGGTTTGCTCACCACCGACACTCTGTAAGTATTTGCTTCCGTTCTTGGCGCTCTGGGGCTCTTGACACCTTCGTAGCCTGACCCTCACAACCACTACAACACCTACTACCACCGCGACGACAGCGACAACCACAACGCCCGATGTTCAACAAGGGCCGGTTGGAATGCCTGCAACTCAACCTCCTGCGGCGGGACCTACACAATACGTTTATACCACCACCGACGCCCTCGGTACGCATTCTCAGATCCGGGAGACACGCTTTCTGACCCTTTGGCTACAGGAGAAATTATTCAAGTAACAGACACCTTCACACCAACCTTTGCATCATCTGAGGGCGTCCGACCGACACTCACGGGTACCATTCTCGACTACAGCGAATGGCTCACCATGGTCGGCGGAACAAGCAGTGCTGCTGTAAGACCCAATGCTGCGGCCTCTCAGTGGGAGGTCAATAAATTCGTCGTTGGTGCATTTGCAGCAACGTTGAGCGCGATCCTTGGGGGTGCCTGGATGGTACTCTGACCGATACCCATTACCACTTGATACGTGGTATAATGGTTTTGGCCCATTTGACGATCCTGGATGTGGATATATGGACTTGAACGAATTGGAACACTAATGCATGCATCGTAATATCTCGGACTTTGGACTATCACTGTCTTCATTTTATACACACCTCTTTGACAACTCACGCTCACTAGTACCTTATCATCGCTCTTTGTAGCTACTGTGTACATTGCTATCCATGGATGCATTTCCGTGTCTATCTTCTGGCATTCCTCGGTAAAGGTGGTAAACGCTCTTGGCTATGTCAATAATGAAGCGATCATTGACAAGCCTCGATCACATCAATTGTATCCTCCTGTCCGCTCACACTTGGCTTGTTGTACCTTGACCTCATACACACCGTTCAGCGTCCAGCCTAGCCTTGACTGTGACTATTCGACCCACCAACCATCGTAAACCTGAAATATCTACTTGAATAGGCACAACCTATCTCTGCCACTCAATTCATATATTAGCGCGGCAAACGCGTAAACTTGATATTCGCCTCGTATCCTCGTATCTTGCGGGCGATACAGGAAACATGTCAGACGTTGTCGGCGTTGCATGTGTCGTTGACTCCTCTTTGACCTTGGCTGCAGAATGGCACAACGTTCTCAAGGAATACGTCGCGCCTCTCATGCATCGCGTTATGGAGAATCATCATCCTAGACCTGTCAGTCAACCTTTGAGTTCTCATCCTTCGACTGACCTTTGATGGACATCATTTGTGAACATCACTTCATAGCTTCGGTTCGCGTACGTGTGCTATGGCCCCTCGAATGCCCGCCCCCAGCCTCTTCTCCACAAGAATCATTTTATGGAAGCCAAATCCTTTGTTAACGAACTCAAACTCGAACCTTCCAAACATGGCATCGGACAGACGGGAAGCGGGGGCGAGAAAGGCTTGGCTGCGTTGGAGGGGCTCGTGGCTGCTATTGAGGTAATTCCTTCCGCTATAGCAGAGTGAGAGGTACTGAACTTTGAAAGTCGATAGTTGTTTGATCAATTGAAGGAGTCGACACAAGTAAGTCTTAGAAGGATAGTGTATACGTTTGTCCTTTGGGAAGGCTGACAGCATCTCGTAGAATGCGGTTTCGTATATCCTGCACGTTGCCGCTTGTACACCTGATAGTGCGGAACGGCCGTTGTGGAATACGTCTCCTCGTTTAGACTCCATAACATGGGATAGCCTACCGATGGAAATGAAGAAGGTTCGTCTTCCAAGTGGCATGTCGACTTAATGCTAATAGTATGACAGAGGGATATTCATTATACGAGTATCCTACTCAGGCGAATACCTCGACTCACAACGTTCTTTACGGCGGTATGTACACAGAAGTCATAGCACTCATCACCTTCTCATGTTTATGAACTAGCAGGCTGCCTCGGGCTTGACGCAACAACCATGGTTCAATGTCCGACCGTCCCATCAGGTGTACGTCTCTGGTATGCCGACACGAAAAGGTACGGCTTTCCTGCACCCCTTCTTAGTCCTTGTATTTATCAATGTATAGCGAGCGTGAAACGACCCAATGAGGCAAGTGCTTCGAGTGCGGATCGTAGCCCTGAAGCAAAACGTGTTCGTGTCCAATCCCAACCGACACAAGCTTCCCCAAAATCATCGCCTTCAATCCCTGTCAAACCCGACCCTGAAACTCCAAAGGTCGTAGCACCACCACCACCTCCTCACCCTCCCGCTCCTGCGCCGGTATCCACGCAGCCTGCCGCACCTACAATTCCAGCGATACCTCTTGCTGCCACTGCGTCCGCCGCTCTCGCTCAAGCACAGGCACCTGCCAATATCACACCCGAGAGTCTTAAGGGAATGACTATAGACAAACTTACTCTCGTTATGACGAGGCTCGGACAGTACGAAGAACAGCTGAAGCAGAGGCACGCAAATTTTCGTGCGAACATAGCAGCAGGCAAGGAACCAGATCAGAAAGAGAAAGCGGAGATCCAGATTCAAGCCGATAAGCTCAATCAGTTTAGAGTGTGTATCCAACAACATTTTGCGGAGAATCCAGAACGACTGGAGCAGGCGAGGAAGCTGCGACAAATGAATCAGTTCCAACAGCAGCAACAAGCGATCCAGCAACAGCGGGAGAATCCTGCGATTACTGCGACCCAGGCGGCGGCTGTGTCTGTCCCTCAGCCTCCCGTTGCGTCGTCGTCTTCGTCCCGCGGTCAATTTCAGGCACCTCAACAAGTGGCGGGTATGCAAGTACCCCCAGAGCTCGCTGCGCAATTCCATAAACTGGAGCAGCAACGAAATCGCACACCACATATGCCTCCGGCTACTGTACCACAGCAGCCTCAGCAGCCCCCGCTTCCGCCACAACCTCAACAACCTCCACAACCTCAGCAGCCTCAAGCGAATGTGTCCCCGCCCCAGAACCAGTATGTATTGATTTGGAGGGGCAAGTTTGCTTGGATGGACCCTATGTTAGGCCTGAACGAAACTGAGGTGTCAGTGCATAGAACTGCACAAACTGTGGAAATGTATGTCTTATTTTCGCATTCGGACGTCGTGTCTCACTGGCGTTTAGTTCAACAGCGAACTGGCCTCCTGGGATTGAGCTGAATATAGAGAATGAGCCCGGTCCCCCCATTTGGGCTATCACCCAATGGAGGGAGCTTCGTCAGAATATCAGAGTTATTCCGCTCTTCATCACACAACCGCAAGGTGGTGATATGACTCGGTATTCGATGCTCGTAAAAGCTATCATCGAGAAAAAGACGGTATGTCCTCTTTCTCGTACGTTTCTTTCCTTTCCCCCCTTTTAAGACTTCCACACCTGTAGACTGCAACAGCACGATGGCCAGACGCCAATGGGAACAATGCCATTCGCCTTTTCCTCTTCCCTTTCTCGCCAACGGTCATCGCAGCGATGTATTTCCTAGATGGTACAATGACTGTGCCCAGAGGCGTGGTCGCAGGCTTCAATTTAAATACGCTTAACAAGCAGATGGGGGAGTTCTTGATGAAACTTCCTCCACAAATCGCAGACGAACTCGCGAAACTCACCCCGGAGGAACGTCGAGTCCGGATTCAATACGTCTTGCAAAAGACCGGAGCACTGCAACAAGCCCAGCAACAGGCGCAACAGCAGCAGCAGCAACAACAACAGCAGCAACAGCAACAAGCACAGCAACAGCAACAAGTACAGCAGCAGCAACAAGCACAACAGCAGCAACTTCGACCTACGGTCCTTCCAGGCGCACCGATGAATATGATGAGCATGAACACGATGCAGCCGACGGCGAGTAATCCTATGCAAGGACAAGTCAACGCTGGCATTCCGCAGATGCCTAATACCTTGTTTCCTAATGCCAACGTCATGCAGATGCCTCATTTCCAGGCCAATGCGGGGATGATGCATCAGCGAACACCGAGTGGTGGCGGGGGTGGGGGTATTATCAGTCAGGAGATGCTGCAGTCGTTCATGCAACGTAACACTGGAAGCACCGGTGGCATGTGAGGCTGTTAGATTCTTCCGCTATCTAGTTTCTGGTGGGATTCATGGATTGTAGTTCTCGTTCTCGTTTACACCGTCGTTCTGTTCAAGTTGTACAATTAGAATTCAGCTCGGAAAGTCTTTATATGTCCTGACGCGATAAGGCTTCTGCTTGGAGCGATTTATTTTCCCAACGGCGCACCAGTGAACACAGTCCCAATGGGATTCCACGCAGGTGTTAATTTGAATCCTTTCCCCCCAGACGTGCAAGGGTGGCTCCTGCAACTACCACAGCAATACATAGAAGGACTTGAATGACTCTCACGAGGGGAGCGTATCGCATCGTTGCGGGGGGTACGTAGAGAAGATGCGAACTGCTCAACTCGCTCAGTCTCATCAAAGACACCTACCGCCAATTGTTCTAACTGGAGATGATGTGCATTTGTCAGAACATTCTCATGAAGACGACATTTCTGAAAGCGACGACGTAAAAGATGAATCGTAGGATGATAGTCATGCCATACGATTGTGTACGGATGTAACATGGGATTCACATGTCAGATAGCAGGCCATACTACGACGCTCGACCATGGAATATAAATACAATCTGAATCTGAAACATAATGCAGTCAAGAAAGGAAAAACGATGAATAAACCCAATACGCATGCGAGAACGGTAACGGCATGATATTTTTACGTCCCGAATATACCCACAATCCTGGCCTCGTTATGATGATACTCTCTTCACGACGTATCGATCCCAGCTTGGGTATGAAAAGGTCTCAGTCGTGGTCTGCACACCGTTCGGGGCAGTAAATGTAGACGACTGCGTCTTCTTCCCCTTATTTTCCTTCCCAGACTTGGGCCGTGAATTCGCATAAGCCAGAAGATCACACATAGCTGGTATATCAACTGTCAGAGGTAGACATGATATCTTCAGCTTTCGATCATCAGCTTCTGTCCTGGGAAATGGTGAAGCCTTCTGTTTCAGTCTTCCAGGTCTGTGCGGGATAGTCTTCGAGCTTGTGCTGGAAGGTGGCGGCGCAGTCGAAGATGACGAAGACGCAGCGGGATTTGACGAAGAGGCCGCTTTGGATGATGATGGTGACGGTGAAGGAGGTTTTTGCGATACTCTGGTTGACCCAGCTGAGGCTGGTCCAGTATCTGGAGGTACTAGTGCGGCTAGTTCTGCTTGTGCTTCTTTATTGGAAGGGTGCAGTCTCAGGACAGCTCGTATATCTGAAATGGAGGAGCTCGCCTCATTTGTAGATTCGTAATAAACAGCGAAGTTACCTTTGATAGCGTCATCTATCCGACCCTGAGCTTTTCGTGCCTGTGCTCTTCGCCAGTGACCTTTGACGCTTTTATGTTGTCCTAGGGCCGCATCACAAGCCTGCTCTGCTTCGATCCACCTACGGATATATATTAACATGGGCCCCGCACCGAGATATGATACAGGCCATACTTATGCAGCTTCAAGTATGCCGCGGCCATGTTCAGCTGGTAATGAGGCATTTCTGGCTCGATCGTGTTCGCCATCTTGTAGCGTTCGATAGCATGTTCAAAATCACCGATCTTGAAAGCATCATTACCCTACGAGTGACTGAATCAGTACGACACCCTTTATAGGTGTAACAAAGGCAGAGACCTGTTCCTTTTCCCGCTCAGCTTGGAAGTACCGATATTCCATAAGTTGTCCTATGGTCATGTCAAGTTCTGGCACATGTCCGTGTGCACGATCTGCACATTCTTCGGGATCGACACCAACGAAATCTAGGTCGATATCCCAAATATCTTCCTCTTCTTCTGTCTCCCAACCATAAACACCGCTGCCTGAGATGAAGCGTCAATCTAGGAACGAGCGAAGGTTCTCATTACCGTTCAAAACGCACCTCGACCATCCCATTCTCTTTGTTTTCCGGGGCGCACGCCACTTTCTTCTTCGTCTTCCCTTACGGTCTTCTCACATACCTCGCTCAAATGATCTGTGGAACATCCACACTCACACCATTTGGTAGTCAATTTCTCTCTCAAGACTTGCCCATAGCCTCGCACGTCGAACTCTCGAGCAACGCGCCAGAGCGTCTGAGAGACACGTTCATATCCTACTCGAATCTTCTGTCGCCATTCTGGATCCCAATCTCCATGGACGCTCGTCTTGGAATATTTTGATTCACATGCATCCTCGAGGGCGCGTACGCCATCGCTTAAAGGTCCCAGGTGAGGCGGTTTCGCAAATGCTGGGGAAGGCATTGCGTGAAGGGAGTCGAGGTGAGCTTGAAGCGCTTCGTGATGAGGCAGAAGCCTCAATGAATGGAGTCCCCGTTTACGACAGATTGGAACATTGTTGGAGAGGGCCTGTGGGCAGTGAATGGTCGCCAGAAAGACTGGCATCAAGGGGAACTTACGAAATGCCTGAGGGCAGTATACGACCATAGTACACTCTTTGTCGCGACACGCTCACCAGCCTGTCTCAAGTCCATTCCGATCGTAGCTCGGAAGAAGTCTTTGATCTCGTCGCAATCCGCATTAGCAGCGACCCATCCAGGTCCTCCAACAGTGATGCACCTCATCACGAATGTTGGCAGATGGAGCAAAGCAACACAATAGAGGTGTGTCGAGAATAGACGAGCGATGTCTTGCTCGAAGCGAGTAAGGAGTATGTTGGCTATAGTACGCTCCAGTTGGGACACGGCTGACATAGCCTGCGAGATACTTCTGTCGACGTGTAGATTGGGTGTACGGTGGTCTTTCGGGTGGATATGCATATTGCTAGAGATGCCATTGCCCTTTTTGGATGACCCTGGAGGTCGTTTCTTTGCATGGGAATACTTGGCCGGCATTGTGGGGATCCTTCAAAGGAGACTCCTAGAGACGTACAAGTCTTCTGGGGGAAAAGCTGTCTGCGAGATATACCCTGTCAGTCGGGTGTGTGATTGTCCTGCCAGCAAGCTCGCTCGCAGTGAGTTTGAGATAGACCGAAGATAGTACTATATACAGGACACTGAGGCTATACCTCTCAGTTAAAGGAATCGTATGAGCCTGAGAGAGCAGAGAAGGACTGAGGCTATGGTGGTAGCGGTTCAAGCTCAAGACGCTCAATACTGCTCCCGCTCAATCGCGTTAATTGCATATCACGTGTCTCACGCGTCGTATTGTTCTCGTGGCGTGGCAGAAGAGATTGGAAGTTCCAGTGCAAAAATAAGTATCTACGTCAACTATGCAGGGTATATACAGTATAGAAAAGTCCAAACAGTCCCAGCCGCGCTTAGAACCTCCTGACTATCCCCCTTCTCCGCTCCTCTTCCCTGTAATCCAATCAGGCCCAACACCGTTCTGCAAAGACAGAAATCACGTACCTGTATTCGAACATAACCTGACTTGCGACAAATATACACACACAGCTTCCGATAAGGAACCGAATTCCTGTGAATGACGTACATCAGTAAAGAATCCTGATACAACAATGGGCAACATACCTTCCCAAGTAGAAAACAGTTCGTTGAGCAAGTAGGAAATGCCCTCCGTTCCAATCACAAACCCGACCAGGTTAGCAGTCATCATCATCAGGATGTTGAACACCGCCCCGATAGCGCAAGCATGTCTATACCACCATTGATTGCCAAACTAGAACTTCGTCAGCATCGTATTCTAGAAAGAACTAAGAACTTACTCTTGAGGGAGGAAGTAGGTACTGAGCAATCAGTTCAGGCAAGATGAAGAGACTGACAAGCCAGCCCCAAGCCAGGAGACGGAACGATAGGTCATGCCATAGAGCTACAAAGGTGAAGACCAGAACGGTTGTGAACACAACGTTTTTAGTTCCTCCGAGCGGGATGTAAATATATCTACAAGCCATTAGAAGGCTCTCCATGAGATATCACTGCCTAAGGGAGCCCTGGAAGAGGCTTACCGAACGATCCAGAGATTGTAACTTCTATGCCATGATCTCCAAAATCCCTGTGCTGAGTAGTTATTCGCCATGCAGCGGACCATATTTTCCGGAGGGTCCACGCCATCCAACAATGCCCAAAGCCGGAAGAAACGCCACGGGATAAGGAGCTGTCAACGTATCCATCAATCACAGCTAGGGTGGTACGAGCACCGAGGCAAGTACCTTGAGCCATACGACGATGAGATTCCAGAATCCGATCATGCTCAACTCCGCAGCCGAGTAGCCGTGCCATGCCTTGGTGTCTTTAATCGCCACGACGTACATGAAGTGCAAGACGAATTCCATCGTAAGTATACAGACAAGAAATCGAACGAGATAGCCCATAGTCGAACGTAAAGGAATAGAAGTTGGTCTTCGGAGCTAGATATCACAGAATTCAAAGTTATCAACCTGGCTTTCGACAGGTGAATAGAGACTAACCTGCCAAAGGAAATCGTTGAATGTCATGATAGGTCCGGCGATGTACAGAGGAGAATAGAGCGCGTAGGCCAGGTAATTCCAGAAGCTGTACATTTCAAGAGGATGGTATGTAGTAGTGCGTTCTTTGTATTCAAGTGATCGACCAGTCTGTAATCCACCAATTAAAGTCACAAAGTTGTTACGCAGGGATAGTTCTTACATCCGCAAGCCCTATGCGATTACACGCCCAGTAGTAGTCCATATTGAACGAAATGAGTCGAAGCATCGTGATGTTGAAGCCGACATGCCATCTATAGAGACCTTCGAGACTATCCTGACGTCAAATGCATAAGTGCTATAACTGTGAATTCAAGTCGATCGTCTAGGAACACGGGAGATACATACCAGGGGCTGCAAGGATGGATGAATTCGTGCATAGGGAAAGCCAGCATACTTATCGGCTGCAAAAAGGACACCGGTGTTGAACAGCCATGTGAGGATGGGCCCCAGCTTAGATAATCCGGTATACTTCGCAATAGCATAGTTGACGGAGAGTATGACAAGAACTTTTAAGGCGCTTGAACCATGCAGACCCAGAAGCATAAGGCTGGAGAAGATTAACAGAAAAGGGACCAGGTAAAGTTTGGTGTCCTGTCGGACGGAGAACCTGGATGCAGCAACGCGAACATAGGCTGTCTTCAATACCAGGAAGATAGCAACCAGTATAGCCAAGAGAGGTACGTTGTCTCGAAATGACCGATACTGGTGATCACTGTTATCCTGTTTACAGGAAGGTTTAGCAATACGGTTGACAAGGATGTTGCACAATACTACGACGTTAAGCACTTACTACTTGTCTGCCGAATAGCCAACCAGGAGACAGTTTACGCTTGTATAAAGGATAGTTAGGATGAGAATCTGCGATGATTGGTTTACCCAAATAAGTACAACAATATTGATGAGAGTACGTACTGGAGCTTAAACGCATGGGTATCCAGAACATGATGGGTACAACCACGACAAATGCTACGCCGTACACAAGAAACTCGGGCGTTCTCCATAGCGGCGGGTGACGAGATTCGGTGGTAGGCTTGTATGAAGGGGGTATGTCTACGGTAAGCTTTGTTATGCCACCTCCATATTGCGGTCTTTGGCTCAGCGCTGGCGAGTCCAGCTCGACGGTGTCTGAGTGCGGTGTGCGACGCAAGTCTGAGGGCATATGGAGTGGGAGCATAGATATAGCAAGTGATACAGTCTACATTAAGCAGAGTGCTGGTAGACCCGCCTGTCCCAATTAGTATTTGAAAGACGCCGGAACAGAGGCGCGGCTGCCGCGAGCAGTGACAGAGCTGTCAAAGTGCAGTGCAAGTGCAGTGACAGGTTTCTTCAGCGCCTCCAGTGCCGCCGACTGTCCTCGCCAAAGTCAGTCTTTTCCCAACAATTTCCCCCACAAACAGAACTTTTTCACTGATATTCTAATCATGCTTCGTCGCGCAGTGGAAGATCTATCCTCAGGTTCTGACTCGGATTATACCAAGTGAGCTACCACTCCTTTAGCTCCATGCTTGTTCTCCTCACTGTCGCCCAGCTCGGTACATTTCATTTCTCCACTGCTTGCCCCCTCGACTGCATCTCTGAATGTGTGCCGTAGTGGATTGCGTGGTTTCTCTCATCCAAAGGGAACGAGTACTTTTGCGAAGTCGAGGAAGAATACATCCTCGATCGTTTCAACCTAACGGGTCTCAACACCGAAGTTGCAAACTACACCCAGGCCCTTGACTCCATTACTGACAACATTGGTTTGGGATATCGTTGTTCACGGTTCCAAAACGGACTGACCTTGAATCCAGCAGATGAGGATATCCCCGACGAGCTGAGGGGTGCCCTCGATGTTCAAGCTCGACATCTTTACGGACTGATACATGCGCGTTGGATTGTCACTGCTCGGGGGCTGGCGAAGATGGTACGTTCATCTTATTGCGCACCGTTCTCATGTCTCAACCTCTGTTTGTAGCTCGAGAAGTACAAGCGAGCCGATTTTGGTCGATGCCCTCGTGTCCTATGTCAATCTCAACCCCTCCTTCCCGTCGGTCTCTCCGACATTCCCTACGAAAAGTCCGTAAAACTGTACTGCGGTCGCTGTGAAGATATTTACTCTCCGAAATCCTCCCGACACGGCTCTATCGATGGTGCTTACTTCGGGACCTCTTTCCCTCACTTGCTATTCCTTGTCTACCCCAATCTCATACCACCAAAGAGCGGTCCTGTCGACGTAGGTCTACCGGTACGAGGGGCGCCTACGGAGGGTGACAATCAGAGAAGGACAAGGAGGGCAAGAGAAGAGCCCGAGCTTCCTGCTGAAACCATTGGCGAAGAGTTCAGTACTGCGTCTGTCGCTCTGAAGGCGGAGAGGTATCGTCCCAGGATCTTTGGCTTCCAAGTACACGAGATTGCCAAGTTACAGAGGTGGCAGGAGGCGGTTCGTGATAGGTAAGCAGCAGGTCGTGCTAGTTTGTGGTAAAACAACAAACTCACTGCATACTATGTAGACAAGTTGCGAGGCTCGAGGAGATTGGGGTCTGATATTATTCTCTTCATCTGTATATTGGGTTTTTATCGCTGTTGTTGTAATACACCATACATTGCTTCCACCATCAAGGTGACATATGATATCCTTCCAAATCAAATCCATGTGGCTGAGGTCAGTTTAAAGCTGATCTGTATTTGGTGACTGTTTGTTATAAAATGCAGTATAAAAGAAGCTTTTTATTATGACTTCAATAGACAGCATAGACTATTGTCAAAATATCTAGCCAAGTGAATCTCTGCACACTAGCTGAAGAGCCATAAAGATGATATAAAAAATTTCAGGGCTACTGCAATATTGTTTAGGAGAGGTTAACAAACTTGCAATTTTTCAAGCTCTATCAAATTGGCTTCTTTCACTGATCTCCTCACATTATAGCCCATGTATGGTATAAGTATAGTTCAGAAAAGTAATTCTGCGAAGCCATTTGGTGAATGGCAAAGAGATAAATAAATTATATAAAAAATAGATGCAGACTATTGAGCTTACACTGTGAATAGCTGAAGAAGAATGATCATGTGCTTGATGTGTTAGATTCTTATATGCATCTCAGCCTGTTACACTAATTAATAACTGAGGTAAGTAATTTTGAATCAGTTCTAGTAGATAATTTTATCTAGTTTATTCACTCTTTTACAGCATAATTATCTACTTAAATGTGTTTCTTTTTACTTACATAACTTTTCAACAGATAACAATTATCAAAAATCCTGACATGCATCATTTCATCATGCCATTGACTTCATCTTTTCAGAATTTTTCTTTTCTCTCAATGTCACTTGATGTAGATAAATTACTCTTCATAGTACAATTTTCTTCTATACTCAGTTCTATATTGAATATATCTATTCTTTCTAGAATATCTCACACTTCTTTTGCCACTTCTCATTGGCCTCTTCTATATTCTGTATCAGTTACTTTCCTTTTTTATTCTCTTTAGTATTATCAGTAGAGAAAAAAAGGAGACTAAAAATCATTGGCCAATCTGGTATTCCTATATTCTCTATCTGCTCTATCTACATATGCTTACTCCATATATTCTCAGTACTCTTTTATATTTCAATATATATACTGATCCAACTTTTACATATTATTGAAATTGAAATAGGAATAATCAAGCAGTATATATCTTTCTTACTTTGAAGGCATCTGCAGAAGAACAAAAATTCTTAGAAGGCTATTCAACTGCTTATACTGCATGGACCACTCTATCTATTTAATATATTAAGCAAAATATCTATACATAAGTTATACTTATTTGCAACTTACTCAGCATTTATTTCTCTAAAAGTAAACACTTATTAGTTGTTTATAGTAACTTACAAAACTCTTTCAATATTTGTCAATTTCTGCTTTTATGGCCAATATCTTTACACTCACAAAGAATACAAGAATATGGCTAAGTAGATCTAAAAGTGTAATATTTTGACTTTAGTTATTATTTTGAATTATATAATTTAGTCAAGAGTTGATGAAGATAGTTAAATTTCAATACATCAGAAAATTATACATATTCTGGCACTCTGAGTGCCAAGTCCAAATATGGTCAACTTTACAAAATTCACAGTAAATATGTCTCAAGGGTAAATGGCCTAATTTATGGCTTGAAAAATGCATTTGAGATATAAAAATGTATATACAAAAAAGATTAGAGATTTAGATTGAAGATGCTCAAGGGGCATGGTAAATAAAATCACTTCTGAGAATGCACCAGCCCAAATTGAACTTCACTAAGAACTGAGCTGCTGAAGTCTCTGAGACTCCTTCTGAGTCTTCTGAGATAGCTCTCAGAAGCTCTCAGAAGTGATGCACCTTTTTCTGATGACTATGCACCATTCTATCAGATAAAAACTTAAAATTTGAGTACTTATTAGAGTTTTTTTTAATCTAAATTACTATTTAATAGATTATATCATAAACTTGTTTGCTATTCTATTTCTAGTTATAATTTACTTTCTAGAATTAGAATAGAGTCTTTTAAATCTAGTTGCTCAGAATTCTTTGCTATATATTAGTAGTAAGTAAATTTAATTAGAGATTCTTGCAAACTCATGCTAACTATTTCAACCTATAGTTTATATCTAAATTTATATCTGTGATATCTGTAAATAGATTATCTAATCTTTGACAAACTATCTGACTACTGTAGAGTTTATTTTATCTCTAGAAGTACTTATCAATGAGGTTACTAATAGAGCTTGCAATATTGATACTGAACATTATCTCCTCTAGAGCTCTGATAGATAAAAGTAGATGCTCAATTTATAAAACTATAAGAGTGAGCATTCTATGAAACAGTGAGCACAGAGAGTGGACACTTTCAGAGTATGCATAAGTATTTTTTAGAATAGTGATACTTTTATCAGTATCTGAGAGATGAGCATTATATAAGATACTAATACTAAGTTGGACACTACCTATTTACTATACTTAGAATATCTGAGCATATATATTATTTAGTATATACTATATTACTACTAAATTAGAATACATATAGGCCTACTTTAAATATATTTTCAGTATTTACTATTTTCTATTCTGAAATAATTATAATAGCAGAAAAATATAAAATAGATTATAAGAGGTTATAAGCCTCACTCTCTAATTAACTTGAATTCTAATAATATTACAAATTAAAATATTAGTTAAAATAACTTATAAGCTATTGTAATGCTCTTCTTAACTCTCTAGTATTATACTAGAAATAAGTATATAATGTATAAATATCTAAATACAGTATTTGAGAAAAGAAAAACTCAAATATAAAGTAACACTACTTTTGCAGAGAAATTTTGAGTCAGTTATTAGGCTAAATATCTTCTATTATTTATTATGTCTTTTGAAGTTTATAGTAAGATTACTTATTTACAAGTGAAGTCAATAATTAGCTTAAATTTGATCTAAAGCCAAGTTTAAGATATATATTTAAAAAAAAGTGAGCCTAAGATTATCAGAACTTAAAGTCTCAAGGATGATCAGAAATAGAGATAAAATACTTGATGACAGAACTTTTACAAGCAGATATAAATAACTTAAAAAATAGTAGTGAGATTTAATTATATTATAAAATTAACTCTCATAGTTAAAATAGATAGTGTATAATAGTAATCAATTGTATTATAGTTAGATGTAGGCAGATCAATATATAGACTAAAGTTAATAGTAACTTTAGGTGAGTTACAAAGGTAGAACTGTAAATAGGCTAGATAAATACTAAAAAGACTCAGTTATATCACTTTTCTGCAGATATAGAAAGCTCTTAATCTATATTCTTCAAAAAGAGAACTGTTCTTTTCAGAGGCAGACTTATTCTTTGAAAGTGACCTGAGAGCTTCTTATATATTATTTCTAAGATCTATAAAGCTATTTTTCTAACTCTCAAATCTAAGAACTCTATTCTACTACCTAACAGTCCTGGCAATATTAGTTGCAAATTGCATAAGTTGTAGTTCTCTGAATAGTACTCATACTGTATCAATCTCTATCACACACTCTCTCAATATTGCAATTCTCTGATTCAACTCTATATAATATCTCAATAATTTATCTATCTCAATCAACTTGTCATTCAATATAGTCTATAATAAAACAAGATTCTTAGCAATATGGTACAATTCTTAAGAAGGTTATTCTCTCAAATTTGCAAATTATTGTATCTTATCTATTGCAGTCAAGTATTGCATCATATGAAGGTCTATCCTGATTCAGTCTCAATTTATCTTGAGTCTTTATAGAAGCTTTACTTATTAGAGATATTCAACTTCTATAATATTTTATCTTCTGACTTCTCTTTTTATATATATTTCTGATATCTCCTTCACCTAAGCTATTCATACATATCATCTTCATTCTCTAACTCTTTCTATTTATTCTTATATCCAATGTTACTTCTACTTTATAGTTTCTACTTCACTTTGGGCACTTTGCCTATTTTCTCATGGCTTCACTTTTTTCTATACTTCACTTTCCAGCATCTCTTTGCTGCTTATATTCAAGTACAGATTAGTACTAAGTTTCTATATCAATATATGCTGCTTACATTGAAGTATAAAACTTCTGTCAGCTACCAGGTTAATCTACTCTCTAGTTTTAATAGCTACTCTCATTATTATTAGTGCAGAGAAGTCATATTAACTGCATTATTTCTGTCATTGCTATTTGAGACTTTGCTATTTACAGCTTATTATAGCAAATTCTTAATTATAGCTTAAATAATTAGATATATATTATAATAATAGCTGTCAATATCAATACCTTTAACTATTATCTTGTACAAGAATTTGTAGATAGCTGAAAACTTACATCAATACCTCACTCTAACTCAAATTCAAGAGGGCAGCTTCACATAGGTGAGAGGTTATTAGATGCTACTAGTAGACTTAGTCTTTATCTACACTAGATTAACTCAACTATGAGTGAGATGATCTGCAAGAAATCTTTACTTTGATACTATCTATCATTTACTGATATCTTCACTTCACATAATGTCTTCTTATCAAAGTCCTTTATTATTTCTGAAGCAGTTATTCACTTTCTGCATATGATCAGAAATCTGATAGGAATGAGTTTGATGAGTATTCACAAATTATATAGATACAAATTAGATTTATTCAGTGATCTTTATATATTACTTATACTTATTTACAGTAATAATATCTATTACTAAATAGCGCATTTGAATCAATAGATGGGCTCAATCTTGCTGTGAGTGTTTACAATAATTCTGCAATTAAGAATGTCATCTATAATAGTTAGCTCCACTTCTACTATCAGAGTTGTATATTTGCTTTTTCTTTCAAAGTTATATTTATAATCTTTGTGTTTTTATTATGCTATAGCTAAATATATCAGTTTTTAGAGATCATTATGATGTATAACTTGAATAGTTTCAATAGCTGATATGACTCTCATCTTGTATGATCAATCTACTGCAAACTTAATAAAGAAGTTCTAGCTAGATACTACCTATTACTGATATAGCCTTTTCTCATAGTACTATTAGTTCTACCAGTAAGATGAAGGTACCAATAAAGATAGAGTAGTAACTTTCAAAGGATTCTATTACAAGGACATCACTTCTTATATTTGATTGTCAGCTTCTTTCATATCAGCAGTTAGCAGAATAAGATATATGCACTCTGCAGAGCTCATTTGGATATTTGCATCTTCTATTAGATACTGATAATAATAATAATTACACAGATGTATTAAAAATATATGCTCAGCTTAACAATATTCATATACTGAGAGTCAGAATTAACTAGA